CATATTCCTATCCCACTTCGCCCCATTCTCCGGGGAATCGCCAGCCAAGTCACCGGGCATCGCAATCAATTCCGAACTTCAATTCGAAAGTGTAGCACTGAGCTTGTAAGTCTTCCTTCTCGCCTGGCTTCATCCAATCCCCATATCGCTCGCTAGCCTACCCACAAATCCCGAGGGCCTGACTGCGATGATCTGCTTCCGTCGCAATACTGATTCAGTCTAGTTTCGATTGTAGGCTACATTTGCACGGCCCCATCGCCTCCGTTACCCCCCTGGTCCCTGATATCGCTTTCAATTGCGTCAATTCATCATGTCCGCCGAAGCGTCAAACGCCACCAATGGTGCTGCCTCCAAGTCTCTTGCCGCCATGCTGGAGGAGCAACACACTCGTGAAGACCATCGTGTCACCGTTGAGGACGTCATCGATGAGGAGGATCTCAAGCACCCGCCGCCATCATCTCTGGTGAATAATCACTCATCAGCTCCCGTCGCCCCTGTCCTGGATTCCACCACACAGGCAGAGACCGCCACTCCGTCCCCGATCTCGAAGCCTGCCGTCAAGAAGACACCGGCATTTGATGTACAGTCGGAGGAGCTATTCCCAGCACTGGGCAGTGGCCCTAAGCCTACTGCTCCCGCGGCTGCCACGTGGGGTGCGAAGAAGCCATCTGCGGCAGCCGCTGTGGCCCATGGCCAACCCGCTAAGCCAATGGGTAAGCAGATGTTCCAGAAGCAGACCGCTTCCTATCTCTAGTTTGCTAACGATTGATAGATATCCCCCGAGTGATGTCTCTTCCTGGAAAGCACGTGGAGCAGCTTCGCCTTGCTCCGTCTCAGATGCTTCCCCGCGGTCAGATGAAGAAGCCCCTCCAAGATATCCTCCGTGACATTTCGCGGAGATCCAAGGCTACTGTGAACATTCGTGGTGGTCCCGGTGGGTCCGTTATCTTTGAAGGCAAGGGATCTGTCGAATCAGTCCGCCAGGCTCTGAAGGAGGTCGCACAACAAGTTGGATCCAAGGTATGCAGACATGCCCTCTCTCAATTGAGCCATTAGTCTAACTTTTCGCTTCCGTAGCAATCCGTCCGTGTCCCCATTCCCACCTCTGCTCGAGCTCACATCATTGGCCGTCAGGGCGCGGTGGTTCAGGACATTCAGTCCCGCACCGGTGCTCGCGTTCAAGTCCCCCGCGCCGATGGCAATGTCGCTGCTGCCGATGATGATGATGACGATACCATTGACGTTCTGATCGAGGGTGATGCGGTTGCTGCTGAGATGGCTCGCCGGGAAATTGAGGCGATTGTCAAGGAGCGCGGCTCGAGCATGAGCTTACGCTTGAAGACCGTCCCGCCAGAGTTCTTCCCGTTCATTGCTGGTGCTCATGATGCGGCGCTGCGTGAGATTGAGGAGCGAACAAAGGCACAGATTAACGTACCCCGGTACGACACTTGGACTTCGCAGCCTCCTCCCCAGGAGGCCCATCCTGGTCAGGTGCAGTTCGTGCCTGTTGCTGACAAGCACATTCTCATTTCTGGAGAGCGTGCCGCAGCTCAGGAAGCTCGTGCAGAGATTGAGCGCCTGGCCGCTGAGTTGCAGCGGAAATTGACCCTTCGTCAGTTGGCTATCAACCGCGGTCAGCACCAATTTATTCTCGGAAACGAGGCCGACGCTTTGCATCAGTTCGTTGCGCAGACTGGTTGTGCGATTATTCTGCCTCCTGCGTCGGATGACAGCGAGTTCCTCACTATCACCGGTCCCGTAGACCAGATTGAGGCTGGTGTTAACCACGCGATGGATCTTGCGACTAGCATGCAAATGGCCAGCATTGACTTGTCTCGCCAACACCCCAATGCCCCTGCTGGTCCTCACGCTCACGCTCGTGCTCTGACCCAGTACCTGAAGCGTCGTCAGATCATCAAGCAGCTTGAATCGGCTTATGATGCGCACATCGCTCTCTCCCCGAGTGTCGAGGGCCCTGTCGCATGGGAGGTCTACTCTCGTGATGGCAAGAACACCATCCGCGCTCGCTCAGACATCATGAACCTTGTCCAAGCCCACCCTCCGTCTCGTCTCCGTCATGTCCCAGTTGACCCATACTTCCACCCCTACCTGCGCTCCCGTGGCGCCAGCAAGCTCCAGGGTGATTACGGTGTTCATCTCCTCGTGCCCGAGGACATTGACAGCCCCGAAGTTGTCCTTGTTTACGAGGGCCCCACATCCACTGCCTCCAACTTTGAGGTCCCGAGACAGCGTCCCACCCCGGTGGAGGTTGCCGAGTTTGAGAAGTCTTTGCTGGAGGCTCAGGCTTTCTTGCTGAGCATTCTTGGTAACCAGAGTGATATTGTTGGCGCATCGGTTTCTATTCCTGCCAAGTACCAGGAGAAGGCCCGCAAGTTCATTATCCGTGAGCAGGACGCTAAGGGTGAAGACAGCATTCCAGTGCGTGCCATCATTGGTGAGCCCAACGCCTCTAAGTGTGAGATTTCGCTGCGTGGACCCTCCGAGTCGGTCTCGGAGCTCGCTGCCAAGCTGGAGGCGTTCGTTGTGGAGCAGGAGCAGGATGATCTGGAGCGTGGCTACACGAACACCTTCGATTTCCCTCAGAAGTTCGCCAACTTCCTGATCGGAAAACGCGGCGAGAACATCAACAAATTGCGTGAGGAGTTTGATGTCGACATCAAGGTTGAGAACGGCAAAGTTGAGGTGAAGGGACCCAAGGCCAAGGCTGATGCTACCCGCATGCGTATCATGAACATGGGCAAGAAGTGGGAAGATGAGACCACTCACATCCTCAAGATTCCTGCCCAGTACCACCGTGAGCTTATCGGACAGCGCGGTACTTTAGTGAACCGTCTCCAGGACCGCTACTCAGTTCGCGTCCAGTTCCCTCGGGCGGCCGCCTCTACTGATGAGCAGTCCGTTGCCGATACTAGTAGCGATGCTGGTGTTGCTCGCAACCGCCCTCAGCAGGCAGCTGATGAGGTCATTGTCAAGGGTCCCAGCAAGGGCGCTGACTCTGCTCGTGATGAGATTCTCGGTCTGTTGCAGTGGGTCATTGATCACTCGCACAGTGCCACTATCTCGGTCGCCCAGAGCCAGGTTGCTTCGCTCATTGGTCAGCGTGGTCGCGAGATGGACAAGCTTCGAGCTGACACTGGGGCTCAAATTGATGTCCCCGCCGCGAATGATGCACCGGATGCATCAGGCCGTGTCCAGATCCGTGTTAAGGGCACCAAACAGCAGGTTGCCGAGGCCAAGAAGATCTTGCAGCAACGGGCCACCGATTTCGATGCTACTGTCACCAAGTCTATCGAGGTCGAGAAGAAGTATCACAAGGCCCTTATTGGCGGTGGTGGTATGTTTTCCCTTTAATTCAAATCATTTTGTTTGGTTTGCTAATGACTACTAGGTGCTAATATCCGTAAGATCGTCGTTGATGCTGGTGGCCCTAGCGATGGTAGCGCTGCTCGCATGGTCCGATTCCCCAAGCCTGATAGCACCGAGTCTACCATTCGTCTTGAGGGTAATGGAAAGATTGTTGACAACATCATTGCTGCCATTGAGGAGTTTGTCAAGGAGCGTGCGGATCAGGTTTCCGAGACTGTTGACGTTCCCACTGCCCAGCACCGCCTCCTGATCGGCCGTGGAGGTGACACCCGGCGCGGTATCGAGTCGAAGTTCAACGTCACCCTGGACATCCCCAAGCAAGGCTCTGGCCGCACCGACGTCAAGCTCAAGGGTGCCAGCGCTGCTGTTGCTGAGGCCAAGGAGCACATTCAGAGCCTGATGAAGGATCAGCACGCCGAGACAGCTTTTGTCCCGACTCACTTGCACCATGCTGTCGCTGACAACGGTGCTTTCTTCCGTCGACTGCGCAGTGACTACCAGGTCACTGTTGACCATGCCGGCAAGTCTGTGCCTGCCAACCCTGCTTCTGAGGAAACTCGCAGCTCTGCCAACGGCACTTCTCTTCCCTTGATTACTGATGACCCCACCGAGGCCACTGACGCCCACTCCTGGAAGGTCATTGACAACAGCATCTCTGCCGATGCTGACACCACCCCCTTCCCATGGGTCCTCAGTGGCTCTCCGGAGAATGTCGTCAAGGCCCGTGCCGCAATTGAGAAGGCTATTGCCTCTGCTTCTCAACAGTCTGCTACTGGTTACCTGATCTTGCCGGATCCTAAGACCTACCGTTTCGTTGTTGGCCAGGGCGGTAGCCAGATCAACGCGATCCGGAAGAAGACCGGCTGCCGTATCAATGTGCCTAAGGACCAGGCACGTGGTGAGGCCATTGAGGTCCGTGGCAGCTCGGCAGGTCTGGAAGAAGCCAAGGACATGATTTTGGAGGCCGTGCAGAATGGCCTGAACGGCTCTGCTCGTTGATACTTTTTTGGTCTGAATTCTTGGGAGATTCTTTGTTCAAGGCATGCACGACAGAACATATTGAACTCGAGCATATAAACCATTCTCTCCAGCGTCGGAGCAGGGCATTCTTGTGTTTATTCTTGGTTTAATCCTTTTTTTTCTTTATTTACCATGGCATTTTCATGTATTTCCTTTTATTTCAAAAGAATGATTCTCTTCTCCGTTCATGTTCAAGGTAGCTCTGGAGGAAAGCGTTGTCTAAAACTCAATCAGCCACAACATAATTGAAACGCATTGATCCCGAAGAAATAAACTAACGGTAATTAAACATTAACGCCACATGTACTCCATGTGGCTTATTCGGCCACTGTGACCTGCGATAATCCTTTCCTTGAACAGCCACCGCCATCATCATCCACGTAAACAATGACATCATCATATAGGCCACAGGTGCATGACAGTATAAGAATATCGTGCATGAATTTAGATGTTTGAGATCTCCCCCAGTCATATCTCTCTTCTGCCAAATAACTATCATCGTCCTGACTCTCTAAACGCTTCCTCTTGAACACAACTCCTCCCAGCTGGGCAGATCTACCTACTCTAAAACCAAACAATAAATCCCAGCCAATATGCCTCTCAGCAATTCCCAAGACAGCGGCTTAACAGGCGCCGCCAAATTCACTACCTCGACGGTTGGAAACTTAGTCGGCGGAGTGAGTCGCACAGTGGGCGGCGTCACTGGTGCTGCGACGCGCGGAGTGGGCGATACCATCACCAGTGCTACAGGAAGTGCAGGCAAGCCCATTGGTGATGCACTGAGCAGTGTAGGAACAGGAGTGGAAGACGGAGCAAAGAGAGTCGCAAAGGGAGTCGAGGATGCTGGGCAATGGAAATAATCGAGGGCGATATCTCTGCATTCCAATATTACTTAATCTCGCATATATATTAATGAAATAGGATTCCCATGTCTCCATTATGCCATCTCTATTCTATCGATCTATTGAATCTATACTATAATGATGTATCTTCCAGTCATAACCCCATTACCTATACAAAGTTTGGACCCAAAAAACACGCCCAAATCAAATATTCACAAGGAACGCCTTCCGATCTACCTGCAAACCCAAAGCCATGAACGCGCCAAAGCTTCCACATGTCATAAATACCGGTCCCCAAAAGGCCGGAACAAATTTTCCCACGAGAAGATACCGTCTCATGGACCAGTATCGAAAGAACCCATAGCCCAGCGACCACACACCAAGTACCTGGCATAGTCTCGCCGGCGAAACGCCACCCATAAGATGACTGGACATATGTTGCCCTGTTTGAGAAGCCGCAGAGCGAGCCTCTGAACTTTGATTTTGATTCTGACTTTGATTTTGAACCTGGCCCTGGCCCTGGTTTCTCTGGTTCGCAGCCATCTCTTCCAGTTGCGCCGGGATAGAGGAAGCAAGAGGCCCCAGATTAAATTTAGAGCAGAGGACCCGGTCAATAGCCTCTAGTCGATCCAAGGCCAGTGCCATAGCTGCGAAGCCGAGGCCGGCGCGCGTCCACGAGAGAAAGGTACGCTCGTTGGCATGGTGGTCGCGCTGTTGGGAGCCTGTGTTCGCGACTCGCGCGGGAATAAAACGGCGGAGAACGGAGGCGACCATCCCCGTTTAATCGGATTTAGGTGTTTGGAAGTGGAAATGAGGTATGCCTTTTATAGATGAAGTCTTGGAAGTAGATTTTTCGATGTAGATGAGATCAAGGCCTAGGGATCGGAGCATTTCGGGGATCTTTCACGTGAGACAATTGCACTATTTGGATTTATTGATGCCTGTATCTGGTATTGCTTCTCTTGCGTACTTCTGAACTACACGTTATCATAAGGATTTTTCAAACTGAAACATGTAATGCGGCTGAATTTTGCTTTGTATTATCTTGTTCAATAATTTTGTCGAACGGTAGACTAAGCAGCGACTAAGCAGCCTCGGCTGTAACGCTGCAGTGTTTAAGGCATTGGGTGTTCCTCTCTCCTATTGGCCAACCTGGACCCACCGTCCTGCACTATCCCCATGATCTGGACTCTTTTGATCTAAAAATCACAGATCTATAAGAATTTGTTACTTCCTGTCTGTTCATCTCTCGCTACACATGATGCTTGTATCAAAAAAGATGCCTGTTGCTGACGGCTTTGGACGTAAAGCATTGATTCGGACGAGAAGCCAGCGCTCGGGCGAGAAGGGGCTTACTCGGGCGAGAGAGGATTGCATCATATGAGTTGTATGTGTATTACCATCACGATACTGACGCAGCATTCGGCGATCGAGATAAAGTAGAATCTACCTTGAGTACAGAATTCTTAAGCTTCTGTGTGCTCAAATGGTGTGACATATAAGAGAGAATACTGCAATAGCGATAACACTGAATAACGGTGGATAGTACAATTGGAGGAACGTATGTGGATTCTATTTCTAACATTGGAAGAGTACATAGAGGATCCCAGTCGGCCTTTACCATTCCAATCCATTCAACTTCAATGGCAAATGAAGCATTCTGTACCCCGAACTCATAGGTCTCGGAAGATGGCCGGCTCGAATATTCACTTGCAGAGACTGGTGAAGAAGCCTCGGCGCATTTAACTTAGCATCACGTTCCGTCCGCAACGTCACAAACTCCTTCTCCGAAACTACATCTCCAACATGCTTGTTTTGTCTCCTGTGGTCAGCCACGCTCATCCATGGAATGGGAGAATCTCGTCCCTCCGGCGGGTAATCATGGCCAGGCCAGATCTTGACATGGTCATCGAGAGCCAGTAGCTTGCGACTTGATTCGTAGAGATCTTTTGCGTCTCCGCCTGGGAAGTCGCAGCGTGCTGTGCCAATGTCGACATGGAAAAGGGAGTCACCGCAGAATACATTATCTACTTGGAGTTAGTAACGGTATCTAGATGGGTGAGGGGTGGGTTATCGTACCTCCGATTTGATACCCTAAATGATCTGGTGTATGGCCGGGAAGATGAACAGCTTTGGCTGTCAGATCACCAATTTGGAAGGACTCGTCATCTTCGAATAGCTTATCAAAGGCAGTCCTGTACTCCTCGCTCTGGATTCCATAGCGTTGACCAAATAGCTTTTGTACTTGCTCAATGCGCTTGCCGATACCGACGGGCGGCTTGTATCCTTGTGTTTGGAAGAGCTGTTTTTGAAGGTATGATGCGGCAGTCAAGTGATCTGCATGAGCATGCGTCTCCAGAATTCTTTCAATTTTATAGCCCTTTTCTTTGATTAAAGAGAGCAAGGCATCGGCGGAGTCTGTAGTGATTTCCTGGGTGACAGGGTTATAATCCAAAACTGGGTCGATTATGGCCGCAGACCGCGTTGATGGGTCCGAGACTATGTATTGCCATGTCCCTGTAACATTTTCGAATACGGGGTGGATTGTAGGTTCCTTCGTAGCAGCGGTGCCGTAACTTGCTCGACCATTTGACACGCCTAGAAGGGTAGATGTAGGACGACGTAATGAGTTATAATGGGTACGTCTTGTGGACTTAAGATTTGTCTTTGGGAGTCCTCTGGTGGAGTATCCCTTGGTCTTGTTTGACTCCAGATCTATTAGGCTCTGAACCCGATGGCGAGGCAAGAAAGGGATGGTGGCTGACATCCAAGGTCGAGCCCCTGCCGATAAGCTATCGCAGGGGGGTTTAAATCGAAAGGACCTCATAATGCGATTCATTTGAAGCTCAGGATTTGTTAGAAAGCGGTTTTGGGCTTAGAAGTGCGAGATGTTTGAAGCATTTAGTTTTAAGTTGGATGCTCGGGCTCTTGTGGTCGCCGATCGCCACCCGGTCGCCGATTGATATATTGCACCTCGGTGAACAGCTCGGTCATACTTAGTTGTTGCAAGCAAGTTTGTTATTAAGGTGATGTCAGACAGGTGTCGGTATGGCCGATTTGATCTTTAAGCGATCAATCCTATGATTGCGAGGTGGCATACTGAGCATTGGAATACATTGCGACTAGATGTCTCTGGGAAGGACCTATATCTATGTTGGTGTCATTCTTTGATGCAATATTACATATCAATGTGCGAGACTATCTAGCATTCTATCAATCGACATATGCTGTTTTCATTCTAACACTCCAGCCAACAAAATCCTTAGATTGAACAGAAGCTTCCATGGTTGGGATACATACAGTCGTCACGACCTCAGGTGGTCGTTTTTCTCACGGGGAGTTGATTTTGCTTAATCGCCGAGCTGTCTATATGAAACTAGAAATGCCAATTTTAGGAGCTGCTTCCGGGACTACTCAGGGTACTAGGTACCTGAAGTATACAATACCATGGATCTATGGACGAAGTATAAAAACCGGGGTGTATGAGACAGTAAAGTTACCGATGATCACCTCATCGCCCGAGACCAGCGTCCTCCATTCCTCACGCAATCTTCCCTTCTTCTTCCTTCTTTATTTAATGGAACCGGCCCCTGTTTTTGAAATTTAATTGCCTTCACTTTGAGCCTATAAAAATGTTCCACCGTCACTTAACAACCGCTGCTCGTGCGGCCTCTCGCACGCAGGCCGTGCCAAGCTTCCGAAATTTCGCAACTGCCGCCCCGGTTTCGGGCACCCGCAACCACAAGGTCGTCGTGGTAGGTGGTGGTTCCGCAGGTGTGAATATCAGCCATCAGCTCCTGCAATCCGACAAGTTCGCAGCTGAGGACATCGCCGTCATTGACCCCGCCGAATGGCACCACTACCAACCCGGCTGGACCCTCGTCGGCGGCGGCCTCAAGACTACGGAAGAGCTTCGCCGTCCGATGAAGAGTCTCTTCGACCCTAAGCTCAAGTTCTATAATGATAGCGTCGCGACCTTCGCCCCAGAAAACAACTTCGTCACCCTCTCCAACGGCGACAAGATTGGTTATGACCAATTGATCGTCGCTCCCGGTCTCACTGTCTCCCCCGCCAACATCAAAGGTCTCCCCGAAGCCCTCGCCAACCGCGATGCCCCCGTCTCCTCTATCTACACCTATGACTCTGTCAACAAGGTTTTCCCCTCCATCAAGAACCTGGAGAAGGGTACCGCCATCTTCACTCAACCCGCCGGCGTCATCAAGTGCGCCGGTGCCCCGCAGAAGATCATGTGGCTCGCCTTGGACTACTGGAAGCGCGCCGGTCTCTACAACCCCAGCAACCCCTCCGGCTCGGCTATTAACATTAACTTCGCAACTGGTCTGCCGGTTATGTTCGGCGTGCCCAAGTACAATGCCGCCCTCACCAAGATGCAGCAGGAGCGCGGCGTCAACGCGCTCTTCCAACACGACCTGGTCGAAATCGACGGCAACAACGCCATCTTCGCCCGCCCCGACGGCACAGAGACCGTGACCAAGCATTTCGATCTCCTGCACGTTACGCCAAAGATGGGATCCCCTGCTTTCATTAAGAACTCTCCCCTCGCGAACGAGGCAGGCTTCGTTGATGTCGACGACGCCACGACCCGTCACAAGAAGTTCGCGAACGTCTGGTCCGCTGGTGATGCGTCCAGCTTGCCCACCTCTAAGACTGCTGCCGCTGTGACCGCACAGTCTCCGGTTGTTGTGCGGAACTTGCTCAATGCCATGGAAGGCAAGCAGCCTGATGCCGTCTACGACGGATACACATCTTGCCCGCTGCTGACCGAGTACGGAAAGGTGCTCCTGGCTGAGTTCAAGTACGGCCCTGAGCCCAAGGAGACCTTTGGCGAATGGTTCGGTATTGACCAGGCTACGCCGCGCCGCTCGTTCTACCACTTGAAGAAGGACTTCTTCCCGTGGGTGTACTTCACACACATGGTGAAGGGTAACTGGGCTGGTCCTAAGGGATGGATTAACTAGATCATCTATTTGGTTAGATGTAGCGATAATGTACTATAAAAGAGTTGAGTTAATAGACCGAATTTTTCAAATTTGCGATCAATCGAAATCATACAGATTAATAAAGCGGATCCCATCTAGAATCAAGTGATAGGAGATAACGGGGCACGAAAGCCAATGTCAACGGGCCGATGTATAGAAGCCCAAGGAACACCACTCTCCGCACCGGATCCACACGGCGAACATTACCCCCACGAGAAGGGATTAGGCGCCCAAAAGAGCAAAGAATCCCCGATTTACGAGCGGGGGTTACCCCAAACCGGTACTTTTCGGCGCTCCTTCAAGGTGAACGGAAAACTTACTCGATCTCGGAAATCGAGATTCCGAGGTTCGCAGCTCCACATTCCAAAGATCCACAACGGGGCCATATCAGACACTTGCAAGTAATTTATAGAAGTAGATCCGAGAAAGAAAGCAAGAATTAGAAAACGATCTAACAATAAGAAATCATAATGATAAAACCCTTAAGACCCGAACATTGCAAATGATATCACACCTCGCAGCGCAACCGCAACTGCGGCCAAAATAGTATCTTTTAATCTAACTCCCGAGATCTCAGATCCCTGATTATGTATAATCAAAGGTTTCTTGCAAGTTCTCCGCACACAGAGTATCCACACAGATAGTGGCACATGCTAAAACACCCCTCATCCCCTTAATTCGCTTACTGCTGCTGCTTCTGGGCCTCCAGGTAGTTGTAGGCACCGTAGGCAATGGCACCACCAATGAGGATGAAGGCGTAGAGGCCGACACCGAAGCCACCGGAAGAGGAAGAGGAAGATGAAGAGGCGGAGGAGGCGGCAGCGTTGGCCTTGGGCTCAGGGTCACCGGGCTGTGTAGATTGATTAGCCGTTGATCTACAGCTTAAGAATGGGAAGGGTGGAAGAGAAGGGGGTTCGGTAGGTAATAGATCAAGTAGGAGAGGATAAAGTTGTTAAACGTACCATGCGCTTCACGTTGCCGACAAGCAGGCCGTCGAGGATCTCGCGAGCCTCATCGGAGTGACCAACATCCTCGAAGGCCTCAGTGCCATCCTGGCCACCGACATCCAGAAGGACTTCCTCACCACCACTATCAAGTAAAGTTAGCCATGGCTCTATCTTGGACAGCGAAATAGTGGGGAGTCATGGCGGTGGGGGGTTCGGGCGGGCCGAAGGGTTTGCGATAGGGGTATGAAGTCCCGCGATCACGGAACCGTCAACCGTCACCAGAGACTCCAGACCATACGGAAGAAGGGGAAGGGAGTTCTATAGGGCGAAAACGTACGGGTGCTCGTCGACGAAGCTGGAGCAGTCGTAGACCTTGTCGTGGATGACCATGTAGAGGTCCTTCTTGGTGTTGTGGGCCTCAACCTCCTTGAGGGTAAATTCCTTGGTCTCAGACATGATGGCTGGTGAAGAGTCTAGGATAGTACGATCGCACGAGGTTAGTTTGAATTTTGGTATAGGCGAACCTGAGAATGAAGTGGGTAGAGTAGAATCGACAGGAGATTGTTTTTTTTTCTTCTGCGGAGAATGAAAAGGGGAATGGAGAGGGGAACGGGCCCCAGAAAAACTCACATAAGAAAACGGGTGGAGTAGAGAAAGAGAGCGCTGGGAAAGAGATATGTGCAAGGAAAAGCGAGAAAGTCAAAGAAAGCCGCGGATTCACAAGAGGAGAAGAGGAGACACAGATTATCATGTACCTGGGACGTGCGCCTAGGCGGTCTCTCCGCGGTGTGGGCCCTGGATGATTACCATGCCGTAGCTAACTCCCGACTTTGGCCACTGCTTTTCCACAGTTGGGGTCTCCTAAGGCTATGCGTGGCTTACGGCTACTAAAAGGGCTTCTGGTTAAATCTTGCCCGGGAATTTCACTCTTCTTGCAGATTTGTAGACTACGGAAAGCCGGGGATTCGTTGTAATCCGACGGGGGAAAGTGTGGGCGAATCAGCGGCTGCTTATTAGAGCCTCGGTGTATATGAAGGATCGTGATGATCTGGCCAGATACACATCAAATAATTATGCACTTACAATTACGCGGAATCATACGACTTCTGGCCCGAGTATTCGAACTGCAAATGAAAAGGGCCCGACCCCAACTGCCTGCATAACCGTACCCTCGGTTGTGCAGTCACGGATAAGGCCCACGGCTTCCGCGGCTGACGGAAGAAGTCCCGCCGATCATCTTTATCCTTATTTTCATCTGATTACCCTTGAACATCTTTGGGGTATACATGATGCGCCTTATATACCCATGGCGAATCCACGCCTCTATATCATGGCTAATCGTGACATGCATGGAGTGAAAATAAAAAGACACCAAAAAAAAAAAAAAAAAAAAAAAAAAAGAAAAAACCAAAAATAATGAAGCTCGAACGAAAACAAATGCGCTCATTTCGCTGGAACTCGCTCATAAAACACTATGTATGCTTGCTCATTCTGTAATCGATCGCGGGCCCGTAAGTCGCGTGGGTTAAATTCACCCACTCGGTCGTCGTCAAACCGCCGCCAGGACTGACGCTCAGCATCCCGGACAAGCGAGATGTAGTGACCACTACCCATGGATGATCCAATATGACGTAGCACGCCAAAGGCGTCGTAGTTAAAGGGGGGAGTTGTGGCGTCCAAGGCTGGGGCCGAAGAGTCAGGGCCTGGGACCACAAAGTCGTCCATTCGTAGCCCGTGCAGGGGAAACTCGATCGGTGTGTGGATCTTCCGCGCGCTCTGCGTCTTGGATGCGGAGAAGCGCTTGAAATGGACTACTAAGATCTTTGGTGCGCGGGTGATGATGATCTGCTTGGTGGCCATGCGCTTACATTTGCAGTGCGGGCACTTCCATACCTCATCCCCGCTGAGCATTTCCTCTTTACAGTAACTACGCAGGCATTGGTAGATGTCGCCCGTGCCAGTGACGGGGATCTCCACGCTGATGCTGTAAAAAGCCTCATAGGTGGTGGATGTCTGGTGACAGGTCGTGCAGCGAAGTCGACTAGCATGTTGTCCGGCAAAGAGGGACGAGATAAATGATTCCTCCCGGTGGCAATATCGTACCCATTCAATCTGCGAAACCTTTGGGACTGGCATCCGTTCGCGCTGCATCTCTTCAGAAGGAGTCAAGGGTCGGAGCTGATTGCGTTGCCAATTAATATTCAGGTCTTCGTGAAGACAGTCCACCAAGAAATCGAAGAACTCCTTGGCATCCTGCTGCCGATCAATGACCCATTCCCGGTTCAATCGACCGCAGAAGTTGCGAAAGGAAGTCGGCATGATCACTTCCACGTCATCCTTCCATAAAGATCGGATGAGGTTGGCATAAAGCCCAGGCATCACACCCTGAGACCCTTTCCAGTTCTTCTGTACATAATATCGGAACCGATCGTCGATGAAAAACTTGCTCATCATCACCGTTGCACTCAGACACTGGATTGTCGAGTTCATGTAGCAGGTGACTCCGAAATTGTGAAGACCAGTTCGAGGAAGCTTGCGACTCCGAAGAGAGCTAGATGTGTACAACGCCGTTCGATTGGCTGAGTTCTGCCGTTCCATATGGGGTTGCGCTTGTCGTCCATCGGTAACTCCACTGTAGCTGGGTCGAGGAACTGCAGGAGCCGGGCGCGATGGAGCTACGGGAACGGGAGCTGGTGCAGCATAGTTGGGGACAGGCATGACAGCTGGCCGGGAATCCGCGTGCATCATAGACTGCTGAGCATGTGGTTCAGGAAAGCGACGCAGAAAATCCTCATAATTATGGACAAATGGGGTTGAGGGCTGTTCCAACTCTTCCTGGGGCTCGTCAGTGAATTGCTCGTCCTCGAGGTATGTGCTCGTGTCGATTTCTTCTTTCTTTGATCTTTCCAACCACGCTGTCAACTCCTCGGAGTTTAGAGGAGTGAATTCTCGAAGTCTTCTCTTGCGGACTTCCAAGCTTGAATTAGCACTGGCCATCGTTGGAACTCGACCCAATGGCCGACCTGGCTTCGGGACAGGCTTCTTGGTCTGGAGTGACCCCATTATGGCAGCAGTGGAAGATGTCGCGAGAGACTGTTGTCCGAGTAGATCGATCCACGCGTCTAAGCCACCAAGCAGAAGCGCAGGAGGACGACCCCCCTTCAGGGGCTTGTATGCATTGAATTCATAAAGAGTATCATGTAGAGCTCTCAAATGGGGTGCAGATGTTCCGACGGGTGAACCTGCAAGATAGCTGACTGACGATGTGTTTTGGTCATGGTATACAACAAGGTCAAATTCGTTTCGTCGCTCGAATAATGCTTGCTCATGCTCTGGGGACACTACAAGGCGCTCCTCAAGCTCTTCTGCAGAAACATTTTCCTTCAAAGCCACCGGTTCAATGCAGATGATGGATTTGGCATAGATGTGTCCATTGTCAAACTGGTCTCGGGAACGAACGTCGATCACAAGTACATTGAATTTCCTCAAATATTCAAGAAGATCCTGGGCTGAAATTGCCGAATTGACGGGCAACTCGGGGGAATCACTTCGGGTTTCTCGTGCAGAGTTGACGCCATTGGGGGTCAGTGACCGGTACGGGTTATCGGGAGGGCCTCGGCTTGGGCTACCATGTGGGGAATTAGACAAATGGGAGTATCTTTGGGTGATTGGTCGCACACTTTCGGTAGATGTTCTTGGTGGATTTGGCGGGGGCTGCGTAGGCACAGTGTAAATTGGGCTATACGCGGGATCGGGTGCACGTGGTAGAGATGTCGCCAAAGGGAGTTTGGGGGGATGGTTGGGAACCGCTGGGGATGGCCCCATACTGCGAGGTCCCAAAGGTCGTCTGGGCGGTGATCCATAAGCGGACACATGACTGCTTAGCGGAGTGTTGGAGGTAAGGGTGGGAACCTGGCCTGCAGGTATGGGTGGAGAGCGTGTGTTTGCGCCAGGCTCGTTTTCACGATTTTGGAAGGGCTTGAGCCTTGCAAAGCGTTGTGCAAGTATGTCTTCAGCAGGCGTTGAGTTTCGTTTTGGACTGGCCTGGGGATCAGGCATTCGCTGGAACTGTGTTGGGCTCGGCATCCTCATAGAGTGGGTTGCCGCTTCGCGGTTCTCACGATCCCGAGGAGTGATAGAGCTTTGTTCATGCCCAGAGGATGCTGATGCATATAATCCCATGGGTTGTATGTTGCTTTTCAAATTGTCCTCGATAATGTCCTGTTTGATCGCATCCATCGTTCCTTGCTTGGTTCGCACCGCCTAAAGTTTCCCAAGTGTTGCGTCAGTTTTATCTGCTAAAGCGTATATGACCAAATGAATTGAAAAATTTCTAAGAGCATACCATCATCAATGCCGCAAACTCCTTGTACCATCCGGGGCGCTGAGTGATCGCTGTCTTGTAGTTCGGATGGTGGGGGATGACGTTGATGGTGATCTCCGAAGCGCGGAGGTACTGCACATATGCCTTGTCGGACTTGTCGTCGTCTGCAAGATCCCTGGCTTTCCTGATTGCCTCAGATGCTGTACTGAGGAGAGTGTCGAGCTGTGTCTAAGTGAGCAGTTGGTCCTGTGGCGACCTTGGGGGGCGTTATAGACTGACCGAGGTATCCTCGTTTACATTCAATAGAGCAGCCTGATCCTGCAGGTCCTTGATGTTCGGAAACCGGGGTCGTGTTGCTGGGGAGCCACTCTGGAAAGATCTCCGTCTGGTGACCGGGTCGGCGGAATGCATGTTGCCCCCCACCGAGTAAGGACGTCTGTCCTTCCACGGTGGTATGTTCGGTGGAGATGGTAACGCCGCTGCATCGGGGGGCATGGTCGAGGCAGCGAAGGGGTGTAGGGTTTAGCGCATGATTCTAGGCAAAAATCTATTCAAGGCACCAGGAATCCCAAGAGCGAGAGGCAGAAAGAAACAAAGGGAGGCCGGATAATAGGTAGAAGTTCAAGCCGATTCCAGGAACAAAAGCGGGTCTGGGGTGACAATACCATTCACCGCCCCCGCCGCCTATGACGCCAGGAGATGCTTAGTCAACGGCGGGCAGCCTAGGAGCTTCATCTCATCCTGGATTACCCAACACTACCAACTGACACACCCTTGTTGGTTCAATAGACTGTGCACACTTGCTGTGTATCGGCTCAGCCTTCAATCATGGCAGGCTGGTTCTCTTCTTCATCCCCGCTCGATGAGCAGATCGAGCGGGCAACCGCCTCCTCACTGTACGTGTTCCTTATCATTACCTTCTGCCTAAACAGGCGTCGATCGCCTACCTCGAATGCTCGTATGGCCTTCAATATCTTTTCAACTGATGAGTTCTATAGTGAGGATATTGCTCTTAACCTGGAAATTACAGACATGGTCCGGTCAAAAAGTGTTCAGCCCAAAGACGCTATGAGATCCTTGAAACGTCGACTGGAGAACCGGAACCCGAACATCCAGTTAGCAACACTGAAGGTTGGTTGAAAGTCGAGCACTCTGTGCATAGAAGATATTAACGAAACGTCCGTCATTAGTTGACTGATACTTGTGTCAAAAATGGCGGCACCCATTTCCTAGCCGAGATCGCATCCCGTGAATTTATGGACAACCTGGTATCACTACTCAAGGCAGAAGGGGCCCCCTTGAACCCCGATGTTCAGCGCAAAGTTCTGGAGCTGATCCAGAATTGGGCCATGGCAGCCCAGGGTCGCATGGATTTGATGTACTTGGGGGAGACATATCGCAAACTACAAAACGAGGGATTTCAATTCCCGCCAAAGACGGAGATGAGCGGTAGCATGTTGGAAAGCAATGCCGTAAGTTTCAATGCAGTGTTGGTTTGGTTCATAGGATGCTAATGTCTTCCATCAGCCACCGGAGTGGATAGATTCAGATGTCTGTATGCGGTGCAGGACCGCCTTTAGCTTTATGAACCGCAAGCACCATTGTCGGAACTGTGGAAATGTTTTCGATGCACAATGCTCCAGCAAGACTCTCCCATTACCACACCTTGGGATTTTGCAGCCTGTTCGCGTTGACGACGGCTGCTACGCTAAATTGACTTCGAAGCCCTTCCCGCCATCGGGGCTTTCAGATCGATCTGCTTTCAAAAACCACTCTATAACGAAGTCTAGCTCCATGGAGCCCCGTGGTGCCAAAGCAGATACGAGCTTTGATGATGATCTTCGTCGTGCGCTGGAAATGAGTCTCGAGGAAGCGGAAGGGCGAGGGCCGTCGGGATTTGTGCCTCAGACAGGCAATGCGCCTGAACCAGCAAAGACTACACCGGGACCTACCAACATCGAGGAGGAAGATGCCGATCTGAAGGCGGCAATTGAAGCATCAATGCGGGACATGGAACAGCACAAACAGAACCATGCGGCCGCGTTGAAGAACAATGCGCCACCGAACAATACATTCCGCGATTCATCAAGCACGCCCACTCCACTCCCCAAGAACCCGTACGAGCTTACTCCGGTCGAGGCAGAGAATATTCATCTTTTTTCCACTCTGGTTGATCGACTGCAACATCAACCGCCGGGTACGATCCTCCGCGAACCTCAGATCCAGGAGCTTTATGAAAGCATAGGCGCACTTCGTCCCAAATTAGCTCGGAGCTATGGAGAGACTATGAGCAAACACGGTATGTTGACGTTGCAGTGGTCTGGATTGGCATTTAGACTAATTTCCTTTAGATACACTCCTTGACCTCCACGCGAAGCTCTCAACTGTTGTTCGATATTACGATCGAATGCTGGAAGAGAGACTGACTAGTACCTATTCTCAACCAAACTACGGGTATGGAGCACCCTCTGGCATGCCTCAGTACCCAAACATGCATGGGATGTCTGCCTACCCAGCCGATGCAAAGTCGGGAGTGGAAAACTTTTACTATGGAAATGCTGCTGAACCGTCTCACCCCTCGACCGCTGGTTATGCGCCAACGCAGATCAATAGCGGGGCGTATGACGCACCTCCCAGTGGTATTACAAGCCCTGTGTACCCAGCACAGGGTCAACGTGGATCTGCTGTGAACGAGTCACATACCGCTGCCTGGAGTCATAATGCATATCCCTCTTTAGGGTCGCCCCCGCCTCCCAGTGGCATTATGCCTAGCAATCATGTTACTCCTGGTACTACTGGGCCACAACAATATTACGCAGCAGCACCTGATCAAGATCAGAACACAGCACAGTTTTCAGATGCGCCCTACCAGCCATCTCCCATCATGCGTCGAGATTCGCAATACCAGCCCTGTGCACCTGGAGCTCCGACACCTAGTGCGCCAGAGCCGCACTCCCCCGACCATGCGCATACACCTCAATATTCTACCATGGCCCCTCCACTGCACCAGCAACATACAGGTCCTTCACCTCAATCATACTATTATCAGCCGCAGCAGCCTGGTACGGTGCCTCCTGGATACCCACCGATGGCCACTGGCCAACCGGGACAATATCCGGACGCCGGACAACAACTCCCCGCATCCCACCAACCCGCACGACCAGTGGAGGAGAGCTTGATTGAGCTGTAGCGTACCTCTAACATATGTTTTCTTTTCCTGGCGTTCATTTCCTGTATACCAGATGATACCTAAAGACTCGTTTTTATTTTCTATTGTCTCTTGAGCAAATTGTAAAGTCCAATTGTAGCTGCCAGAGTTGCACTGTGAACTCCACACTTGATCTTCAATACGGTAATATTACCCGCACCCAAATCGCCGGAGACAGCCAACGACTTCACTTCCTTCCTTTCCTTCCATTCCCCTCCGACTTTCTTCTCTCACCCCGGTAAAATTTAAATCAACACTTCACACTTTCATCCGCGCTTGACTGGCTTCGAGCGCGGCGGTGTAGAAACTGCTTGCATTTCGACTGCTCCCAGCCTCGTTGCTTTTTTTCTCGCCTGCACGCCCATCTGCCGTGATACCTACTCATTGCCTCGGCCAATCCCCTTCGATGCCCCGTGTACACAGCTGATTACCCGCCTCCCCTGGTGCTTTCTTTTGCCGCAATGCCCACCAGCACCTCCTCCCCCGTCAAACGCCCCGGCCTCGGCCGCCGCGCCGTTTCCTCGCATGCAGTTGTCACGCGGTCCAACTCCAATAGTGAGCTGTCAGAGTCGCAGAGCTCCAAGGCCCCCATCCATAAAGCCCACCGCACCCATGTCGTCGGTGGTGGTCGCAACCATCACCGTAACCCGTCTATTGGGAAGAACATAAATAAGCTGCAACGATTTCAGCTGGGCCCTGAAACTAGCGGTCGTCATCATCAACGGAAGAAATCCGCCCCCGCAACCCCTATCGCCAGCCCCAAGGAGCGCAGTCACGTACGCTGGGACGGGGTTGTGGACGATCATCCCAAGAACCCTTCGATGAAAAGAAATAACTCCACTCCGGTCCTCCGACGAAATAACTCTGGTTTCGGCAAGAAAGCTCTGGTTACGGATCGGCCTCAGTCGAGCACCGGGAAGAAGAAGTCGGTCGGGTTCGAGCTGGGCGACGATGAGAACGACGACGCTGAATGGGAGGATACCACGCAATCACCCGAAAGTACGAGACGCAACTCGGTTGTCCCGTCCAACCATAGTGCCGAGAATCCCCAAGTCTTGGTTGACCCCCTTACCTTTGTGAAGCGCCCATATCCACAGGTGCCTCGCGCCACGAGTCTTCCGGATTCTATTACGAACCGATACCTGAGAGAGCAGGCTGACGACGAGGAAGAGCGTCAGGAGGAGGAGCGTCAGCAGAACGACGACACCGAAGAGGACCCCCAGTCGACCGAACACGGCGACATTGCTAGCCGCCTTCTTAGCCCCTCTCACTCCGCGAGAGCTCCTCCAGCCATGTCTTCTATTTCTGCGATGGCTAAGCCGACAGACTCCGCGTCGCGCAATGCTTCTTCTATTAATCTTGCTGCTGAGGGTGCCCGCCGCAATTTCTCTTCCTCCACCATTGGACTGGGTAGCATGCCCAGTGGGAACCAAGCTACAGCTACTTCTTCCTCAATGGAAGGTGGCGTCTCTCGATTCATTCCAAGCAACAAAACTAGCTTTCACGCATCATCACGGACTGACTCAGACCCCAATACCCCGTCTTCATTCCTTCCACATTACCATCCGCAAACACCACCCTCCCCCAACCGGGGATCAGGGAAGTCCACTGCTTCCCCGGCACCTAACCGAGGTGCTGATCTGTCGCGAACGCAACAGAAGCTTTGGCTCCAACGCACCGCCGCTTTGAATAATTCGCCACCCGACTCACATAGTGTTTCTACGACGGGGCCTCCGTCAAACATTGACCCCAATTTTATGGCAGCAGGTCACACTCGTCCTGTCGGTGGTCCGTATGATCCTAGCAGAGCTATGAACGGTAACGGTCGTGTAGGAGCTCCCGGGCAGGACACCGAAGCACGCCACATTCGAAAGGCATATGAAAAGTCCTCTCTCGAATTGACCGTGGTAAGACGATTCCAGTCACCGACAGGTGATAGCTTCAATCGACTTCGTGCGGTGGCCCGAGCATCCCAAGCTCTCACCAGTGCGGATCGTGGATCGGCTCTAGGCAAACCAGTAAAATCTGCCCCATCATTGCCCCTTCTGCAGCACGGAAGACAGCCTAGCCGACTCGCGTCAAGCTCAGAGTCACGATCTCAGTTGCCTGATCCCCACTCCTCGGCATCCGAAGATCACACGAGCCAGGGTGAACCCACTGACACCATACAGGGGGCTAGATCCAAACATCCCTCGCAGCGGATCTTGTCTAGTTCTGACGAGGCCTCACATAATCTCCCCGGTGACCACGACGATGACTACCCAGCCGTTGACGAGACTGGCATGATGATCCGTCGCATGTGGGAAAGTCGAGAAGTGGCCACCTCGGGTTAATGACCATTTCTGCATAATTATCCTTTTACGTTGATGAGCTCCTTGCAATTTTTTTGGCGCTGGCGGCATGTTTTTGTTTTCTTCTTTCCCAATCAGATTGAAGAATGTTCTATTTCTGGTTTTATGAAGCAGATGTCAGTGTGCATAGCTCCATTTCTGTATTTTTCATTAGATGAAATACTAATGATTCTATTGGTCTCGGGTACATAGTGTTCCGGGGGATCTTCCGTGGCCTGACACCACATTCCCCAGTCCCGAGCCTGTTTGCCCTAATGATGATTAATGCTTATTCCCAAGCTCCTGATTTGACCTTTGCTTGTACTTATTGACCTATACTCCTTCTCTCCATGAATACTGGCCAACTTTGAACATTATGGAGTTCCTTGTTCAGCTGGTCACTAGCCAAATCCTACGCATCACTTGCTATGTGATTGCCATCACCTTCATCTCGGTGTTCGTCAACATAGTCCATCAACAATTCTTCTATCGCCGCAATGAGCCCCCAGTCGTGTTCCATTGGTTTCCTATTGTCGGAAGTACGGTGCGCTACGGAATGGACCCTTATAAGTTCTTCTTCGAGTGTCGGGAAAAGGTATGTGTACTTGCTTGACAGAGATCGAAGTTTGGTCTCACGGACTCACTGAAACGCTAGCACGGCGATATTTTCACATTTATCCTCCTGGGAAAGAAAATTACTGTTTATCTAGGCATAGAGGGAAATGAGTTCATTCTCAATGGGAAGCTGAAAGATGTCAACGCGGAAGAAGTATATGGCAAGTTGACCACGCCAGTCTTTGGATCGGATGTGGTGTACGACTGCCCAAATTCGAAATTGATGGAGCAGAAGAAGGTATGAGATTTCTATCTGCTCAGTTGATAATCTTACTTCAATGATCCGATTCTGACTTGCATTGTGCTCCCTATAGTTCGTCAAATTCGGTCTCAGCCAAGAAGCCCTAGAGGCATACGTGCCCCTAATCGAGCAAGAGGTCGAGCAATACATCAAAATGTCCAGCAGGTTCAAGGACCCCTCAGGCATCATTGATCTCGGTGCTGCAATGGCCGAGATAACCATTTTCACAGCGGGTCGCACGCTGCAAGGTGACGAAGTCCGCGCAAAGTTGACGTCGGAATTCGCCGACCTCTACCACGACCTCGATCTCGGCTTCTCTCCTATCAACTTCATGCTTCCTTGGGCACCACTACCACATAACCGCAAGCGAGACGCAGCGCATTCCCGCATGCGCGAAATCTACTTTGACATCATCAATGAGCGTCGTCAGCAAGCCGCGACTAACACCGACAAAGGACCACAGGCTAAAGATATGATCTGGCACCTTATGGGCTGCGTTTATAGAGATGGAACCCCGATTCCAGATAAAGAGATCGCGCATATGATGATCACATTGTTGATGGCAGGCCAACACTCTTCGTCCGCTATCAGCTGCTGGATTTTGCTACGGTTGGCATCGGAACCCGAGATGACAGAGAAACTTTACGCTGAGCAGATCAATGCCCTGGGATCTTCTAATTCTGGCTCGCTGTCGCCATTGACATACCATGATCTTGAGAAACTGCCCCTTCTTGCATACACCATCAAGGAAACTCTTCGTATTCACTCTTCCATCCATACCCTCATGCGCAAAGTCAAGAATCCTCTCTCCGTGCCTGGTACAGAATATGTCGTGCCAACAACACATACGCTTCTGTCTTCTCCCGGTGTCACTGCGCGCGACGATCGGTACTTTCGGAATGCTATGACCTGGGATCCGCATCGGTGGGAATCGCGTGTTGACGACCAGGTTGATGAGACCGATACGGTGGACTATGGGTACGGTGCGGTGTCGAAGGGCACGCGCAGTCCGTACTTACCGTTCGGGGCTGGTAGGCACCGGTGCATTGGGGAGAAATTTGCGTACATGAATCTCGCAGTAATTGTTTCGACTCTCGTGAGAGAGTTCAGGTTTTATAACCCTGAAGGTAGGGTTGGGGTTCCGGAGACGGATTATTCGGTACGTTTCCTTGTTGTCTCTTCCCGTTGATGGATGTCTTGGTGGAGTTCAATGACTAACTTGTCTCCATGATTTGTAGTCTCTCTTTTCGAGGCCGGTGCAGCCTGCGATTGTGCGATGGGAACGTAGGCATGAGTGAGCTGCTGCGCCATAAACGTGGATTTATCAGACTCCATTGTCGGGGTAAGGTCTTTTTGTTGTTATCGTGTGTACCAAATTGTGGAAGAAAGCTTGAGTCTATGAAAGGATATTCAATTCTTTGGTTTATCTCAAAAATAACAGAAAATAGCTTCGTGTATCCCGAGCCCGGAAATAATAGTAGTTTATTACAAGCCTTCAGATAAGTGAGGATTCGTCTGGAGTCGGTGTATCCAACCGGAAATCTAAGCGCTAAAAAGGCCACAGATGGCCGCAAACATGAAAGTCGAAAGGGGGTAGAGTGTTCATAATGATGAGCTCACATGAGCTGGAGGAGGTGAGATGGTAATGTATCGACAACGAAAGTAGACGAGAATTGAACAACAGACATGTCCTCTTATCCACGGTCCCGTCCCTTGCCTCTGTTTGTGGAACCTCCACGGCGAGCGTTTTTGCTCGGTCCCGTAGAGACATGGTGTCCGGTCCCATTTGACTGTGGCACAGGTGAGGCAGAACCGTTCACATTCTTCTTTGGTGTGGCCTGACCGGAAGTTGGGGCTGAAGTTTGCTTTTGGCTCCGAGATTCAGCACCATCAGGAGCCGTGCTCTTGTTTCCACGACGCTTGCGTGAACTTCCAGACGCATTGGAAGCTTTACCGCCACGACCACCTTTGCCGCCACGTTGCTGTGGTTCGGGCTCAGGCTCAAGAAGACCCTGTACACGCTTGCTCTCTTGATCCCACCACTGCTGGAACTGTTGCTCGGCTTGGATATCTTCCATGTTATGCTTGGCTGTAGCTGCTTCCCGAATCTCGTCCTTTTCAGCCTGCTGTTGCTCCAGAATAGCTGCTATGGAGAATGATCCATAAGATGGGGAGCGAAGGTGGGTATCAGGGCGCGGAATGTGGCGAATAGATTGAATGCTAGGTTGGGGAGAGAGTTTGGGAAGACTTTGTTGGTATGGAGTGGGAGGGCCGGAGGGCGATGACTTTGAGAAGGGGGACTGTTGCATGCTGGCCGAGACTTTACGGCTCTGTGCCTGCACTGGAGTGGCCACTGGTTGAGAACGAGGTGGCGGTGTGCCAGCTACAGTTTGCCTGAGAGTCATGGAGGGTTTTTGAGGCGTCTTAACAGGCTCAGGAGCTGGTGAGTTGGACCCACTCTGGCCTGGTAGAGGACCAGATCTGCCTTGTACACTTGACGGAGTTGACGTCGGTAACTGCCATGGATTCGATGGAACATCTTTAGCCTTTTGCTGTGCGGCCAATTTTTCTTGCATTTGTTGCTGCTGCATCTTCTTCCGTTCTTTCTGAGATATTTTCGGCGTGAAGTTACCACTGCTCTCTCTTCTGGCTGTCATACCTAGGGTGAGATTTGACACCCGAGACTGGGAGGTCTCGCTCATGATATCCTGGAGGTCTCTTTTGCCATCGGATATGACAGGGGAGTTCCACGGCGCCGCAGAAGCATCAGCCGGTGATGCCAAGGTCCGTTTTTGGTGCATGGCAATTGCTTTAGATTCAGTCGGGGACTCGGCAATCATTGGACCTCGCGGAGAAAACATTTGTTGATCCAAGAAACTTCGATCTCCAAGCGAATCATCTTCAGGGATGCTTGCTCCCAATGCCGGGGAATTGGGGTAAGACCGGCCTCTATCTTCACTGAACCTTAGTCCACGCATAGGTATTTTGCCCTTGGCATCGGATGGAGAAAGAGCAGCCTCATCATCCATCTGGAACATGAGGTCTCCGGTCGACTGCTGTGGTTTCAGCATTGGGCTAGTGATGGGACTAGTCATTTCTCTTGGCACGCTGCCCTTTGATTTACGGACAGACGGAGAAGCATTGAACTTGTCATTTGCTGACGGGCGAGATCGAACGTCATATGACTCGACTTGACTCAAGCGGGATTGCAAGACCATGGCATCGATTCTTCGTCGTTGGTCCGATTTAATAGAGCTGACAATCTCTGGATATTTCTCGAACACGTATGCTTCGGTGTTGCGTCCACGAGAGATGGGATAGGAAGCCAGCTGATTCCCTTGACAGACTTTGTCGAGCTGAGCGAGGAGATCATCGTCAAGACCGTCGAGATATCTAATGATCGAGTCAATGGTTGAAATAGTAGAAAGCATCGTGGGATATTACCTGTTCGTAAGCATAGACTCAAGGTCGAGACAAATATGCTCCAGGGCAGCCTCTTTGAACTCCCCCATGTAGATAGGGAAGACTGAGTTGAGAAGATACGTGATATTGCGTGTGTTGACTATATAAAGTTAGAGATAAAACGACCGTGTCACCATGTTCAAACTCACCAAATCGACCAAGCATGTTCTGACAGATCTGTGATAGTCTATCAATCATCAACTCATTCGCCACATAAGTCACGTCGAGGAGCAAGTCGATGAAATCATCGAGAGTCTTTGTCCGCACTTCATGAAACAATTTCTCTTCAGTATCTGCATACATGTACTGCAGAACGAAAAGAAATATCGATCTATCAAAATGTTTGAGGTCAACATGAACAATCCCCGAGCGGTCTGCCTTCCGTGAGGCAAGCCATCGACCACCAGATCGCCCATGAAATAACGCATCAAAGAATGGGCATCTCTGGCACACCACCTGGCTGTGGACCTTAACGATACCGCCATTAAGCTGAACCACCACATCGGCATCATCAAAGAATGAGCTATCATTGATGGCAAGGGCCATGTCATGCTTCAAACTTGGCTCAGGGTCTAGCATTAATCTCGCGGCGCGTTCAAGGGTTGGTAAACCAAGCTGGAGAGCAAGCCGCATCACTTCTGTGCGTACTTGGCGATAGCGGGTGGCATTTTGAGGTGAGGTTTTTCTTTTATGCCATACATCGAGAACATTATCGGTGTATAGAAAGAAGGCAAGGTTTAAAACCGTGAGGAAGTCAACGCCATGGAGCTGGATCTGCATGTGACCATCTTTTCCGTACTCCACATCCAGAACATCAGGAACAGAGGAGTAATATGATGCCCGGAACTCCTGGAGTGCCTTCCTGAGAACGGGGCTGCGACCACTAAGTAAAAACTCATGCACTGGAATTCGTGCATCGGATAGAGAGCTAGTGATCCAAACAGTTCCCTCGGTACGCATAGAAAGGTATTGATCCTCCATGTCAACAGACGATAGCATGCCTCTTTTAATGGCTTCCGCAGAAGACATCTCCATTGGGGTTGTCCCCTCTTCCATCATCATCTCTACATCATCCGGAGCAGGGAGCCCAAATGGCGAGAGGGGTAAGAGGTCATCCAAAAGAGTACTTTGAGAGATATGTACTTGTTCTTTTGTCACGTTGTAGTCACGTTGGGCAACAGCATAGGCCCCAAAGGCATTGCTGCGCACGGCCACAGCTCTTGATAGACCAGGTATGCGGGCGAACTTGTAGTCCTTGAAAGTGCCTTCTTTTTTCTTTGTCCGTTTCTCCTTTCTCCAGGCGGAGCCCGAGGTTGTGCAGATAATGATCGATCCGTCTTGACCCACATCTACATCGCTAGCAGCCATGTGTGACTGTTTGGCAGACCAAGCTCTCACGGGCGGGGCCAAAGAATTACGGATTTTGGCTGGATTTGTGGTTGAGGTCGGCATCGATGGATTCTCGGGCTTATTGACCTGAACAGTAAAAACATCACCAGAGCTAGACAAAGCACAGATAGTGCTTCCACCACATGTGAGTTTGACAATGCGATTCACAGACGCATCATATCTCGTGGCCATGAAGCTGTCTCGGATAAATCTCGAGGTAGCCTCAAGTGGAAATGCCAGCTTCGAGTAGCCGTATTGCGAAAACACCCAGACCTCATGGTTTTGCAAAAGTACAGCAGTGGCTTGGTCAATTGCAGATACCATCTGAATTGGAGAGTTGAAGAGTGACGCTCCAACCCGCCGGGGGGTGGTTTGAACTTCAAGCGATCGCGCATCTGAATCTACTAAGCCGAGTTGGCCTTCGTTTTTGCCGAAGGTATAGAGCCCGGAAACGCTGAAAACCACCGAGTGGATTGACGATGCCGCTGCACCGATGATTTTTTCTTTCTTGAACGGGTTGAAAATCTGGCGAGGCGTGGTCTGTATGGGAACATCATTCTTGTTGTTTGTCCTGGGTAGGCCATATCCCAGCTGACCGAATTTATTACTTCCCCAGCTAAAGATCTCGCCGTACTCAGTGATGGCTAGGGTGTGGTCCTGGCCGAGAGCGACCGATATGACCTTCCTTCCTGCCAGCCCACCTGTTTCGATGCAGGAAAAGGTGAATCGTGTGGCTTCATCGCCCGTCCCCAGGCGACCGCCCGGCCCAAATCCACAGATGAACAGATTGGCTTCCGGATCATCTGTAATGATTGCAGTGTGTAACTTGGACATGACAGTATTCTGTATCTTCATCGGCTTGTTTCTGATCAACGTTGGCAATTCATCTGTGAGGACGGGCTCAAGCCCTAGCTCTTCTTGATATTCATGATAAAACCGATTCAAAAGATGTTCAGGGCGCTTCAATGTGATCCGTTCAGGAAACTGGCGGTCATCCTGATCCCCAAGCCCAAGGTTTAAGTTCTTGTTACTACCGAAGGTGAACACTTCATCGGCGGAGAAATCCGTTGAGGTTGACTTGAGTGAGAATCGAGCAAGATAGTTATCCTCTTCGCCGTCCTCTTCGTCATTGGACCCGGCACTCGAATCAGCATCACCGTCTCTGGAGTAGTCAACCGTAGTATCATGATTCCATGGCCTTGACGAAGTCATCCGTTTGATATCACGAGAGGTAATGGTCGCTCCATAGACATCGAACGGGCTATAGCCCTCACGATCCTTGATCTTGATCAAGCTTCCAATCTGCCCTGTTTTTTCCATCTTGCTGAAATCGGTAGCATCACGCTGGTCCCGCTCCATCAATGCCAGGGCGATTGTAGCGTTACCCGCATAAAGGGCACGGTGGAGTGCCGTCCATCCATTCTCCCAGTCCTGTGCATAAATATCAAGGAACGGAATTTCGAACAATGTGCGAGCAAATTTGGCGGCGGTGGGCTTTGACGATGAAGCAATGTGATGTAGAAGGGTCCGGCCATAGTGATCACGAGCATTGATATCGGCGCGCGACAAAGTTGTGCCTGCTCGCTGAAAGCCCGGCCGCTCAGGTGCCGATGTTCCGGGTGACGGGCCGACACTTTTCTTCTGCTTTGGAGGGTTTGGGGAAGAAGAGATCATCGACCCAGGGCTTCCAGCTTTATATGTCAGATTAGTTGCTGTTGCAGCTATGGAAGCGCCTCCGAGCCCCCCTGCAGCTCGCGGCCCCGCAAAAGTTGCGTTTGCGAGGAACTGCCGGAAGCTCTCCACATCATCTTGAATAAAAAACTCCCAAAGTTTGCTACTCATATGTGCCTGATGTGGTTGTGCCACCGAATCTCTTATCAAGCCCGAGCCAAAGCGTCGCCGTCAACGCACTGGGGTTGACTGCGACGGGAGAGCTGGGTGATAAGATGATTCCGGCTCGAAGGGAAAGGGGGAGGAGTCGATTCCCGATGGATCGACGCGTTCTTGGGCAATGAGATTTCACCGAGGGTGGCAGCAACGCGTAGTGACACCAAATTCGATTGTGGGATTCGGGGAGGGGTCGCGGCGCGGTGGCGATGTCCGAGGCGTATATACGGCTGGTATGGTATTTGGCTAGGAGATGGATTGTCGCGGAACAATTCGGATACAAAGGGAGGGGTCACTGGGACGCAATCCGTGTCGATAGAGGAGTCAAAGAGAATATTCCAGGTTGCATGGCGTTCGTTCGTCTTTATCGAGGCTCCGTCATCCATGGATCGTGGAACCCGTCGTCGCACTGACCAATGACAGCACGCACGTCCCTCCATGTCCCCCGACGAGAGGTGCGGGTCATTTCGGTGATCAAGCGCCCGTGGAGCAGCGATAGGACAGTGTTTCTTTTTTAGTCTGACATTCTTCGCCAGGTGATCTACAGGAGAAGCTCCTCTCCCCCGCTCTTGCTTGCATCACCCCGCACTCAACACTTTGCTACTTTAGTTGGGACCTCGGGTTTAATGCGCATCACTTGTATTGAAGTATATAACCAGAGGCTTAGTTGGCTATACCTCTTCTCCTCATTCCGTTTCGGCAGATTTCGGAGGCTCTCGGTCCACGATTATCTCAATATCCTCGCTGTCGGACGCTATCACGGTGGCGTTCTTCCTCTGGTCCCTACATCATAATTAGCTTAGGTGTGTAACCATGTGTTCATACGACGCATTTGGTGCTTACCGTCGATGAATTACCAGGGAAGTAATGAAACCCGCCCACAACAAGAAATAGAACACAAATGCCACGGGCCATCCCTTGATCCATTGCGGAGCCCCGTAGTGACCAGAGGTTTGGAACACAAGAAGTGGAACCCAGATCTGGAATGAGTACCCAAATGTCATCATGGACCCCAGGATGAGTGCTCGCTCTTCGGAATCATCTTTGACAACGGTGTTGACCGTAGAATAGAGAATAGGACTCAGACAGCCCGACAGACCGAGAATATACCACGCAGCAAACCTATGGCTTCCGATCAATACTCTGTTGATGCTGTCTCACATTTGCAGGAGCACTCACTTCAACCCCTTTGGGATATTCCAAATAATCATGCATAACGTTGAGAAAAGGCAACCTAAAGAAGCGATTGTATAGATGATCCAAGAAGGGTAAATTGCAGCAACAGTCGTCCCAAACCAGGATGCGACAATTTGAATGGCATAAATGACCGTTGGCAGCTTGTTGACCTGCGCAACTGAGTATCCCTCAGCTTTGAGCCATAAGTTCATATAGGACGTCGGATAAGACGAAATGATCATACAACTGGAGCAATTTGTCAATACTCTCCTGGTCTCTTTCTAAAGTTCAGGTCAGTAACTCACGCATAAGTTGCAACAAAGACCCAAATATGCCACCGCTTCAGAGACCGCTTGAACACATCGAGCCCAAGTTTACCAGGGCGACGGATCTCTGCCTTACGTGCCCTCTCCTTGGCCAAAGCAATATCACTCTCGGTCAAATAGAATGGCCGCGGCGAGTCTGGAATGCCTGGGAATATGAAGAACCCGATAAAAGCCACGGGGATGGTGAATATCCCATCAATGATAAAAAGCCACCTCCACCCAGGCATGCCCCCTACTCCCGAGAGGTTGGTATAAGCAGCAGATTGCAGGTAACCGCTAACCATGCTTCCTAGTGGGTTACAGATAAACCAGGTACCAGCACGCTTGAAAAGTTCTGGACCAGAATACCATGAGCCTTAGGTTAATTATTAGTGCAAGCTTAGCTTCTGCATGAAGTCTCCTATTAGTGGACCTACCGAGGATAAAATGAGTTCCGGCAAAGACAGGAGCTTCCAGCATTCCAACCAAAAACCGGAGAGCGTAGAGTTGGTGGACATTGGTGGCACGACTTTGGGCAAATGTACAAACACCCCAGAGGACTTCAAGTCCGGGAAGCAGCCAGCGAGCCCTTTGGGAATTAGAAAACGCTCATGATCACTGGTCATTGTACCTGAACTTACAGTTTTGGGCGTGACATTAAAAGAAGACCAGGGACCTGGAACACCACATATGCTGTATAATAACAGACATTGAAATAATTGAGTTCGTTGCCATATAGACCGAAATCCTCCTTTAGCCCACTCACATAGGCATTGCTGATGTTTGTCTGATCTACAAGATTCCCCGTGAGCTCTAGGACACAAAAATTGGTTCAAATAGCTTACCCAAATATTTGACGAAGACTATCTTGTTAGCACGACTTACGGATTTACTGATATTTGGTGTACTCACAGCATAAGCAAGCAAAAACCAGAATTGACACGTCGAGCTTGAAAAGCAATCTACCGGATAATCAGACATGGAAAAAAAGCACACAGCTCTGCAGTCTCACATACTTCCTTTCTTCAGAAGGATAAGAAGACGGATACCAATTGAAAACTTCCTTGAAGAATCCCCAGAGGGTCGGCCTTGCAAGCTTCGATGTCTGGAGGTCCGACATACTGACCAAACGAATCCGTAAATGAATGGGCGCTCTTACTGACCAAAAGAACCTACGGCAGCACAGCCGATCTTTCGGCTGTTATACCTGCAAAGGCCTGTATTCATCAGATATCAGAGGTCTAGATGAATGGCTGATGTCGGTGCAATTTCTCCACCTCCTGTCGCGATCGTATACATCGGAAGAATGCCGAAACACATTTCCCCATTGAAACAGGATTATTCTTACAGTTTTAGATAGTATTCGGTCAATAGGCGTCTTGATAGGTGCTGACACCCCTGTCTGTCAATGCAATGACTGCGACATGGTCAAGCGCGATGGCGTGCCCATGGTCCCACCCGCTCAGCTACCGACGATTAACCGTCAAGTCTCATTCTATACATAAATGACGTGCTTTGATTATCAACGCGAGATCTAAGAGGCTGAGAAGTGCGGGGTTAGACTCGGCCTAAATAAGGTCCTGCACTTTATATACGTGCTGCATAATCCTGGTGGTCCATTCCGGATCACATATTGCGCGACATTCTGCGGTAAAGAACCAACGCGTTGTACAGCCAAAGCACACGAATCATAAGATGCCTGGAAAAATAATCGATAAATATGATCATGTTCCGGTCACCAAGGAAGACTGTCAGTAAACTTGAATTTTACCCGAGCGCCATCGCACGTCTCGTGCTAACGCGATTTAGTGGATTGGGCTGAACTTGTCACCCTCGACCTAAGCCTCTTTGAACAGCCTGGCGGAAAAGAGCAGCTCGCCAAGCAGCTAGAACATGCCGTACAGCACGTTGGTGAGCATTTATAGGTGAAATGGTGTTTTCCGGGTCGCTAACGCCTGTCTTCCTATCAGGCTTTTTCTATGTAAAGGGCTTCAACATCAGCCAGGAAGAAGTCGATCGCCAGTTTGCGCTAGGTCGCGAATTTTATGATCTACCTCTCGAGGAGAAGCTGAAATACCACAACTCCAATGATCTTGTCAATGGCGAATATAACGGATACAGACCTGCCGGTCACCGCATGTGAGATGAGAACATACACCTTGGAAGCTCAACGGGTATTATATAATTTACTGACTTTGCTCAGCATGGGTAATGGCATCAAGGATAACGTTCAGGTCTACAACATTCCCAAATTTGATGGCCATCACAAGCGACAACAGCCCCCTGTCATCTCTGATCACATTGACGAAATTGAAAATTTCAGCAGAGTAAGTCCCCTTCCTCATTCATCTCAATGTATTCCAACGCTCATAAAGCATAGAAATGCCACACCGAGGTAGTAGAGAAGCTACTTCGGCTATTTGCCATCCTCCTCGAGCTCCCAAGCGAGGACCAACTGGTTCGCGATCACCAATATGATGTGAAAGGCGAGGACCATCTCCGCTACATGCACTACGCAGCGCGTAGCGCCGACGAGAATAAGAAAGTCGGCGGCCTATACAGTGCCGGCCACACAGATCTAGGATCAATCACACTGCTTTTCCGCCAGCCCGTAGCCGCCTTGCAGATCCTCAATTCCGCAGGGGAGTGGAAGTGGGTGAAACCTCAAGACGGAACTATCACAATCAACACATGTGATGCCCTTACAGCCCTGACCGGAGGATATATCAAATCAAGCATTCACCGCGTCCATACTCCTCCCGCAGATCAGGCCCATGTCGATCGTCTGGGTGTGCTGTACTTTGTCCGGTGAGTGTCAACATAAAGTCGCTTCCATGAAATCATGTTCAGCAATTCTAACATGTCAAACAGACCGAATAATCACATCATCCTGGACCCTATCACGAACAGCCCCGTACTGAATCGTCTAGGTCTCACACAAAATGCTTTCACTGAGCTTGGTCAGCATCTCACAACCGAGCAGTGGGTTAAGGTCCGACAGTCCCAGCAGCAACGTCGTAACAAGGACATCAAGATCTCTGAGGAGGGAAAATTCACATACGGAAAGGGGGACCTTGATATTATTCCCGGTCTGAAAGCCAAGATGTATGACTAAATGAAGACAATATCTGACCATGTCTATTCACTGATATACTTGAAATTGCATTGACTCGATAATCTACCTTGCTATCCTTCCAAATTGGTCAGAGCGCCTTGGAGTCCACTAATATGGAGGGCACGATCCATTGACTTGTTTTGATTTGGAAAGGCGCGATTTTTGAGCATAAAGCTCTTCCGGGGCCTGTTTCGAATTCCGAACCTTCTCGTCTTTACTTCCTTCTTAAATCCTCTTTTATCCTTGTGACGGATTGTAGATGTTTTCATTATGTTCGAATTCATTGCTGCGTCTCAATTATTAATGACTATTACATCCAAGCCCAATTAAAGTTCCTTCCGACGTTGATGCCATTATATTCCAGGGTTCAAGCCATGCAAAGTGGAAGGCTATGCCAATCCGCCAACCAGCTGCTCCGCTCCCGCTCATGTGGCCAAATACGCCTGAATGGTCTTTCCAGCCAGGCTGGAAGCGGGCGATCACCTCCATCTGCTTTGAGGTTCATAGACTGCATTCCTTCCACTCCTAGCTTTCCTGTGGAAAGACGAGTGACACGCCATGGTCTCTCCAGAGCAGAAAGCAGCGCTTGGTGTGGAAAACGCCAAACTGAACCCGTATGGTGTTTCTTCAGACCAACTGTTCCAACACAAGAGACGTCCACGAATTGAAGTGGCTCAGTCCCGGGCTTCTTACTGCTTTGAATGGTTTCGAATATCTCTTTTGCCAGATTTTCATCGATGGCATGATTAATCAATATCTCACGGATGTCGCCATTGCGGTATAGACATCCACGGGGTGTGAACTTTGTTCGTCTCACGCAAGGCTCCATATCAAATTCGTCAAATAAGGCATCAGGAGCAGTGGTAACGCATTTGGAGCCAGTAGGTGTCTCGGTGCCTCCGTAGCTTGAGTTACATAGCTTGATACTTGTCACGTCCAACTTAATCATGAGATTGCGAAGTTGCGGAAGGCCACCAAGATTGCGGTAACATTCAACCTCGGTGGCGTCTCCTTGAGTGCGATGTAGGGTGACTTCGAGTTCTTGGAGATTTGGACAGTATTCACTGATGAGTTTGAGATCGCATGGCGAAAGCTGTGCATTCTTGCCGGTTGAAATGACAAGTTTGGTTAAATGACTTCCATGATGAGGAAGAAAGCCCTCGAGGGGGTATTTGCTGTTCCAGTTGTGAAGGGTCAAGGTAGATAGAGGGGGAAGGCTGCATAAAAAGCGAGTCTCGGGGGTATCATATTGACCGAGGCGCCATGCGAGGCGGGTAGCGAACAGTGACAAGTTCAGTTCTAGTGATTCAAGGGATGCGAAGCTGCAGTCCTTGGCCAGGAACTCCAAAGCCTGGTAGCGCAGAGGACTTGTGATCCGGAGAGTACGAAGTGCGGAGAAATCGGTGCAATCGTTCCACATGGTCACTGTTTCCTTGTTGATGCTTTTGTTTTCATCCCCACGGATACCAAGGTAGTGCAGAGAGCCCCGTGTGATTTGACTATCGAAACGATTTTGTTGCTCTCTTTGTTCATCCGCGGGAAAGTACGCTTGGTCACCACAATAGCGTGCATGAATCTCCTTCAGATGTGGAGACAGGCCGGTCACAGTATGACAGAGAGTCTCCTCATCGTACGCAGTCTCTTTCTCGGGAGAGCGATTTCCTGAAGCATTGTCTTCATGGGCAAAACCATCGAGCTTGATGCTGTAAAGGCAGGGTGATGAGAGCAATGCGAGCTCATGCGGATCGATTTGTTCCGCACCCAAGCTCCGCATCTTGAATCGGTTCAGCCATAGTCGACAACTAGAGGAGTTTTCGTGGATCGCCTTGAGAAGACATGGAGCAAATTGATACAAGCCGCCATATAGCAAGTCATTCAGTAAAGGTAGCTGTCTGAGGAGATTCGCAATCGGTAACCACATGTCGTCTGCTTCTTGTGTGGTAGTGGAGTATTGGAAAGTCGTTTGATGGGGTACTGAAGGGGTGTCAAGTACATATCGTCTTAACGCTTTAATGTCACACTTGGTCTGCGTCGATGGAGAAGATTTCTGGTTGACATCGTATCGTGGGGGCTCAATTATCAGACAGCGTACTTGGGAAAAGGCATTTACCCATTCCAACTCATTAAATAATCGATTTGTTTGTGTTGAGATTGTGTCATGATCTTCCCGGTCTAGTTGAATCTTGACAGTGTGGTAAATAAAAGGCGAAGACACCAATAGGAAATCTTTGCTGGTGTAGGCTAAAGCTCGTAAGCTGAGTGGAGACGTATGATCGAGATAAGACAATATAGTGTGAACAATCTCCGTAGGACAGCGGGCGAAAGGACAATCTGACATATTGAAGGGCCTGACAGATGTTTGAATTGGTATATGTTTGAAGGAAAGGAAATTAGAAGTGTGCCACAACTCAAGCTATATACCCACGTAGATTCTTTCAGAGACTCCGTATTTCTCCCAGTATCTTCTGTGCGCGAGGCTGAGCCCCGTTTTTTACGCGGACTCACCGACAGCTTTCTGGTGATTGGCAGGATTTTGGATGCCTAGATTGAAGGACTAGTGATAAACGCCTCTAGACATGAACTTCGCAATAGAGGATCTTCCCATATTTCAGGTGGGGCGAGTGGGTCCTGATCCGACTGGACTAATCATACATGATTGAATCTGAAAGCCTTCCGTATCCCGTATTTCGTATGTCCGTATTTTGTATTTTACACCTGGCAATCAACGCCTAGCCTCGCAATGGTAGCCTCGCCAAGCTTCTATTGGGAGCTAGAGCGTGTGGTCCGATGCGTCAACTCAAAGAAAATTATGACGAAGTCAGTTGACTCCAGCGGGATAGAAAGCCGCATACGAATGGTGGAGATGGAGATACGAAGTCCCGTGGCCATACTTTAGTCTGTGAAGATACTTCAGACCTGCATGGAAACCTATCATAATATAGGTAGCGAAGCGGGAGGTGATGTATATTTTGATTACAGTATTTTTCTCGACAATTCTAATGATATTATGTCACATCTGCTCGACCCTGCAGTAAGAAGAATTCAACACGATGAACGTACTATTTAAGAATATTCAATTAGAAGTTCTGGCCTTGATACAGGCTTCAGATTCAAGTACGAGAGGATCTATGGGCTAAGAAGGTCCTGGTTGCAATTCAGGTACATACCTGGATCCACAATCTGGTGAATCTGTGAAGAAATATATTCACGCGGACGGTCCCGATAACCACCCAAACTTGGATCGAGAGATATCTAACAGGTTCCTACGTAGGTACTTATGTATCTACTTTGACCTAATTACCTAATTCTTTATCACGTATCCCAGTTAGAGCCTAGCCCAAGCCCATTCAGCGACTTGGATGCCCCTAAGGGCGCATAATTGTCTGTTCAAATGCCTCCAAGGTGGGGGAAATTTCTCGGAAAGCAAAGGATATACCGAGGCATCTATATTTTGGGTTTGAAGATTCAAGCCGAATAGTTCCGTGTGGCTGTTTGTTTGAATTGTGGATGATTTGCTTTTCAAGGTTTCAGTTGGCATCCATCCGAGAGCTTCATTAATTCATAATGGTCCCGTGACATTCCAAGCTGCACCGTGCTATCTTTCGACCTCGAGAGTCGAGTATTCATCCTACCTACCATCAACAGCGATGAGCTCCCAAACCATATTTGCTGCGATATTTGAAAGCTCTCAAACTAAAGGTGGTATGAGTTGCAGGGATGCTTTTCAAAGTCCCAATGGCAGAGAGACCAACGAAGCTAACTTCATGCAACCATGTTTTCTCCGGGCTTTCCTTGATTATTCGTTGCCTGTGCTAATGCCCCTAGCAGAAGTAATCAACCACGGGGTTCGCTTACATCTCAACCGCTCCCATCAGCCCGGTAATGTCTGGGCTAATATATGATTGTGGCATGTGCAATCTTGGGTAGTATCTGCCTTGTCGCTATGAGAACTGATGCCGAAAATTATGTGAATAATCATATCGGTGAAGGGAATGGCCTGCTTTCCGGCCGATCATAGCCCCTGGGGGAACTCTGGGGATGCGGGGTTGCGAAGATCCTTCCAGCGATTACTCTAAGGTTTCCTGACGTGATGATCCAGGGCACAGAAACGTCGCCAAAATTCAGCTGGCTCTGGCACAAGTAATTCATTTGATATGGAATTCCTTCGTTGATGTACACTGCGACAAATTTCCCGATCCACCTGGAAAACCGGGTAAACGTTTGTTTCGATTTTTTTTTTCCCTTTTTTTCTCTTTTATGGGTCCAGGAACTGCGCGGATGGCCTCAGGGGCATTGATCAACAACCCCAAAGTTGCGCTGCCTCGGCATGATGCTTTGATCACATTCACTGCCTTTTTAGGGCATTTATTTATCTTGATTCCCACCCGCCTGGCATCGGATAGGACCCCATTGAAGCCTTGATTATCAGTATCAAGCCACCATGGTTTCCTCCGGTTCTTCAGTGCGCTTGGCAATAACGGCCTTTGTGGCCCTCATACTGGGCCTCGTATCTGCCCTTCCAGCAACCTCGTCGGTGGGTCACATGCCCTATGTGTCTCGTGGGCTTCCGAAGGCTCCAAGTAATGATCCGTTCTATCAACCCCCGGCCGGCTTTGAGTCCGAGGGCCCCGGAACTATTTTGCGTCAAAGAAAAATCTCTGTCGCTTTCCTAGGCCTTATTCCAGACCCAGTGGAAGCATATCAGCTGTTATATCGCACCACTGCTATCAATGGCTCCGCTATTGCGACTGTAACCACGATCTTCAAGCCCACCAATCCCAAGACAGATCGATTTGTTTCTTTCCATACAGCCTACGATAGTTCTGCCTCAATCTGTGACCCCAGCTACAACTACCAGCTTGGCGCGGCACAGACCGATATTATATCTTCTGCGGAACAATTGATTCTTCAGTCCTATCTGCTTCTAGGCTATATTGTGGCGTCGCCCGACTATGAAGGTCCTGATGCAGCATTCGGACCCGGTCGCCTGGCAGGAATGGGGGTTCTGGATAATATGCGAGCCGTGAGCAGCTTCGGTGCCCTAGGTCTCTCCAGTGCTGAGCCTATGATTGTTGGTACTGGCTATTCGGGCGGTGCAATTGCCACAGGTTGGGCGGCTTCTCTCCAGTCCAGCTATGCCCCTGAACTAAATATCAAGGGTTGGGCCCAAGGTGGCACTCCGGCCAATCTGACAGGTACTCTGATGTTCATTGACGATACTCCCTTCAGCGGCTTCATCCCTCCAGCCGTGGCTGGTCTCTCTTCACCTAGTGCATATGGTACTCAGTTGAACCCCGTCCTGAATAGTATTATTACCTCAAAAGGCCGGTCCATCATCGAGAAATCCAAAACCACGTGTGCAGTTGAGGATATTATCAACTTCGCTGACCAGTCGCTCTTTTCTACGAGTATCCAGAGCCTAGGCGACAGTCTGCTCTATGAGGCTACTATCCACTCCATCCTCCTGCAGTGCACCATGGGTGTGACGAAGAAGGAAACCCCTACTGCACCGATGTTTGTCTACCATGCATCGCAAGATGAGATCATTCCGTACGCGAACGCGTCGACGATGGTCGATTCATGGTGTAATTATGGCACCGATATCAAATTCACCACCTTTGCAAATGGTGGTCATGCCACAACTGAAGTCCTCGGGCTACCCGATACGATCAATTTTGTCGAGTCAGCTTTTGCGGGCACCACTCAGAGCGGCTGCTCAAGTAACACCGAGTTGGCTAGTCTTCTCAACCCCATTGCTCTGGGTGTGGAGCTGGAACCTATCCTGACGAAGTTGCTCGAGGTTCTGTCTACCCTTGGTACCAGTGACTCAAAAGTCAAGCAGAACCTTCATGTGCTGAAGGATGTGGTCAAATGGTAAAGATAGGGAGATAGGGAATCACTGGAGATCCCGAATACTGTAGATCTACAGTGGGGAACGGGAGAGATCATCCATGGAGAATACATAGTATAATGTTTGATAAGCTTCTGGACAATGAACCTGTTAATTATTTCAGGCCACTCCGTACCGTACAGTTCCAACCTCGTCACAGATTAACTTTGCCAATGATCGCTTGCGTCATTTCTCCGCGGCTCTGCTGCTGCCGAATGCGAAAAGGGGCTCGAGCACCCTGTCAGACCCCGGACCTGCTCGCGCGACCGTGATAATCTTGAGTATATGTCTGGGATTATTCTTGGAATGGTTTTCATTCATACCTTTCTTTCCAAATTTTCCGCCCTATGATGTATATGTCTCCTGTCGAAGAATGTGGTTCGCGCCATGTCGATCACCTGAAGCCGTGATCAGCTGCCCTTATCTTTCCCTAATCACGAAGCGGTCTAGAAGACTATAAGTCTATAACTATAGGAACTATGGACAAACGTATGCAATATAGATACAGTAAGAACTATGTATGCTTGCTTTTCTCGTAGATTTCTAAGTTAACATATAAATCGAGAAAAAAAAAAAAAAGAAAACATCTCAAACGGTGCCATGATCAGCTGTGGAGTGGCGTTCCAGGCTGACTTGGACACTGGACACGACCTGTCGAGTCACCCGGGTCGGGTGTGCGTCACAGACAACCTCCGCCTTTCCCCTACCGCAACTCAAACCTCAATATTAAACTACTTTCCAACCATGAGGATGGCTAGTCTTCCATAGGTTTCACGTATCTGTGTGAATCCATCCCCGGATCCGTTAATTTGATGCGGAGAAGCTCCTTGGCTCCGAAGGTCCCAAACCCCACGATGTACTCAGTGTCTCCCATTGTTTGATCCGTGATTCGCTATCCTTTTCCATTTTCACAGAACTTCCTTTAGATGGTCATCTCTCTTTCTTTGGTATACCTGTTAGCATGGCCGTCTTCGCTGGCTCCATTTTACTTGCTCTTCACTCCTGATAACGGAATCTGCCGCTGATAGCAACCGGCCCCGGCTTCCGTTTGTCGGGGTAAGCTCTTGACGTGTTGTCTCGAACTTGCTCAACCTGTCTCACTGATTGTCTCCAGAGATACGTCCATCATGCACCAAAACCCTCGGTCACCGGCAGTGCCACCGGCGGCGCCGGTGCCCAAGCTCCCCTCCAAACTCCACTCGCCTCGGAACGACCTCAAAGACCAGGAATCGACCCCAGCATCCCCAACCGCTTATATGCGAACCCATCAGACCAAGGGACTGGGAATAGAAGCTGGAGAAGGCTCTTCTGAGCCGGCTAGGGCCGCGGCCCCTGGACAAGAAGCTCTGGCCAAGCTGAACCAGATCATATCGGTAAGATGCAATGGCCTTTGAGCACCCTGATCCTGTTGCTGAGTCTGTTTATTTGCTATCTCCAGAATTACCATACCAAAGCCGCGTTAATCATTCTCCACTCTCGAGTCGAACTACCGCGATCCTATAACAAAGGCTCCAATACGCCCAGAGTGAACCGATGGGTATGTTGTAATGAGCTTCAGCCCTCTCCCATGGCATGAAATCAAAAGATCTAATTTTCCTGGATGGCAGTTTAATGTTGAATTGGATGACACTGATGTTTTGCGAGAATCGCTACAAATCTGGCGAACCTGTGACGCCACAGACCACCGACCGCCACCCCTCATAATCGAGACCTTCATAGACACGAGGGGCCTCACGAATAACGAAAGCCTGGTGATATTGGATGATAATGGGAAGCGTTGGGATGTGCAGGAATCTCTTGCTGCATCACCGATACTGGGCTCGAAGCAGTCAGGGTCTGAGGAGGTCATTCTGGAGCGATGGAAAATCGAGCTGGGGGCCTCCTCTAGCAAGCCTCCGGCCGATTTGGGCTCCATTTTGCCGACGGTGTATAAAAAAAGCATTGTCCTCTTCCGATCTTTGTTCACATACTCCAAGTTTCTGCCGGCTTGGAAGTTCTCTAGGGGCAACACAAAGGCACGGAGAAGCCCCGCACTGCAGATTAGGTATCGTGTGGTAGACGGGAGTTCTCGAACCGAAGCGCCTCTGGATAACTTGACAGCTCCGTTATTTCAGGGGGAGGGTAAAGTGGTGGATACATATACCTTCGGGGTCACGGAATCTCCAGCGGGGCCCTTCTCGGTAGAGGTCTCATACCGGACTAATTGTGACTTCCGAATTGATGATTCGGAGGCCCTGCTGAGCTCCCGCTTTATGGGCGCTGATGATGAGATCTTCCGACCTTCGTTGCCCAAAGATGATACAATTCGGGCTAATCCCGAAGTTGGTTCGGTACCTGTGGGAAGAAGGCCGATCGAGAATCCGGATCGTTCGCAGGCGTATGGGAGTCTATCAACCTTCCATCAAGTCGGTCCGGCCACCGGTGCGAGTCCTATTTCAGCATTACGTGCTGCTCGGGATGCTGGCGCAGGTTCTCCCTCCCCAACAGATTCATATTATAAGAAGTTGTTGCCTGCTGCAAAGATTGGTGCGACAGGACGAGCAAGTAAACTTGCCAGTGAGGTTGGCGGCAGTTCGAACATTGCGCGGCGCCCCTCCGTTTCTTTCCCCCATTTCAAAGCAGGCTCTCTATCTGATTCCCCTGCGTTGATTGATACTCCTTTGGGCGTATCTCCACGCACTACTTCTGCAAGAGGCTCTACAGGGACATCTGTCGATTCTCGTGTAATGCCACCTCCTTCCTCTGCGGCCTCGGCACGACGATCCGCTTCCCTAATGACCGATCAAATGATCCCTTCGTCTACCTCTGCCTCCCCAAAGCCTGCACCAATATCTAGGTTCAGTAGTTCATTCAGTCACCGGCGAAGTCGCCCGTCTTTCGGAGGCACCAACAAGATGGAAGATGAAACCTCCAGTGGGAAGGCAAGCGCGACATCATCCAATGTCCAACCAGGCTCCGGTCTACTTGCAGAGGTTACTGGAACAAGTGCTGAATCGATTCACGCAGACGATGAGAACATCTCTGATTTCCTCAAATTTCTTGACCAGAAGAAAGATCTAATGAATCGTCCACCTAGCACTGTCTCTCAGGTGTCTAGTCCTCGGAAACCCACAGCTGCTTCTACTTCCCTTGCTCGCTTTCAACAGATGCGTGACTCGAATGCTGCGCTATCGGATTCAATGTCGGCTTCGGTGCAACTTCAGCGTTCGTCTATATCCTCCAGCAAACAACTTTCTGGAGTTCCACCCATGGTTGCTGGTACTTCCATTTCTACCGCTTCATCTCCTGGAAAACCAATCTCTCCCCATACACCACACACTCCTGCCATTCGATCGCGTCTGAGTTCTAACAGCGTGGTCGATGACATCAATACCGAGCACGACCGACGAATGCCCCGCATTGCAGATGACGGGCATGACTCTCCGCTTGAGGAGAACTCTAGCGCGGAAGCAACGGCACGAACCCCATCTACAGCAGCTGCGATTGATATTCCCACCTCCCCGCGGCCTTTTGCGCCGGCCTTCCGACGTTCAAGTTCTGCAGCCCAGCGCCGACGACCGCCTCCTACCGATGAAGATGATATCTTCTCATTCGGCATGCGAAGTGTCAGCCTTGGGATCGAAGAGCACTCACATCTCAGACGCCAGAATGATCAAGAAAGCGCGGATGCGAATACTTTGCTTGAACCTGGTTCACTCAATCTATCCTTGGAAGATCCCAGTGCTCGTACTACAGCTGCAGCTGTGACTGCAGAGAACCGGGACAGCGAGGCACTCCGAGGCCAGACTGTTTCTGTTCCCCCCGCTACATGCACATCGTCAATTTCACAACCCCGTTTCCCTCGCGGCCGAGGTTCCTCCGGAGGTCCACATTCGCTGAGCTCCGCATCCAGCAGTCTTGCACGTGGAAGCACACTCCCGCATTATCTGACCGAGCGCGAGGACCGCGACGGTAACGCAAGTGGCAGCAACAGCGGCAACTCAACCATGGAAACCAGACGTAGCTCTCACCAACGCCGCCCGCCGCCATTCCAATTTGAGGATGATGAGCCATTGCTTTTCGCTATGAGCGATTTCGGTGCTTCTCGTCGCAGCTTAGAAGAGAATCGGCATGGCAATCACGGAGGAGCCGACTCTAGCGCCGGTTCTCGACGTGGCAGTGGCAGACGTGGAGCTGGGCCTCCTAGCTGGAACTAGTTGATGCCTCGACTGAATCCTTTTTTCATTTTGATCTCATCGCCTCATACTCTTTGATTTTCTTGATTCCTCACTCAACCCGCCATCTATTCTCGAATACCCATTGATACTTCTGCGCTTTGTCTTTCAAAACACTTCTTTTCATTAACGGTTGGCTGCTTCATAGACTGAACACTCCTATCAGGGTTTGATCATTTCGCTCATAGAAATTGCGTCTCATCCTTTTTTCTTTTACTTGTCTCTCTTCGTCGTGCTGTTCCTTTGTCAGCGAGGGTTTTCTTCTCTGGTACTACTTTGCTATTTCGCAACTGCATGAATGAGATGAATTTATGTTTCTTGAGAACCCGGCGCCTTGCTTTGTGTTTCTTTAGCTCTGGGTGACTTCCATTTCTTTCTCATGTTAACGTGATCTTTTTTTCCATCTTGACATTTTGTGATCTGGTCTCAAGGTTGTGTTTTAGGCAGCTTGAATATCACGCGGGTTTATCCCCCCTGACAAGTCATTTCAGCTGATCTTTGGCCTGAATTAATCCGCGTAGAATCGATATCTACAAAAGTTTTTGAAATGTAGACGGATCACTGAAACCCTACATTGAAAATTCAAGACTTTTATTTCTCCAAACTCGAGTAAAAGGTATCTAACGAATTAGGCTCTAGATGCAAAAATTTGACCCGGATCATTCAACATATGCATAATAACAGTACATATCCAGCTGACATGCTAGAAGATAAAGGGAATCCAGCTCTCCTCCAATGAGACTGAGCCATGAGGTGTCTCTTGACACAGTGACCCCAGGCCAAGGACTTTCAGCTACTTGACGTTTGAATTGGTACGGAGCCCACCAGGGCTAGTCCACAAGCATCTTTCGGTAGACATAAGTTTGGCTGAGAGATTCCCGCGGTAGGGGACGGGGCGGCGTAATGTGATGTGAAAGGTCAATGACATGGCACCTGTGGCACCAGTACAAAATCGCCATATTACATACCCCGGAAGGCGTTGTTTGAAGCACTGCGGCGCTCCTTTGAGCGGAAAGAGGAAGGAGTCTTGTCGTACTGGACCTCTGGTTTCTGGTTTTTGGATTTGGAGGCAGGCATGAAGCTGACCTCTCTCTCGCCGACGGGGCCACCCTGTCGCGAGGGTCTCGGCTTCGACTTCATGTTCTGAGCACGCGAGCCAAATGAACGGTCGCGCGTGGAGTTTGTGCGTGCTGAAGAAGACACCTGCATGCGAGGAGGACGATTTGTGCGCTTATAGTCAGCGGACGAGATCTTGTTGGAGGCTTTTTGCTTGGCCGGTCTCTCTTCCTCGCTGTCGGAGTTAGAGTCATCATCACTAGATCCAGGAACGTCATCGACAGCTTCCTGCTCCACTGCTGTGAGACCACGCTCCTTTCTTGTGGCCTGGTCAGGCACAGTGCTGGGGTTGATAAGCTGGAATTCACGGGATGTTTCGTCGACGGCGAAGTCCTCATCCTCGAACAGCTTGGTGAAACGGCTATCGCGAAGGACACCCTTATCCTTGGTCTCAGATATAGCAGGAACAGCATCGGTCATGTTTTCGTCACCACCACGCTCAAGGACACGCTGAGCCTTCTTACGCTCAGCCTTCTCCTCGGCGTTCATCAATCTCTCGGCAAGCCTCTTGTTCACCTTGACGGCAGCCTTCTTCTTGCCACGGATGCGGCTCTCGCGCTCCTTGTCGATCTTCTCCTTGACTCGCTTGGCACGCTCCTCTTCCCAGACGTACGGGTTGGCGATCAATCTCGCCTCCTCGTACAACCTCTGGGCTACGAAGTAACCGTGCATGTATGGTCGCAATAGGTTGGTACGTCCAATAAGGTGCTCCAGGTTCAGGGTGCGGAGCTGAGGAACAGTCAAGAACTTGAAGTTGTCGTAAACAGCACCAGCCTGTGAGCTGGTGAAAGCATTCGGGTCGTTGGGGTCCTCGGCCATTTCCTCCACCAAGTTGTCCAGGAAAGAACACCATCTAGGTGCCGGTCCAAGCTGAGGAATAAAGAACGAGTGTTGCTGTCGGCCCTCGTTGGCTGTGAGGAGCATTCCACTGTCCTTGCACCAGGCTACCGAGTTGATATCCACTGCGGGTTCCACAGAGGTCCATGGAGTACCATCGCGGGGATCCCAGATCTTGATAATACGCTTATCTGCCGACATGATCTTGGGGTCCATAGTTGCTTCACGGGTTGCAGTTGAGGGCTGCAAGAATTTGAGTGTATGGATGGGGAAGCCGTATCCTTGGTCCTTCTTCAGAAGAGGGACAGGGGACCGCAAGTCGTAAAGGTGAATCAGACCATTCGAAGAACCAGTTCCAAGAGTCAAGCCAGAGCGGTGGAACTCTAACGCAGTAATCTCAGCCCGTCCTTCATTGAACTGTTGGGTGGGCGGTAAAAGAACACCCGCTCGGCCCTTGGCTCTAGGATCCCACAACTCCACAGTTCCAGTGGATGTACCAAAGGCGAGCAGGTTATGACTCTCCTCCGCAATCGCACCAGTGTTGACAGATCCAGTATTAATGCCACCCTGGAGAGTGCCGCCTCCAGTGGAAGTGAAATCATCTCCACCAACATCCACCTCGAAGCTGCGCATGTACCTTCCAAGCTCCAGATTCAAACGGAAAACTTCGCCCATGCCATCCTGGTTCACGCCGACGGAAGGAATGAACGCCTCGGTCGATTGTCGGTCATATACGAGATCGCGTCCGTATCGGGGCAGGCGGGTTGTGTAGTGACATCCTTGCGGTGTGTGGAATTCAAGAGAACGGTCGGACTGGAGGTGGAGGGATTTGGTATAATCGGAGGAAAGGAGGATGAAGGTTGTGTTCAGGGCGACTGTATGCCGGGCCCAGGACAGAGACAGTTGGGGGAGATAATGAGTGTGGATTTGCGGTTTGTAAGTTCCTGATAGATTTTTTATTAGCTATGCGCTTCCACGGCCGCTGTGGATGATAAAGCATACCTGTACTCATAACCCATTCACCATCTTCACTGGCTCGGACACACTGGCTAGCTTCCTCAAACTCGAAATCTTGCAGCAACTCCACTCGGTTCGCATACTCGGGATCGTCTTTCAAGCTGCGCTTTCGGCGTCTAGCGAGCCATTCTGGGAGGGGCCGAGCGGTATTAGAGCCCGAGATGGTGTATACAGGCACCTCAGACTGGTTAGAGAGCTTCATGGCGGCGAAATTCCCAGCGAGTTGTGACTAGCGCGATAAAAAAAAAAGTCGAAGATAAAAAAAAGATAAAACCGATAGGGTGCACGTGACGTACCGCAGCGGATCTCGGTGATTGGTCCGAGCGCCCCCGTGAACTTCCCCGGAATTGCGCAGCATCTCGGTGTTTTGCATTTGCGACAATCTAGATGAGCGCGTCGCTAGCCAATACAAAGATGACTAGACCTACCTGATGGGTTTATGCTTGCGATCACCGGCTATACGCGTATATGGTTCCCGGCAGATTATGTACCAGCACTGGAAATGACTCCCAGATTCGACTGCGACCACCTCCTCTCGTTTTGTGAAGGCTACCGGGGCTGTCCGCGACCGTTAAATCATGGACTTTCCCGGAAATGCCAGTACCAATGTCCATCTTATTGTAAGTAAAACCCTCGTTTTTTGGTCCTCTATCTGACCCAAAATCAGGATGGCTTCTCCACGATCTACTGGAGGATATACACGGAAGAGACAGGCATTGCGAACAATCCACCCGAAGGCCCACCCAACGGTTATACGATTTTGAAGCATCTCAGTCGCCTAAAAGATCTAGAGGCCAAGTTACGACTTCTCAACTGCTTGGCTTCATGCCCAAGACGCCTCGGGTTGTGGGTGTTCTCCCCCACTCCGGACTTTGAAAGTTTAGGCGCTTTATATGTGAAGGAGGGAAGCGAAGTGTCCAAGAAAATTCTAGTTGATACGACCATTCTGAAAGGTAAGAGGACGAGCTGATTATTCCTAAACTTTGGAAATCTCCCCACCTATTAACTTCGAAGATAGTCTCCGCATCGGGCAGCATCGCATCCCAAGACTTGATTAGAAGTCTTTCGTCGGAGACTCAAAACCAGGCTGGACTTCAAGCTGGGCAGCAAAGACCCCAGCAGGGTCAACCCAACTCCAGGCGACCCGAGAGCCATAGTAGTTCCGCTGCTATCTATGCCTCCTTTATTTCTGCAGTTACCGGCGCAATCAGCCTACATATGATTCGCTCTCATGGTGCCTTTCCGCTCGGCTCCCGCACTCTATTCACGGCCGTGGAAAAGGTGGGATACGAAAGCCCACGTGTCGATAACGATAGCCCGTTTTCGAAGTCTTGCCTGACGTCACTGAATATCCAACTAAATGGCCCTGGGACATTGATGATTTCGACACAAACGATCTCTCAGGTCGGTATCTCACGCCTCTGTGGGCCCCAGGATGATATCGCGGATGTTCTACGAGTGCAGCCAGGTACTGATCTTTGGCTGTGTCCGAACGGAACCGTTGCACGGCTTGTTTCGGCTAACGTTGAACCACCAACGGTCCCATCGCCTGGATTGCCGGTCTCCGGAAATTTCGCGGCAAAAAAAAGACAATGGAAGTTGGATGTGGTGCAATGGTTAGTGAATTTCGGCTTGCATATTGATTCAGTCGACGAGGAGCTGTGGGTTGAGGTAGAGGTATGGGAACCCTTTTTCGCAAGGTTGGCCGGAGAGGCATGGCGGCAAAGCGATGAGCCCCAGTCTCCGCTCCCTTTGAAACGCATGCTGTGGCCCGCAAGGTTTTGCTTTAAAAGAACCTCTTCCGAAACCCAGTCTCCAATGAATGAGAAATGCTGGCCTTTGGGCCTTGCCGACGACCCACTTGACTTTGCAGAGCGATGGCCATCAGAGACTGAATCTTTCTTGGCAAACAATCATTTGACACCCGCTCTTGTCGTGGATGAACCTCAACCCAAAGATGAAGACATGCCATCACCTAAAGTTGACAATTTGGATGGTTTTGAGAGTCTTTCTCGAATGGCTCAATATCCCGACCTCCCCCCGCCAACCTGGTTTACCCAACTCCTCCAGAAGGAACTGCTGTGCTTGGGTTAAACAATGTGAACCCGATGGACAATTTTAATGATGACACCGACTTTCAAATGTCCCCGGGTGCACAGCAAGACCCGAAAACCCGTCCTCACTTCAAGCTTTCTCCTGAGGTTGGCATTGGAACGGGCCATTATGATGCTAGTGATGATGAAGATCTTTTTGGCGAGATGAATGAGAGGGACTTTGGATCAAAGGGAATTACTGATGCTGATTTCAGCTTTTTCGATGACCCAGACTTTGATGACATGCAGGACGATTCCCCTGCAATTCCTATTCAAGAAGCGCCACAGCCTGTGCTGGAAGAGAGCAAGCTTGAGGAGAATACAGCAGTTAACAATGATCTACCCCCAAGCGCTCCTCCGGATGTTTCAGATTTTGTTCAAGATGTGGCGTTGGAGGAATCATTGCCCAAAGAGATTATACACGAGAATCCGCAGCCAGTCGATGAAGCCATGGGTTTGGAATCGTCCCCTGGTGACTCAGCAGACCCCAAGAGTCCAGCCATCATCAGTCCTCCATTGAGCCCTGTGGAGGTCAAGAAGATCTTGTTCTCGGGGGCAAGAAAAGAAGACACTCAACGACCTCTAGATGGCCGCGCTTTGCAAGGACACTACCATCCCGTAGCCTTTGAAAAGAAAATCGGAGACTGGAATGAAAAATATGGAGCTGCAGGTAAATTTTGGTTTGCTTCCGGGGGTACGCTTGATTCTTCAGACCAAGCTCCAAACTCCATTCCCACAATTGGGCTTCCTCATCGCAGCCGATCTGGGGTAAATGGTGCCTACGCAAAGTTTGCAGGCAAAACCGCTTCGCCAGCCACTATGGATAATGACTTCGAGGCACTTGCGGATTCAGATAGTGAAACCAGTGGTGATAGCGACGAGACATCCTCCGAACACGCCTCCGCTCCAATTATGGTCCCGTCTTTGAAGAGGAAACGAGTGCCCTCTGAGTCTGATGTTCAATCTGCTGCATCCCCAGCCAAATCCGCCGGTGGGCCTGATGTGAATGTTAGTCTGAAAGTTGAGAACTGTACTTTTCTGGGGAATTTTCTTGCCAACTTCTCAGATTGGTCCTTTATTGGTTATTTTTCGGCGTTTCAGGCACAGCAATTTCCCGCTCTTGTGCGAAGAGAAGACCAGATTTCCATCGCTCAGCTGCTCGTTGACCAGATCACGCAGTCCTCGTTGGATCATTCGCTTGGTGGTTGCATTGGCCTCTTCGGACTCGAAAATGAGAGCCTGACTTGGCGAACGAATCTCGAAGAGACCAACTTCCTAGGTGAGGTTGCGAAGCTTGATCTCAAGGCATATGCGTCCTTGCAAGAAGAGGTGACTGCAACACCTGCGCAGCAGCAGCCTAGGGATTCCCCGAAAGGATCTATCTCAAAGGTAACTGCTCCGCACGTACGTATGCGTCGGGGCAAAGAATACCTGGAAACCCTTCCGCCTGCCGTTTCGTTCTGGGAAACATTTGGTCTTGAGCCTGCCCACGGATCAAAAGATATATCGGCCTATTGTATTCATCCTGGCGTCGCGACCAAAGCAGCCGATACATTTTTAAATCGATTTGGCCTTCATTATCAGAGTTGCAATCTAGGGAGTCATACTAGAGGCGACAAATCTATAGCTTTTGAGAAGGGACTTCGATCATGGGATTCAGACTCTTCAAGTTATGCTTCCATGATGCAAACTCTAAAAAGTCTTTGTGAAGAACTCGGTATGCCAGAATTCTCTTTTAACAACATTGATGATTTTTTTGCTGACGTTGTCGACCAGGAGCCGATCTCTCTCAGTACTCACCTAGCACAGACAATTGTGTCATTTATATCGTCAACCCGTTCTCTCATGCTGCAGCACTTGCTGATATATGTGCCGCGTTCTGGAATCTTTTTCAACAAATGGCTGCCGACGCTGACCGTCAACAGGGCCAACCAATCAATGAGGTTGCGCTGCAGATTATTCCGATAGATTTCATTATGTCTGAGGATTCTATGGTTGTGCCTACTCAGACGGAGTACCTTAACCTAGCCTTGGAAGTTTATAGCCGTTGTCGGCCGAAGGACACTAGTCCAAGCCCTTTGCTTAGTGCTCCGGCGGTCCTTTTAGCTGATCCTTTGCCAAAAACCATCAATTTCCGTCTTGCTTCCGACAAGGGTTCGCCTCTGCAAGATGGGCGAAGCCTCCATATCGCCTACTCCAAAAGCTCAGATCAGCGATGGTTGTCTGTAGCATGGTCCGATAGCAGTGGCAGCCTTCAAACGAGCATGTCGTACTGCCTGCGTTATCGCAATCGCGGCACGGCTAGAGCAATCGCAGAAGTGCGCAATGAGATCTGGGCTGCTACGCGGCACATTATGGAGAGGTTCCAGGCTCAGTGGAAAGTCATTCTAGTCAATTCCGAACCTATTGATCCCGATGAAGTGGAAGGTAAATTTCCTTGCAAATAATGTCCCCATCCCGCTCCTTTGCTAATCTAACCCTCACTAGCGTGGAGCAATCTGGCCGAGCAACATAATAAAATACGGCCAGGATCCATGGAGCTGGTTATAGTGGCGGTCAACACTGTTCCCGATCTATCCCTCGAACCAGCTGCCTCTCAACTTACGCCCAGCGTTCTCAACCCACATTTCTCCTCTACTCCCGTCTCGACTCCGAACCCAAGTGTCAGCATTGCTTCGCCCGAGCAGACTGGTAACGCTCCGACCCCCAGTGCAGCCTACAACGCACCTACCCCAACCGAGCCCTCCTTGGAACCCGATTCAGATGTCGTTCTTACCGACATTTCCGATGAATCCTGGGCAGTTACTCTATCCCATCGTCTGAACAGTTCTCCACATGTTACCGAATTTCGCCCCGCGCTGGCTAGCGGGTATCTTCTTCGCCGCAAGGGCGTCACCGACGGTGAAGGCGTGTTCACAATGACCGCCAATCTTATTCATTCACAACGGCCTGCTGCATTACACGAAGCTCTTCTCAAAGACATCTTAGGGATGTATCGGGATCTTGCATCCCTGGCCCGGGCAAGAGGCATGCGCAGCGTTCAAGGCAACACGCTGCCATGGCATATTGCCACCGCATTACGTGCGCAAGAGCTCCTGAGCTATGTTTTCTAAGATACAACATCATGGTCTTATCCGGACTGGACGGCGTTCTGGCTTAATTCTTTTTGTCTTATCTTCTTTCTTTGTTTTAGTATGTAGATGAATGGTTTCATGGGTGCATTGCATGCATTTTTTTTTTTTCATCTTCAGGGAATGTGGATATACCATTGGCGGCATAAGTTTGATTTTTGTGAAAGTGAATGATACGACTATATTTCTTCCATTCAGTTTTAGTGCTGACCCCTATTCTGGGGTTAAATTAGTTCGAGGACTCCCCGAGGAACCTGACTAGCTCATTCGCACGGAGCAGTACATGGCCTCTTGATTAATGAAGCAAAGTTCGCTATGTAAAACAGTTGATGAATAATTTTTGACGCTCAGAAAAGCAACTCCTTGCCCGCAGCCTTGAATCTCGAAACCATAAAGCCCGGGCTGCAATTTGCTTCCCAATCCTCATCGAACCCCGAGTTCGGGTTGTGTGGGTTGAATGTTTGCTTCGTTGAAAACATGAAGCCGCCGCGAGGCTCATCCTCTAAGCTGGGAGACTCGGCATCGCTACTTTCCGAGTCACTGCACGGGCACGTAGAGGTCGTCCGGTCCCCTGGCGTGGTGCAAGGACAAAGGCCCAGGGAGCGATTGCACGGGACACATTTGTAGTATGCCCGACTGGTAACACCGGAGCTACCTGGGCGTCTGGATAGACGCACTCCTGGGAGTCCGCATTGTGGGCATTTCCAGCCTTGTGAAGCACCTTCGAGCAGTTGGATAGTCATGATGGTAGACGGAGGACTCTGTCGCATTGACTAAGATACTGTATAAGTGACTGATAGATGGAAAGAGATATGTACTACTCACACTGAACTAGAGCTGAGTAAAATAAGGCAAATAAGGTCTTGGGGTATCAAAGTATAGAGGAGCTTGTTTGATACTCCTAAAAGTCCGGGGAACCGCTCATTTTATAAACATTTTGCGGGGGAGGACGATCAGAATGACGCTATTTGGATCAGCAAAGGTAGAGAAATCCTAATATTGAGCAATCGTCATGGGATCCAAGTCAATTCATGTACAATCACGTAAAAGTAAGGGGTTCTAGACTCAGGCGTGATCACGAACGTCAGGGCTGACTGGATCGGGTAGGTAAACCCCCGAGGTAAAGCGAGATTTTAGGTAATATCGCGCAAATTGGTCAAGTGACCTTGCACACGTGGAAGCTCTTGTGTGTCCCCTTGTTCCATTTTACGTTTCTCTTAGTAAATAGGTTTCTATTTTCAGAGAAATGCAGAAAATGGCTCGGGAGGCCGCCGGGCCGGGGTTGAGTTCGATGATTCCATTTGCTGTGGGGACCGAACATTCCCCGCATTCTGGGGCGATTCCAAGGTTCGAGTCTCCAACTCTCATGCCCCTTTGTATACGGACACACACCGCTCAACGTGACTTCAACAATATAAACAACCTGACTAATCTCACACGGACTCATAGTTGATCCAAGTGCACATACCCCCTTTAATGCCTACGTACTCGGTTTTTCTGTTGAGCCCAACGGGCAAGTTTATGCATTGGTCATCGCTGAAGTCATATAGGTTCAAAAGCAGCGCATGTCCATAACAAAGCGTCGTCAAAAATACATCGAAGGGGAAAAAAGTAACATCCAAAACCAAAACCAAGCAGAAACAAATAACCTCATCAACTCCGAAACAATCAAAATCGGAGGCATGCATGCGTGTATATATGGCCCAGCAGGCCCAGCATTGTACAGGAAAAGCGCAAAGTCTCGTCAAAAACTCCAAATCGGTATATGGGCTCGTATAAGGGCTCGTCATGATGGTTGCGTGAAAAAAAGAAAACAAAGGCGCAATTGGGATATCATATCTTTTTCGTGGCGGGTGGTCGGCGACATATCGGTATTGCGATCGAAGGAGATAGAGATTTGGACATCGATCGATCGACGCAAGAATTGACTTTTCCAGAGAGGTCACCCTCCCTCTACACTCTCTTCATCTGCCTCCCTCTTTTTAGAGAAAAATGAGATGCGATGCTGGACTGCAAAGATAGCGAATCCGGCAATGGCAAGGAGGATGAACAGCACGATGATGATGATCGCGATGGTAATGTTGCGCTTGACCATCTTGTCTAGCAAGGACCTCCAAGGGCCGAGAAAGAGTAGGTGTGCTTTTGAGAGGTTCCAAATAACTTGTAGATCGGAGGCAAAGAAAAGCTGCGCTTCAGAGGTATATAGAGTGGTTGACAACTCTCCCGACCGACTTGGTAAGGTGATGCGATTCAAGGTGACACTCAGCAGTGCGTTGGCAGCGATGAGGGGTATATTGTATACTCCGAATAGCCAGGTGTAAATATCACGGCACTTTCCCCTCTCTTTACGTGGAATGTGGGAAAGCAGCAGGACGTAACAAGTTTGATTTGCAGGGTGAAATTGAGAAAAGAGAAAAATGTGGCGACCGGACTTTGAATGGCGTTTTTAAAAACGATGAATCCTTCCCAGCCATGTGCTTTTCGCGGTGGCTGGGGTTTGAGATCTGGGCCGCGTGGGTACACATACAGTTTAGCGCCCGAGACCAACTACCTGATATCGAGCATCAAGTTTTAAGGGAAAAACAGGGAGTCCTTCAATTTAATTTATAATCCATATTGATCAACATTGATGGTAGAATACGGTACGTGGAGCAATTATGGATAAAAGCAAAGTCATGTTGGAAATATCTAGACGTCAAGAAGGTACTGAATGGTTCCCAGGCGTGGGGCCCCCTAGTGCACTATTCGAGGTTATGTGTTAATGGATCATGTATTCAGCAAATGAAAATCTTGTTATAAGTGCCCGGATGGTCTAGTGGTATGATTCCTGCTTTGGGCTAACATCCTAACTGCAGGAGGCCCCGCGTTCGAATCGCGGTTCGGGCCTTCTATTTTTGCGCATCCTTATCTGATGCATTATTTTAACTGTCTCTTTTTCATCTTTGAAATACTGCAAAGTGCTCAAGATTTCGTTTTTTAATACCTTTTTGGGTCATGAAAGCCACACCTCTATGTGTCACATATATAGCTTATTAAGATAATCAGTGCCCGGATGGTCTAGTGGTATGATTCCTGCTTTGGGTTAACATCCTAACTGCAGGAGGCCCCGCGTTCGAATCGCGGTTCGGGCCCTCCTTTCTTTTTTTGCTTTTTACTTCCATCTACCAATGGTTTAAGCTTAAAATGCAATGAGGTGAACGTAGCCCAGAATTTGTAATAAACCACGTGGCCACCCGGCAGGTATATCCACGCAAGGGAAACAATAGGACTTAGGTAAAGCATACACCATGCCCTACAAGGTGAATGCAATGGAACAAAGAGCCGCGAGGGTTGGAGATGGATAAATAGTTAGAAGAATACAAGGCATGATAGAAACCGGAATCTTCCGTTCAGATGTTTCCCATTCAGTAGCAAATTTGGAAGTTGCGACGCTTTGTGCTTTGTGTCCAGGTGTAAATATGAAACAGCGCTACTTGGTGAGAATGCCGTCCCTTAGGTTCAATACGGCTTTCCAGTAGATGTCGTATAGTATGCACGCCTAGGTCTAGTAGTATCCACTCCGAGTTGCACTAACTCAACCCCACTTGATTGGCCGCGGAAGTCGCAAGTCTTAGCTTAAATAACCTTTGATATTTTCGAAACCAAAGCCGAAGTCCGCCGAGTTTTAGCCGTAAGGCTTGCAATTAATTAGCATTTTGACTCCCTCGTGGCTACGGGGCCTGGGTCACCCCTGCATTGATCACCCAGAAGGCCCCAAGGTCCACAGCTGAAGGGTGACGTACAGAAACCCGAGGTCCATGTTTATCTTTTCCTCTTTCAAGAGATGAAGTGAGGCCAGTGAGCCATGGATAATCGAATGCTTAATGCCGGAATAGACAATCACTTGTTTCCTACAAAGGATTTGCTCTGCCTACCTAGGACCTAGATAGCTACTTTCCAATTAGCAACCAGGTATAGATTTACGGCAAGAAGCCGAGAAGTTAATGTTATCATTGAGTGGCACCTACTATAAAGATGTAGTAAGTGCATCCCGAGGTCCTCTACGCGCAAAACTGAAAGAGTAGGTGCAATTGGGCATTCCTGGGCACTCATTTACCTGTCTGCCTTAATTCCATCTTGACCACAAACTTCATCAACGCTAGCCCCTCCTTCACTCCAAAGCTATGACAAATGACACAATGCCGCAGACATCCGAGCTAACGGGCGTCAATAGTATGGATGTATTATTGATTGCATCTACCGGATATTCAGGCACAATAGTCCGAACCCGATGACCACGAGGACAATCCTGATCGATGTGAAACATTTCAGGTTATTCCGTACAGGGATCGACGCTGCATGCTGTGGCTGTTTTCTCCGCATCCATACGGAGTCCACAGATTGTCCCTCTCCCTATCCACATTCTACCACCCTTCCCTAGCGCGAGGGGCACATGTGTACAGCAGCGGGGCACCTCCCGTGAAGATCTTGGCCAAAAGGGTTTTTAGATGACCAAGAAACGTTCAAGAACACCTGGGTAAGTGGAGAACGTATTTTGGCAAAAGTCTTGGAATCACGATGATCGCAAAGCCTCAAATGGCGGCTCCACCGGGAATTCTGGTAACGAAGCGCGGACCGTGCGCGGCTAACAACTTGTACCATTTAACCATGCGGACGGAGAACAGAATTCTCGCCCGCGATCGACATGACAGATAACTCCCGGATGAGCTGGGTTGCGTTGCACCCGCAATCAATGCGTCAGGACACCGATTCTTGAGTCTTCTGAACGGCCAAAAAGGTTGCAGAGAGGCTTTCAGAGCTACCAAATTCGCTTTTGATACTGGGCGCTTCGTGCAGCTCTCGTCCAAAGACTCATCTCCGAGGTGGCAGGGATCGTTCTTTCTCTTTGTTCCCGGCCGCCACCAAATCCCACGCTATTGAAGCTATCGCCCGCCACTTTTTTTGGGCGGGGATATTTTCTCGGTTGACAGGCGACGCTTGCCCTGATCCCGGGAAAACGAACATCATACCCAACATAGGCAGTGGAGACCCGAGATGGCATACTAGTTGTTTAGTCGCGGCTGGGCACAAGAGTTTGCAAGTGCACGGTGATTGGTTTTTTTTTTTCCCCTTTTTGGTCCCCGATCCCGGATCCCATGATTGATACATTGTTAATTGATCCTTTAGCTACATTGTGATATTTCCTAGGGTTTGCTTAGCAGAAAGACGCGAGGCCCTCGTCTAGACTTGGGATGGTATCCACTGGAAATTGGCAATACTGGGAAACTTTGACATTATGCTCTGAGCGGGATACACCACGGGCTGACCCATGGAACCGAAGCTGTCTACCGAGTAGAAGCCGAGAAGAGGGAAAATCAAAAGGGAAAAAAAAAAGACAACATCTCCACCCTCGTTCACGCTACTGAGCTATGACTGGTGCACAAGCAGCTCCGCTCTCAAATGGGTCATGTCCGTGCATCGTTGACTTCTCAGGTTCATAGTATGGTTCGTTGCCCAGAGCTCCACTTCTCGAAAACGCCCCCTGATGAACAAAGAAAGTGCATGATAGGGCGTAATTGACTCATTTCCACTGTGCCCCCGTCGATAATCAACGGTCAAACTTTGTTCAAGTGGTTCGATACCCATTCGAGTACTTCGTGTGCATGGAACCTGTAATGCATAGGACACAGACCAGCTCACTGCGCGTGTGGATTTGGTAGTAGACAATATCATTTAAAAATCCAATACTTCCTCAATCTCTCCCCTAATCTGATCATTAGATCCTCCTCTAGTCCCCACTGTGGCTTACTGGGCTTTCCACTTCACGATCCTAAAGCTGGCTTGGTGCGCCTCCAACCCTTAAATCCTAGCATCTATACTTTCCCCTTTGGGATCGAGAGAGGAACCTTATTTGCCAGGCTCAACCCACGATCGTCATTTATCCGCTTCTGGGTGGAATGCAGTATTAAAGGAAGTGGTCCTGGCTTCGATCTCCCCTCTCGACTCTTTTCTTTTTTTGCTGTCCAGACCCATTGGATCTACCTCGGTGGATTCTTGCATTCGTTTCACTACACACTCCTTCATGCAACGATGACTACTCTATCCACCGTTCGAGGCCGTGAGGCCCTTGCGTGCAGCACGGTCTTTACCTGTCTGGCTACATTTCTAGTGGCCATTCGTATCTACACCCGAGCATTCATGGTGAAGCAGATGGGATCAGATGACTATGCTATCCTGGTTGCCTTGGTACGAGCGAATTCCAGAAACACAGACATATAAATTTGTCAGACTAACGTTGCCCCCTAGGCTTTCTCATGGGGTTTCTACGGATTGTTCGTGGGTGGTAAGATCTTTAGCCCTAATGCACTTCAGGTCGAGTGACAACTAACACCCAACTAGAGGTTTACCACGGTATGGGTGCCGATTATGATATTATTCCCCACCAGACATACGTGACCCAGATGCTGTGTTTCTGGGCCTCCGTTCCAATCTATCAGACCAGTCTGATTACTACCAAATTGTCGATTCTCCTCCAGTACCGACGAGTGTTCTCCACAACACCGCGTATGCGATTGGCTTGCAACTTGCTCATCGGCTTCCTGGCCATTTACGGAACCTGGACAATCATTAGCGCCTGGGTCAACTGCATTCCTATTAAGAAGTTCTGGGATCCGACTGTTGCGGGCTTTTGTTTCAATAAAGAAGCACTGTGGTTCTCGAACTCTGCAATCCACATCTTGACCGATCTTTTGATTCTCATCTATCCCATGCCCGTCATCCGATCTCTTCAATTACCCAGCAGACAGAAGATTGCTTTGATGGGCGTCTTTGCCCTAGGTGGATTGTATGTTCTGGTCCCCATGCAGCCACAACTTCCCCAACACAGTCACTAACGCAATTCTTCATTCCAGTGTTATGATCACCAGTATCCTTCGCTTGAAGAGTCTCCTCGTCATCTCCAACTCCAGTGACCCAACCCGTGAGTAATGAATTTTCCCAACAGCCCAACTGAACCTATCTAATTAATTCCCTACAGATGACAACGTTGGCGCTGCTGAATGGTCCGCAATCGAATGCAACGTCGCAATCATCTGCGCCGCGCTCCCAAGCACACGAGCCCTCTTGTCTAGATTACTCCCCCACATCTTCTCCACGCGCAGCAACGGCTACCGCAGCAAGACACGACCATCACGCACAGGCCGGAGCGCTCTTACTGGCACACATACCAACGTACAAGCATCCGTTATCGGAGGGCGCGGCCTCGACCACCCAGAGTATGATCTGGAGAACCTTTCTCCGACTGGCTCGTCTTATGATGGTTACTCCAAGGAGCAAGAGGCTAAGGCTGAATTCTCAGGCATCAAAGTTACGACATTCGTGACGCAAGAGTCGGTTTCTACACCGGCTGACAACAACGATTCTGGGAGTACGAAAGACCTGGTTCATACTCATCGAGAGAGTTTCTGATGCTTTCTCAACCCTTTCCTCCCTCTTTCGTCTTCCATCTTCTTCTATTTTTCATGATTTTGCGTCTTCATTCTTTTCTTTTCGGTCTTAGGGTGGATTTCTCCCTGTTCGCTTATTGATGACTTGGTCATCACCTCTTTCACTACGAGATACCTTTCCTTTTTGTCTTTCTACCTTTCTCCGTTTTTGCATGTCTTACTATTATATTTTGGGCGGTCTTCTCTCTTTAATTTGGGTTACGAGAGGAATGATTATTTATGTCAGGTTAGGGTGGGTTGGATTTTAGCTAGATATTTTTTTGCATATACCCCGTCGGAGAGGCCGACTTGATTCACAAGAAAGAAATATCGAGATATTTGAATAAACATTTGACATTCATGACATCATCCCATCTATGTAATAATAATAAAAAGAGCTAGACTGGATAACATGAGCCATGGTAGTAGAATTCATGATGCATTACCTACTATCCAGGGAGCTGGGAAGAATTAAGACCATTGGAACAAGTATACACGCCAAAAAAAATGTAAAGATGAGACCAGCCCATTTGCATCCGGGATATGCCCGCAAGATTCAACAAGGTAAATAAAAAGGCGGATTAGAACAAAAAGCGGTGGTCTGAAATCATCAAGACGTAAGTCTCAACCGATATAGACACCAGTATGTGCAAACCCAAAGCGTAGAGTACTACCACTAATGCAAAGCCAGAACCGTGCGAGGTGCAATGATTATTTCAATTTCCTATCGAAATGAAATACCCTTTTACTCCCATACATTGGAGAAGAGGTCGTCAGATCCACCAAACCCGCCTGCCGGCTTGGATGAGTTGTGAGAGGTCGTAGTAGTTCCAGAGGAGACGGGAGCAGCGCTGGTCCATCCGCCAAAGTCTTCATCAGCAGCCACGGCCGGGGTCGGCTTGGATGCCGCACTGGGCATACCCCAACCACCTCCAATATCATTGGCAGTCAGTGTGTCGGGAAGTTTCATCATAGATGCACTAGAGGCAGCAGGTGGGGAAGCAACTGGTGCTGGGGCAGGCTCAGGTGTGCTCCAAGCATTACCACCCCAAGGATCCATGATGCCCGCAGCGGCAACGGTGGCAGCGGGGGCCTGTGGCTTAGGGGGCATAGGAGGCTGGAAAGAGGGGGAAGAGAGGTTGAACGCAGAGCTCATCTCCTGTTGCGGGGAGACAGGATTGGGCTTAGGTGGCGCCGCCGGAGCAGGGGGCGGGGAAGAGAGGCCGAAGAGGTCGTTAGAAAGAGATGACGACGGGGGGTTTGGCTTGGAGGGCTTGGGCGGAGGAGGTGAGGCAAACCCGCCAAAGCCGAAATCTTGTGAGTTCGAGGAAATAGATGTTGTTCGAGACTGAGGCTTAGGTGCAGACATAGTGGGGGAGGCCAGGCTATCAAACAGGTCGTTGCTGGCCGATCCCGAGGGCGAAGTGACTTTGGGAGCAGCGGGGGTGGACTTCATGTTCGAGAAGCTCGTAAGATTGGCGAAAGGAGATGGCTTCTCAGCCGGCTTAACCGGGGGAGGGGAGGTAGTGGAAGGGAAGCTCAGGCCACTGAAAGCGTCTGTCAAGCCGCCCATGTTGGAAGATGCGGACGGGCCCGCTGGATAGGCCATATCACCGAAGGAGTTGTTCCGCTCATGCTGAATGGGAGCAGGCTGAGGTTTCGCGTACAAGGACAAAATTGACTGCTTCAAATCCGGCCGCGACATGCCACTGGGTGCGGCAGGTGTAGATGCAGTGCTCGTTGGGCGGTTGGCCGCAGCTGGCTGGGTGCTGCCAAAGAAGTCGAGGCCAAGCAATGAATCACCAGGTTTCTGAGTCTTTAGCTGTGGCACAGGCTGAGAGGACTTGGGTGGCGGACGAGGGGTGGGTTCGGTAGTGCTGGGACGCACTGGGGGAGATATATCGTCACCAAACAGATCGATCGACGGTTGTGGGCGGCGCTGCAATGGGGGTTGACTCGGTGCGACTCGTTGAGAAGCGGAACGTTCGATCTTAGCCTTTTCCTGTACAACCGCGAGAGGCTGGTCGGTCAGCGTGCTATCCCAAGTGATTCCAAGCGATTCCAAAGCCTCCGGACTGTATCTCAGGAACACTCACCACATCGTCATCGTCACCTTCAAGAGTCGAAGGGTCTGGCATCGGTCCATCCATCACCCAGCGCTTGGATTCATACTTGGTGCGGATGAAGTTTTCGATCTTACTATTGATATACGCCGTCAGTAAGCCCGACCTAGGCTCAATCAATTGGCAGTCACTCACGCATCAGATGGAACGTGGCCGGGTGCTAGTTTGTCTTCCCAGTATCTGTTTACCGTTAGCAACGTTACCCACACGGTCAATTGCTTGTAGCTGACTTGTTTGCTCGCCCATTGCCCCATTTCACCACGCTCTGGACTTGCTCATCGGTCCAGGTATCGAGATCCACGGACTTGACCCGACTGATGTGTGTGCCCATTCCACGGTGAATGCCAGAGCACCGGATACAAACAAAGACACCTAAGTTCCATGACGCCCATCGCGGATCTGAATTGAGCAGAAACCATTAGTTTTCGTATTCGTATTGTGGGAGCCAGCTGGGCGCGTGGGCGGGCAATCGGAGTGGACACTCACGCTTGTTGCGCTTGCAGTCGGCACAGATCTTGTTGGACTCGAGTTTCAGCAAACTCTTGATTGTCTGCTGGTTCTGAGCAGCCTGGCCCGGGGTCGCGCGTCGAGACATGATCTTGAGCGTTCTCGGGAAAGAGTTGTCAAGGAAAGGAGGAAGCGCAAGTGGCGGGAAATGGGAACTGGAGTGAACAATGCGGCCTAATCTTGGCTCGCAGGGGTAAGTACGGTGGGTCAGGGCTGCCACACCCGCAGTTTGACGTAGATAGATTTGGAAATTGCATTTTGGATATCTTTTCTGTGTAATAGGAAATTAAGTGATATTACGAAGTCGCATTTCCCGCAGATTGTGTACAGTGTTTCAGTGATGTGGTTGGTCTGTTGGCAAGCCTGTGATCAATGGCCGCCAGGGTCCTTCTATGTGCGCATATAGAGTACCTCGTGGAAGCCTTATTTTCTTTTCTAGAACACCTTATATTATGGTTAAATTATCTACATCAAATTACGCCTTGGACTTGCCACTGGTACCTTCATCCTCTGTGAACCGCAGACTGACACTGTTCACACAGTGACGCTCATCGGTCGGGGTCGGATACCCTTCACCCTCGAAGACATGGCCGAGATGGCCTCCACAGTTGCTGCAGGTAATCTCGGTGCGCTTCATACCAAAAGTGTTATCCACATGTCTCTTTACAGCACCGGGAATAGAGTCAAAGTAGGCTGGCCAGCCACAGCCAGACTTGAATTTGTGATCGGCCTTGTACAGCGGAGCGTTGCAACCGGCGCAGTTATATACGCCCGTTGATGGAGAGTGGGAATCATATTCACCGGTCCCGGGACGCTCTGTTCCCTTCTCACGAAGGATTCTGAACTGTTCTGTATGTTCAAGCAACGTTAGCAAGAATGACTTCTCCGATGACTTGTTGCTGGGGAGTCAACACGCACCAGGACTCAGAACCGCCCTCCATTCAGCCTCGCTTCGCTGATCAGGATACGACATGTTTTCTTTTGTTTCGTCTGGCTTGTTTGAGCTGAAGAAGGCGCCAAAGAATGGAATTGTTGGGGCTGCTCGGAGTACTTTGGAGCCCGCCGTCGGACGAGTGTTGCGGGCGGAGGTGGAGTGGGGTCGGAGCAGGGTTGCGGACTGAACGAAGGCGCGATGCCGAAGAGGGGCCTTTATGACAATACGCGCAGCTTGAGATCTCATGGAGGAAGAATGATTGATATTTGTGCTCAGGGAGCTTTGTGAAGAAGAGTGAACCTGAGGCCTCCCGGCTTTTTACGTCATCACTGCGGGGAGCGGCGAATGCGAACCATGGAAGATGCCAGAGTCTGGGGACATTCGATCGAACAAGCGAGAGCACCTCGCTCATTGAGGCTTATATTAAAGAGCAGATGTGATAGATAGATCTGACCGACTTCCACCCTGACTAACCCAAACGACGCCATTGCTATGTTGCGGGTATCCTGTACATAAGTAACAAACAAAACATCAACATGAGACGAATGTATCCACAACAAGTCAAACAGATAAGTTATCTTAATAAAATCATGGAAATCAATCTCAGCTCCGAGCCCTTCCCGTGACAACGAGAAATCCTCGATCAACTTCCACTCGCCACCCTTCTCGCATCAGCATTTTGCTAACAGCGGGACCCAGGCGAGATGTGCCATCATGGCTGTGGTTACCGACACCAGTGACGATCTTGTATCCACCATGAACATGTTTGCCGCCCCCACGAACATGCTTGGTATCTCCCAGATTGTTCCACCAGGCTTCAACCCGTTCGCGGGTAATGCGGACAGCATTGGTCACATTGATCCCATGTAGATCAAGATCGCCGTTGGTCGACTGCCGAGTCACAAGCCTGTCTGATGCTGTCGCCAGATGATTCATCGCGAGTGCGCGCTGCTCTTGTCCCCGCTCGCGATAGACTGCACTTGCACCAGCAAAGAGGGGGTTGGACTTAGCGCGACGGGCGGCCTGGCTTGCTTGCTGATATGCAGAGACACCTGCCGCGAAATGAACTTCGGCGGCGGCCCGAGCCTGCTCGTAATCGAACGCACTTGTGGGAGCTCCTCGACGACGGGCCGGACCATGATCAACTTCATCATCTTGCGTGAGATCAAGCGGAGCTGCAGACAGTTTGATGAGATCATGTGCTGAGCATTGGAGCTGCTGAACCATCACTGCAGCTAACTCATTCGTTGCCGAGATAAGGTTGCAGGTTACTCTAAGTAGCCCGATCAAAGTAGCTCGCGGAATTGTTGGATAGTCATGTGAGAGCTCGGTCACTTGTGCGAGCATTACTGGGTCATCATCAACCACACTCGGGTCTTGGGGGGCCTCAGCAAGAGCTACTGCTCGGATAGTCGCTGGCAGTGACATTCCATTAGCATGATAGGCAGAGTTGACTTTTTCCCTTGGTAAATCTGGGGCCCGGGAGCAGATGAACTCGATATCAGCCTTGCCAGCCTCCCATTTGTTGACAATCGCAGGTTCTGAATACGCCCTCTCCTCTAGAAGATGTGCCTTTTGTTTCTTATTGCGTTTCTTCTTGCGTCCAGATTGACGGCCGGCATCACCACCATAAATATCGAAACCGTCGATGCCTTTTGGGATGAAGATTTTGTCATCATCCTCGGCTGCTTGCGTTTCATCAAAGAAGGACAGATTCAAGAGAACGTCCATTGCTCTGTCAATATCTTCGCTGCTCGTCTTTAATGCCTGAGCCACGCTCAAGCGAGTCATTGTGGGGAACATCTCCAAGAGGGCATTCGTCTTATCGTCGAGTGTCGCTCCGGTTAGCTCAAGAGATCCGTCGGCCGCAATTGTATATACGGCGTGCGAAGTATTCTTATCACGACTATCATCAGAGATGCTAGTGACATCAGTTGCAGTGCATAGGGACTCATAGCCATGGACCGAGGTTCCAATTTCTGAACGCATCCCGCTCATGTCGAAAGTTTCCAGACCATGATCATTTGCAGTACCAGATGGATCAAAGGGAAGGTTCTCCTGTTCAACGGCTAGTTCCTTGATGGCGTTCAAGGATTGTTTAAGCTGGTCGATATTCTCGGGTACCGTTAAGTCATATTCGGAGGCAATCGCGGCGAACAATGCAGAGTCTACGGGTGGGCAATAGCTCCTTTCAAGTTCCTTCAAGAGTATAACAAGTCAACTCCAAAATGTTTTCCATTTTCCGATGGTGTATGAATCGCCACTCACTGCCCAAATGTCCTCACTAGGATCCCCCATGGCTCAATATTAAAGGCGGTCAATGGCAGAATAGCGGGGTACCACGATATGCATTCCTGAAATGATTTCTCGGCTTTCGATAGAAAAGTCAAGACCACTGGAGCTTTGCGAATTGTCGCACGCAAGCACATGGAATATGTACACAGGCAGGATGGGTAAGGAAAGTGGCAGTTTTAGGTGTGAACATTTGAAGGGTGTTGGAGAAGTAACATGCAAGACTGACGTTGTTTTTTCTGCCGTGAAAACATGACCGCCCTCCCCCACGTGGACACCTTGCATTTAAGGTCCACGTACCTAACTAGTTACCTCTTACCGTCGTTTGACTTCTATACCTTACGGATCCAGCATTTGAAGTTGTTCTGCTGTGTTTCTCCCTGTTCCAATTCTGCCAAAGAGAAAGCGTCTTGGCTCCAATGTAAGGATCCAATCCGGGATCCATTGGAACACCCAATGGACCTTTAGAATTCATGTATCCATAGCCTACAATGTCAACATGAAAGTCAATATCATCATAACCGTACCTCACCTTAGTTAGGCATCTCCTTGCTCAGGCACAGCACACTTAGATATACACAGTTCTGAGGTTGGTTTTCATAAGCCTAATATTGTGTGACAGGCAATATATGAAATTTCCAAGGTTGTAAAAAAGCATCATCCGCCTGGGCAAGTCCTAAAATCTCATCCAGACCCTGAGATTCCGTTATCTCATCTCCTGGGCAGATATATAAAAATGGCAACAAAATCTTGAATATCAGTCCGACCATGATGGAGGCGTCGGAGAACACAAATACGCGTCAGGTCTGGATGGGGGTCACTTTGCCAGCAACAATCATAACAAGGATCTGAAGTGCAACCTTAGCCGACGAACATTTGAAGTATTTTAGTTCCTACTAGCGATTACCCAATCACGGCTATTCCGAATTCGTACCCATGCTGTACGAGTACAGTCGGTCCATGTAGGGTGCTGGCCCCAAGGCAACCGCGTTTGACTCGCCCACCACAGTAGCCAAAGAGCTACGATATGCAATATGACAGCCTTAGAGATAGACGAACTTCGGTAGAGCTATAGCGATCTCACGATGACATTCCCGTGTTGCGTGAGGGTAGACGTCAGGTTGAAAACATAAATGGGCTCGGCCCTTGCCTTTGTGGTACAAAGATCCATGGTGACTTTCCGAGACCATGAGCAAGGGCATCCAGCTTTTCCGACGTGCTAAGGCCTTCGGATGTATTCCTTGGCGGTTCTCTTAGGTTTTCAAGCTCTGGAAAAGAAAATTCTGAGACACTTGGTTGATCTGATGTGGCTTAGGTTGGCTGAATTACCCCTGTGTTTTATGTTTGATCTGTCAATCGCAAACAAGGAATAGCTTCCAATAGAGAGACAAATCGCCTCTGGTGGCTATAATCAGCAAAGTTGATCTTTATGTAATAAAGACTGCGTAACCACAGTCGTTTGCGAGTAAGGCCCTGTGATCAGTACTTGTTGCGTGCTAAACGGGCTGCAGCGGTGCCCCCAGGGGCCATGTACCCTAGCCAATTGTCTGGGCAGTAGAAGGACCAAGGTGCAACAAGCCATCTCACTTTCAATACAGACAGGCACTGCGCAGAAACTATGACGCGCGGCCGGTTCAATTAAATAGGTTGTGTGGCATGAAGTCGCCGGTTCGAGATTTCCATTCGGACCAAGATCAATCTTTTGGCAAGCTACGGCATCCAGAATCTTCGTTTTTCTACCATAAACTATACATGTTCCCGGGGCTCAGAAGATACAGCCCCTGCCTTTTGCCTCTTGTACTCCTTCCAATCTGGAAGCATGAGACATGACGCGAGTAAACATAACAAGTACCCTGGTCCAAAAATAAAGATTGGCATGGCATGAGGAGGACCCTAGGAGACCCAAGAGCTCTTCCATGTCTCTGAAAATCTTATAAGATATTGCTCTCTCGGTCGGTTTTTCAGATTTGTTTCTTCTTTCCCAACCTTCTGGCCTATCATCTTACTCGAGGGTCTTATCCATTATCTCCAGTTCCTTTCTACAGCATAGCCGGTGGTAAAACTTGATCCATCACAATGCGCATCGCCTTCTCTTCTTCCCTGTTGGCCTTCGCCGCCACAGCTGCAGGTATGACTATGAATGCTTTCGAGGATCATCAAATTTAACGAAATTTCCACCAGGTCTCCGTATCCTCAGTCCAGCCATTGATCAAAAGGTGGAGCAGGACGACACCATCACAGTCCGATGGGAGGCCGTGTCGTGAGTGAATGTAACTTGAATGGTTTCATGAGCCAAGAGAATATTAAATCGGATATCTAGGACCGATCCCCCGAAGATGGATATTTATCTGGTCAATCAGAATGCGTACCCAAACACCCAAGAAGTGATTGCTACAGGTGTAGACACCAGCCTCGGAAAGTACACCATTAAAGCCAAGGATGTTGGTGATGTTGACACTGGGTATGTGAAACTTGCATTTCCGGAGACCAAAGCCTCAAATATTGATTTCACAACGTAGTGGCGGTTACCAGGTCAACTTTGTGTCCACAACCGGTGGCGGCATTCTGGCTCAGTCGCAGCAGTTCAAAGTGACGCCATCTAAGGCTGAAGCCTCTAGCTCTGGTAAGATGACCAGTACTGCTAGTGAAAGTTTATCCACTTCTGCCTCTATCTCTGCGTCGACTTCTATGATTTCTGATTCCTCATCATCGACTGCGATGAGTTCTTCGACTTCTGCTTCTCATACTTCTTCTCCGACAGCTTCTTCTACTGCTTCTTCGAGCGCTACTCACACCTCCACCAGTGCGTCTACCTCTGCCACTTCTCCTTCATCTACTGCTTCACCTACTTCTACTTCTGCCCATACCTCATCTGCTATGACGAGTTCTACCAGTGCGTCCACCCCTGTTGCGTCTTCCAGTTCTTTCTCAAAAAACACAACCCCTTCAAGCACTGTGTCAGCCACAAGCTCTTCGCACTTTTCCATGACTCACTCCTCTACATCAGCCCATTCCTCTTCCATGTCGTCCACAATGTGGACTTCCACAAAGATGCCCTCTTCTACTATGTCCTCCTCTTTTGTGTCTTCCACAAAGACCCCATCTTCTTCTATGTCATCGTCCTCTTTCTCTCGCACTCCTTCTTCGTCTCGCACCGTTAGCTCCACTATGAGTGGTGAGTAAATGGTGCCATGTTGTGGTTTCCAAGTTTTATTTGCTGTTTTGAACCACTTATCACCGTGTTTTCTCCATACTGACTTGGCTCTATTAGCGAGCTCTTCCACTACGGCCTCCATGGAAACGTCAACTACCACTAAGCATGAGAAGACCGCGACTTCCACAGAGAGCGCATCGGCTACCAGCACCTCGAACGCAGCTGGCTACCTGATGCCCCCGACCCAGGCCGGTGGCCTGCTGCTGGGACTCTTTGCTCTGGCTCTTTAAGTACCGTTGTGGCTTTTTCCGGTTGTACTGAGAGCGACAAGTTATTCATTTAACCCTTTTCAAAATATACGACGGAAGAATGTGATGTCTATGATGAGCTTTTCTAACATAGTGCGGGATAATGATGAGGAAGATACAGTTTGATTTGCGCTTTATTCGTGCGTTGATGGAAATCTGAAATCTAGTTTTGCTTTTATGACCATGGACCTATGCTATGTCCTTTATCTTAATACGAATTGCAATAATGTTCAAGTCTTGGAATGCTTCCGAATCTAGCCAATCAAGTTGATCCATTTGAACCTCGGTAGAAACGTCGATCATTTCGGCTTCCCCGCAGTGCAATTGATGCAACATTTATCTTTCCCTCCAACTAGTTTTAATTCTCATTTGAACAGACTCATAGCTTTCTCACAGATATACCGCTTACCTTCAAAATGCCTGTACTCACTCTCCACCTCCTCACACTCAACAAGGCGACAGATGCCCAATCATTCATTCACCAGCTCAAGCAGTCCACAACCAAAGTCATCGTCGCCTCACGTCCCCGACACACCGTAATCCATCCATCCATTCTAGACAACAGCCCGCTAGCCACAACAAAATGGGACCTCCTTCTTCTCCTTCAGAATGCCTCGGCACCGACGGAAGATCCAATTCCATCTACACTCCGCCAATCAATCGGCACCGAATACAAGCTCACTACTGGAATACCATCAAAGCTCATCACCAGCTATCCCGCCCGGGATGCCGAACTCAAAGCCAATGCATCGTCAATTCCACTTACCGGATCCCTAGATAAGATTCTAAATAGCGAGACAAAAACCACATCCCAAAATCTAGAAGTCTCGCCCGAGCTCCTAGATTTCATGACCACAGTCTCAAAAACACATCCGGGGCCCGTCACGATGCTGAACTTGTTACATTTCCATCATCCCAATGGTAAACAGAACTACTACCAGTATGGCCAAGCGTTTGTGCCCGTCGCAGGGAAACGAGGTGGAAGTGCCAAGTTGGTCGGGAATGTGGTACCGCCTGGCCAGGGCCGGGATTCCCGGGGCTTGAGTGATCGGCCTGCGAGTGAGTGGTGGAATGAGATCTCGATTGTGCATTATCCTTCTATTCGGCATTTTTGCGATATGCTGGCTGGTGATGATTATCAGGCCATCAATGAGAAGTATCGGTTGTCGGTGAGTGGATTTATCACAGTGTGGTGCGCAAGTCGTACATATTGATGCTGACCACTATCTAGGCCCTTCGTGATACGTTTTTGTTGTGCACGACCGAGTTTGATGTAGAGGAAGCGGGCAATGTCAAGCTGTGATACACTGGTTAGAGGTGCAGTTCTACGGATTATATATACTACACTATGGAACATGGTGAAGCTTGTAATGTGTTCGATGAGCTGGGTATCTGGGAAATACGACAATGAGACATCCTACTCCTGAACGCTGAAAAAAAAGATTGCAACCTTAGATAAAGCCAGGTCGACAGTAACTCGAGACTCTGCATAACAGAAATTTTCCAAAGGCATAATCACGCCACGCTTAGCATCACTGGTCATGACTTGACCACGCTGTCATGAGGGCGATCCCAGGTGCGAATATGTCCTTCACCCAATCAATTAGTACATTCGCAACAAAAGGTCTAGAGATTGATTCATACCTTCAAGTGAGGAAGTCATAATGCAATCCTTCTGAAAACCTAGCCAGCAAATGGGATCTTCACCGACGATTTTAGACTATATCGCAAAGTTAATTTACCGAATAATATGCAGTTCGCTAGATATATAGCGTACCATAATAGGAGGCAGAAGAGCAGTCCGCGATCGGGGTTCAACAGGATGGCTGGTCAATGGCTCGACATCTTCGTATGTGTTGTCTGTTCTTTCCGAATCGGATCTCATGCGATTGCCCCAACTGTCAGCACGGTGGCGATGTGTGGACTGGGAGCTCGGTGCGACAACACTGGTACGTTGTCTGGTGGAGTTTTGATGATGCTGTTCAAGGATATTAGATAAGAGGTCACGCCAAAAATGGACAACAAACGAACCGCACGAGGGCGATGGAGCATTCCAACGCTGAAATCCCAAAGAAGTAATCTACAGTCATCACCGACACTTCCGAATCGATAGGTCTTCTGGTCACAGCGCCAAGGATCGAAGGCTACTGACGACACCCACGAGTTGTGGCCTTGACATCTGGCTACAATTTTGCGTTCGGGGAATGACCAGATCGTCACAAGATCATCCTGGCCGCCCGTGACGATGTATTTCCCATCGGGTGACCAACAAGAACAGATCAACCCACCATAGTAGCTTCTGAAAATATCCAGAACCCTAGTTCTTTGTTAGCGACGGCAGTTGGACAGAGATGTTGTAGACCTACTCTTCTTTCAAGTAATCCATGAGACGCAACGAGCCATCCTCCATAACGATTGCTAGATGCCGCTGATCTGGCGAGAACGAAAAGTGAGAAATTTTTTGACTGGCCAATTTCCATAATGAAACAGGATTGGTCTTCTGGTTTCGCGAGTTGACTGATTTAAGAATCTCCAAGGGGTATTGACTGGGGTCTCTCTCCGGGATGCCGGTGGTCTCTGATGTGAACAGCGCATCCTCCTTTTCCTTATCATAAACCACCAAAACACCGTTGGCATGCGAGGCCATGAACAGATTCTCGGATCCAGGAAGCCATTTGATATGAGTCACAGGTGAATTGTTGATCACACCGTTTTTATTGATTCGGGCATACTTTTGCGACAGAGGCTCATACCAAATGATGTCCCCCGCAGAAGACCCCATCACAATATCCAAGTGAGAGGAGGTCTTGGTCAGCTCGTTGATATCATGGCACAGCATGTGAGCCTTGGTAAACAAAACTTTCGTGAGATGCTCTTCCTTTGACGTCGAGGTGATATCGAGCCATTGAAATGCACGATTGATGTTGGCAAATGCAAAAGTCCCATTTGGATCGCGTTCACTCAGTCGCTTGGCCGATGTCTCGTGAGTGATCACCCGTGAAACAAAAGACGAGCTACTCTTGATGATATTGTTCTTAGGCTTTCGTCGCTTCAATGCATCCTTTGCAGGTGGTACTGGTGCCGCAAGCGCTGGGTTTCCATCTCCGAATTGAGGAGCGGAGACGGCTCCCTTGAGAAATATCGGTGGTTTCTTGCGAGGATCAAGGCTCACCAAAGATAACTTTACGCCAGATGTGGGGGGATTAGGAACCGTCGCAAGAGGGTTGGGATTGATAATCGGGGCCTCGGAGGGATGAGGAGGGGGTGTTGCCAGGAGGAGGTCGTCTTTAAGTGTGTAGGTTCCTAATGCGTTGCCCAGCAGTCAGCAATATGGTCTTTTTGGAGGTTGAAGGATGTGTAATAAGACGTTCACTACCATCATCGTGAGCGGCTCTCAGACGTACCTTCTCCAACCTGCAGTGGACAGCCACCTTCCGGGTGGCTAATGGTGTTGTTTGTCTCGACGACTGGGACCGCCATACCATTTGCCGCCCCTGCCGCGTAGGCGACAGGGATAGTATAGCGGGGAGGTGGAGGTGGTAGAACACTGTTTATGCGGTTAGTTCATTAGAGCGAATAGCACGAAAAAACAACAATGGTGACAGTAACAATGGCCTCATTGCATAGATATCAATGTCGACACATGACGTGTGTCGCATATCAGTGACTTGGGGCGGAAATGCGACTATGACGTCTCGAAGATAGTGATAGCTGTGCAGCAGCGGAGAAAGACGGGAAATTAATATCAAAGGGGCTTGTCTTACAACATGGCGATTGGATTGTTGAACTATAGTCCCAATTCTGACCAGATAAACCTGTGCAACCAACCCACTTGCAATTCGGACTCGCAATCGGACACCGACTTGTGATTCGACAAAGTCCTCTGATTGGCACCACAGCTAATGCAGGGAAGTATAGCGCCGGACTACGTTTCTTTTTCCTCCGAGCCGAACAGGTGAGGATGATACAGCTTTAGCTCGAACAGGTCAGGCACAGCCCGGTTCGTTCGGATGAATTCCCAGTCTTGAACGATCGAAAAGAGACCGATGTCGCACAGATGCTGCGTGAAAGCGTAAAGATAGATATCCTTCCCAATGGATAGTGGGGAACGAAGAAAGGAACAGGGGATTGTGAGGAGAAGAGGAGACGTAGAGATCAGCGAGACGACGGTCCGGGGTAGAAGGCGAGCGGAGAAGTCTCGTGCCTGGCGGGCAGGCGGGGCTCCCGGGTTAACTCCGGGCGACCGAGAGAGATTTAGGCATTTAATCTGCATCACTTTACATATAGATCTAAAATATCAATGGGAGATTGAAAAGAGACAAATATTTCCATGGGGTATTATTATGATAGTTTCTACATGCAATTCAACCAGGCTCAATTCCCACTGCCACTGACTCGGCGCCATATCATCACGGCAGCCGCTCCGGCACAGGCCACCGCCCCAAGCGCAATACCCCACGACATCCACTTGCCCTCAACATCTTCTTCGCTACGGGGAAATGCCGTACTAGGCTCCATCGCGGCCTCGGCAATGTGAACAAAAACTTCTTGGATTGAACTCCAAGTGACGCTGACATGCAGTGGTGGGCTGGGCATGTTCAGTATGGCTGTGTACTCGTGGGGTTGGTGCTCCGCCCTTTGGGTGGTACGGTCTAGGTCGGCTTTCAAAGCAATGAAGACACTAGGGAGTTCTTCTAGATGAGGGTACTTGGCCCGCAGCGCAAGAATATATGCAAAAGAGTCTGGGTCCGATGAGTCGTATGTGTAGGCGACCACATCACACTGGTCAAGCAGTTTCGTCTGGTTTTCAAGAATAGCGGGCTCTAACTCGCCCATCTCGTCCATGATCAGATAGCATTGTTTGCCACCAGGCAGCTCGACTGTGTTGACCGCGGTGCGGGGCTGAATAGTGGGATGGTAGGTCGTATTGAATCCACGCGAAAGAAGAGCGTCAAGTAAGGCGGATTTCCCCGACCCGGGGGCTCCAAGGACGTGGCATTGCACCACATTTCGCCCGACTCGACCAGGGCGCCGGCGCCGTTTACGTGGTCTTGTCATTTTCAATGCGGCTGTCGTGGAGGGGTTGCTTCGGTCAGAAGACTCAAAGCCAAGATAGGCCAAATATTCTAACGTGGTCTTTGGGGACATAAAAGTGGTCATACTCCATTGGGCCAACCAGCCCTGGAGTGTCACATGTCCAGCTTCATTGCGGACTGTTGAAGAGGGGAATGAGCCGTCAGCCCAAGATGCTGGTAGGCCAGGAGTCGGTGCAAACAAGGATGACAACTCAGCATCGTTCAGACCACCATCATTGTCTTTGTCTGACAGAAGGAACAAATTCACAAAAAATCGGTAACCCTCGGGAGAAAGTTCTGCGGATGCAAAAGGTGGGACTTCGAAGCGAGGATGTAGGAAGCTCTCTTGAAGTGAAAGGTTATCGGTGTACTGGAAGGCTCGCAGGATAATCCAAACGGTCTCATGACGCCCTTTCTCTGCATAGAGCTTATTCAAATGAATAAATCCGGGACAGTCAATCCCGGAATCGGTTACAGATTGGGGATAGGTCTTCTGAATAGTTTCCTTGATGTGGGCCAAGTCCTCTTCGCTCAGGGGCTTCCCAAAACATCTAGTCTGAAAATCTCCAATTTCTTTATCCGATAGATATCCATCGCGGTCTTGATCACTCAGGTAGAAAATGCGCTGCAGCGCTGCCACTGCTGCCGGTTTCAATTCAGCCTCCTTTGAATCAAACAATGGCGCGATAGGATGGGTAACGGCTTTTTGGCAGACAAAGAAAGCTTCGTTGACGTTACGATGTTCACGAGCGCTCGTGCGAATACAGGAATCAATTTCCTTGAACTCGGACATCAAAGGCAACATCTCCTCCTCAATGACTTGTGCCTCATTGTGGCTCTCTGCCAGGTCTGATTTGTTGGCGCATAGAATGACGGGCACATTGACTCCAAGCGACCTAAAATATGGCAACCAGAATAGTGCGACACGCTCATAGCTATAATGGTCGGAGTACACTAGGAGGATGACGTTGCATTTCCGGATCTCGCGCGCCAGGTTGGTCCGTTCCTGCGGCAGGGCCGAGGTGTCGACGACCGTAGTTGTTGTTACATTCTCCGGGGTTCCGATCGTAGGAGGAATAGTAATTTGAGGAAGGACAGGCTGGATCTTGTTTGTGACGAAGACACCTTTAACCAGCGAAGTGATTAGGCTGGACTTGCCGGTGCCTTCGTCGCCGCAGACACAAATCCGAACTAGAGAAAGATGAGTCAATAGCGCGTCAATGTTGACCTTAGGAACCATCATACCTGTGGCCATCTGCAGGACGACAAAAATGGTTACAGTCGAAGCATTACCGAATGACCGGCCACAATCCGGGGTTCCAAGGATGTTTGGGAATGATAACGAGAGTTGCGTCGGGGCCGCGGCAATAACCAGTCCCACCGCTTTAGCTTTGAACTACGTAATTTCCAAGGTTGATTTCAACCACCACATGGAGTTCATGCTTTTATGTGTTTGTATGTAGACTCATCTACGAATTTGATTCGCAATATGTTCAATCTTGATATGGCTTCCAAAATACCTACATCATTCAGCGGCATCCGACAGTGCCTCCATCATTTTTCATTGACATCCAACCAGGCATGTGCCTATTTATATTTCCAGCAGGATACATATAGAAAAATCAGGTCCTAATGACTAAGTGTAGGTTTATTTAATCTGGGACATGCAATTTTTCGTGATTACTGTACTAATTTTCAAGCACACGATTGACTAGGGAATACCGGGTGTATGTACCTAGATAGGCAATGCCAATTTACTACAATCGGCGAGATCGCTTGCCTCTACGGCTTTTCTGGGGCTGGGAGACGAACTGAAGTATTGATTGGAAGGCAATATAGAATACGGACCTGGGGGCCATTGATTTTGACTTTGTGGTTGAAGGCTGCCGGCGGTTCCAAGCGAGGCTGTACATGATGACTGCGTCACTATGTGTTGGAGAAAGAGGGGATTAGGCAGGACCATCTTGAGTATAAATATGCCCTTTGAGCAAACGATACAGACTCGTCATTTTTCGGTGATAGTAGACGGAGAAACAGATCTAGGTACAAGTTCAGGGTTTAACTACGTACAGGTACAGCACCAACCAGCCGTTGTCCCGCGTCCGGCATTGGGCCCACATTCAGCCCCATCTTCCTGACTAACCTGCCCGACCTTGGGAAGTCCGATCAACAGCCTCCTCGCCTTGTCAGCCTTTTCTCCTCTCGGTCTTCACTCATCCTCTTTTGACACCTTCAGGATGCCTCTCGGGATCCACAACCCCCTACCGTCGTCTTTGAGCAGTATGTATTTCACTTTCTGCCCTGCCCGCTTCCCCGCAATCGCTCGCGGCATGTCCGGCTAACTAACTACCTTCCGATGACCAGGTGAATGCAAGAAGGCGGCAAAGATCTTGACCTCTTTCGTGGATCCAAAGCAGGCTTTCGGTCCAGACAAAGTCATTCCACCGGATGTTCTGGCCGGTGCAAAGGTGAGTGAAATCCCTTCGACGCGGGGTTGGGGTTGACCCGCTGACATACGACGTGTTCCAGGGCTTGGCGATTTTGACGGTTCTGAAAGCCGGATTCATTGGCTCTGGTCGCTTCGGTTCGGGCATCGTTGTCGCTCGCCTTGCTGATGGCTCCTGGTCGGCTCCTTCCGCTATTATCACCGCTGGCGCGGGTGTTGGTGGCCAAATCGGGTTCGAACTGACTGACTTTGTCTTCATCCTAAACGACGCCTCGGCTGTCCGCGCATTTTCTCAATTCGGCACACTTACACTGGGTGGTAATGTCTCGCTCGCTGCGGGACCAGTCGGTCGAAATGCAGAAGCCGCTGGTGCAGCCAGCACAAAGGGCGTCGCAGCTGTCTTCTCCTACTCAAAGACCAAGGGACTTTTCGCCGGTGTCAGTCTGGAGGGTAGTATGCTAGTGGAACGTAAGGATGCCAACGAGAAGATGTATCAAAGCCGAGTCTCGGCCAGCCAGCTTCTCACTGGTACCGTTCGGCCACCACCATCTACCGACGCCCTCATGCGCGTTCTCGATTCACGTATCTTCCAAGGCAATGTCCGGGCGCAGGGCGATGCGATGTACAACGACGTGCCGGTCTACGACGATAGTCATGACGATGTGGTCTGGGAGGGCCGAAGAGGCTCGGCCTATGGCCAAGGTGCGCGACGGGAACGATCGAACACCCAGGATAACTATGAATATCGTGATAGTCCGCGACGCACAAACACATGGGCAGACGACACCTATGATCGGCCAGCAGGGGGTCTAGGTCGCTCGGCAACAACACGCGCTCCTCCTCCCGATACTTATGACAACTACGGACGCAGCAGGAGCAATACTTATGACAACGACGACTATTCCTACTCGGACCGCCGGCCGACCCGGCCTAGTGCACCCAAGCCGGTCTTTGGGCAAAAGACGGGTGCAGGTGCGGGACTGCGGCAGGATCAGGTGGTCGCACTTTACACATTTGACGCGGACCAGGAAGGTGACTTGGGATTCAAGAAAGGTGAAATCATCACAATTATCAAGCGAACAGAGAAAGCAGAGGATTGGTGGACCGGTCGCATCGGCGATCGCGTCGGTATTTTCCCTAGGTAAGCATTGAAGATCCCCCTGTCCCCAAGACATGAGCATGAGTTTCAGGGGGCTGACTGCATTCCCAGCAACTACGTTGATACCTCCTAAGTTTGTCATTTGCAAATATGATCATCCAGTCCTCCTTACACATTGTGGGCATATGAAGACATGATCGGATAGGGGTGAATGTTCAGTTGGGGGCGTCTGTGGATTCGTGTCTTTTCTCCCTCATTTTTAAATTCCCACTTGCGTTTTGTCAATTTATTTCTTCTTCCATCACACGAGCGCAATTCTTGTTCTGGTTCCTCTCTGTTCCGGCATAGCACCCGGTCCAAGGTGCGTTGGGATTACGTTTTTGCGCAGTGGATCCTTCCGTTCAGCACGTTCTTAGAGTCCTCGTTCCGCCTTTCTTTTATCGACATCATTGCGTGCAAATAACGTCGAGTGCTCCCTTCATACCTAGTCTGAATAGACCCATAAACTCCCGTTGAAGTACACATAATTTCCGGAAATGTGGCAATAGCCCCAATACTTTCACAGATTGTTCCAAGGTTTCTCACCATTGCCCCGGTGCCCATGTAGAGTGACACGGCTCCTTCCCTGTGCTTAGATGATGACTTCAGGGAAACACTAAAAGCGGCCCCTGAGCCCTAGACCCTTGTATCTTCAGTGTACCAGGTTGATTTTGTGCTACTAAGAGACCCTCTTCTTGCAAGAGGAAAATATATATATCTCTGAGTAGATATGCAAAAGGGAGCAAAATCATGACATCAGCAAGCACATACAGTATATACTTAGTTGATCTTGAAAGTTGAGTCGTGGTCCAACCATGATCTGGCGATCAGCGATCAAGGAAGAGGTCAATTTGTCTATGACTCCAGCCCGGAATGGTCGTACTTGGCTCACGTCCGACAGGGTTGAAATCTGAACCAAAGTGAACCACTAGTATGGAACAGTATATGTTGCAGTTATATTAATACAGCTAGGGTCAAATCTTGGGATGCTTAAGCTTATGCTCACAGTTCTAAATGAGGCAGATAGGGTACAATGGCAGGCACTAAGTCCCTTAGAAAGACTTTATATGGCTCCTCTTTGTCGATCAACAACACTGGGTCAGTAAGTGATCGTCCCTTGGGCTAGGCTCTATGGCCCGTTTCTGTTCGTTTTCGTGAAAAGTGGGGACCCTAGGGAGAAAATGGAGAAAAGATGGTTGCGCGAAACCAGTAATAAGTAATAGAAAGTAGAGGAAAAAGAGAAAGACTTTATATTAGAAAGACAGGAAAAACACTAAGAGAATGAGAGACAAATTAAAAATGTCAGGTGCTGTGACCACTTAACTCCGCCCGCTAAATTATCACAATTCCCCAACTTCTCCATTCTTTCTTCCGATTCTTTACTCTGGAGACCTTTCCACCTTTTCTTCTAATGACGGTTGGTCTAGTGCCACCCTCTCTTTTTCGTTCCGTTTCCCCCGCTTCGATGATCGTTCTGTTTCTCGTGGTACATTGAGCCTTCTGCCCCCCCCCTCCCCCCCTCCGTGAGAAGGCACCCCCGTCTTCTGGGTTATTTGGGCTCTTTTGGTTCCTGTGGAGCTGGTTCCCATGCAGGTGCGTACTTGTGATTCTATATTGCTTTCCTCTCTAGCTCTCGCCTTTTCTTCAAAGCCTTAGCATAGGCCGCGATGATTGCCCATTTGCCCCCCTCGTCACGCACACCGGGGACCCCTCCAACACCCTTCCCACACGTGCTTCGCGATTACGCCCCATTGAATAGTACCCATAACCTGGAAAGCCAGCGTCATCATCCATGCTGACTACATTTTTTTCACCGTGACCAGGCTTCCACGAGTGCCCCTGAGGCTGGCGGAGGACACGCGACGAGGAGAGGCCATGCAACCCATCTGTCGATTAGCGATCCTAGCCACCATGTGACGGAGGCGATTGGACACATGTATGATGATGACTACGACCGTGATCTTAGGCGTTTGAGCTATATATCATCTCCCCATCCCGAGTCCATCACGACTATTCCGCGAGGAGCCGCGAATTCCGAGCTTTCGCACGCATCCCAACAAAATTTGCCAGTCGAGGGTCAAAAGCAGACAAACGGACATCTTCGCCCGCCACCGGCCTCCCACCGGTCCTATGATCGAAGCAGCGATCCAGGCTCGCCTGAGCTAACTCGATCTCCCTCAGAAACCGCGAGGTCCTCCTTCCCTCTCAACGATGTGGACTACGAATCAGATCCCGCCGCGGTAGTCCAGGAACTGAACAATCTTGCTGCCATTCGGCGCATGTCGATGGATGTCGCGGCTGCTGGTGATCCCGATCTTCCATCGTTTGGCAGCAACCTTTCCATTCCACCCAGTCCACCCTCTCCTTCCGCCGACGAAAACGATGCGTCCCGTTTGTTTTGGGTTCCAGCGAGTTTACATCCAGAATTGGCACCCGGGGAGTTTAAATCATTTCTCGAGAGTAAAGCCGATTTGATCAAACGAAAATCGGGCGACTACTCCTCTCTCGGACCGGAACGACCAGGGTCCCAGAGCAGTCTTCGGCGGAAGCGGTCAATGTTGTCGAAGCAGATCGACAATTCTGCTGGTTATACTGATGGTGCAGAGCGGCTGGAGCGCCAACGTTCGCAAGCAAGTAGGCGAGATGGGATGCTGGGTCCGAACCTGCAGGAGTTGGAAACTCTTGTTGATGACACTTCGTCAAATAAAGATACATTGATCCGGGATATGCAAAATGCAAGCATTAATGCCAACGAGGATAAGCCAATTCTACCGCCAGCGCCCCCAGGACATAGCTTGCGGCGGTCAACTCGAACACAGTACCGCAAGGGTAGCTTGAAAAAGGGCGAAAAACCTCCCTATTCCAAACGAATAGGCCGGGGTCTGTCGGAGTCTGCCGACTCAGCTCCAGCAATTGTCCCTTCCCCCGATAATAAAGCCATACTTGGTCTCACCCGCGTATCATCAGATTCCGCCCCAGCAACTCGAACAGCCAGGACCCCATCAACATCCCGAGCCCCAGCCTACACTCCGGCATCTACGAACAATTCAGCATTCGACTCAATTGTTGACAACCCAGAAGCCGAACAGGAAGCCTCGTCAGCTGGCGCACAGCTGGATGCTGCATACAACCAACCAGACGCCGAAGCACAAGCGAACGCTTCTACCTATGCCCGACAATGGCAGTCACGTACTAACCCCAACGGGCGATCTACCAATACACCATCTACTGAACCAACTGTCCCCTCTATTGTCGAACCGCAAACCAACGAATCTAGTCGCTCATCACCTAACCCGCCTTCACAACCCAGTCGCTCGTCGGACCGCGATGTAACATCCCCCTACTCATCCAAGTCAACACATTCGTCCGTGGATTCGACCCCGGGTAAACGATCATTAATGGGCCCGAGTCGACAGGGTCGAGAGACAACCCCGACGCTCAATGATTTTGCCAATAATCCCCAGATGATACCCGGGAACAGCACTCGTACAGACAGCCTATCGTTCATTCCGACCATTCCCGAAGAGCGCAGATCCGAAGACCGCAAGGCAGAGGGCAAGAAGTCTAAGAAGGAAAAGGAGAAGGAGAAGGACGATGGCAGTCGCAAGTCAAGCTGGCATTGGATGAATCCAATGAGAGGCGAAGAGAAAGACAAGAAGAAGGATAAAGACAGTGACTCGAGAAAAGCCAAGTCGAAGATTGCCGACAAGGTTTACAGCAGCAATCCGCGTTCTGAAACACCATCCCAGTCCTCCTTGGATAGTACCCCCAAAGGCCGTGCAAGCCTCATCATCGACCGCCTTGACCCCAAATTGGAGGAAGAGCGACGGAAGGATGGCGCTCGAAGAGCCTCAGGAGACAAAAAAGAGAAGGATGGCATATTTTCCTCGATTTTTGGTGGTGGGAGGAAAAAGCATGGTGGGGAGGGTTCTCATCACCGAAAGAACTCGTCTCGAAACCTGTCTCCCGACCCCCCGATGCGCGAGTTTCGGGCAGATGTTGACTACCCTTGGACTCGTTTCTCGATTCTGGAAGAACGAGCGATCTACCGCATGGCCCATATTAAGCTGGCAAATCCTCGTCGGGCTCTTCACTCCCAGGTGTTGCTGAGTAATTTCATGTACTCGTATCTGGAAAAGGTACAGCAGATGCATCCCCAGATGGTGGCATCGTCTGGATCATCCAGGCCATCTAGATCTCGAGAACGTGAAAGAGAACGAGATCAGCAGCCGGATGAATACCTTCAATACCAGCGATATCAAGAAGTAAGTTGAAACTGTGCTCCCGACTAGAAGATGAGTGACTGACCCATGAAACTTGTCTTCACAGGCACAAGAGCAACAGCAACAACAACAACACTACGGGGATACTGCATATGATGAAGCGTCCATGTACGACTACGACGATGATCCACGGGATCGCTACCAGGCCCACGGGCATGATAAGCATGGCTACGAGAACGGCCATTCTTACGGCTCGGACCATTACCAGTATGGGCACTCATCCTTCGGTGACGATGTGCAACTGGATGACGACGATGACGACGACATGTGGTGAACCAAGCGCCGGCGTCTCCACTTATTCTATTCTTCTTTTGCCTGCAATTTTGTTTTCTCATTTTCTGCAGTCCACAGAAATACCCATCCATGCGTTTGTCAGCCTTGGTTGTTGCTAGAAGCCTGTATACAAGCCCTATTCTCTTCAGCCCTTTCTTCCACGTCCCATTATTCTTTTTGAACTTCTTGACATTCTCCATAGCTGTTACTGGCCCATGGTGCCAGTCAGCCATGGGTTCGTATTTTTATGCACCATGCTAGGTCTGCTATGTCATTCAAGGAAACGCATTTTGAGTGTTGTCATACTCGCTCTGCTGTTTCTAACATGGTTATTGTTGATCCTCCAAATTGATCAACAATGGCCCTGGCCCTGGCTTTGTGCACTGCCATATAGTTTGTTCACACACATGGTCTGATTTCTCTCTTCGCATAGCGTCTGGGGTTTGCTTTTTTTTGTCCTCATCGTGCTTTTTTTTTCGCCTTGAGTCTACTTCGTGTGTTCATACCATAGGGACTATTTTTGTATCCTCGTCCGAAACCATTACGTCTTCACCCTTCCCCCATCCCTCTTATGAATTGACGGACAACCTTACTCTACTCAGCTTTGAGATCCAGAGCACCATATTCCAGTACATTTAAATCTTGCGTTAAAGCCAGGCGACGATACCCAGTAAATACCAAATCATCAAATGGATCTCAGCGGTAAGAGGCTAAGACTCGCTCTAAGCTTATAAGCTATGTATTCAAACTATTCAGACCTCATCAATTTTATAGGCAAACATCTATAAACCCGAATAATAGCTCTCCCCATTGATTCGAAAGGGAATACCGAGCCTTAAATGCTCAGCCGTCCACTCCAGTTCCTGGGACAGATAAGTCGGATCCCTCATTCTAAAATCCCCACGATAGTCATTTAGTGCGACCCTGACCTTTGCCTTCAACACGGGGTCACTAGTAGCCGCCCACGCAGCCGCAAGACAAATAAGAAGATAAGCTGCGCCAACAGGTCGATAAATCGCCGACCGCTCCGCGAGTGCGAGAACCTCTTCTGCAAGCTCTGTGGCATCAGCAGAAACAGAATCACCGTCATAAGCATTCGTCACGAGTGCCCCAAGCATACAATTGAAAAACAATGTCACGACTAGCCCGACTCCATACGTGCGTTGGTAATGTGCATAGAAGAAATCCCTGACTGCTTTCTCGGCCCTCTTGGAGAAGCTCGTCATGTCAACGGATGAGACATCGTTCTCGATTGCTCGAGCCTTCAGCTCCAGAAGATTTACTTGGCATATTTGGTATAATGTCAAGATCTCAGCGCGAATGAGGGTCGCATCGGTGCCTGTTTGTAGGATCTGACGGCCGCGGCGCATCAAATCAGGCCCGCGGGCGAGACATCCCAGAATTCGGCCTTCGGGCGTATTTTGATCGAATTCACTGGTGACGAGATCGTCCCATTCTGCCTGAGTGAGGTTGATTCGGTCGTTGAAGAGGCCCTCGAAGAGCTGAGACGTCATTAGTATTCTACAGTATGTATGCAAGGGATCCGAGCAACAGAATGCTGGGGGGCGGAATGCGGGGAAGGGAATTCACCACACTGCCGCGTAACGACAGGAATAGTTTCTTCTCGAACAGGTCACGCGGTTTGCATTGTTTTCGGGCTTGAAGGATCTGTGCTGCCCCTTCCGCATGCCCAGACCAGCATTGTGTAGTCTGACCCAAGAACAGTTGACAAATCAACAAGACCATCACCGCACAAAGCGTGTTGGATGATCGCGCATGGACTCGATCATCTAGATAGATGCGTAGTGTCTTTAATGCCTGCGCGTAACTTGCCAAGGCCTCAACGGTCGCTCCTTGACGATGAACACTGCAGAACCCAGCATGCGCAGTTGTCAATGCCTCGATCGAGCGGTCAAGCGCTTCATTCGTGCCTAGTCTTCGTGGGATGTCTTCCAAATACGCACCGAACGTCCACCAAAGGTTATACCGTAGATCAGTGGATGGGTTAATAGTTTTAATAAACCGATTCGCCAATGACGAGAGGTCATTAGTAAGAGTCGCTGTTGGAGAATCTGGCGGAAGACGAATATGCATCGGCTCAGGTTTGGTCGGCATAGCAACTATAGAAACGAACTCCGAGGCATTACTGATCGCTTCGGGGGAGTCAGAGTCCATTTTTTGCACTTGAGGACGAGAAGAAACCGCAAATGCAAAGCGCTTGTCCTGTTGGAACTTAAACCGCTGTTGACCCGACCCCACGCATGTTATTTTCAGGCGAATGCAGCGTGAACAGGCGGGTTGTTTCTCGTCACACTAGAGGGCTTGTAAGTACGTTTTTCTCGGAGAGTAAATCTCGCCTATGCTGATCTAGGCTTTACTTTTTTCTTTTGTTTGCGACATCCATCGCATGCACGTCCTGTCGGGACCCCTGGCATGTTGGAATCAGGGAAAGCGCGGTAAGACTTGTGGGCCCGACCCTGAACGGTGTGGGGAATGCGGATCGCCGTACGGAGTACACGGAGCAGAGGTCTCAGGAAATGCTGTTGATGGAGATGAACGTCGCTGGGTGATACCAATTCTGGTTACACTGGGTTGACAACGCTAAAAAGCCATAACGAGGTTATTTGAAGATGATTAGAAGTTGATCATCCGTCATTGTGTGGTGCAGACTAACCTGATCAGGCTCCATGTGCCGCCGTCCAGGCTGAGTCCTGCCATCCTGATTGGTCATGGCTGCAAGTACAGATGGGAAGCCCGTGGGGGCGGTTTGGGTCCTACGGGTCTTTATCTGAGTTTGATCGGGTTGTGTGGCTGTGGCTGATATTTCGTATGCTCAGCCTTAGAGGCCGGAGATCATTGCCATTTTGGGTTCCATGTAGCGCGTCTTCAAGTGAACGTTTAAGTGCTGATATGGTTAAAAGACTACATAAAGTCGAGATTTTCCCATCGATGCTGTGGTTAATCATTCTTCAGCGTTCTGTTTTGCATCATGAGTTCCCATACAGATGACCCGGTCAGCTACTATCTATACAAGCCCAGCCATGTATTACCTGCGGTGTTCGCCGCAATTGTGGGCGTTTCAATGCTGTTGCACGTTTTCCAGAACTTGTATGTCTTCTGCTTGACCGATTCCTACAACCTATACTAACAAACTCGTCAAATAGTCACTATAGATTCTGGAGAGTCACATTTTTTATCGCGTGGGGAGGAGTCCTTTTCACGACTGGTTGGATTCTCAGATGTATCTCCAGCTACCACCCCGGCAACCTGGACCTCTACATCGCCCAATCGGTTTTCATCTACTTAGCACCACCTGTCTACTCAGCCGCTGCATACAATATTGTTGGTCGACTCATGAATTACGCTCCCATGCATACCGTCCTCAATCCCGATCGCGTTCTTATATTCTTTATCTATGTCGGTGCCGCAGTCGAGAGCATCACAGTTGCAGGTGCGGCTAGAAATGCCGCAGCAGGCTCCGATCTAAGCAAATACAAATCCGGTGGGATTCTCATCGCCGCAGGACTCGTTCTCCAGGCTGTGGTAGAATGTCTAGTCGTTTTCATCGTCGCAACCTTCCACAAGCGCGCTTCACGGGCTGGAAAAGTCCCACGCAATATTCGGACTCTCTGCTTTACTCTGTACGGTACTTCGACCTTCGTCTTGCTGCGCTGTATCTGCCGTGCCGTCGAGGCATTTGAGATGTTCGGAAACCTGGGCTGCCGCGAGAATTGTGGGCCTATTCTCAGCAATGAATGGTATCTATATGCGTTTGAGCTTGGGCCAATGTTGATTTTCACTTATTGGCTTAATATCCTGCATCCTGGTCGATTTTTGCCGAGGGAAAAGAGCCGGTATCTCGATACTGATCAGTCTACTGAGCGCTATGGACCTGGTTGGATTGATCGCCGGCCCAGATGGGAAACTTTTGTTGATCCGCTTGACGTTGAAGGTATGATCAAGGGCCATCCTTCTCATGATCCGTATTGGATGAGACCTGAGGACTGGCCGATTTGTCAAGATGGCAGTTTCGCGGAGGGGACTGCTTCCAACAAAAGGACAAGGACTGAGAGTAGAGAAGCTACTGTTAAAGCCCCTGAAGTTTAATGTTTTGCGCTTTTATGAACAATTTACATTAGAATTGTACATGTGACCAATCTTTCAAAGACGATTCAACCGTACCCAAAGCTTGTCCCCACTTGCCGTTGAATCCAATCATACAGGAAGCGAATAACATGCAAACAGTACCAATGATGTTTAACTAAAAGACAAGTACTTGCATATCTCGATGCACGGTGGAGCCGGAAGCAAATGGTTGCTTCCATCTCGGGTGCGAAGCTGCGTGGGGCCGAATTGGATACTTGAACTATGGTGGAGACGAAAAGCTCCGTCCTGACGTGGCATATTTGTCTAAGCTCGAGGATCTGCGGTATGTTATAATGCGGGGTTGAGGAGAAGTTTCTCCGATCACCTTAACTAACTGGAAGCGGAGCTTTTCCTACTTGATTACAATCTTTAAGAGAGTTGGGAAAATATATACGTCCATGGTGCTTTCGCTAATCTTAATTATGTAGCCTTGTGAGAGAGATATGGGAACCTCCACCTGTCCACCAAGAGGTTTCCTCGGCGTTATACGTATATACTTGAGACCATCAGGATGATAGCGAATCCGGGGGCTTTTTCGCGGGGCAAGGGGGTAACCTCGGGCCTTAGAGTGGCTTGCTTGCATCAATCAAACTAGGGAAACGCCAAAGGTTGTAGGTATGCGCTCCAGATTGCTCCAATACATGTTCGATGTAAATCCATGAATGTGGAGCCGAATCCATTGCCCCGTGTTGTTTTATTCGCATAAGACTTCATATCTGAGTGCCTGATGAAGCCTTTCTTTTACAAATGCCCGGACTCGAAGGCCACATTGCCGATAGAGGAATCAAATTGGATCGTGACTATCACCAAGCCAGAATGCATAGCTCATGTAGCTCAAATATATAAATACTGATCCAAAATTGCAGTTGGAATATCTGTAGGATGCCGAACCACCTAGACCTATCCTGTGAACTAAGGTTCCCACACACGCGTGAACCTGACTTGGCTCTCAAAGATGGATTGCATTACCAGCCGTCGATTGGGTGCTCTTGTGTTTGCCATCATTCCTGGATTCTTGGAAATCACGTCTGCTGCCCCCACTTCATTTCCATCTGCATCTACTACGGTAGCATCGTCGTCGACAACCGGATTGCCCACTACCGCCGCGTATTTTGTCGACGGAACTACCACAAGCTTCGCGCATACGACACTCACGGCTACTGGTACGAATGAGGGCGTGATTATTGTAAAAGAAACAGGCGTTGCATATGTCTCGGATTGTACTTTGATCAAGGCTGGAAACACAACAGCCGAGGAAGATAGCTCATTCACAGACTTGAATGCTGCCGTTGGGATAGAGACAGATGGCACTATATACATCACCAACAGCAAGATCATCACCAATGGAATTGGCGCAAATGGACTTCATACGTATGAGGATGGAACAACAGCCTATCTTTCCAAAGTCCAAATCCACGCCGAAGGGGATTACTCTCATGGAATATACACAGGCGGAGGTACTATTTACGGAACCGACCTCACTGTCAACACATTTGATGACCATGGAAGTGCCATTGCCACTGATCAGGGTGGAGGCTTGATTGTAGTCAAGGATACCGTTGCCAACACATACGGGGCTTTGTCTGCTCTTGTTTACTCGACTGGAAACATTACCGCAACCTCCTTGTCCGGTGTATCTGACATTGCCCCTGTCGCCTGCATCGATGGATCCAATTCATTTACTCTACACAATCCATCTGTTGCATCCGGCACTCAGAATAACGGGGTATTCCAGGTTGTGAGCACGGTGGCAAGCAACGGCACGATTGACACAGCCTACGCATATGTCACAGGTGGTTCTGTTGCGGAGACGAATGGCACATACAGTGTTCTGTTTGTGGCAAATATTCAAGCGTATGTCTACTTCACGGCCGTGGACATCACTACGAAATCAGGTATATTGGCGAATATCACTGCGGACAACGATTTTGGAACCTCTGGCGTTAATGGAGGGACTGTCGACTTGTTCCTGACTGATTTGAACATCTCCGGTGATATCTTCGTCGATGATATAAGTGTGGCCAATATATACTTGGTTGGATCGCATTGGAGTGGAGCTATCAATCCCTTGAACTCCACGGGAACTGTTTTTGTCTCTGTGGATGCGGATAGCACGTGGACTCTGACTGGTGACTCCAACGTGGATACGATTGATATGAAAGGCAAGGGCTCGAATGTTCACCGCGGCCAGTATGATCTGAATTACGGTCGCAAGACGAGAGGCTGAATGGCGAGCGAGACGCGAGATAATGATTGATTGGAAGACTCCCTTTATTACTGAGAAGTTCGTAAAATCACATTGATTCTTTGAGAGACTATTCGTAAACATTCACCTTTTCATATGGAAATTTACAATTTCGCCTTCTCAACTTGCGTAAGCTGTCGCAAAGGAGGCCCAGCTCGGCTTCCATCGCCCTTCATGGTATAAGCAGCAGAGTTGGCAGGTGTTGGTGCCAATCGCCACTTCTCACGCAGCTCCTGCGAGGCCTTATTCTCAAAGCAATCTGCAATATATTTGCCAAGAATTGGCAGGAACTTGAATCCACTAGTAAAAGTTAGTATGATGTTTCAATTTTACAATATCCCTTGGAAAATATGCTAGTCGTGCGGAAGGAGAGGAACTTACTGTCCGGCTCCACCTGTAGCCACAAAGAGACCTTGCAGTTCAGGGTGGTGATCAATAATAAAGTCACCCTTCGGGGTGTCAGTGTACCAGCAAAGTCGACGGTTCATCCACGGGCGGTCACCAATCTTGGGGAAGAATTGACGGAGACCTTCGCGTAAGCCTTCGTCTGCGTCTTCAGGAAGATATCCTGTCTGGGCATTGCTGCTTTCAAGCTTGGGGGATGAGACACTCCGAGTGACTCCATCGGCTTGGACGGTGACTTCGTTTGCGAAGCCATATCCATGACGCGCGAGCTTGAGAACGTCGGAGCCCGGGTAAGGCGGGAAACAGAATACCCCAGAGCTCATGTTGATCATCACGGGGGTCGATTCCAAGGATCGGGCCTCTTCTGGGGTAAGTTGAATAAAGCCGACAGGTTGTCCCGAGGATGAGGCGGCGTGTGCAACATCCAAAAGACGGTTGGTCCATGCTCCAGTGCTGACAATGACCTGGGATGCGAGCAAGAATCCTCCATTCAGAAGGTTGACACCCACAACTTTGGATCCCTCTCGGCGCAGGGATTTCACGGTCCCGCGAGGTCCCGAGATGATAGAGATTCCTTCCACGCTGCATCGCGAAGCCAGCTTCTGAATGCTACGGGCAGCATCAGCCCATCCGCCTCTCCGGTTGAGATACCCGTTCATGCCGGCGAGATCAGCCTGAATGTTCGGATATGACTTGAGCAACTGGGTAGCGTCTTTGAGATCCTCCACAGTGCCACCATTTGCGAGGACTGTTGCTTTGGAACTCTCGATCCAGTCGTTCCGGGGAGTCTCGGATAGCAATGCAAATCCTGATTCGTAGTACTCTTCTTTGTACTCTGTCGTCCAGCCTTCGTAGGCTTCGCGGGCCATTTTGCAGTACACCGGATCAGCATAGTCAATTCGGATAATGCGTGACAGATCAACACTGCTACCATCTACTACTGGAGGCGAATAACGATCCAAAAGTGTGATATCGGTGTATCCGCGCTGTTTCAATTCTAAGGCGGCGGACAGACCGAAAACGCCAGCGCCCACGATGATAATTGAATCGCCCTTCGAGATAGCCATTTTGACCATATTTTTGGAGGACAAAGGAAGTATAGTCTAGTAAGAATACTCTCAGATTCTTATCTTATAAAAAGATACGGTGTGGAAGGAGATGGCAAATCCGGTTCATTGCCGGTTCTTGGCATCCGGAGAACACGGAAGCGGCCCGTATCCCGGACAAGGAGCATATTGTACAATTTTCTTAGATCCTTTCATGAAGGATTCAGGCTTAGCCAATCCTCGAATGCTTTATCGTAATCCTGCATTTGCAAAAGGAGCGTTTCTCCACCCGCGAAGTCCAAGTTTTGGTATCTGGCGAATCCCTGAAATTCCATGCCGGACGGCTGAGAACTGGATCCTTGATGCTCAGCCTGCTCTGGGGGGTATGTAACGCATTCTGGTGCGACGGTTTTGTGTCCTGAAATCCCAGCCGATCCAATAAGGGTAAAGTCGCGTTCAGCAATCAAATCATCCGATAGTAGTCCTAGCTCGCTGGGCTTCTCCTTGGCCATTATAGGGCCGAACATGTCACCAGTGGGATCTGGAGCTCTGCTTGCACGGGAATAGACCAGAATTTTCCACATCAAATGTAGATTGACGGACCATTTTGTATCAGATTGTGCTTGTATACTAGCGTCGGCTGTCTGACTTCCAGGCGAAATGCTGCCATGAAGCTGTTCCAGTTGCCGGACCTGTTCAAGAATCAGTATAAGCACGACGGATAAACTCGAGTAACTTCACCTGTCGATCAATGTGTGGCCAGCGACGTCCCATTAGGCGTAAAAATCTAAGGCATTTCTCGAAGCCAGTCTGGGCCTTTCTACTGAAAGTTTGGTCGTCGGCGAAGCTATGTTGAAGATAAATCGTCGCAACAATGGCGACACAATGGCCCAAGGTGGGATCGGATACCTCATAGCCTTTTCTTTCAAACAATTCTAGAAAATGAATTATCCAGCCCGAGTGGAGGGTGAGCTGCTCAAAGGAGTTGCGGAGGAATGACTGGGGCATAGTCCTTCTAAAATTCCTCAGTCGCATGGAAAGAAGAAAAGGATGGTTCAATAGACATGGAACTGCATGCCAGACTATTTGGTAGAATAGCCAAGGGCCCCAGTAAGCACGATTTTCCTGTAAGTCAGTCGGATTATAATCTGGGAATCGACTGGCATGGAGTCTGAATTTCAATGGCATGCAACTCTCATGCTCGGTGTGCCAATATGTGATTGTCGCATAGTCTGACTGCGGGAACCAGGGAGGATTTGTGTCGCCCCCAGCATTGCCCATAGCATATTTGCAGGCCAATGCCCATAAGTCAGTAGTATGCATCACGGCTGCATTGATACCAATGTCACGGTTAGGGTCACTCCCACCTCTTCTGGAATCCATTCTTGGTATTAATGTTTCGAAGATAGGAGTAGCAAGCCCCGTAGAGATGGACCGGTCGAGAACCCCTTGAGTAGACCACTGCTTTGAAGGTCCTTGGAGATTTTGGAGCATTGTCACGCTTGCGTAGCACAATTTTCGCTCATCTTGTTCTGTTTCAAGATATTTAAGGAACTCAAAGCTTGTCGGTCTGATGTTTCGCATGAAGTAGTCTGCCATTCTTGTATAGAATCCTGCCCGGACTAAGTTTCCAGCTATGTGTGATATTATCAGTACGCTGTGAATGATGAACTCTGGCTGGAATCATACCAGTGAATTCCAACATGCTGAGAAGACATAGTGCTTGAATTGTTGAAAGTTCAAGATTCCCATCCGCAAGACGTTTCATGACCATCTGGCAGGACATTTCTGTCTTTGAAGTGATCTCTTGTTCAATTGGGAATTCCTTGACGCCGTTTCCCCTGAATCGAAGGCCCAAGGCCTCGATTGAAAGCACAAGCTCCGGATCTCTGCCACACAGAGATGTCGCAGAGATCCCTTGAGGAAACAATGGCAGAGGCTGCGAGTTGCAGAAAGTGAGATACAATTGCACAGCTGATTGATCATGGGAGCCGTCTCTGGCACTAATCAGTGAAATCTCTATCAAACAAGAAATTACTACTTACCTGACAACACGATTTGTAGGGAACGAAGCAAAATGTGCTGGCGAATATGTTGGAGTATCCCTGGTATCCGAAGATCCGGCCTCGGCTAGGGGTTGCTGACTGCCACTTTGAAGGTCAGATCGCAACTGGAAACAGCGCCTGCGGAACATACGTAGTAATATAATCAATCAGCTGTTCAAGCTTGCTCTCAATGCGAGAAACGCGGTCCTCCTGTAAATTTCTGTAAGCCTTGACCATAAGAATATCGTGTGGAAATATTACCATATTTTTTGCAAAATCAGACCCCTCTTCTACCGCCTCGCCGGCATAAATACATTTCTGACCCAGACGCTCGCAGTAGGAACAAATCGGCTTTTCTCCGGGGCATCGTGACTTCTTGCGCCTGTTTAAAGGTGAGGTTAAAGGGCGTTCAGTTGAACGAAGTGCTCTGTTGTGCTCACCGGCAAGGCTCACAGGCCTGGCGAGCGCGTTTCGACGGCCGCTCGTCAATAGGCGCCATCATGTGTAGACCTGGCTCATGACCGTAATTGAAAGACGAGCCAGCTTCAGTGATATAAAATTATGATTTATTTTTCGATGGGTTTGGGAATTCTAGGTGCCCGGGTGGTAGTTATCGGAAGGAGTGTCGGGAGAAAGATTGTATAACTCGAGGAAAAAGTGTGTGGAGTCAAGTGGGTCGGAGACAAGGTCGCATACAGCCTCAGTGGAGGTGAACTTGGCCGAATCTCTCAACAACCACCTTACTTGGGGACAAGATAGGTGCTTATGGAATGTGTTCAAAAGTGAAACTCACTTCTAGGGTTCTAATTCACTAAGCTGGAATCCATTCAGCCGCTCAAACGGCCATCCTGCTGCGTTTTTTAACTCTAACCATCAAGGGCGCAGCTAAATCACTAATCCCAACACTGATTAATTCCGGAATTTTCCCATTGAAATAATTTTCCACTACTCGCTTCCGCTCAAACTCATCAGCTAGCTCAAATTTAAATTCACTCAACAACGTGCTTAAGAGTTTGTAGATAGTCTAGATTTAACCTCAATTTCAGGCTTATCCCATCGGGATGGATCAAAGTAATCATGGTCCGGTCCCCAGACTGCCGGATTATGGTGAAAGGCATGATTGCACACGGCGATCGAGGTCTAAATCGATTAGCCGCTAACATATGTAAAGTATCTAGACCGGTTGAATTTGACTCACCCCCTGAGGGATATGATTTCCAGCAATGGTTATCCCTCCAGGCATCATGACACGCCTGGCAAGGGGCATTGTGAAAACTGGAGTGACTCGAAAATTTTCCTTCATGCAATTCCGGAGATATGGCAACGATGCCTCAGCCATGGTGACTGAGTAAGCACTTTCGCTCGGGTTCAGAACAGGGAGATTTGTGTCAATCTCTGCAACACACTTTGCCATGGTACCTGGATGGTGTAGTAGATGATAGAATAGCAAGGCCGTTGTGGCACTGGTAGTGTGAGTGCCCGCTATACTAAATTGCGACCCCATCAGCCTTTGAACCCTCCCGGTATTTATGAGGACACGTACATGAACCCAAATGCTTCTGTTTCCAGATCAGTTTGGCTCAGGCGCTCACCTGAGTCGGGATGCTTTGCCATGATCAAATTTGTGAGAATGTCCTTCCTGTCCGAAGTCATATCATTTGATCCATCCTGCGATCGAATGGTGTTCAGCCGAATGCTAACACATTTTGAGGCAAGTTCAGCACAGGCCTTTCGACCATTGAACAAGGCTTTAAGACCTCTATGTGGGATTAATGGAAGCCATTTCTTCAACCGGGCGGTCATGCTTGGCCAAGCTCCCGTGACTGCTGCCAGCAAGCTATGGTCAATGACGGGCGGAACTCGAGTTTCATCGTCAGAAATTTGAACCCCGAATGTCTGACTAAAGGCGAGATCGCCTAGCGTGTCAATAACATAATAGTTCAAAGCTTTCTTGAGATCAAAGACTTCTTGGCCTGAGGCATAGGATGATATCTTCTGGCGGAGGATCCGAATATTTGTGTCGAGATGTTGCTCCATTTCTTTCACGTAGCTCATAGAAAAGCTATGGGACATCTGGCGGCGTCGAATGGAATGAGCCTGTATGATCAATTAGATATGTATGGAGAGTTCCTCGTATAAGGGGAAAGATACATTTTCATCCCGCATGCCAAAGACGTTAGGATGGGCTGCGCCGTAAGCATCGTAGAACTCGGTTTTGGGCATGAAACGAGCACCTGACTGATAGATTGATTTGATAGCATCCTCATCGGTAATGCTCAGTTTGTCTGGGCCATATCGAACAATTGAGCCGTATTTTTCATGTAGTTCGGTGAGGTGGTAAGGCTGTTTCAGGGTCATGAATTGATGCACCTGCCATAGATCCGTAAGGCAGGCCAAGAAAGGCCCAGGATATTTCGCCAGGGGATGAAAGAAGCGCTGGAAGATGGCATAAATAGCAAAATAACAGAATAGAATACCAAAGGCAAACTCCAGAGGGTAATTGAAAATTTGGAATATAGTCATTGTGTTGGGAATGGCATAAACTACTTTCTTTTGGCTTCTGTTCACTGAACAAAATTTCAAGTTCTCAGACTATGGTTTTATACGTCGAGCATTCAAGTGGCATCCCCACAATGCTGGAAGACCTGCTTCCAAGACCACTAACTTGCCAGTCGAACAAGGTCTCTGACCTACATGCGTTCCCCGCATTTTCATGCTGAAGATGTGGGGAATCTGCAACCCCACCATTCTTGCCCACTAAACCTCAAATATGTCCTGATGTCAGCCCTTTCGATCTAAAGTGGCGTTATATCTAATACCCTTAGGCTCAAGTAACACTCGCATTCTACTGCAAGATTATCACAGTCTTTCATGTCAACCCGTATCTCGGCCCAACCTTGGAAAAATATGCCGATCTGGCCAGCTCCTAAGGAACCGAAAGTCTATATGAGTCCGAGGGTACCATTACTACCAGGAACAATAAGATTCTTCCTATTCCAGTGTCTAAATGCCGAAGTTGGCGAAACGTTAGGACTTCTCTTATGCCTGACAAACAAGGCAACCAACTTAACTCACTAAGGGGATTAACCCCGCAAATCGGCCGTCAACCGGCTCTAGGAATCCTTTTGGCCGAGATTTTGTGGGCACTTTTGCTCCTTCCCCATGCTTGAATCACCATGCGGCAGCGACGAAAATTAAATCCACATAGGATATCCTGTGCGCATTGCGAGAAGACGTTCTCCAAAACGGAACATCTCAACCGCCATCAACTAGCCCGTACGTCGTTCCTCGGTCATGGCAGTGGTACAGCCACTTGAAGTGAGAATTTTTCTAAATTTGAATAAGACACCGGAGAAAGACCTTACAAATGCTCTATCTGTACAAAGCAGTTTGCGCGAAGGTGAATTTCGCTGCCTCGGGTTCTGTGTTTTTGTTTAATCTTCTTGTTAGGGATGTTCTCCTGCGCCATCGTCGAAATCATAAAACCGAAAGTGAACCAAATATTCCTGTAATCCGTCCGCATTAAGTTGTGGAGACTTAAAGCTAATTCAAATCAAGCAGATACTTCCGTTAGATCCATTTGAACAGCCAGTCGCGTGTGGCCCTGGCTGCGATCCTGCCATTGATGATCATGACCATGACATTTTAATCCCAACTGGGATATCGGATCCAACAGGTATACCTGAAGATGACCACTCTAGGACTATGCCCTTATCAGGGTTGAGTCAGTCATTCAGCGGCCAAGGTGACTCCAATATGGAAATGTTAAGCGTTCTCTTTAATTCTTCCTTTGAACAGTCATTACACCCATTGGAATTACCGGGGGCCACACCAGACTTATATTTGAATGATAGCGTGCCCGACATGTTTCCAAGTGCTGATTCATACAGTCCACACGGTATAATATCAAACCGAGGCGGCATTGATGGAATAACAAGCAAGATCCAAAAAGTATGGCCAGCAAGCCCACAGCATTCAGACTCAAATACCAGGCCTTATCTCTGGCAAGAGATCGCATTTGGGTCAATGGAGAACATATTTTCCAGTTGTGACCTTACGGTGGGTGTGCTGGACCCTGCATTGGAGGCGCCCACTGGGATCAATGGGTTGGAAATCAGCCTCACAGACAATTCGAAGGCACGACTTCGAAATCTTAAAAGAAAGCTTCTAGTCTGTGGATGTAGTGACTTTATGGACGAGATTAAATGTGGTCATGAATATCTTTGTATCAACACCATGGAGGTTTTTGAGCAAGGGCTCTATCTCTACTTCCGCAAGTATCAGCCTTCGTACCCCATTCTTCATTCCGTCACTTTCAACGCCGATAAAGTCTCTGAATTGTTGCTCTTTGTCATGTGCATGATTGGTCTTTCTTTTTACAAGACAGAAGATGCCGTGGACTTCATTCGAAAAACATATCCGGTATGTCAGGTTGAAGTATATCCGTGACTTCTAAGGGGCACAACTGATATCCTGGTTCCAATTCATAGGGGATCTTGGATCAGGTCTATGCTCAACTCATTTTCGCAGCCGCAGACAGTCAGACACCCGCCGATCTTCTAAACTACCTTGTGTTGGCTCATCATACGCTTTTCCTTTTCATATCCACCGGGGTTTGTCACCGACATCTTTCTCTACAAGCCCTGTGCTATCTAACATGTCAACAGGGGAAACTTCTCCCAGAAAAGTCTCGATCCCTTTATCTGTATGCCACTACAGTAAGAGAATCCAGAGTATTGTTTTTGAACATACCGAAATACTGATTTCAAATAGACGGCAAGACAATATGGCTTCTTCTGCTCAAGGTTTGATCAGACTTATAACATGTTATTTTCACCACATATTGAAGAACGTGCTCGATGGATTGCTTGGACTCGGGCCGAATCAACCAAAAAGTATGGCAGTGTTTGTTTAAAGACCCCATGATAATCAGGGGAGCTGACAATATCGATATAGTCTGATAATTGGTCTGGTTTTGCACGACTCTTGGTTGTCAGAGCTCTTCTCTATGAGCCCTATAATCCGAACCGACATACTTGTACTCCCACTTCCTCTTGAAACAGTTCTCTATCAAGCTCCAACGTCTCAGAAATGGTCTCAGCTACTCACAGAGACCTCTCACGCCAATCAAAGGCTTGAGTTATCATCTCATCACTTCCATTTACCCGACCTACAGGGGCCAATACATGTATTCTCCATGTACGGATTGTTATGCTCTGTCCTTCTTCGCGTCTCTACAGATACCCGCCGATTGATTCTTAGCTCGGACTTGGTCCCAGCCGAGCAACACCAGTACGTCCCATGGAACATTTGTCGTCTCGATAAGCGAGCTAGTATTGTCTCCCCCTCCTAGTGAGCTTGGTTCAGTTGTACGACACAAGCCTCCGCGAATCTAATCCCAACTGCATTGTGATCTGGCATAGCGTCTGTATGCTGCTCACGGCTGATATCAACATTCTTTCCCGCGCTGCCGGTCGCGATGGCCCCGAATCCATGTCCGACGCTCGGCGAGATATTACCTGCTGGGCTTACACCCCTGCTGCCCGAAGAGCATGTCTTCATGCAGCTCAGACATTTCGCACCTTATATCACCGGAAACCTGCAGATGGTACCGCGTTTCAGTCTGTTCGAACTTTGTTTATGTCTGCTCTGATTCTTGGTTTTTATCTATTGGCCAGCCCAGTAAATGCCTGTTTAGAAGGCCAGAGTGACTGGGATAATTTTGATCTCGCCAATTCGGTTGTCGATTGGAAGGTTATCGGCGATGAAGGAATCTCGAATGATGGAACAGCCAGTATGGCACCACATGATTCAGCGAGATTGGGGGATGCCGCCGTCCGGTTCATTCGCTTTGGTGGGCCGATTCTCATTGATGGCAAGAAATATGAATATGGAGCTCGCAATGCCCAGCGGATCTTATTGGAGTTTGCTGGTCTGCTGGATGAAGTGGGGACCCACTGGATGGCGAACTATGCTCGGCTTCTGTACATGGTCCATGACACGATGGCAACGCCATCTACTAGATCTTAGATAAAACCAAACTGTTCTCATTATGAGATGAATCCATAAAATCATAGTTGTCAGCATGAGAGGAATTCAAAAACCAAAATCTTGAGTGTCATTATGATCTATACCTCCCATGAGCATAGATTGCGGTTTGGTCACCTGACCTGTCACCAACCAGCGTCGGCTCCGCTGCTTTCCCCGGACGAGCCACTCATCACCCCAATCATTCTTGCTTTCTCCCCACCAGCCACATCCACATTCTCCGAATTCCCTCAACGCTCCCTGAGTCAATATTCAGATTACGTGCAATACCATACAAGATGAGCGACGCCTACGAACGTGAGCAGTATGTTCTCCCCTTTCCTTCGAGCTGCCGAGCCACAGACACTGCGCTCCTGCGGTCACTTTGTCGCTGACTTGAATCTCGCAGGCAAAACAATGCGCTTCTGAACTCTCTCTCGTCCAAGGTCTCCGCGCTCCGACACGTGACTATCGACATTCATGATAATGCCCGGGATCAAGACTCTCTCGATAACTCGGTATGTTTCGCCAAAGGGATATTTATACAGAAGGGTGCTTTGGAAGGACATCCAGCTTAGTCCAACTGCTGACACCACTTCAACTGCCCAGAACGATGTCTTCTCTTCCATGACAACGAACCTGAAAGGCAGCGCATCCCGGCTGACAAGGATGGCGAAACAAGGCGACACGGTGGCGGTCCTCAAGATTGCAGGCATGGTTATTGGAGCCGGTGTCCTGCTCTACATCATCTTGGGCTGGATTTTTTAGATGGCCTTCAAACTACATTCCACTGTGATGTGAACCGCCGACGACACTTCCTTTCCTATATCGACTACTAAATCTACGCCACGGTCGAGGATGCTCTTGCTGGCTCGAGATGTGCCCCCGTCCTTGCATTCGACGATTCAATTCTAGAAAACCCCCAGCCCCACCCACGCACCGAATCTCGAACCTCATTCTGTCGTTTAACGCCCATTCTCTACTGATCCGCGACTGGTTCACTCCTTGCCTTTATTCAGGATGAAAAAGTCCCGGAGTAATCGCTTGTCCGATTATGAGCGAATCCCTACCGACCTCGACAGCTTCAAATCTCTAGATTGATGCTTAATGAACTCTATATAGCAACATGCGTGGAGTTGTTTTTTTTTTGGTGCGACGCAGATATGCTTGCATTATGTTTTTTGGGGCTCTTGTTTTTTATCCCAATTTTGTGTTAGTAGTCCTTCTTATCATTATCATTACTGAACATAATTCTTGCCTGATATCTGTCGTCTGGGCTCTTTAAATACACTGTCAACGGGTCGGTAATCTCACCACTCAATGGAAATATAGCTCGTGTTCAAGTCTCGGGTCGCTAAACAAGTCGGCGACAATCTCTAAGAACACTTTTTCGCCACGGTAATTCGTATGTTTAACAGTATACTAATGCAGTATACATTTCAGACGGCAGTCCTTGCTATCTTTGATAGTGCAATAAGCCTCGAATACTGTAAGGCATTTTGTATGTAATTGTCGGCAAATATCCCGCCATCGTACAATCGTACAATCGACCCTGGCAACTTTTACTGCGTGATTTTACATTGCAAGATCTCGGTACACCAATAGCCGTTCTCCAGTCGATCAGTCCATCAGCATACAGTGGTAATCAACGTGGTTATTGGTTGATGTATCACATCAAGTTCCAATCATGATAAGAAAAGAACGCATTGATCAAGCACCTCCGCACGGGCAAGCGGCAGATTCCATTGCATGATCCGATAGCTTCATGCAAATGCAATGCATATGCTCGTGCAAATGAATAACATCTCGAGCAGCAGCACACGACACGCGCGAGGTGACACCACGAACCATGTGGCGCAATCATATGGCACGATTGGCGGCTCGGCAGCGCAAGAATCTTTATCCCCTACGTCTTGGCAGCAAAGATCGTCCCGAGCTGTGTTTAAATTAGTTCCCGTCCAACTCGGCTGTTAACTCCAGACATTGAAGATATCGCGTCGATCATCGGAGGGCCGAAAAGTGACCACAGTACATGCCAAAAAGCAAAACCGAACTCCCGTCATTCGGCATATCAATCTACCGAAGGGCCAAACAGCAACGTACAGCTGATGGTCTGACCATCGTTGCAGGGGGCTTTCTGCACTGTTGTCGGAGTACACGGAGTACTCCGTAAGTGTTTATTACTGCCGCATTCGCTTTGTAGTTGCCGATTCTCGCCTTCCGAGTCGAGCCCGTCAAAACCCTGTGGCGCCTGAAAGCTCCGTGGTGGGTCGTAGCTATGGGTCATAGCTAAATGTACTCAGTCTTTGTTTTTTTGGCGCGTGTCCTATCTCTGAATATCAATTGGTGACTAGTCGTTACTGTCTCCACCTCTCGCTGTCGCAGTATTCTTTTTCACCTCTTAATGATTTCGGGAGGTTAGACGCCGCCACTGATAAGGCTGGCCCATGCGCCAAGGAGAGATTTCACTTGCTGTTCTTTGAGCTGAAAGCGTTTCTCCGGCGTTGTTGTCCGGGTTTTTGTTCTTGCAGTTGGGTAGCTACGTTAAAGCTGTGTCGGTTTGCTGGCTTATTGGGTCTAGACCTGCATAGAAACTTAAGCTTGGAGTTCATCTATACTTTGTAGATCAGCATGATCGAAGACAAGAGTTTGGATGTCTCCGCTTTTCCATGGAGCTATAGTATGTTGTTTTCAAGAATACATAATAATTCTCTTCTTACCTTGTATTCGAGAGTTCCTATTCAGTACAGACTGCAAATCTGAAGCTAGGGGTAAGGGTATCATAGAATTCGATTGTATGTAATTCTTTAACGCAATATTCTGTATGCCCGTATGGGAATGATAAGGACGAGGCAACGCTATCTATGAATGGGTCTAGATGATGCGATACCTAGTACCCGCTCACCTTGAAACAGGATCTGGTTCTGGAACCCAGTTTCACCGACTGCTGGATCCAGCGGGTACGCAATCAATGGCCAGGAGAATCTCCGATCTCTGCCAAAAAGCTCACCGTCAATGATCTACTTGTGGGTCCCGCAGACCAAGAAAATTCAATTTATAAAAAAAAAAAAGAAAAAAAACCCTGAGGACCTTGGAACCGTGCCCAAATTTTTAGATCTCCTTATGGAAAAAAATTCAACATTACCCGTTTTGTACATCCACTCCAATTTAGCCGGCTCTATTGTGTCATTATGAGGGGCCATATTATCATTCTTGACCATATCTTCCCCGAATAGTAAAAAAAGGAAAATCACTATTATTCAAAGCCACAGTGGACAATCACCAAGATCTGAAACAGCATGTTCTATTCTAGATCGTCAGGAGAAGTCGGATGGCAACACGGACGCGCAATCGGGCAGAGAACTCGGGAGGCAGTCGGGATTCCGATGGAAGCGGGAATGCCCGAGCATCCATGTGAAGGGATCCCGACAGCTCCCGTGGTCGGCAGACCAGGCCGAGACCACGAGGCTTTTTTGCTTTTGCTCAAGGCTGTTTTAGATGGCTTACATGACAACCAATCTTGTAAATGGTTCTCTTTATTGGTCATGATAGTAAGAACTGTGAGCCTATAGGTGGTCTACTGCAGGGGGCGTGCAGACGCCACCATAGACACATTAGACGTCTCTCATGAAGGGTCCAAACGGGGCGCAATGTCTTATCTCGTTCAAGACTAGGTACGGAGTAGAGTGAGCCTACCCGTAGAAGTCAAAGTAACAGGACCAAGGAAAACCACACACGTCAGTTTCCAGCCATCTCGTCATTTGTATCCAGGGAACCAGACTGAGATGGTGTAGCCGGTGAACAATTTGACACCTAGGCAGTGGAGCCGATTAGTGGAACATTTACCACTGGTAGAGGCAGCTCCCGCTCGAACCGCCGCTAGGGACTTCAAAAACGAGAAAAATGGACGGGTAGCTCCGAAAAAAGGAAAGACAATCAAAGAAAATCACTACAGGTGGGGGGAGTTTAGGTGATAGCACATGCCATCCAATTGAGAATTTGACCACCCTCCACTCTCAAGCCAGTCACAGATCTACAACATATGTGCATGCCATGTCCACATGGCTTTCCTCAGGCGTGATGGCGATGGCAATTGCCTATTTCTCCGTGGTGCCATGCACTACACCTCTTTGTGTGACCTAGAAGCGGGGGAATATGTCCGTGGTCAATTGTAGGCAGCGGCTAAGCACAATCACAGCTGATCGGCTTGGTCTCGACCTTCAGCTCCAGCCTCGTAGTACCGGGTGCACAGACAATATACTGTAGGTGTGAGTTTCTGTACTTGATGTACGACAATGCTGCGTTTCACCATGGCGTAATCTCTATTTTCTGCAGAGCAACCTGCATTTGAGTGGAGTGCAGAAATTAACGATAATGTCGTGTAACATGCATGTTATGCATCTCAGGCACGATCGTCCCAAAAAGAGGATCGATCGCGGGAAGGGCGATCCCGAGGTTATGGCGTGATGGGTTTTCTGGGTAAACGAAGGCCCCGAGCATCGGGCAGAAAAGGTGAAAACGTTTATCGGTAGTCATAGTGGTCTAAAGTCCCAATTGTAATAATAAAATCAATACAGAAGAAATAAGAAAAAAACACCACTTGATCACTAAATGTATACAATTCTTCACACGTGCTGTTAATACGCTTGACCTTCATATGATCCCATCGCTGACGTAAAGATCAACCTCGTTTACGCTTTCCACTGGTTTTTGGGGGGTTAAACTGCCCGCCTGCTTATTCTCTTTTTCTTCTTTTTTTTCTCCTAGAATTCTCCTTGTTTTCCCGACAAGAGTTTACCCCTATTCAATAACGGCAAATGCTCCTTATCGCAGCTTAGTCACCTCGCATCATCTCCGTTCTTTATTGCCACCCAATTTGCAACCGAAAACGGCACTTCTCCACTGTACAGTGGGACCCGTTTGGTCGGACCGGCCTGCGATTCTGGACATTGTCCGGTAGATCATAGAGGGTTTTCGCTGGAAAAAAAACCTGTCATACCTGGTTTATTTTTCTCCTCTTCCGCCGTTCTTTATTCACCTCTTCCTTCCCTTCCCGCTATTGCCATCGTGCATATTCTGCCCTTTCAACTTAACCTGCTGCCGGATAGCTGTGGCGGCCATACCTCAAAATGGCTCTCAGCTTCTTTAGTGGCGGCGGGAGTGCAAGCAATGCCAAGTATTTCGATATCCGGTATGTGGAGTCGAATCACTAGTATGCAGACGGGACAGCATCTTCTAACAGTTCTCAGATTGAACGAGGACTACATTGTCTTCCGTGGCGGCGAACATGAGGCTGCCAGCGCTCACCTGAAGGGGACCTTAGTCCTCTGCCTGTCGGAGCCCCTCGCGATCAAGCACATCCGATTAGAACTGACGGGAATGTCTCGTGTCTGGTACGTGTTAGGTCACTAAAATGACCAGGGAAATGAGGATTTCAGCTAATGGAGTCCTAGTTGGCACCTACCATCCAGCTCGACCGCCGGCGGCCGAAAATCTTGGAGAGAGCGAGTGTTCTACGACAAGACTTGGAGATTCCGGGACCCCGGCAAGGGCAAGACCGAAATCCTGGCGGCAGGCAACTACGAATATCCATTTGACGTGGTTCTCGAGGGGTCCATGCCGGAGAGCGTGGAGGGGCTGTCGGAGACTTGGGTCATGTACCGCTTCAAAGCCGAGATTGGTCGCAAGTACGCCAAGGACATCGTGGCTCGCAAGCCCCTGCGCATTATCCGGACCCTCGACCCGAGTGCTCTGGAGCTTTCACATGCTATGGTAAGTTGAGTCACAAATTTTTTGTCTATGGTGGGGTTGAGCGGGGCACTGACAATGACGTCTATAGTCTGTGGACAATATCTGGCCGAACAAGATCGAATACTCCATCAGCACTCCGACCAAGGCGGTCATTTTCGGAACTTCGATTCGAGTGGATTTCAAATTGATACCGCTATTGAAAGGCCTGCGCATCGGACAAACTACATCACAATTGATCGAAAGTCACGACCTCACCCTCAACCCGGAAGATCCCGACTCTATTCGCAATACCTACAAAATCACTCGCACGATCCTGACCGATGAGCACGATGTGGATCAGGATAATATCGAGGTCATCGACGAGGCGGCCGAAGGCTATCAATTTACCCGTTATCTGGACATGCCATCAACATTGACCAGGTGTCTACAAGATACAGACACGAAGGGCATCAAGATACGTCACAAGTTGAAGTTCCGCATTCAACTCCATAACCCCGATGGCCATATTAGTGAGCTACGTGCCACGCTTCCAGTGTCAATCTTCATCTCCCCCAACGTCGCCCTCGATGATAACAACAATATCCGTGATCCATCCGCTCAAACCGCTCACTCGGCCCATCAAAGACGAGCCGCAGATGAGTTCGCTGCTCACCAGGCTCCTCCTCTATACGGAGAACACCAGTTCGATCAATTATACAGCGAGGTGGATCCTAATGGCTACCGCACCCCTGGGCCCGGCAGTGGACCAAACACACCCTTCGGTCCCCTCAGTCGGAATATCTCAGCCGACAACCTGGCCTCCATGAACGCTTTGACAAATACTGATATTTCGGCTTCCGCTTTGCATAGCCGTCTTTCGAGTCTTAACAATGCCGCTCGCCTGGGTAACCTGTCGCCCAATGAGCCATCAAATGACCCCCCTGCGGAGAGCCACCCCAACTCAAGACAGCTGAATGTTCATTTCAATGATTACTTCGGTCCATCGTCTGGTTCGAATTCGCACAGCCCGGGCAGCCCTGAGCTCTCTCGCCGAACCTCTGATGAGGTGGATCACGAGCACATCCCATCGGGTATGGCGACTCCTTTCCACCCTCAATACGCTGAGGTGGAGACTCTGAGCCGAGTTCCCAGCTATTCAACTGCAGTTCGTGCTACCGTGGGCTCTTTTGATTCGCACCTCCCCGACTACAACGCCGTCATTGCGAGCAGCCTGCCGACCACACCGCTGCTTCAATCTCCGCAACAGGCCTACCTTCGAAGTGGTCGCAACAGTGGCCGGGCCAGTGGTATCTCTACGCCATTAGAGGTGAATCGATCTGGCTATTTCAACCCAAACGGCGTCAATGCTGATGATGCCGAACGCAGACTCCGCTTAGTACAAGCCCGCGCTAGATAGTGTGAGAGGCCATACCATCTTCCGACACCACAATTCCGATCAATACGTCTCACTTTAGCCATTCCACACCAAAAGTCATCTCTCCAGTGCTGGACACTGGAGGACATCCCCGCTCCTCCGCCTTCTCTATCTTGCTCTTCACTCTTCTCAGAACCCATGTCCCACATTGTGGCTTTGATCCTCTCCAGCATTCGACAGATATGGGTTTAAACCCTTTACTTTCTCGGCGTTCGGGCAACATTAGACAGGATTGGGATATCTCATAGACGGTTCCATGACCATTTGCTTTTTTTTTTGAGCCAGCTGTATGGGAAACTAGACCGCAGCACGAGTTACGCATCAATGCCTAGTTCTTACTACTTTCATGTACTTAATATTCTGTCATTTTGAGACCCATGGTTATTTTTTCAGAAATGGGTTAATTACAATGATCTCGCTACTTGATCGTGCCCCTCATTCTTTCTCGATCTAGTAAAAACCACTGCCGATCTGCACTCTTTCTGCGCCCGGTCAAGGCCAATAATGCGATTGTTGGAATGCAACCTCATCCCGCACTGAGCACCAACTCCGTACCTGGAAAAGCTTGGAAGGATCCACCCGTGGCGTTCAGTTCCATGAACATGGTTCCAGGATGTCTAGCGTGGGCATAAACATCATTGAGTACAAAGCTACATCTATACTCTGGAGGTTGTCAGATTTCTGGCTTTTAGAGTTTGATTCCAAATCAAACCCAATCAAGTAGATCATTGGGTATGGTACATAAGCGCCACAAATGCGGGCAATGACTTCATCGCCGGTTCGATCATCAACATCAGTTAAGAATGCGGTGTCACTCCATACTTTCCATCTTGCAATCCTCCTTGCCCCACAAAGAACGATTTCGATCTTCTTGCGAGGCGCTTGCATTTCACGACTAGTTCGGTTCTAGACTAGCGCTACTGGGCTCCCGGTTTTTCTTCAGCCACAGGAGCCACATATCCATACACTTCCGCTTCCGCATCCCGCATTTTACATCTCCCCTGGATCAGAAGATCTTGACGAGCGCCAAAGCTTGAGAAACGCATTTTTAGTCTCATCGTTGTTGTCTGGCCGTGGCCATTTCGTCAACCTTGTTCTCTCCCCTTTCCTCCACCTCTTATCCGCCGCCCGCCGCCTTGCGTCATGGCTAGCCCCGTGGAGCACAAGCTCCCCCAGCGATCCGGCACCGTCAGCAGCAGCTTCACTCGCCGCACATCCTTCAGTGACGATGAGGCTATTCCGGATACCGATAGCAGTGAGGTACGTTCAGAGCACCCCGGAGACCCTCACTGCCTGAGCTATCAGGGACAACCCCGCGTTCGAACTGTTCAAAGCGCTAACACATTGCTTCTTCATTCCAGACCAGCAACCTATTGATCGAGCGTCTTCGTGCTTGGAAGCATATGTGTGGAAACCTCGAGGACTATGTCTCGACCACAGCCAAATTGTCCAAGTCTCAGTCGAAGGACCATGAAAAGATTCTCAAGGTCGGTGTTTAGTGTTCCCCGCATTCAAGACCCGAAGACTGACTAGGCATTATGGCGGTGTGACAGACTGTCAGTGAACCATTGAAAGAGGCTCATCATTTTAGTCAGTCTGAGGGCGGCATGGCTGGTCTCTTCAATAATATGCGCAACAACGCTCAGGTACGATTTCACTATACGCACACAACAGAGTCCGTCAGTTGCCTTAGATCTAATACACACTTATCTGCAGGGAATGGTCAACATGTACCTCGAAACCGAAAAGAACCTGAAAGCCACCGTGCTCCCTACGCTCGAGCGCCTCCACAAGGAAATTAAAAACAAGTCGAAGGAGCTCAAGACAGGAGCAGCCAAGGGAGCAAAGGCCGTCGAAAAGGCTCGCAACGCGACGCAGAAGCACATCGAGCTTTTGGGCCAGCACTCCGCCTCACACGACTCTGCTATGGGCAGCAAGATTGAGCAAGCACATGATCCCTACCTGCTTAAGCGCCAAATCAACCATCGCCTCAACAAGCAGGTGACCGAGGAGAACAACCACCGCCAGGACATCCTGACAGTGCAGAACTCATTCCAGCAGTTCGAGGCTCACGTCCTGCAAACCGTCCAGGCTGCCCTGGAACAATTCCACCAGATCATGGGTGGCCAGCTGGACCGCCAGCGCGCCATGTATGCCGACGTGCTCGGCGCCGCCCAGCGCATCCCACCAGACTTTGAATGGATTAACTTCTGCGTAAGCAATGACGCCAAGCTCGTGAACCCAGACTCCCCACCCCGCGAGTTCGCCAATCTCACTTTCCCAAACCAAGACCACCGCGCAACCAAGGCTCTCCTCGAGGGAACTCTCGAGCGCCGCTCTCGAGCCGTCATCAAGGGATACAGTTCAGGCTACTATGTCATCACACCTGCACGTTACCTGCACGAGTTCAAGGATGACGATGACTTCCGCCGTGACCCCTCCCCGGAGCTGTCACTATACCTGCCCGACTGCACCGTTGGCTCGATTGACGGTGTCAAGTTCAACGTCAAGGGCAAGGATATCTCCAGCAACAAGGTTGGCAATGCCTTCCACACCACCACCGAGCTTAACTTCAAGGCTTCTACCCCTAGCAACGCCGAAAAGTGGTGGTCCGTTCTCAAGGAGTGCACAGGTGGTACTAATGTCGCTGCTGTCGGTGGCACTGCTGCTGCTGCTTCCACCCAAGCTTCTCCCGTTTCACCTACTAACGACCCCACAAGCCCCACTGGCAGCGTCTCTGGAAAGGCTAACCAGCCTCCAACATATGCTGAGAAGGAGAAGGATGCCCAGTCGCCTGCTGGCTCCCCTTCGGAGGTGAAGACGCCCGGTTCCGTGAAGCCTATCAGCCGCACCGCTAGCTCAGGAAGCAGTTACTTCACAGGACCCACTGGTACTGCCGCGGGAGAGAAATCTGAGAAGTCTTGAGCGATGATGATACTTCTTGAATAGTGTCTATGGTTTCCATTCTCATTTGGTCATTGATTTGGTCTACACTGCCTTGGACTGCATGTTGGGTATCTCCAAGATGCATTGCGAGCTCCTATTTCTTCTCCCTTTTCACTTCTACTTTTGTTTTTGGGATCATTCTGCTCGTTAGACCTGAGCGCGCCCTGAGTCAATTCAGCTGGTCCCTTGATTGCCAGTGGGTGTACAATTTTGGAGATATATATTGTCCTAATAGTCCGCAAATACAATGATTTTGACGAATACTGTACTTCCAACTCTAGCTGTCTTCGTGATATTACCAAGGATTGATTGGACAAATGACACAATAACTTGTTTTGAATAGCTTGGTCCAAGACACTTTCCGCTTGCTATAATTGCTAACAAGGAACACCCAAATTCTTCATAAGGTCATGTATGTAATACACTCGTGTACACATTTGAACGGATTGCAGTACTCTACAGTTCGAATGTACCCCGCAGTAGGTTCCAAGACCAGCCTGCCACCAACTGCAATCCAGGATACTTTTTCTTAGAAATCCTCGGGACTCTCCAAATCACGCAGCTTCTGTCCGAGGAATCGACCCAGCGCAGCACATTTTGATTCCAACGCCAACAGTACGGAGGGGGAAGCAGAGAGATTAAGACTGGCGAGACGTGCAAGATCGGCGCTGCGATCTATCTCATGTTGGGCATCAAGGGTGCCGTTTCGGGCGGGGGGATTCGGGGACGGCGGTGCTGCGGTTGGTGTGCGCTGCCCATCACCTTGAGATCCATCTGACGTGGCACCATTCCCGACGGATGGATCTGCCGAGGCCCCACCTTCAGTTAGATAGTCAGGATCGGCTCCTTTTTGCGTGGTCTGATCGATTTTGTTTGGCCCAATTGCGGCAAGGAGAACCTTGTCGGCGAGGCGGGTCACTACCGCCACGGAGTCATCGAGTTCGAAGACGATGGAGCCCACGTCACCTAGCGACATGGACTGGGCCGTTACGTAGGACGAGGGATGACTAGCGGGGTTCACGCCAGTGAGGTTTCCACTGGAGGCAGTCTTAGCGTAACATGTGTATGCAGCGCCGTAGGTTGCGCTGAGATTCCGGAGTTGACGGGATGGGAGTGAGGAAGCGTAGGCGAAGACTGCGCCATTGGTTGAGAAAACACTATGTCGACCATGAGCTATGAACAAGGAGTCAATAAGAGGGGGAATCATACAGCATTGTTGTGATCTCTGGCGGGCAGAGATTGTCCTCCAGAAGGTCGCCCAGCGCCTCTGAGTCCAGCATCTTGATATCCGGTAATTCGGGGAGCATGATGTCGGTATTTACTTTGACCCGGACCTCTGTCGTATTCTTCGTGGATAGCCGTTGAGTCTCGACGACCCAGTCCTTGGGTGGGGTATAAGAGCAGTCCTCGGGGAAGAAGAAACAATTATCCTGAAAGTCCTCGTCGTCGTCGTCGTATTCGATAGGTTCTTCGGAGGCAGGGAGGAGGTTCTGCGCACACTGCACGTGAGAGCGAGCCCAATATGGAACAAACGGGCAGTCGTGGGGCGCAAGATCGGGTTTAACGGAGAATAACTCGGAGACTGGAAGCGGTTCGAATTCAGCCATCTTCAGACCCATGACCAGACAGATACGCGCACGCGCGGGGATTGGAGAGCACGTGTCTCTTTCTTTTCCAACGAGATTCAAATAGGATAGGGCCGGGCAATATGTTCATAGCTGGGGCTGGAAACGGGGATATGGGCAGGATATGACTGTAGAGCGCGGACTCGTGTTGACGATCTCTCCCTGACTCAGACCTTCCAGTCCAGATGACAAGTCGCGTGAAAATCCCGCGCCCGGTAGTACAAAGCCAAGCCTGGGGGATAGAACGGCGAGTTTTATACTTGCCAGGATAGGAGCGTGGTCATGCGATGCAGCGAGGCTCCGCACCCCGCCACAGGGTAGAGCATGGGGGTCGAGGAACGTGGGCATATTTGGGACGATGATTGGAGGAAGGGAATGCGAACGAGAAAGGGTTTAGGCAACATATGCAGGCGTGCTAAGCGCGGGAAAGAAAAGAATTCGAAACAGAAATGCGAGCGTGGAAGGGCCGCAGAGCGTTCCAGTGAGGCATTCAACACGAGGGATGGGGGAGAGAAGCCAATGATAAGCGCCGGACGATCAATTCGGGGCGGGAAGAGGGCTTGGGATGATGCGGAGTGCAGAGAAGGAAATTTTAAAAGCACGAACCTGGCCTGTGCGAAGTTGAGGGCGTTGCCCGGGTGGATATGCAGTTGCGTGTGAGAAAGAGGGGAGTTGAAGGAAGGGAATTGACGATCCGCAAATGGTTATGCTTTGACCGGGCCGAGATGTCAAGCTCCGGCCAAGACGCATGGATCTCAATTCATCATCTAACGATTAGACCATCGTATCATGTAATTGCATTCGAGACCTTTGTCTCTTGTGGCTGATAGGACCTTCTGTTGGATTGTGGACGATAAGGCTACAGCTTCCGATTTCCAAAGTACCCGAGCTAAGCCCCGGTGCCGCCCCCGGCAATCTTTTCCTGATCGCGCCCAAAGCACCTTGAAGAACCCCCTGGATATTGAATACCGAATACCTAACTGTTTGGCGCAGTTTCTTGATCAGAGCTCTAGCGAGATAGGCTCAGGTACATCATCCGCTCCCACGTAATGCGGGGAACACGGACAGCGCCGATCCACCAAGAGGCAAACCAGTGTTCCCCTTGAATGCCCCAGAATGTGGATACCTGATCCGCGACCTGTGCTCTGGCATATGCTTCGTTTCGTTCCAAGTTGACTCCGCGTACATGCATCGATGTATGCTGTCGTCACTCACTTCCACTTGTGTCTAATGAGGGATCGACAGGGTTTCCTACGTTTAGTAATTAGTGACACGCTATTCCCGCCGAGCTGTACTAAATTCGCCATCATAAGTCCCTTCGGCTTAACTTTATCTAGGAGAGGCAGCATGTGGTGGCGCCGGTCGCTTCAGATTGCGTTCTTATTCGCCACCAGAATGCAGGTTTCCATAGCACTATAGCTACACTATCTACTACCGTAGTCAAAAGTATTTCCCCAAATCAGTCTTTGGGCCTACCCCATCAATTATATAACACAGTATTCATTAAACAGTTCACCACACCACCATATCTTACTGAAATTCTACATAATTACGCATAGTTATTGATACGCATCTAACACACAGAAATATCTACCCTAAGCTTTCTAACCTCTAGTAATTGTCTCCTTTATACCAATACATTAGTTTTTACGTATATTGGCGTCCTGCATTGCCTTCTCTCGGCAACCAGGGATATCGCATGAATCTCTTTGCCTCATCTCCACGTATGCTTGAGGAAACACTCAATGGTCGGGTGCATTCTCTACCAATAGTGCCATAGCTGCCGTGATCAGTCTCACCATCTACCAGCAAATAAATCGCCAGCCTGAAACTGAACTGGTACGTCTCCACCGGCTCTATCGTATGATCGAGCTACGGCGTGCGACCACCAGCACTGCAACTACTGAGACATGTACAGCGCACTTTGGAATTCTTTTCTTCCGATGGTGTATCATTTTCATGCAACTTTTATCAGGCTCGGTGTGTGTTGAAATGGCACACGACTCTATTTCGCGGGGATGCAGTGCCCGTTCACTCGATACTATGCGACCTCGACATTAGCAGCGAACATCCTTGGATATCATCTGTTATGCTAGTGCTGTTTGGATTCCTACGGCTACTGAATGAACCAGAGAGATGTGAATATTTACCATTGACCATCTTGACTATACGGAGATCTTTCTGTCACTTCTTTATTGCCTACGACACATTCGGCCGAAGCTGCGCCAAGATGTTCGCTGTCTCGGAATCCAAGTCAAAGTTGCCGCCCATGATGTAATATGCCTGCTAGTCAGGCACATGTAGTGTGACCTGTTGGCAAGATGTGATAAGCAGGAGGAAGTCACCAAGTCTTTCCGCTGAAGAGTCGCTTGGTACCCGGGTTTCCTGGAAGGTAAACTTTTAAGGGAACCAGCGTTACCTAATCTAGTACTCTTTGACAACCCCCACGGCCTTCTATAGTTGTGTTTAAAATCTCACCCCCTGCAGGCTCCTTTGCTCCCGTACTACCTCCTTTTTGACTCTTTGCAGGATGCTACGTCCCCATTTGAATGAGCGATTATATTCCTTGGGTCTGGGGAAGGTTCTATCGACAAAGATCATCACGTGAATGCACCATGACTCAGCACTAAACCCAGTCCCATTCTCCAACAACTGGTCAGCTATGTAATCGATCTCATACTCTCAAGCCCCACTTCCCCTCACGCTGACAAAACGCCGTCATTTTTCTAATGTGGCTTCGCACACCAACTTTGTCTCAAAGGGTCCTCAAACCTCGCTTTGCTGGTAAGAGATCGACTTCCCCGGATTTTCTCGAGCCAATCATACTAACGAGCATAGCTATACGAACCTACACCATGGCTACCGATCCCTCCACCTACAAGTTGAACCGTTTGTGATCCTTGCCTGCAGCTTCATCCCTTCCTAATACTAATACAATGACTCCTTAGACACCATGATCCGGGTCAAGGACCCGAAGCGATCAGTTGAGTTTTACAAGTTCCTCGGCTTGAGTTTGCTCAAGAAGATGGATTTCCCCGAATGGAAGTTCTGCAACTACTTCATGTCTTATGACGGCCCCAAGTCGCTGCAGGGAGAAACCCATTTCACCGACCGCAATGCCAACATTGAGCTCACCCATAACTATGGTACTGAGGACGACCCAAACTACAGCGTCGTCAACGGTAATACTGAGCCCCACCGGGGTTTCGGTCACCTTTGCATCTCGGTCGACAACATCGAAGCTGCTTGCAAGCGCATTGAGGATGCTGGTTATCCCTTCCAGAAGAAGTTGACTGAGGGGCGTATGCGTCACATTGCCTTCGCCAAGGATCCCGATGGATATTGGGTGGAGATCATCCGTCGCGGTGAAGAGGATGCTGGCACCACCACCGACCCAGGCACCTACCGTCTCAACCACACCATGATTCGGGTCAAGGACGCCGAGGCGAGTCTCAAGTATTACACAGAGTCACTGGGTATGACGCTCGTTCGCACCTCTGAGAACCCAGAGAACAAATTCAATCTTTACTTCCTGGGCTACCCCAAGTCCAACCCTGAGATCAAGGAAGGTGTCAGGAACCCCGTCTCTGAGTGGGAGGGTCTGCTAGAGTTGACCTGGAACTACGGCACTGAGAAGCAGGAGGGCCCTGTCTACCACAACGGTAACACAGAGCCCCAGGGATTCGGCCATATCTGTAAGTTCCACCGTGTTACCCCTCGGTAATAGTCTGGACCAATCTAATGTTAATTTTCCTCTCCAGGTATCGCCGTGGATGACCTCACAGCGGCTTGTGAACGGTTCGAATCACTGGGTCTCTCTTGGAAGAAGCGCCTGACCGATGGTCGGATGCACAATGTTGCATTCCTGTTAGATCCAGACCAGTACTGGGTTGAGGTGATTCAGAATGAGCGGATCAAGCCCACTGCAAACTGGTAAAGGAATGATAGTTCTGAAAAATCACTGGTCATACTACAGAAGGAAGGAAGTGTTGTAAATAGTTTTTTTTATGATGCGTTGATGGCCTAGATGTTTCAATAACAAATCCAGATCTAAATCGCCCAATAAACCCAAATTCCAGTGTAAACGGGGCTGCAGCTTATCAACTAACGTATCATAGGCGGACGCTGTGGACCCTTTCCCCCGCCCCCCAGGACGAACATTTTGCTGGTCCAAACCTTCCGGAAATTCAGTTCATCCCAGATTCAGATCAAGCATACGTCTGAAGTGATGGATACGATACTGATGCAGGATGAGTTGACACGCTACACTGGGTGAAGCCTCTTTGATCTCAAGTTCCTCTGACTCAATACGTCGACCGCCGCCCCCACACTTTAAATCGACCGGCGGGATCCCGAAACCTGGAGGCAAACCCCCGGGAAAATCCTCAACATGTCGCCCGATCCTGAGAAGCCGAAAAAGGCACCGAGGAAACACGTCACAACGGCCTGCGTACCTTGTCGTGAGAGTAAGATTCGGGTATGTATAATTATTCCTTTCCTGAGGCGCAGGGATCGGCGGTATCTAATTCTCACCCTTGCAGTGTGACGGGTCTACGCCATATTGCCAGAATTGCCAGCGCAAGGGCAAAGATTGCAAGTACCAGCATGGTGATGATAAACGAAAGTAAGTAGGAACTTTAATTGTGCTTCAAGCGTATAGTCGGCAACCTAGTGCGAAGATGGTCCCTAGTGTGACGCGGGGCAGATGCTCGATTACGCAAATTCAAGAATCGGGGAAACATGCATGGCTAATGAACGTATATTAGAGTATCTCTCCGAGCTGCTACTGAGCTCTTCTCGGCGAGAATAGATCAATTATGCCAATTTATTCATGACCAAGGACTGGAGCCCCCACCCATGGAACCAGAGGATGAGGCTGGCATGGACAGGGTGCTAGACACTCTTCAAATCCCACGTGGAGTCATGAAAAGCAATAGTAATACGGGATATGATGAAAAATCTGAAATCGAGTCCAAACCGCCAATCATCCCAAGCACATCTCCGGTGCAGAGTTCACCTACTTCGACTCCAAATGGGCAGATGCGACCAGCAAATGAATCAGCGACCCCAGAGTCGCATGCATCGCAGGGAATGGTGCCAAACCAGCAATTACATTCCACCATGGAGCCCTGGAATGCGTTCGACATGGTACGGGGCGCTCCTGACAACCAGAACTTCGTCCACTGGGGATTTACGCTTCCAACAGCTGAAAGTCTTGATACCATCTACGCAAATATCAACAATGGATCCGGAATGCAGGTTAACACTGGTCTGGGTCCAGATAGCTTACAGATTGGTATGGACATGGCTCAACAACCTGGTGTGTTACTCGGCCAGCTGCCAATGGAGCAACACCAGGATTCTGATAGCGACGAGGAAAACGAGGCCGAGAATGACGTGATTGAACAGCTATCTAATCGAATAGGCACATTGAAAATCGCAGGAGATGGCCATTTAAGGTTTTACGGTGCGACTTCCAACCTCAACCTGGTGGACGTTTCTGCTACGCAACAACGTCAGAGACCAGATGCTCGCACTGTGCGTCACGATGGTCAAGATATTCTTAATCATCTTCGGGTTGGCCAACCGGTTGATCAGGCCCTAGAGGACCACCTAGTCGAGCTCTACTTTACTTGGCAGAATCCTAGCATCTATGTGGTTGATAAGGAAATGTATATGACTGCACGGTCAAAGTGGCGCAATGAATTTGACGACACGCCTTTTTATTCGGAGGTTCTGACCAATGCTATGTCAGTCATGCTTCTCCCTGCTTATTTGATGTATCTGTGTACTGACTTCTACCAGGTGCGCCATCGGAAGTGCGTTCGAGGCACGTTATCATCCTACTTTCATCACATTCCCAAAGTCATTAGCGGAGTTCTTCGCAGATAGGGCCAAGGCACTCCTAGAAATTGAACTCGATTCCCCCTGCGTTGCGACTGTTCAAGCCCTTGTGCTCATGAGCTGTCATGAAGGAGCGTCCAACCGCGACGCGCGAGGCTGGCTGTACAGTGGTAAGTGACAATGATTGGGATAATCAGAACCTTGAATACTCATACTCTATTTAGGCATGTCCATGCGATTGGCCTTTGATCTTGGTTTACATATTGATATGAGGCTATACGTCAAGCAAGGAGATATAAGCCAGCGTGAGGCTGATGTGCGACGTGCAGCATTTTGGGGAAGCTACGTTGCGGACCAGTAAGTTATGCTACATTCATTCATAAGTTACGAGTCTCTGACGTTCAAAGTTTCTGGGGATTCTATCTTGGTCGTCCATTCCGGATGAACGCAGGAGACGTCAGTGTACCCAAGCCTGCGTCAGGTCTTGGCCCTGAGAAGGAGACAGTTTGGAAGCCATATGGCCTTCAAGATAAAGAGATTGATAGTAACTTGAAAGACCCCACAGAGCTCATTTGTAGACAATTTGTGGTTCTATGGGAAATGATTTCACCCGTCGGTCATATACTGTGCGTTCTCTCCCCGGAACCTTTCATAGTTCGAGCTTGTTGCTAATACTCTTCTAGGTACGGGTGCTCAGACATATCTCGCCATGATTTGCAAAGACTATGCTTCCAAGTCACTGAAGATTTATTTGCTTGGAAAGCCAACCTTCCCTCAAATCTCGAGATTGATTTGGACGACACTACCACTCCGATCCTTCCTCATCTGCTTGTTCTCCAGTGAGTCATTTGATTTCAAGTAATAATAACACCAGAGACTGATGATCTTCCAGTATGCAATACCACCAGATCGTCATTTTCTTCCACCGTCCCTGGGTCTCAAAGAGCTACATTCAGCCCCGTAGCCCTCGCCAAGGGCCTGGCTATCACCACGCACGACGCATGTGCATTGAGTCCGCTACAGCCGTCGCACGACTCCTACAAATCTACGAGAAACACTACACCTTCAGAAGAATGACCAACCAAGTGGTGGCCATAATTTTCAGCGCCGCACTCATGCTACTCTTCGTCACTGTCTCTAGCTCTCCCTTGATGCCCACGAAAGTTGGCGAGATCAATCAACCTCACCCCCGAAATGCTGAAATGGTCGCATACCTCAATCTTTGCTTCCGCGCACTCGACGAATTAGGCCAATCATTTGAAAATGCTAAACGAACCCGCGACTACCTTGTTACCCTCCAACGACGCTGGCAAACTCACATGCGTCGATCTGGTCCCCGTGCCAAACGGCAAATCAGTAGTGCGAACCTATTATCAAGCTCTGCACAAAAGGCATCTACCAATTCAGCACATACCACACAAGGTACAGAGTCTTCGCGCAAGAAGTCTCGAGTCATCAATACCGATGTACATTCCCAAACTACTCGACAAAATCCCACATCAAACGTCAATCCTGCTACTCTTGGTGATTCTTCATACCAACATACACAACCGCCCACATCTCATCAGAATCAGCATCGAAACCCTTATGCTCAGCAGCCTTTCACGGCACAACAAGCTGAAGATTTTGAATGGGTTCCAGCCTCTGATTTAAATCTCTTGCCTGGAAACCATGGCTACAGCACCAATCGAAATTCTTTGGGCAATATATCGGCACCGCAGTTCCCCGGTGATCCGAGCATGAGCATGCTTCCTGATCTAGGAGATATTGAGGGCTGGTGGGGGTCACCTAATGGGACTTCAGGATTAGGAGGGCCGAACTTATAGAGGGCGAGCTTGGTGCATGTAGTCATAGAATTCTTTCGTTTTACTTTCAAGAACCCTTGTTTATAATCATGTAATACCGGAGAGCATTGTCACCGAAGTTGTGCATTGTCATGCCTGTATCATTATAATTGGACTGACCTTGCTTCCCAACTCACAGTGAGATGTTGCTTGAGTATACTTGTAAGGTGAATTAAAACTCCATTGAAAGATACCTAGTCATCATCACTGCTCTCTTTAACAAAAGCGTCCTGAAAATAATTTGCCAATTCCTGCCCAGGAAAGTTGTCTACTCTTGAAAGAGTCACTATCCGCTCTCCAACCCCTTTCTCACGACCCCAGAAACATGCCTTCCGCATAGTGGACACCATTTCCTCGCCCTGCTGCTCAAGTACCGTAAGCTTCGCAGCTGTACCTTTGTTGCTCGAAGTGATCTGCGAACCAGCAGATGAATTCCTCAAAAAGACGCGTACCCACGGCAAAGAAACTTGCAGTCTGCCAATGCCATGATCCGATCCGGTCCAGATCTCATTATTAAGTCCATAATCCAATCCATACGGCGGCCAGCGAGACAGCGCCTTTCGACGACGAACAGGTGGATCAACATCTCCGTCGGTGTCTGAGCCAGGGTATATGCATGTATCCCATGAAGGACTTGTAGGAGAATCATATTGCTCAGATGGCATCTTGCCGGGGTTCTTCAACACTGGAATGGGATACCCCGGCCCCGTCAGATACTGAGGAAATGTTTTCGGAATGTCCCGTCCCGCAGAGCGAAGAAACAGGATTGGCGAAGCAAATGCGTCGAAGCACCGCTCAAAAGATGTGAAAAATCGTTCGCGTGCCTCGAGAAGGGGAACTAGATCTGCAGGGGCGGATTTCCGTCTTGTTGACCGTTTGTGTTTCGTTGACCCTCCATGGTCTGTAGTGTCTTCGTGAGCACAGTGCTCATCCAGTCCAGGCCAATCACAAACAGGCTCATGGGCGGCAACAGCGTGTACGGATTGCGGTTCTGTGAGCGCCAACATTAATGCCAGTGATCCACCGATGTGTGAGCCGAAGACTCCAAGCTTGGCGGATCGGAGATTATTTTTGATCCAGTCAAATCCGGCGAGAGTATCATGTACTGGGGTCGGATATTTGTGATACTCTGCTATTTGGGCCTTTGGATTTGGCTCTGCATCTGATTCTGTTCGTCTAGTCGTGGGGGATCCCTTGTCTGCTGCCCCGAGGCGATAATTGACTGTTACCACCGTAGCAGAAGTCATAGAGGCCAAAGCCTGCTGTGGAGAAATTCCATTTGAACTAGCATGCCTCAATTCTAGATTTCCCTGAGAGTTGAGTTGAGGATCATGATCGGATTCGTTCTGCACTGATTCCTTCCCCTCAGAACCCGGGCATATGGGACCGGGTGGGAGGTAGAGAATCACCTTCGACCCAAGAGGTGCATCGTGGTGAGCTTTCTCTGGTCGCGTAACACTATTCAAATATATAAACCAAAGTCTCTAAGGCACTTTTGGGGCTCAGGGCTATCTTACCTTAATGATACAGATCCATTGTTACCGATCGGAAGGGACAATGTCTCGTCGCGGCAGCCAGATAAAAGTCGAACGCTGCGGAGACATATGTGTGCTTTGAAGCCAGTCTGTTTGGGTAGACGCGCTAGGCGTGAATGAAAAATCAAAGCGCGCATCGCTGTAGGAGTTGTTCAGTTGCCATCCGTCAAAATAAGGCCGGTTCCACGTGACGTCAGTCGATTTTCACATAAGCTTAATGTTATACTGTACATGAATACAATTTGTTATTTTTGTTTCAACGAACCTTAGTACAATTTGACTGAAACGTGAAACATTCGAACAACTAGCCATGGGTTACGTATCAATGAAAAGTTCGAGCTGTTCAATTTCTAATGACAGAGAAAGTCAAGCATCAGGTTTAGCATAATATATAAACTGAAAGGTCAACATTCAAATATGATTACATGCAACGCTGTACAAACAACAATTTTGCCTCAAGGATACAAATTGCGTATAAAATACCGACCTATGTCAAGACTCATGCAAATGTATGAGAATGGTTCCAAAAGGATTTCTCGAGGGTCGCAGACGCAGCTGGGTCATCAATGTCCAGAGGAGCCTCCGTATCGTCATCCGGCACCGGTTGCATGACCTCAAGGCTGAGCTTGGGGTCCTTGGAGTAGACACGCAGACCAACCACACATACTGCATTCCATGGATCGGCAGCAGGTCCCTCAATCTCAGGCATCCGGTTGGCAGATTTGTTGTCTGCTTCGTCAGGTGGCATGTCGAGATCACTGTCAAATTCAAATCCTTCCAACAGCTCCAAGTCGCTGAGGTCCAAATTATCAGTAGCCAGACGTGTATTCAGGCTTGGTCGTGGCGAGTCCGTCCGCCTAGGACGGGGACCACTGGATGCATGTCTAGCATGCAACCCATTGAACTGGATAGTTGGCACCGAGCTGTTGGGAGTCGGGCGCCGCTCACTACCATCACTGGATATGCTCTCTGTAGGGGATGCAGTGGGCTTCTCGCCTAGGATCTGGGTGATCTGCGAGGGCATCGGGCCGTTCACCGGGCCATTGTTCATAGGGCCATTCTGACGGGCTGCCATGCGCTGTTCTCTTGCAGCCATTTTGCGCTCACGAATCCATTCCTTTTGCAGTCTTTTCTTGGTTTCATCACGGAGCTTCTTGCGCTCGCGAGCTTTCTTCCTCTCTTGCTCGTAGCGTTCCTGCTCTGTCTCACCTACCAGGCCCTTCGCGTGGGCCAAGTCATACGAGAGACCAACCTGTACTAGTTTCTCCCTTCTAGTTGAGGCGAGACGGCGAACAATCTCCTCAGTCGGCTCAACCTCCTCGTTTCGGAATGCGGTGACCTTCATCAGAACATGATAGCGGCCCGGGTCAAGGTTGATTTCAGCGTTGACAGATCGGCCCATAAAATGGCTGCTGTGACTGCGCACCATGTAATCCTCTTCGCCCTCCTTTTGAATGCGGAACTTGAGAACAAAGGTATACTCGCCGGCGAGTCCCTTGTAGTATCGGGTATCAAGCTGCTCTTGTTGTCAGTAGTCGTCTCGTGTATAAAAGACGAGACATCGCATACCTGGGAAAGAACAATGACGACCGGGCCACCTTGGGTGACATTCATTATGAATTTCGTGCTGTGATAATCCGCCGACCATGGAACATTCAACGTTGTCCATTGTTGTGTGATAGTCCACTCGGGCCCAAAAAGACGAGTGCGGTCGAAGTGTTGATATTTCCGAAGAAGATCTTTATAAGAGATCCAGAAGAACTAGTCTTGGGTCAGTGACTGTCCTACAGCACGATCCAATGCACATACCCCATCGTTACCAAATTTGTGGCCTAGAAGCTCCATCCACTCTGCAGTCCACTGCTCAGATCCATCACCCCAGGCACCGTGCCATTCTTTCTTTCCCCAGGGGTTCCTGAATCGATCAGCAAAGGGTCTCAAAGGAGTGAACAACTTTACTTACCGCAGACGAAGAAGACGATGGCCCTTGATCTCTCGCGCTTCCATGATCGAGTAAGAATGGTTCTCCGAAATCCCCTTCCGGTCTCGTGGAGGGCCTTTGTACTTCGGATCCAACCAATTGGAAAAGAGACCTGTTCCACAACCAAATAAGAACTCCTCGTTGACTTTCATCAGTTCCTCCTTCCAGAACCGATCTTTGTCCAGAATATCGTTCGATAGAATCTCCGAAGTGACACCACCGGTCAAATCTTCAATAGCTTCACCAACAAATCCACCTTCAATAGCTGAATAATCACCATGCGCTTTGGCAAATGCCTTCTCCAGCAAAGGCAGCCAAGTCTCATTCGGATCAACACACTGTGCAAAGTACAACGCCCGAGAGCCCGTCTGCCAGACTCGGCGGTACTCTTCTTCAGCATCCGTGCCAATGCTATCATCCCAAAGCGGACGCTCATCAACCGACTCGTCGTAATCAGCCGCACGAAGATATAGTTTATCATCAATAATGCATTGCTGCCACTCTCCATCTGTTCATGGTCAGACTGGTATCTCAGGTGCTTGCCAAGGGTTGGAACTTACCGCGATAGAACACAAAGCCATAGATTCCAATAGTCTGATTTCGAGCAACACAGATCTTCTCAATCAACTCCTCCTTGTTACCCATCGTACAGAGCGCAGCCATCAACCAGCAATCCCCATCACAGCCCTGGCGCACATCAGATGCCGTCGGCCCATTGATAAAGAACTGAGGCTCGACAAAGATTTCCTAGAACTCTATCAGCACTGATTTCCAATCATCAAGCTATTTTGCCAAAACACACCGTCACCCTCTTCACTCCTCGAGGCCTCATCTCCTCATTCGTCTCATCCAACCCATGCAAATAGTCCTTCCGCCCAGATTTCAGATCCACCTCGATATCAAAATGAGGATCCGTATACTTCTGGTTCACCCGCTCACATTCCTTCACAATACGGTCAACGGACTTCTGGCATTCGCGCTTCGCTTGCTCATACGACTTCACAGCCTCTTGGCCCCGAATCACACCGTTGGGCACTCGCTTTGCGCGCGTGCGAGCATAAGGATTATCCGGCAACACCGTGTACACCTTACCAGGGTACTTGGTGTTGAATTGTTCCCAGAACTGTTTGACGGATTCCTGCGGGGGCTGGCAGCGGGCCCGGTGTGGAGGGCGACTGTTAGACCGAGACCGCGAGGAAGCAGCGCCATTGCAGTACATCTCATCTTCGAACTCCATGGTGGCGGCCTTGTGCAACAAACACGACTTGCAGAATTATTGCAATTTTCTTATGATAGTTGAAATAAGTATATGAGGAATAGGGGGAGGATATGCGTTATCGGGGTCTTTTCAGCGCCCTATATCGCACTAAGATGCAGCTTTGGCGACGATCACATCGAAAACCTGAAACGGAATGCAGGTGCACTTCTTTGATACAAAAGGTATGTGAAAAGGATACCGTGTCTGAGACTCTATGATTACGATTCATTTAAATAGTGACACTAATTTGCATTGCACGGCCACCCCGGCGTCGCCGGTGCCGAGACTATCGCGCCCATCAGCACGTATAGGAAACCGACCATTCAGGTTCTCAGGCCTATATCGTAAGGCTGCAGGTGCGTGCGTTAAACTTGCCGTGGGCCCGCGAATGAACAGGCGTGGAGGCTAAGCCTAGCGCTTATGGCCCCCAACTCTGTATTCCCCCAGGTTCAGCTGGCGAATGTCTCAAAAATCCCGGGCGAATCAGCCGCATGGTAGGATTTAAAATAATCGGCCCCCAAGAACTGTGCCTCGTGGAATCTATTAAGGGGTTTGCAGAATGGGATTGGAAAGGTGCTGTGCCCAGATGCAGGTTTCTGGGTCCAAAAAGGTTTCCAAGAATAAACATTCGTGTTGGTGGGGCCGAGTCAGCTCAACACGGGAATAGTATAGATTTACGAGTTCTGATTGGGAGAATAGAGGGTGATCCATAGTAGAACATGATCATGGAATTAAATCTGGGCTGAGGACTTCGACCACATTGGGGAAACCTGATGTTACATCTCGTGGTCACTGTATATGATGATCTGTTTTAACCCATACGAAAGGGGTATGTACGCCTTGCATTGACTAAAACTGGTGATAAAGTAATCCCTGCCCTCCTGGTCATTCCCCGATGAACGCCAAATACAAAAAGAAAAAGAAAACACAATGAAAAACATGTCCCCGGGGAGCGCATGCCACCCGTCGTGAATAAGGTTACACGAGAAAAGTAATGTCCGAGTCAGAGTCGCTTAGTGGGTGCCATTGTGATTGCGACCCGAGTAGTGGGAGCTCCCATGTCGGAAATATGGGTGCATGCAAGCCTGCTTGGCCGAAAGTCGATGCGCCGGATCATATTCGAGCAGAGCCTCAAGAAGCTCGCAGCCAGCCGGCTCCAGACCAGGAACGAGGGGGGTATCCGGACGCTTCCATTTGGGAAAGGTGGCCTTGTAATCGGGGAAAGAAGTGACACCGGGCCACGCCTCTTCGTCGGGGGTACCAAGGACGCTAGACAAGAGTTAGATCACAAAATCAGTGTGAACAGACAAGATGAACCAACCGGAAGATTTTGAAAATCTCGTCGATTTCTGAGTCACCGGGGAAAAGAGGCTTGCGAGTGCACATCTCAGCGAAGATAGCACCGACGGACCACATGTCGACACCAGTGGAGTACTGACGGCCACCGAGCAGAATTTCCGGAGAGCGGTACCACAATGTCACAACCTAGAAGCCAATTAGACATCAATTCCATGCCTCCTTTTATCCAATTGTGTGGGTATACTAACCTCGTGGGTGTAGGTTCGCAGGGGAACACCGAATGCTCGGGCGAGACCGAAATCAGCCAACTTCAGATTGCCCTCGACATTAATCAACAGGTTCTGCGGCTTCAGATCACGATGGAGGATGCGGTGACTGTGGCAGTAGCGAATGCCCTCCACCAGCTGAGCCATGAATCTCTTAACCATGGCTTCACCGAGACCCAGGTTGGCACCCATCATGGTACCATCCGGAAGAGCCTTTCCACGGCCACCCTCGCTGACGGGCAGGGCCTCCATGTATTTCTTCAAGTCGAGGTCAAGGTATTCGAAGACGAGGTAGAGCTTGTGGCCGTCGGCGTGGACAATGTTCAGCAATTGGACGATGTTGGGGTCCTGCATCTCTTTGAGGAGGGAGATCTCGCGGATGGCGGTGCTGGGAACACCCTCATCTTCGGCCTCGAGACGGATCTTCTTGAGAGCGACGATACGATTTGGATGATTGAGTTCACGGGCTTTATAAACAACACCGTAGGTACCTAGGGGGACGAGACGACGCGTGAGTTGGGCATAAATTAAGGCAAACTTAGGAGGGATCGATCGGGCCACACAATCCCGTCAACCTCACGTACCCTCGCCGATTTTCTCGATTTTTTGGTAGTTCTCCATGGTGAATGGGGCTTTTTGTCCTGCTCTGTCCTCAATCTCGTCAGAAAATTGCAATGGGCTGGGGGAGGGGGGAGGAAATGACGCAGTTTGGAACAATGGAGGAAGGATGAGGGAGAAGCAAGGAGCTCTGGGGATAGGGATAATGAGTCCAATGAGACGTACATGTTAGTAGTTGAACTATGAAACCACTGGAGGCTTGGGCTTCAATTCAGGTCCCCACACCAAGAAGATTTAGTCTGAAAGTTCTTTTCGCCTGGAAAAGTAAGATTTGGATTGGTGGTGTTGAAGGTGGGGAGAAAAACAAACAGTGGCCCCCGCGTCGCGGGAAGGCGGTCAGGTCAGTGTATGGACTGAATGGCTAGACCAACTTCAATGAGGTTTCCTCTTTCTACGTTATTCAAGCTTTTTTTTTTTTTTTTTTTTTTTTTTTTTTTTTTGAATCAAAGAGACTGGGCAAGTCTAAATATGCTCTATGTTCATGTGCGTTGTTATTTGAATAATCCATGCCGAGAGCCAATCGTGCAAGTCGGGATGCAGGCATTGGAACATTGGACAACTTTGAGCACCAGTGAACTTTGAAAAGAACTCATTGGATTTTGTTGGGCTAAATACTTCAATCGAGTTCTCGGGCTACAGATGTCTTCTTGGTGGCCAATTGCTACATAGAATTAAAGTTAATGTTTAATGCGGTATCGGACTGGATATAGATCCCGCATCGGGTGACAAGAGTCACAAACTGTCGAAGACGAGTGATGATCTACAACATAGAAGACGTCTATTCGTGCATTTACATTCTTGGGGATAACGTAAAACTCTTTATCTCTAGATATTTCGTGGAAAGACCAGATTAATGCAAAAGCAGACACCTGGAAGTGTGATTCTTAGCAAATACGAGGTCCCCCGTCGGTACCTCTCCACGTTGATATGTACCGTCTCCAAATGACCCCAACAACCCCGCTCAGAGCGATAAGAACAATGCCTAAAAGCATATATGAAAACTGTATTCCCCTGATAAACACGATATTGAAGGTTCTTCTGTAGGTAAAACGTTACATCACCATGGCAGCAGATTCCAACTGGCGTTCCCAGGGCGCAGCCAAGCGTCAAGCTACCCTTGATGCAATTCCTGAGAAATGGCGAATCCAAGGCCCCGTTCCCCCTGCAACAGAAGTTCGCGATGTCACAGGGCCTTATATCCAACAGTATCTCAGCAGACGTGAGATCGAGATCACCGAATCTGATGCAGTTGATATTGCTGCACAAACTACCTCCGGTAATTGGTCAGCTGTTGAGGTGACAGAGGCTTTCTGTCACCGTGCTGCACTAGCTCATCAGTTTGTAAGTCAATACTCAGAGAAGCATACTGCAAACATTCAACTAACCCTTATAAAAGGTCAGCTGTCTACATGAGATCTTCTTCGATGCAGCCATTGAAGATGCGAAGAAACTCGATGCCTACTTTGCAGAGCATAAAGCTCCAATAGGTCCATTGCACGGCCTCCCTGTCAGCCTAAAAGACCAATTCCACGTCAAAGGAGTCGAAACAACGATGGGTTATGTAGGCTGGATCAACACGTTTCAAGGCCAATCCAACGACCCACGTTGGACGGTAGAAGAAAGCGAACTTACCAGAGAGTTACGCAACCTCGGTGCAGTTCTATATTGCAAGACCAGTGTCCCTGCAACCCTGATGGCCGGTGAAACGGTCAACAACATCGTCGGTTATACCTGGAACCCGAAGAACAGACTTCTATCTTGTGGCGGCAGTTCTGGTGGCGAGGGAGCACTTATCGCTCTGCGAGGATCTCCGGCTGGCTTCGGTACTGATATCGGGGGCAGCGTTCGTATTCCCGCGGGTTTCAACTTTTTGTACGGGATACGTCCGTCTGCTGGACGGATACCGTATGAAGGCGCTGCGAACTCGATGGATGGGCAGAATTCGGTATTATCCGTCATCGGGCCGTTGGCGCATACAGCGCGCTCTTTGACGTTTCTTTTCAAAGCTATTTTGAGTCAGGAACCGTGGTATCATGATCCGCTTGCCTTGGAGCTGCCATGGCGTGATGAGATCGTGCAAGAGACGTGCTCTTTGATTGAGCGGGCTGGGACCGGTGTGCCGAGTCTTGCATTCGGGTTGATGAACCATAACGGCGTGGGTCGTGTTCATCCACCGATTGCACGGGGCATGAAGCTTGTCGAACAGACTTTGAGACGACTGGGCCATAAAGTTGTGACATGGAACCCGCCGTCTCATGCCACGGCTCATGAACTAGCTGTGTGTATGCCCCGTTCGAGATAAGCTGCAGTTTTTCGCGAGTATTCTAACTAACAGTGATAGAAACAAATTTACGATATGGACGGTGGTATAGATATGGTATACCATCTTGGTTTGTCTGGTGAGAGGAAAGCACCACAGGTCCTTCTTTCTGAAGGAGGCACCGAGTTAAAGGCATCTGCAATTGCTGCTATCAACGTCGCGAAGCGGGAGTACCAGAAACAGTACATGGATTACTGGAATAGCACTGTCGAGCTTACCGGTACAGGACGCCCGGTTGACGGAGTCTTTTGTCCACTGGCATCACATGCCGCGGTCATCCCTGGTCAATATGGTAACGTCGGCTATACCAGTATCGTGAATGTACTGGACTACACCAGTGTAGCCATTCCGGTGACCTTCGCGGATAAGACTGTGGATGTTTGTCCAGCAAGCAAATCTGTCTCGGAGCTGGAAGATTACATCGAATGGGATTGTAAGTGTTTTGTTTCTATTTCGCCCCTGCAAGTGAGCCTAGATGTGATCCAGTTAACGGTCATACAGATGATGCCGAGACATATGATGGTGCTCCTGTTGGGGTCCAGTTGATGGGGAGACGTTTACAAGAAGAGAAAATCCTGACACTTGCTGAGTATGTCGGGAAAGAAATCACCCAGAATCTGAGCTAAAAGTAACTCGAATTGAACGACTAGCTCTATTGGATATTCAGTATGGCGAGAACGATATTTCAGCTTAAACCTATGTATAATCGAACTGATTTGTTATGAGTGAAATGAATTTCTGGCTAAGTTAAGTATACAAAGGGTATATGCGGTGATATCATCCAAAAGGCATCCAAACATGTCCATTCGTATATGAGAAACCTGTTTAGCTCGTGGAAGACGGATATATATTCATCGCCAAAAAGCCTGAATCCAATTATACCCTAGAAGACGATGGAGGCGTTTGTCCTGAGGGCGCTGCCAGATTAGAGAGAATAGGGGTGGAGGAAGAAGGCCAAGGCCCCGATGGCCTGGCTGACGACGGAGCCGAATCGGAAGAAGGCGCGGCTGGGCCCTCAGACCCATTCATCAAACGAGGACGCTTAGTGTGCGGGGCTCCGACGCCGCCACCCGGTGGGCTGCGGGGATCTGCATGCGAATATGGAGACGCGTAGTTTGCTGAGGAGGTAGGCGTGGAGGCAGTGCCTGCGTCTGGACTCATGGCAATGGCGGACTGCAGAGGTCGCAGGCGATTAGGATGAGATGAAGTGTCTTCGCCCGGTCGGGGAGGTCGCACATTAGGACTTTGTTGCTGGTTATTATCTAAATCGGCCATTGAGCCACCACCAGCATAGCCCACTCCAATTCGACCCATGCCTTTATCGTGCATGACAACACGTTTCCACTTGCTGACAACATGGTCGTAGTCCCAGCGCGTGGAATCCGGGCTGATCTGGCTCTCTTTTGCATCTAACTCTCGAGCTACATCCCGAGAGAGTGGAAGGGTGTCAGGAGGGAAGAGGGCGAACTCGCGCGGCCACTGGCATGACCCGAGTCGCTCCACCTGGGCTCGCAGCTGATTTGCTTCTTGTTGGACCCGGGCCAACTGCTCATCCACGGACTTGCGCTGCTCGGCTTCACGGGCAAATGCGCGGGTTATCTCCAGTTGCCATGCTTCGCGACGAGTCTCATGGGGAAGGGAGTTCCAATGGTTGAAAGCAAGCTCTAAATGTCTCAGCCCTAATTCCTCATGTTGTTGTGCGGTTCGATAGATCATGTTATGATCCGGACTTGCTCCCAGGTGTTTAGTATGTGCACTGGGGTCTCCGGCGATTTGATCAGATTTCCATTGAGCAATCTTGGAGCGGAGTGCTTGACGGATGATGTCAAGGTGTTCCACTCCAGGAGCTTGCAGTGGAAATGAATTTGGCGAAGAGAATGGGTGGGAGGCGAACAAGCTCGGCGGGGGAGGGAGAAGTTGGAGACATAGGGAGGGGAAGGTCTGGGCTTGGATATCGAAGTCGAATGGCGACAATCGAGGTCGGAAACGCGAGCTAAAAAGATGATCATGAGATTGCGGCCAAACGAAAGATAGAAAAAGAACTTACGTGGCTGCCTTGATGTTGTCCAGCACCTCGTGCAACGCCAGCTCAAGCGCCTTCATCGTATCCGGGTTGTTAGCATTGGCTCCTCGGCTCGAGTAACCCGGAAGCTGTAAGGAGCCCGCTCGCGACTGAGATGGCATTATGCGAGGCCCATCCAACACGCGACTTGGGTTAGGAATATCATTGATGACGCCAGTAGCATGCCAAGTCGGAGTGTTGAACATCATGCGCGGCGGGGGTTCGCGCGCCTTCGATGCCGATTCTCCAGCAGATGTGTATGGGTCGGTCGAGCCCTTTTTATGGACGCGATCGGGACTCTCGTCACGCTTGGCGGAACTCGTGCGGGCCTGCCGACGAGTGATCCCACTGCGGATGCGACGAATCTCCTCGACATCGTGGATGCCATCCGGCTTCTTCTTAAACAAAAACTGGTCAAGATGGCGACCGAGTGACGAGGAAGTGAATGGTTGACCGCAATACTGGCAATTCCGGTCCTTGGAAGCTAAATTGCCGCCGGATTTCGAGTTCGACTGGTCATCGGCCCGCGAGCCCTCAGGCGATTCCCTGGGAGTTTCTTCCTTCATGGCTAAACGTGTCAAGGGGGAAGGGGATGCTGTGTATGGGATCTGATTGGAGAAGAATGGGCGACGAGGTTTGTAATTATGACAGCATGGCAAAGAGCCCTAGTATTGTTTTTTTCTCGCGAGCGATCAGCGCTGAGAAAGAGGGAATTAGATTTGGAAAATTGGGGGCGGAGGTAGAAGAGGAGGCGCCAAGCTTTTCGCGGAGGAGCTGCCCCGTTTCAGCTCTATAGATCTCTCACTATTTCTATCCAGATTTTCATTGATAACAACATCGTTTTGCTTCAAACTAGGACGTCCAGATCTCAGGTCTTGGCTACTTTTCTTGTCTTACGTGCACTGAACCACCGTTTCATATCCCGTACCCCGTGGAGATACAACCAGGAGAATAGAAAGACCAACAAGAAATTGAAGATCACATAGGCCCAGAAGATTCCCTAGCGATGATTAGACCAACTCAAACCCGATCAAGCATGATGACTCACATAGTTTCTCCATTTGTGAGAGTAGAAGACATTGTAGCTAGCAGCCTAGATCGCAAACAATCAGTATGACCTCCCCTTCGCAAAGCAATTGTGATAACTTACAAACTGGTCCCCTGTAGAGTACTGACAGTAAGCGCACATCCCATTTCCAGCGTCACTGACATAGCCACCGGCCTCCCGGGCATAAGCGCCTGCATATTCCTGGCAGGTCAATCCAGCAGGTGGACTGAAGTGGGCCTCTTCCCGTTCAACACAGCGAACAGGGACATTATGTGTCACCACGCCGAGGAAGCCTTCTAGGAGATAATGAAAGGGGGTAAGCCAATACATCCACGATTGCCAGAAATGAGGTAACGCGGCATAAGGGACAACGACACCGCAGAATGAGACGACGAAAGTAAAGAAAGTGGGGACTAGCAAGGAGGCAAACAGCTCATTCGGTGCAAAGGCTGCAATGAACTGTCCAAAGCCAACATAGAAACATTCAAACAGCATGAGCATCATCCAAGTATAGCCGGAGCTAAATGAGTCGCGTGGGAACCATACTCCCCAGTACCTGTGTTCTGTGAGTTGCCTGATTCTATTGATTTTGGTTGTGATCGGCATGTTCTTACCAGCAATTGAAGTAGACGGATCCCGCCACAATCGAGTATGGCAGTTCGGGTAGGATTGTGCTCACAACAAAAGCAACCCAAGAGTAAATTTTGGAATTGGCCTCGCGAGACTCATACAGGCCTCGAGCATGAAGGTATCGTGGTTGTAGCTGTTGAATCAGCGGCGGTGAGATAGTGAGTGTCATGAAGATAGAGAAGAGTCTCGATTGCATGTCGATATAGCTGTTGCCAAGGTGCCAAAACGTAAAGGTGTTAAAAAGACCGGTGAAGATATGAAGCATGAATTTGCCCTCGTTGAATGTTAGTACATGAAATACCCAAACGCAGGCTGAACTTACAAGTATGTAGTCCGGGAGTCTCCAGTAGGCCACAAAGGTTCTCTTGGTCACTGCCACAATCTGAACATACAGAGGCATTGCATATTCACGGTCATCTCTGGTCTCCTCATTTTCTATCCCTTTGCGAGAGTTAATGATGCTCTCCAGCTCCGTAGAGAGATTCTTAGACTCTGGCGAGGAAGCCCACACGTCTCCCCAATCTTGACCTTTGTACTCTGGATTTCCCGCTCCAATCACTTCGAGCATGTACTAAGATGAAAAATGTGAGTGATGCGTCTCAAGAAATTATGTCAGGCATAGAGAACTGACCTCGGCCGGATTGGCATGAGGTGAGCATTTATTGCCACCATTTCGTTCGAAATATTCAATCAGCGTCTTCGAGTCTGCTCCGAGGGCACCATTGTATACCACTCGCCCGCCACTCTGAAGCAGAAGCAGTTCGTCAAATTCTTCAAAAAGAACGGCAGATGGCTGGTGGATTGTGCAAAGAATAGCCTGACCAGCATCTGCCAGTTTTCGAAGGAAGCGAACGATATTGAATGCTGCTAAGGAATCCAGTCCGGATGTAGGCTCATCCAGAAACAGTAGCAACTCAGGCTTACTGGCCAACTCAACTCCAATGGTGAGCCGCTTGCGTTGCTCCTGAGTTAATCCCGAGCCTGTTGATCCGACTGTGGCACCAGCTATGGATCGCATCTCTAGCAGGTCGATCACTTTCTCGCAGTAATCGTATTTTTCCTGGAGTGGGACTTCTTTGGGTTGCCGCAGAAGAGCGGAGAACCGCAGGGACTCCCGTACTGTGGCCGTTGGCTCATGTATATCCATTTGTTCAGCGAAGCCTGTCGCGCGTTGAAAACTCTTTGGAAGAGGACTATTGATGTAATGTTAGATCCCGAAGTTAAAATCTGATTCCACTGCTGGGAAATCATCCAGACTCACTTTCCATCAACAAGAAAGCTGCCGGTCACCACACCAAAATTGATGCGCTGAGCCAGTGCATTGAGAAGCGTGGTTTTCCTGGGGGGGAGTGGAAACATTTAGTCTTCGTTCATGTTGACAGGAATTTGACCAACTGACCCTGCACCCGATGCGCCCATCAAGGCTGTAAGCCGACCAGGCTTGACATAACCGTTCACATTTTGGAGAAGCTTTCGATGTCCACCTTTGAAAGGAATTGTATAGTTCACATTCTGCCACGTGAAAATTGACGTGTTTTTGGCGAGATCTTGTACCTTTTCATTCGTTTCATCGTCTGTCAAGTTCGCAGAAGGTGTGTTTTTGTCCGTGGACTCTACATCTGCCGGCCTTCCTGAATTCTCGATAGCATCTTCAACTGCCTTGGGAACCTCGCCTCTTTTGAAAACAGTGACTGAGCCTCCTCCTTTATTTGGTTTTTGGATTTCCATCCCAAGCATTGTCAAAAAGACGAAGAAAAGAAACCAAGCAATGATAATGCCAAAGTTTCTCCATAGATGACTGCGGGAATATGTGTAGGCTGCTTTTATGTAGTCCGATCCGTGGATCGTGAGATCGTCAGGAGAGCTGCCTTGAATTGCGCAACCTTGATGACCAGCGCTCGCCGTTGGGCCAGAAGGGACAACGTATGGCGCTTCGCATTGGATTTCAAGATTGTAAAACTCATTGGACATCATTGCTTCAAACGCATATTGAACGGGGTTGATCCAAATAAGCCATTTCAGCCATGGATGCATCTTCCAAGGTGGAATCAAGTATCCTAATACGCCTTTGTTAACACCTGTATGGTAAATATCTAGGAGGATACTCGTAGACAGTATATTTACCTGTGTATACGACCAATGCCTGAATGGAAACACCCGTAATCCGAGTAGCTTGATAGTAGTCAGCAACTTAATGATGGAAATGGACAAGTAAAGTTGTTGTCTCACCGATATCCAATGAAGCGCAGAGCGATCCTAGAGCACGGAAGAAAGAATACATTGTCATGGTAAGTATGAAAATGAAAAGCAGGTTAATAAAGAACTGGGATGGTGTTCGGGAAAGATCCGCCATGCTGGATTTTGATATGTTAGCTTTGGACTCATTTTTATTCTGGAGATACTTGCAAGTATACTATTAGGTCGAAAATGACAACCTGAATAAACACCAATGGAACATCAACAACAACCTGGGCCAAGGCATATGCTGCTGGACGATAGAAAGAGCTATTCAAGGTGAGTGATTGAATTCCAAAATCTCACAATGTGAAGACCCACAAGCTTTTATGTTTCATTAGAATCGGCCTGCTCTCGAAAGCAGCTGTAAGTTCCGCGAGTGCAAGCAGAGAATTGAACAGGAGGATGAAGAACATGACACCTCCTCTTGTAAACAACCCGGAGCTGTATATCATCAACATCATATCACCAAAAGTGTGACAGGAGAAACAAACCTTGTCTTGGGAAGATTATAAAACAAGCTTCCCACAATCAAAGACTGAAAAGTGATGACTCCCCATTTGCCTGCCAGAGCTGCCCGATCTCCAAACATCACGAGGAATTGACGGTGAGTGAGAATCATAACCTGCTTCCAGAATGGGACTGTATAATTTTTGGTTGTCATATTCTGTCTCGATATCTCTCTCTCGTGCTCGTTCGCTTTTAGCTCGTTCTCAAAATCGTGGATGTCCGCGAGTGTGGTTTTCGCGATATCACTTTGACGGTAGGCTGCTTGAAACTCTTCTGCCGTACGAGGAATTCGATTTTCCCATCCAGGCTTCACACGCCTTGCGTGCGGGTCACTGACGGATGTCAGGAAATCTGGGGTTGTCCATCGTGGTGGGCACTCGAAACCCAGGTTTTCAAAATACGTCTTTGCATCGTCCGAGCTACCAAAAAAGGCACATTTTCCGTCTTCAATGAGAACGACTTTATCAAAAAGGTTGAACAAGTTCTCCGAGGCTTGATACAGAGCAACCAAAGTTGAAACTTGGGCTGTGTTGGTCAAACTTCTTAAGCTTTGCACATACTCCAGTGCAGTGCTCGCATCTAGTCCTCTTGTGGAGTTGTCCCAACATTGAGTGCTGGCTTTAGTCACCATAGCCTCTCCAATCGAGACGCGTTTTTTCTCCCTTAATCAGGTAATAAAAATGTTAGCGACTCCTTCACCTCTGCCTTTCCTTGACTGACGTACCCTCCAGAAATGCCTCGAATGAGTTCGTTACCAATTCTGGTTCCCATCGCATGCTCGATCCAGAAGAGCTTGGCAATTGCAGACAGGAACGTCTGCTGGTAGTCTTTACGACTCTCACCGGGAATCCGAGACTCTTTGTCCGGTGTTCGAGTCTTAAGGGCAAATAGCAGCGTTTCTCGCACGGTCAGCGTAGCGTAATGAAGGTCATCCTCCGGATTATAGGAGACTGTCCTGTTAGCTTCATAAGTGAAGGCCTTTGATCTATTTCCATACCTTCAGAGCGATAATTCTTGGCCATTGCGCTAGCTTCTGTTCCTCCATATAGAACATCACCATCAATGCTTTCATATCCATATCTTTGGTTGCCAATGACCTTTAGAAATGTAGAACATCCTGAGCCAGGTCGACCAAGGACCAGAAGCATTTCTCCGGGGCGAACGCAGCCCTTTTAGCGAACCGTTAGAGTGCGTATTTCGCATCAGAAAAATAGAACATACTGTAAAATCATCCAGAATGGTTCGGGTCTCAGGTTTCCCCACGCCACCACCCTTCCTTTCCCGAGTGAATAGCTTCTTGATGAGCCTAGGTATACCAAGGAAGATGTCACCATTGGTCGGTTGTAAAGCGGCGCCAAGGCCTAAGCCTGTCACAGTAAGATCTTTCCAGACTACTCCAGCATGTCGTGTCTTTTCTTCTTCGGAACTGGCCTTCCGCTCATGGCCGAACATCCGTGAAATCAGTTTTTCGATCTGTGCCCATTCTTCACCCTCATGGCCCGAGGCTTGACTTTTTCGCTGAGTGAGTGTCCGAGTCAGGGCAGCTTCACTGAGTTGAGCGTTGTTTGTATCATTATCAGATCCTTTCGAAGATGCTGTTTGATTACCTGTGAAATCATTATGTTCGTCCGATTGGGAAGAAATGCTAGTAGTTGTCGAGTTGGATTCGCGCGGATATGTTGCCTCTTCCCTAGCAGCGAGTGTTCTGTCACTGTTTATTGAAATATTCGGATCCATGTCTTGTTGTGGGAAATTAAAAGGAGGCTTCTGAGATTTGCGCGTTAGAGCGCTGTCTGGTGCTAGACCTTTAACACTGCCTTTACTAAGGTAGAGATTTTGCGAGCAAAAACAACCCTCTGACGAATAATAATTTCTTACATTAAGGATACACAGATAGCTCAGCACACTAATAAAAGGGTTGGCGCATGCACATTACGTCAAATATCAGGTCCCTCAAAAAGTCAAGATAAGATTCTCGTGTTCGGCCTCGGAGCGTCGACTCTGCCGACCACATCCCCCTAAACCCGCGTGATTCCGTAAATCTGGGAACCAGTAACTAAACATCTCGCCAGAATGACGAAGTAAGCTTAATGTTCTCGATTATGTGAGGTGCATTCCCCGATCTGGGTTGTGCAACCGTGCGGATGACTCCCCGGATCGCAGGGTTCAGGACTGGCGGAGTTAGCAACTCCGATCATGAAGTCATCGATAAACCCTGATATCCATTTGGTTGGAATTTAAATCTCCTGCACCCGGGGAATATTTATGATCTCGATCCTGTTTCACAAGCGTTCTTCCTTGGCAGTGAATAATAATAATATTTTATATTATTATCATTGACTTTTGAAAGGTTCTACGTTGTTTCAGCTGGCCCCTGTCTTCCGATAATGTTTTTTGAAGTCGTACGATGGTTTTTCAGCGCCATGGGATGTTTCACTGACAGGTACGACCCAAATTTAGTGGTCATCGCTGTATGTTAGAATGGTCAAAGAGGGAAACTTGTGTATCATATCCGAGATTTCATTAGGTTGACAGGTCATGTTGCTCGTTTGAGATCATCGTCAGATTCCCGTCACCCACTCATCACTTAATATATACACAATGCATGTTTCAAGATTATTATTCGAAAGCAATCAAGACGTCTCTCAATAGTCTCAACGCATGGCATTTCTCAATTTAGGCGTAATCAGACGAAAAATCGATGTATTTCACTATGGAAAAATACGCCCCCAGCAGAGAGAACTTCAACTTTAGATATTGAAAACATGATGACAGATTCGTCGCGAAGTACGCCATTATTATAGCGTTATCAGAGTATCTAGTTGGCCTATGGAATCGCCTTCCAACGTTACCTTACAATTTATTAGAATATTTCGCTCCCATTCAGAGGCAGATCCTCATGTGATACAACTCTGCAGTCCTGGTGGAATATCCTAGTAGAGTCCGTGTTTGTTTAGACATTTCAGTCAGCTGAAAAGTTTCTCCTTTTCCATCAACCACCACTGATTGGAAGCGGCATACAGAGAAATTAAAGTTTTAGCTTTATCTATATTACTGCCAATTGGGTATTACTAGTTTAATTATTCCCTCTGAACCCAGAATTGAGGTCCCGAACCTTAGAGGTCGTCAAAAATCCTAGCAATTTTCGACATGTCTTCACGAAGATAAAGAACTGCCCAACAACCACTTTGCTTGAGGCAGCATAATGGTATCTACGATATGTCATGACACGACCAGTGACCACATCGACAATCCCCTCCAGGTAGCTGCAGTAAAGATAGCGAATAGCCAGGGGAAATCTCATCTCACCACGATCTTCAAATTGAAATCATACGCCTTTGGAAACAAATTTCTATGGCATATCTTGCGTGGGATTGACGACAGCTAAAGGATTTATGGAAGACGCAAGCACAGCGAGCGGCTCCAGGAACTCTACAAGCGGGTAGGTCTCTTTAGCTCGTTGTTCAGGGGAGAGAATGTCAGTGCTTACTCTGAACGGGTGCTAACTACTTTGCAGCTTTTGGTGATAAACATTTCTGAAGTCAGTTGTGGATGCTTTGGAAGCAAGTGAGATCGAGGTGGAATCTGAAGCGCCAATTTTGATTTGGGGAAAAGCGCACTTGGAGTTGGGCCAGTAATTGGTGCAGAAAGATGCTAACGCTCAAGAGACGAGTAAGTGCTAAAGCTATGATGCAACGGACCGAAATATAAGATGCGAGGAAGGATGTTTGACAATGACTATGTTAGATGAGGCTGTTATATCGAGAGACAAAGGTCTTTGACAGAAGAGAAGATCTGCCTATATCTTGGTGTCCACCACTAGAAGTTGCTAAAAGAGAGTACATTTGCTTTCTTTTTAGCCGCACCAGGCCAAAGAACGTGGCTCCTTGCTCTACAATTCTATTGCAACTAGGTTTGATGGACATGATTCAATCACATCCATCAGCTAGTGGGAAAACTTTAATACAACACCTTTTATGCCCAGTCTATGAGCAGCCATATTGGTTTTCCGTGGCCAGTGATTAGTTATATGGAGAAATTGCGATCATGAAAGAGGGGAGAAAAAGTAGAATGCTATCATGCAGGTGAGAATAAGTGATTCGTCAAATAGAAGCTATGGAACCAGTCCGTGGGATCCACTGTCTTTGTGGGGCTCGGTAATATTCCGACTCTGATTGGATATCACTCTAACCGCGACCCGCAAATGATCGGAGCTGGGCCATGGCGAAGTGTGCACACGAGTCCTTCATGGTCAAACAATGTCGATTTGCTGTAGCATTTCGATGCCCCTTTGCGTTGACCCAAGGCATTCGGGGATGTACTCTAAAGTCCGTCCGCCTACCGATCCATTATGATAAATCCATTGATTAACTCCGGGTCATCTGATTGCAGAAATCATTTAAAGACGCACATTGTCGCTTCTTGTTTGAACGTTCTCAATATGAAAGTTCTTCTCAACACAATTTGGAGAACATTTCTGGCCAATCCACCCATGATGACCCCCTTCACGTCTAATTCTACTGGCGAGGAAGTCTGCAAATATTTATCCTCTTACATCAAGGCGAGCAAAGGTATAGTCCCTTGAGTGAACAAAAATCGACTCCCTCTCTCTCTCTCTGCTCCAAATTGATAACTGACCTAAGGCAGTCTTGATAACTGGTGTTACTCCAGGAAGTATAGGAGGTGAAGCAGCGATTCAAATCTCGCGACATGCGCCGTCATTGCTTGTCCTCGCAGGCCGCAACATTCAGACCCTCCAGGAGCTTGACCAGAAAATCAAGTTAGATACACCCGGTGCTAGAACAAGGCTCCTGGTGGTTGATCTCAGCTCTCAAGAAAGTGTTCGCAAGGCCGCTGAAGAGGTCAAAGCCTATTCTGAGACTCTCGATATCATGATCAACAGTGCCGGTGTAATGGCCACCCCATACAGTGTCACTAAAGAAGGTTTGGAAATGCAATTTGGAACGAACCATATTGGTCATTTTCTCTTCACAAACTTGGTTCTAGAGAACCTCATAGATCGAGGTGTTACAAATGTTCGAGTGGTGAACGTTAGCAGTCTTGGGCATAAGAGAGGGCCCGTTCGGTTTGAGGATCCTGGATTTGAGGTATGCATTGTACTTCTTCATTGGAAACACATGTTTCAAATGGTTAACTTTTTCTAAAACAGAATGGAAAGTGCTATGACAAGTGGCAGGCCTATGGACAGAGCAAGACTGCCAATATGCTTTTTTCCGTATCGTTGGCCAAAAAGCTTGGAGCAAAGGGTGTGCAGTCATTCAGTCTTTACCCAGGACGAATGGTTACCGGAATTGTGAGGCATCTATCCATGGAAGATTGGCTCAAGGCTGGTATTTCTTCCGTTTCTATATTTTTTTTTTTTTTTTTTTTTGGTAACTCTGACCTGGAAGTGAATCGAATTTGCTAACTTTGGATGCGACTGCCAGGATGGAAGCACCCAGATGGTAGCATGAATAACGATCCTAAGCTAAAATGGATAACCACAAGCCACGGCGCGGCTACACTGATTGTAGCAGCATATACTCCAAGCATTCCTAGTATGTGTCATATTTGGCGTTGGATTCCTTGCGTGATGGAATCAACAATACTAATGGTCCGTGTACAGGTGAAAATGGGTCATACATGGTCAACTGCAAGATCAACAATAGCGAGGCTGCGGATTACGCCCTCGACCCACAAAATGCAGAGAAACTGTGGAGACTTAGTGAGGATCTTGTTGGCCAAGAATTTCGCTATTAATGGCAGGAGGAGTTCTCAAAGTTTCCAATGCTTCATGCAACCGCAATGTAATCATTCCTCTTCCATCCTCGACTAATATTCTGTGAAGCCACAGACGTTGCTGTTGCAAATATAGCAGTTCCTAATCCCTTCGCAGTAGTCGCGTCGGCTTGACTTTGGGAAATATAAGTAACAGACTTATGACAGAGTGAATCAGCCAATTTCATTTTCTCGTTGAAATCTTTGGGGAGTTGAGATTGGCTTGACTGTGCGATAGTCTCTAGCGCCTCGAACATGGATGTATAAACGATTACTAGCCCCAGCCAGTAGAACAGTATAAGGTGTATGCTAGAAATATCGGAGAATATTATTGCTTGAGGCTGGTCGTGTGTGTTGATTAGAGTGGATGAGGCTGGGCCGGCGCGGGTCATGAATAGCGGGTGATCGTTCTCCAGGACAAGTTTATTATACCAGTGAAGAAGGCGTCTCTCAATATTCATTGACATAATCAACATCTCATCAGCCGATGTCCAATCCAAATCGTCAACATCTTTCTTTTGTCGAAAGTCCCAGAGTAGTGTAATTGCTTTGAATAGTATTTCGAGAAGCTGATCGAATAATTCGAACAAAGAGCCTGATTGTAGATGGAAGATTGGTGGGCGACTTTGAGGGCCATTGATGCAGAGGCAAAGGACCTTACTATGTCAGCACATAAGGTGTTCTATTCCGGAATAATATGCAGCATCTTACCTCGATGGTACAAAGCCGGCGCAAGTCGTGGACATTGAGCGCCCCGGCAGGAAGATGAGATTGCCACATCAGATTGCAAGCCGCCTCCACGTGTATCTGCCATGCTTTGGTCTGATCCGGGGGCGAATCATAAGTCTCATAGAGAGCCAAGATCATTCCAGTGCGAATGAGATCGGTAGGATCGCCTATTTGTCTCAGCTCTAATATTTGCTGCATGAGTAGACTATAAGAATGTCTACTATAATGCGATAGCGTATTGTCTTTCCGAAATCTGGCGACATGCATCAACACCAGAGCAGATAATGACTTATTGACGAGTCCTGACTGCGAGTCAACCAGCGAAGACAAAGTCTCAACCCAATATACTGGCGACTGATAAGTCGTGAAGGCAGATAATCTTGGAGGGAGATAGTCATCCATGAATTGAGAGAGTAGCTGTCTTTTGTCCTGATTTGCTACAAGAGACAAGTCGCTCGGCTTGGAAGGAGAGTCAATTCTCTCTATCTGACTGTTTCTGCCATGTCCACATCTCCGGTTGGTAAATAGACAGCAAACAAGGCAATGAAATTACTTACACTTGCCTATATCCGCCGCATACTCTACCGGATGACTGACATCGAAAGCATTGCGGAGTACTTTTGTCACACTACGGAGATGGACGCATGAGCGTTCTGCCCATAGTAAAAGAGAGACCCGGCCTACCTTGACTTTTCTTGCAATGCATGTTCGACAGCTCTTAGCGCGCCAAGAGCTCCGTCCCATTCTGGGTCCTTGGTTGTGTCTGAGTGGTCCTGTTTTCTTTACGGTGTCATTTGTAAACTCGTCAACTCTGTGGTGTTGCGTTATCGCCGCACGTACAAGTCCTGTGCGATCCGCTGAGTAATTGCGGAATGTTAATTAACTAAGCGAGGACCATGAAGGTACTAGGCATGATAAATCCTGGAATTGATGATTTATTTCCTCCTGCATCGCTATCTACCCCTTTCCTCTCCAAAATATCTGAAAATTAATTAGCACTTTCATGTTGCTGCCTGAAACAAGTATTTAAATGCATCAACAAAGCACGAAATTCATCGGGGACCGTAGCCTCTCTGCCAGACGATGTTAATACAAAGGAGTATACAGAGAGGTGAGAGCTGTGACAATAATGGTAATCAAACTAGTAGAATTGAATAGTCCGTGATATCAGACGTACATGCACAAACAGGGTCATCGTTAATCGGCTGATTTATCTACTACCATCGATAGCATCGACACCTCGGTACTCGAAGTACTTATTCCATTCAGGGTCCTCAATCAAGGCTTGCTTCAGACTCATCTCATAAGAAATGGAGAACTCAGGTCCCTCGTCCGACTCAAGAGACGGATTGCGCGACGGATAAATAACCATAACACCTTGCGTCAATCGATCAATCAGGTGACGGTACAGCAATGGCTTGCCGAAGCCAAAGTCGGCGCCAGTGATATTAGCATCGCGATGATCCGTCTGGAGGTGTGATAATGGTGGATGCGCATCGATGCGGATGTTCAACGCGGTTTTATCACGCACAGTGGCCACCACATCGAGTGTCTGATCGAGAGCTTCTTGGGTGATACTATTGGTCAGCGCACGTATGTATGACGCTAACCTGGACAAGGGCCACTCTGAGATGACCTCTGCTGCTGTCGGCGACTGCACGGGCGCAGCATTCGATAGGGCGCCGGCCATGACGTTGTGCTGAATACGCGCGGGCGGCTTGGGGCTGTGCATCCTTCGCCTCATATCAATAGCCTCGCACCAGAACAAAGGGGCCGATAGATCTTGTTTGAATGCTGGGGCCCGCAGGCGTGAAATTGTGCGCCAGATAAATGCGGAGAAGGCGTCGTACGTGGAGATCCAGGATCCGTCGGTCGGAGAGGCGAGCTGCTTGAGCTCAGCTGCTTTGCTCTTGGGCAAGTGGAAGAACAGCATCTCTGCTTCAATATGGCCAGGGTGTCGCTCTGGAGCCGGAGGGCCATCAATCTTGGATTCCTCGGGTACCTCAGCCTTAGTCAAGCGGGACAAGTCGAGACAAGCGGGATCCCAGGAGGGGGCAGGTGTATTGTTGACGATTGCGAAGCAGTGCTCGGCCAGCTGGTGGGTGAGGCCACTCCATCCCATGACATCGTTGCTGTAGTGGTGGTGGTGCATGATAAAGATCAGTCCACCTCGGATGAAATTAGCCTTATAGGCTGCCACCACTGGGTGATTATCTGGATGAGCTTCAGGTTTTTCTCCGTATGTCATTGGAGGGACACTCCAGCGATTGAGGTCACCCAGTGCTGAAGTGCCGAAATTGGCTTTCTCAATCTCGTCAAAAGAAGGATAGTCATCGCCATCCTCAGCAGAGTCTAGCCACTGAACAACAAACCGAACAGTGCTGTCCTTTCTTTTGACAAAGGAATGGCCGCCTGCGACATCCTTCTCGATTGTACCGCAGATATGGCGAACTTGACTCAGAGTCTTCTCAAGACCGGCCTTCAATAGATCTGCCACTCGGCTCTTATCAGCATCATCCAGTCGAAAAAAGAGTGCGTAATTGTTGTAGGTGCAAACGGTCAGGTAGTCGAGCGTCGAGACTTTGAATCTCTCCTCCTCTGGGTCATTTTCCCAACCATATGGGTGGATATTAAAGACCTCTTCTTTGGGCATAGCTGTTAATGAATGCGAATAATGGGCACGGAGGAGGTATTGGAGACAATGGCAAGGTCAATGTGCAGCCCTTAGCCCGCAGCCCGCAGCCCCCAAGCTTTATGTGGGCCAGGCACCGGAACGCCTGGTGACTGAGGCTTCCAGAGTTACCCCTCTCTCATGTCAATAAATGAGGATTAGCGACGGATAAAAGGATCCGAGGACTTGGTGCCGCAATTCTACCTCTTTCGGAAGCCCAGGCAGAAGCGCTATACCAAGATGCTAGGGATATACCTGATTGCGTGGCGCCGTGTTACAGCCATAGATACGCAATATCGGTTCGCCGTCCAGAGTGTTTGCCTTTCATTTGTCAACCTTCCTTTGAAATTTCTGCTAGGTCCAAATACCAACACAATAGGAACCATCGAGCTTATTTCTCTTGCAACAATGACCGAATTCTTCACATGCAATTGTGATCTTCGCATTCAATTGTGTACATGAGATGGTCTTGAGCACATCATTCCTTTCAGAGTGGCTCACGGAAGGCTTGAGACCACTTTATCATGCTACAATGGTCAGTAGTGAAGGATTTATTCGAGTGCAAGGCTTGAAGGCGGGTCCACTGACATTGAATCGAATTGTTAGTGGATGTGGCGTGTAGGTCTTGTTTGAGACACGGTATATTAAAGGGGCCAATTCTGTCTTGTATTGAAATTAAAGACAAGGGTGCTGAACTCGCTTAGTCGTGATGGGACTGTCAAATACCCTAGTTATGTTGTGTTGGCGAATGACGTTCGCGCTTGCACTCTTAGCACCACTCTAGTGGATACATTGATACTAGGCCATGAAACGTGGACCGAACGTGCCGGGAGCGGGACGTTCTGTGGAAAGTCTATTGTCCACAATGGACTGACTTCCGTCAACCTTTTATTGTCATCTCCGTGTAGAAATGAACATCTTCTATATCCTCAAGTGAAGACGAAAACTTTACATGATATGGCTGGACTCATTTAATCAGGTTGCTAGTATTACATAGCATGTCGGTGATCATTAATGAGGTACCCATTAGCATCCTTTTTTCTTACACTACGTACTTTTTTACCCTCAGAGAATTAATTATCGCATCAATACACACGGAAAAATTTTTGGCCCCGAGGCTGGCCCCATTTGCTCCATTGTAATCATTTTAATTGGTCTCGCACCTAGTATAAACTGGGAATTAGGATTTGCCAGGAATTAGATCCCTGTAACCCAGCATATACCTCGGTCTGAGAAATCCGGTACCATGCAGACTTGTATGGTTGGCCCCTTACAAGGCCGCAGGAATGACAAGGTTCTCCTGAATATCAAATGTAAAATTCCGGACTGTCAAGTTGAGGGTCCGTGTTACGAGTCTTGACAGCATTAATACCTTTGGAAAGCCTAAAAGGCCTGAAAAGAAATCTGCCATCCAAAGGCGCCTCTCTGGGCTTATATTACACAAACAATTGCAATGGACATGGACGGGCCGGCTCTAACGCCACCAGCTGGGGTCACTTCGGATTTCGACAACCCGCCAAACAATAACCCTCTCGCGGTCGGCGTACTATCCACCTGCGCCGCAGTTGCTACATTATGTATTATCATCCGTGTCTATGCACGGGTAGTGCTATTACGCAAGGTGCAAATTGAGGAAGGTATGTGTTCTGGACATTCAGGTCATGGGCATCTTCAGAATAATCATCACTGGCGGTCATTGGATGATGACTGACAAATCGCTTCTCTACAGCTTTAACCCTTTGCGCATTCGTTCGTTTACCACCACAGGGTAAAGTCGTGACAATTTACTAATTATGATCCAGGGATGCTATTGGGGAGCTCTTTATGCAGAAATCTGTCTAATAAAAACACCTGGTTATTTTGTTCACCAATGGAATGTTCGTTTGAAGGATATGATCCCAACTCAATATGTGAATTATCCCTTTGAACGTGCTATCCACTATTCCCAGGCTGACTCTTTGCAGTATGTCTTTCTTTTTGGAGTGTTTTACTCGATCGTTCTGCCTCTGTTGAAGGTAGCCATTCTCACCGAGTGGTGCCGCATGTTTGCCCCACGAGGCCGTCAATCCGAAGGATATTTTTGGTGGGGGTGTGTGGCCGTCATGTTCATTCAGATTGGTTCTGGAACTGCGGCCGTGGTTGCGTTGAACCTTCAGTGTATTCCACACAACGCAATCTGGGATATTACAATTCAGGCGACAAGCAAGTGTTTTGATCTATACAAGCTCCAAGTGGCATCCGCGAGCATTCAGCTGGTATCCGATATTTTAATCCTCTTGTTGCCACAAGAGGTAATTTGGAAACTGAAGATGACTTGGAGGAAGCGCTTGGGAGTGTCCGTTATCTTCGGACTGGGATTGCTGTAAGTTATGCACTATACCAGTGGCTCCATCAAGATTGACATGAAATGTTCCATAGTGCCTGTATTTCCGCCGCCTTTCGACTCGAAACAACAATCAAACATGGAAAAGCTGCAGATGCTGTTTGGACTTTGCCTCCCTTGGCCTTTTGGGCAACCGCCGAAATGACCTGTGGCTTCTTCATCGTCTCTCTGCCATCTATTCCTAGAATCCTGAAAGAAACAGGGCTTGGTCTCAAAATCAAGAGAGCATTTGGGATGACTACGGGTGGAAGTACCTCCAAGAAGAACTGGGAGAGTGACGCAGGAGTTGGCTTGAGTAATCACAGTAGACTGGGAGGAAATTTGGAGAGCAGTGCTTACTACAAGTTGGACCACCTGAAGACATCCGAGTCCACGGAACATCTGCACAGTGCGGAAGGAGACGCGGGTATCGTCCGCACAACGCAGATCACTGTTACTCAGGACACTTCAAGCGAAAATGAGGATAATAAGTATAGATATCGATAGATGTCAGTGAAGAACGTTGGCACGGTGATAGTATAGGGGCCCATTAAAAACCAGTACAGAGCAGGGACCTTAGAACTACATTCGAATTATGGTTTCTGTTTCCTTTATGTGTATAGATAGGTACGTCTCGAGGTAAATAAATTACTGTATGCTGTTTCATTTGCACGCACTCTCCACTAAATCGATTTCACCGGGACATCCAAGGTTTCAATGTTACCCGCAGTGTTTCCCGCTCGAAAATGCTCTGTTCCCAACGCACACTGATTTTACAATTCAATTGCCCATACATGTAGTTTCAAACAGGTCACTCCCTCCCTATCAATTGCAAAATCGACATTCGGGAAAACATGAGATTTCTTTGCCTTCATGGGAGGGGCACGTGCTCCAAGGTCAGTTCTCTTAAAATTTGCGCAAATAATCTACGATCAAACGGTATCTGATGACGGGCAGATTTTTGAGATGCAAACGGGTATGTTGTAGGGCTTTGAGCTCCTGATTAATCATACGCAATTCCCTAATGCTGTCGATAGCAAGGATCCGAGAGGAATTGGATGGTCATGAGTTTGTCTTCATCGATGGCATGGTTTCAACGGAGCCAATCGCAGGTTTGTTTGCTCTAACTTTACGGTAGTGAAACACGGGGGCAAAGTGCACCGGCCTAGCTAACGAATGACAGGTGCCACTGCCTTGGCAGAGGAATGCTACGGTTATCTCCCAAGCAGAGTTGACCCGAGTCAGTGCTATGACATGGTGGCAGGCTTGGTGCAATATGTCCAAAGCCAAGGACCTTTCGACGGAGTAATGGGGTTTTCTGAAGGGGGGATTGTGGCTGCTATGCTACTTGTGGAAGATGCCAGATATCCTTTCGCAGGATTCAAATGCGGAATCTTCTTTAGTGCAGCACTGCCCCTGGACCCGGATGTTGTTCGCACTGGTATCGTTCGATGTATTGACCCAGTTGCCGACGGTGTCCTTCTCCACATACCCACTACGGTGGTAATCGAGGAGAATTTGGTTCGTCTACGGGATCGTTCACCACTGGCCCCATTGTGGCTTCAGGAAGACGCCCAGGAAGCACTTATCCAAATTTGTGATGAGGCTTCGCGCGAAGTGGTCCGGCATAATCTAGGGCACCATGTCCCTGGGTCGAAATCGGTGGAGAAACTCGCGGAGACGTTACAGGCGATTGAAAGGACAATTGAGAGAGCTGGCGATATATTCAGTTAAACAGTTAAATTTAGAATTTTTTCGAGACTGCGACAAAATTGGCATGTAATCACAGTCTTTGAAAAGCCACCCTGTCACATGGATTGCGCAATCACCGAGCCGAGAGCGATCGATGAGGCTGCACTAAAAATCCTTCAGAAATCCTTCGGGGAATGCCAACTTGATGAAACAACCGTTCAATTCACCCGCCTTGGCAACGGATCCCCACTTTGCTAAAGTTCAGGCTACGCTCAGGTTGTTTTCGAGGTCAAACACCTAAGATGGCCCCCTTTTGACCAATCATTGGCCCTACTCTTCTAGCCAAGTAATGTCTATTCTGTATTTGCTCCAATCGAATTTGGTGGCGTGTATAAATATACGTGGTTATAGTAGAGAAGTAGCAATCATGCCTCTATGAGCTACGGTGCGAAGTCGGGCATGGTGAACACATTATGATATGGCTAAAATTAGTCGGCTACGATTTCAAATAGTGGAAATTATATACATTAACTACGTAACAATTGAATCCTGTTGGGGTCCATCAGCTCGCTGAAAATTTTGATATCTGGGTGTATGAGAAATCAGCAGGATCTCGATCAACCTTTTTTTAACCTTTCACCTCTTGCCTTTTCTCTTCTACCTTCTACCTTTCATCTTTCGCCTGTCACTTTTCACCTTTGATCTTTCACCATCGATTCTTTTCTTGTACTGATCTTTCAGAAGTACGAAGTTCACTTCATCATCCTGCATGCATCTCATAACTTTATTCTTATTCAAAGCAAGACATAGACATTTTCAAAACTCACTCTGGTGCCAAGATGTCAGTAGCTGAGGACATTGCCATCGTTGGATATTCATTCAAACTACCACAGGATATCAATGATGATATCTCATTCTGGGATGTTCTCAAGAATCGACGAAATTTAAGAACTGACTGGCCAGCTTCGCGCGCCAATTCGGACTCATTTCTGAAAAACAAAACCATTAAAGCAAGGCCATCGAGAATGAATCTCCTTAAATTACGGCTGCTAATGTTTGAAATAGTTTCCCGCTCATGGTGGGCACTTTCTCAATGAAGATGTCGGCGCATTCGATGCCCCGTTTTTCTCAGTCACGGCCCAAGAGGTAAAGTGATATCAACTCGGGAGCTTGCAGTGTCACTAAATATCTTGAAGGCGGCTTCAATGGATCCGATGCAACGGTGGACATTGGAGGAATCATACCGAGCATTTGAAAATGGTGGGTAACAATACTTCAACATATTGAAACGCGTATTTAATCAATTAATACAGCTGGAATTCCTATCGAAACACTGAGAGGCTCCCGAACTGCCGTATTTTCTGCTTCAATGTTGGAAGATAACGCGCGAATGGTTGCCATGGATGCTGAAAATACGGAACGGACTGCAGCCACAGGGCATTCTGTTGCATGCGTCATTCCCAATCGCGTGAGCTGGTATTTTGACCTTCGCGGACCCAGCATTCACGTCAATACCGCCTGCTCTGGTAGCTTGTCGGCTATTGACATGGCTTGCAAGAACATGCAAAGCGGTGATTCCACTTGTGTAGGTCTGATGACCGATATATTATTTGCCATTGACTAATGATCGAGAAGGCTCTTGTGACTGGATCCAACTTGCTTCTTGACCCATCTATCTTCCAGATGCTTTCAGCCCAAGGCTTTCTTTCTCCGGACAGCTTATGCTATAGTTTTGACCACCGTGCAAATGGATACGCTAGAGGAGAGGGAACTTTGGCCTTGATTCTCAAGCCTGTCTCTGCTGCGATCCAAAACGGCGACATGATTCGAGCCGTTATTCGTGCCTCGGGATCAAACCAAGATGGCCATACCCCAGTACTGACACAGCCAAGTCCTCAATCACAGGAAGAGTTGATTCGTCATGTTTACAAGCGCGCCGGTCTTTCTTTTGACGAAACACGGTATGTGGAGGCACACGGTAAGTTAATCAAAATGCGGATACTTTTAGATTTTTAACAGACGATACAGGCACGGGAACACCAGTGGGTGACCCCATTGAGATGAAAGCCATTGGTCGGGTCTTCCGAAAAACCCGCTCTTCTGAAGAGCCTCTTTATGTGTGCGTAGCACCATATATCCTGATGTTAATATCACCAAAGCTAAATAGACTCCAGCGGTTCTGTGAAAGCCAACATTGGTCACCTTGAGGGAGCAAGTGCCTTGGCAAGCTTGGTCAAATCAATTTGTAAGATCTATCAACAATCGAACATCACAAAGCCAACACTCATTATTTTCGGAATAGTAATCTTGGAGAAAGGGATTATCCCGCCCAATGCTCTCTTCGAGAAGATAAATCCAACCATCGATGTTGATTATTACAACATCAAGGTAATATTGTTCTGATCATGATAATATGACTGGTATTAATGATTTATAGATCCCAATTGAGAATACCCCTTGGCCAACTCCAGGTCTTCGTCGGATATCCGTCAATTCTTTTGGCTTTGGAGGCTCTAATACCCATGTTGTTCTCGACGATGCCCTTCATTACATGCAAGAGCGTGAAATTAAGGGTAATCATTGTACAGCTTTCGCTCCTGGCTCCTCTACAAACGCGCATCCATCCCACAGTGGTCAGGACATGTTCGTTCTTTTGGATAGAAACGGTGCTGATAATGGATCAACATCCCCAATCAGAGAGAATAGCCCAGTCTCACCTTCCCAAAAAGTCACGACCCGTCTCCTGGTATGGTCTGCTGCGGATCAGAAGGCATTGGATCGCACAATGGAAGGCTATGAAATTTATTACAAAAATAATCGGACAGATGGCCTGACCAAGCTCGATCAACTGGCTTTCACTCTATCCACGAGACGGAGTCAGATGCTATGGAGAACCTTCTCTGTTGTTAATCCAGGAAGAGTAATTGAGGCAGAGAAAATTTTGTCGCCCGCCAGACCGATTCGAAGCTCAATTGATACGGGCATTGCGTTCGTATTCACCGGTCAAGGAGCTCAGTATGTGAGTATGGGTTCCGGACTGATGCAGTATCCAGTTTTCCTCAGCACCTTGAGAGAAATCGATGATATTTACAGGAGCCTTGGTTGTGAATGGTCCATTTTCGGTAAACTGAATGTTGAACGAATGTAGAAGGTTTGCTAACTAATATTTCAGACGAACTTCATAACAAAGAGCATATTGACAAACCCACTTACAGTCAGCCTATATCCACAGCTATTCAGCTCGCATTGGTTGAGCTGATGGAAAGCTTTCGTATCACACCCAAGGCTGTTGTTGGTCATTCATCCGGCGAGATTGCTGCGGCGTATGTAACTCCCTAGACTTTCATCTGCAAGACATTGAAGAGACATGGCTGCTAATATGGGTCAAATGTATAGTTATACAATTGGCGCTCTCTCTCTATTTTCGGCATGTAAAGTTGCATACTTCAGAGGTCAACTCACCGGAAGGGGAACAATTGCCCCGGGAGCAATGCTGTCGATTAATCTGGCCGACAATCAAGTCGCGCATTATTTGAATGGCATTGACAATGTCATAGCTGGGTCTCTCACCGTTGCTTGTATCAACAGCCCCCTTAATTGCACAATTTCAGGCCCTGAACATGTAATCGATGCAGTCAAGGTGCAAGCAGATCATGATGGCATTTTTGCGCATAAACTCAAGGCTGGGGTAGCATACCACTCACCGGCAATGGAGTCAATTTCCAATGATTATTTGGCATTGATTGGAGATCTCGAGGGAATTGACCGTCAAGACCCCAAAGTGACAGCCCTGATCCCGATGGTCTCTTCAGTTTCCGGCAAGGCTATCCGCCCAGCTGACCTGGCCACAGCACAGTACTGGGTAAATAACTTAGTATCTCCAGTCCGGTTTGCTGATGCTATTCAACGCCTTACCCAGGAATCATCCTCGCTGAAGTTTGGCATGAAAGCCATTACAGACTTAGTTGAGATTGGGCCTCACCCTGCGCTGAAAAGACCCGTGAACGATACAGTTCAACAGGCTCACAATCGCAAAAAAGATATTCGATATGATAACGTTCTCCATCGGTCTCAATCAGCGCTGCAAAGCACTCTCGAACTTGTTGGACGATTATTCTGCTTCGGCCACAAAGTCTCCCTTTCGGCCGTCAACCAGCAAACATATGATGCACTGCCTCCTTTTCTTGTTGATCTCCCAAAATATCCATTTGATCGATCAAATCTTTATTGGGCAGAGTCCCGTATTAGTCGGGATTTTAGACTACGAGAGCCCGTAAACGGGGAGACTCTTGGCGTCCGAGTGGCTGATTGGAATCCTTTGGAACCCAGGTGGAGGAATTTCTTGAGTGTGGAATCTACGCCTTGGATAGAAGATCACAAAGTGAGATTAATCGACATCCTTCTATGATTCTGGTATCCATGCTAATTTTGAGCCCAGATCAGCGACACGGTGCTCTACCCAGCAGCGGGAATGTTGGTGATGGCCATTGAGGCGACCCAACAAATGATTCCCGTCGATCGTACTGTTCGGGGCTACTTGGTGAAGCAAGCTGAATTTTTAAACCCAATTATAGTACCTAAGTCTTGGGAAAAGCGCACCGAAACACAAGTTCGTCTGCGACCATTGAAAGGGACACCCACGGACAAGGCGTCGTCATTTGAAGTCACCATATTCTCCTATGCACATGAGCATTGGACAGAATGTTGTACTGTGATAGTTCATGTCGATTATGGCGGTTTGTTATCGAACGAAAAAGACGACATGCTACGACGCCAATACAAAAAAGCTGTCGATGACTGCAGCCTGCCGCTTGATTCGCAGGTTTTATACCTTGAAGCTGCCGTGCATGGTCTTCAATATGGAGAAACTTTTCAGTTGTTGCAGGATCTCTATTGGGATGGCAAGAACAGTGCTCTGGCACGCGTCGATGTATCCAAGAAAAAATTCGAAACGAGCAGTCTGGTACACCCAGCGGTTTTAGATCAGGCATTCCAGGTTCTTCGAGCGAGTGCCGGCCAGCAAAAAGCCGCCAATATTCCGGTTCGCCTTCTTAACGCATGGTTCTCTGCTTCAACTTGGCAGAATCCGCAAACTCAGAACATCAGATGGCTTGGTGTTGCAGAAAGCGTTGCCAATGGTGATCATGTCCTTGTGACTGGAGAGCGAGGCAGCCTTTATGCGTTTGCCGATGACGGTTCAATTTTGTGCCGCATTCAGCAGGCTATAATGGCCACTGTGTCCAAAGAAGAAGAGGAGGAGAACAAAAAGCTGTTATATGGCATTGAGTGGAAGCCGCAACTAAGCCTAGTCAGCCCAGGTCAATTGTCATGTTTGTTCCCTCAGAGATTTAGCGAGGAGGCTGGTTTCGTGGCAAATTATACCAAGATGTGCTCGGTATTAGATCTTGTCTGTGTGCGTACAGTGACAAGTATAAACCGTGCCATGATTCCTGAAAGCTTACGCCGCCATTTTGAGTGGCTTGAGCACCACGTGAATAGCCTGCAGAATTCCGAGGCAATCGAAGCAGGTCACTTCAATGATGCCCGAATCGAAGCTCTTTTATTTGAGGCTGAAACGGCACTTCCAGCTTGGAAGCTTTACACCGCATGTGCCCGCAGACTACCAGGAATTCTAATGGGACAGATCGATCCTCTCGAGGTTGTCTTTAACTCGGATCTGGCCGATGTCTTCTACGCAGCTCTCTTCGAGAATATCTGTGCAGATGGCCGGCTTGCCGGAGTTTTGGATCTGGCTGCTCATGAAAACCCTGCGTTGAGAATCCTCGAAATTGGTGCAGGCACTGGCGGCATGACCGCGCAGGTTATCGCGGTTCTAGAGGAGCGTGAGTACCGAACCGGGGCACCAAGCTTTGCGGAATACCACTATACCGATGTTTCGCACGTATTCTTGGAGCGAGCACGGACTCGTTGGCCCAATTTGCAAGCTGAGGGCCGCTTGAAATTTCAAACGTTAGATATTGATAAGGCTATTGAAACCCAAGGTCTCGAACCGTCTTCCTATGATCTGGTGGTTGCTGCCAGTGTGTTGCATGCCACGCCGGATCTGGAGAAGACCATTCGAACTGTTCGCAAAACTTTGAAGCCTGGCGGTCATCTTATTCTGCTCGAGGCCATAAAGCCCGAAGATGTTGCCACCAACTTCATGGCTGGGCTGGTCCCTGGCTGGTGGGTAGCCAGTGAGAAATGGCGGCCGCATTCCCCAGCTGTATCCGAGTCTGTGTGGGACCACTGTCTTGGCAACAATGGTTTCTCGGGCAATGATTTGGTTATCCGAGACTATCAAAACGAAAAATGCCATGTCGTTAGCATTATAGTGAGCACAGCTGTGGAAGACAAATCAGCACCTCAGCAGGCTGAGGTGTCAAACGGCAAACTAGTGCTGGTGATCGATCAGAAACAGTCAGGTCAGCAAGTAATAGACTTGGCAAATCAAGTCTGTGAGCATCTTGGTTCTGAAAGATTCTCTTCGACTGAGATTTGCTGGTTTTCTGCAGAGCATCTTAAGAATCAATTCGCAAATTCTACGGGAGAGGACACTGTCATTTGTCTGGCGGAGGTAAATAACCCCTTGCTTGCTACGCTGTCTGAGGATGGTTTCGCAGCTTTGCGGCAATTAACCAAAAGTGCCTCTAAGCTACTTTGGGTCGCCATTTCCAGCTTAGACGCAGGGAACATCGCCGACTACAGCGTTGTTCAAGGTTTTCTGCGCTCGATTCGTGCTGAGCAGCCAGATTCTCATATTGTGAATCTCAACATTGAAGGTGAAGAAGATACGGCGACATATGCAAAGTACATCGCTACCATCTTCGATAAAAGCTTTGTATCTTCATCCTCCAAAGAGCTGGAGTATGTTGTGCGAGATGGTATTTTCATGACAGGTCGTGCAGTTGAGAATATGGGCGGGAACAAAATGCTTCAACCACTTCTCGCGCCACAGCTAGGACAGAGGCCCTGGGCAGAGGTAGGAGCACTGAAGCTCTCTGTGGGCATTCAAGGGGCCCTTGAATCGCTTCAATTTGTGCAAGATTCCGTATACGAGACTGCTATCGGTGCTGAAGATGTCGAGATCGAAGCCCATGCTTGGGGTTTGGAGGAAAGGGACGTTCACAACGTCCTGGGCCAGAATGGTAACTTCAGTCATATTCTCGGGAGCGATTGTGCAGGTGTAGTGACTCGAGTGGGGCATCACTGTGACCCATCCATTCGACCTGGTGATTGCGTCTACATGTCGGCTGTAGGTTGCATGCGCAAGTATCCTCGTTCGCCCCAGACAGGAATCGTGAAAATACCCGTTCACTTGTCATTCGAAGATGCGGTGTCAATCTTTCACCCGGCTATGGCAGCCTATCATGCTTTATTCGATATTGCAAGACTGAACTCTGAGCACAACATTCTTATCCATTCAGCCGCCAGTATCGTGGGTCAGGTCGCAATCCGCCTGGCCCAAAACCAAGGTGCCCGTGTCTATGCAACTACTGCATCATCTCATGAAAAGCAGCTTCTCGTCAACCAGCTTGGTATTCCTGCAGAGAGAATTTTCGACAGCCTTGTCGATTCCTTCGTCGCCGGTGTGGTGCATGAGACAGACGGGAATGGTGTCGATGTCGTCTTAAATTTCTTGGAAGGTGAAGAAATCCTGCGAGCTTCTGTCAGTTGTCTGGCACCCGGTGGTCAGCTTGTTGAGCTCAGCCGTGCCAACGTGGAGAGCAATGCCGCCTTACCTTTAGGGCTTTTTGCCAGAAATATCTCTTTCTCGGCCTTTGATCTGGGGCAACTTCGTCCCAAAGTGCTGGCCAAGCTACTCAGTGTTGTAGTGAAGATGGTTGGAGAGGGCGATATTCAGCTTCCGGAGTCAATTTTGACTTATGATGTGTCGAGCATTGTACAAGCATTCAATAGGCTTAAGGAGGTGGAACTTGGCCGCGTTGTGATTATCCCAAGGCCTAGGGATGTGGTTCCGGTAAGTTTGACCCATTTTATTCATTCATGCTGTTTTGTATCTTCAAATCTGACAAGCGATTTTCGGCGTAGCAATTCATCAAAGAGCGACCTTTGTGGAAATTTGATCCCTTGGCATCGTACATGATTGTTGGAGGATTTGGTGGCCTTGGCCGAGCAATCATGCAATGGATGGCTGACAGAGGCGCAAAGAATTTGATCATTCCCTCTCGAACCGGCGCGGCTTCTAAGGCCGCTGCAGAAATATTCAATGAGCTAACATCTCGTGGCGTTAGGATAGTAGCTCATAAGTGCGACGTCTCCTCTTCAACCAGTTTCTCCCAGATGGTGGTTGAGTGCGCCCAAACCATGCCACCTATCAAGGGTTGTATCAACGCGGCAATGGTATTACAGGATGGCATCTTCCAGGAGAACATGAATTTTGCAAAGTGGGATTTGACGATGAAGTCCAAAATACAGACGTCGCAGAACCTCCATCAACTGCTTCCTGACAATCTTGACTTCTTCGTTCTGCTCTCTTCTTTGGCTGGCGTTGTCGGTCAGATGGGCAGTTCCAATTACGCAGGTGGTTGTTCGTTCCAAGATGCCCTGGCGCGTCATCGCGTAACTCGGGGCGAAAGAGCGGTGTCTATTGATATTGGCTGGATGCGCAACATTGGTGTCATTGCCGAGAATGAAGCTTATCAACGCCAACGACATACAGCCGACGACATGCGGCCAATCGAGGGGACAGACCTGTTAGCCTTACTGACCATGATCTGTGATCCGAATGCGCCCCTGCGAAAGCCAGCCGATAGCCAGATCCTGCTTGGGCTGCGCACACCTGCAGATGATCTTGTTCAAGGTCGGACCCCGTCTGCTTTGCTTGATAGGCCTCTTTTGGCAGCTTTCTCATACCTTCGCAATTCTGCTGCTTCCAATAGTCATGGCAATGCTGATAAATTTACGGTTGCCCCAGCCACGCTGTTCCGACAGTCCACCGACTCGGCTGAGCGTGTTCAAATTGTGCTCCATGCCCTTGCAGTCAAGTTGGCGCGTATTATGTCAATCTCGCCAGAAGATGTCGAGCCGAGCAAGCCACTGTCCATCTATGGTGTCGATTCACTGATGGCAGTGGACCTGCGAAATTGGATTGGCCGGGAGTTCCATGCCACCGTCGCTGTATTTGACATCATGGGCGGAGCACCACTTGCCAGTATTGCTGAGTTGGTAGTTGCAAAAAGCAGAATCGATGGCTGTTCTTGAGGGGAAAACATGAATTGATGCGGAGTGTAGGGATTTGGCCGTTGATATCTAGGGTTTCTTGGGCTTAAAACAATCCTCAAATCTCTCATTCCACTAGAAGGACTTGGGGTAATTATATTCATGTAAGAAGGAAATGTATAAAAAACAAGTGGCAACCTTGGAACATAAATCTAAACATATTGAAACCACGCGGAAAGATTATACTTCGCATCACACCCGAGTAAGTCCAAATTAAAAGATGCAAAGTTTAGGACAAATATGCTACCCAAAGCAGAAAGCACATGAGCAAGACATTTACACAGCCACACTGATGGGGCCATCCGCAGAGCCTTCTGCCACTGCATGGGCATCGATTTTCTTAAAATTGTTGAAGGGGCTGAGACAAAAGGCGATTCCCGCTGCAGCGATCGAAATTGCGTAAGCGACCTTCAGACCTGTCATATAAGCAGGCAGAATAGCAGTCATCTGTTCGGTTGTAAAGACGTCTCGCAGCTCGCTCGCACCAGTCGAAATCACTAAGGCTGAGTTGATGCTCGGTGCGGTTGCGGCAAGTTTGATAATAATCTGGTTGACGAAGGCAGCTTGTGCTGCAGCCACAAAAACCGCACCCCCAACAGTCTGGAAGACTGAGAAGAAAACCATGTTAGCGAATTTCCACTCAGATAAACTAGTAGTCCAGCCACTCACAGACTATAACGCCCGTCACGGTTGCAATATCACTGGGAACCACTGTACCATGCACCGCATTGATGGGGACCTGGTAGGCCAATCCCCATCCAACTCCACCGACGATTTGGTATCCAATCCACTTGCCTGTGCTTGTACCAATGTTCAACGTGTACAACAGGGCCGAACCGATGGCTGCAAGGACACCACCGACAACCATAAGAGGAGCGGTATGACCAGTTTTGGTGATGCTACCACCAGAGACAATGATAGCTAACGACATCGAGACAATCAAAGGAAGATTCCGCACCCCAGACATAGTAGGATTGACGTTTTGAACACTCTGGAAGTAGTAAGGAAGGTAATAGACTATAATAAAGTACGAACCTGCGAATAGAAACGCGTAGATTGAATTCACGAGGATGAGGCGGTTGGACATCAAGCGTGGCGGAAAGGCAGCCCGTTCTCCTTGAAACCATTCCCACCCGATAAAGGCAATGATCATGAGAGGAAAGCCGACAAGGAGACCGATCACAGTACTGGAGTTCCATGCCTTCGTCTGTCCACCAAACTGTAGTGGCAAGATGTATGAAGTTATGGTACAGATTAGAAGGATCGTTCCGATAGGATCTATCTGTAGAAGTTTTTCCTTTAACGTAGCTTTGGTTGTCGAAGCTCTGTCGGGTGTATGGAAGAAGAAAATAATGGAAGCGGCTGCGAGGCCTCCAACGGGCAAATTTATGTAAAAGCCTAGAAGAAAAGATAAAAAGGGAAGTCAGCCAAGGTCAGCGTCTACGAATCAACAACTGTTTTAGTTGATCAAGTCAATAGCAGAAGAACTTACACCATCTCCAAGTTACTTTATCAGCGAATGCACCACCAATAAGGGGTCCAACGACCGAGGCTATACCGTAAGACATGCCAATAATACCGGTGAAGAGTGGTCGTCTTTTTGGACTAGCAATGAAAGCGATTATAATGAAGACGCCACTCCCAATACCAGCTGCGCCGATACCAGCAATTGCACGACCAACAATCAGTGCCACGGAATTTGGAGCCACGCCACAAATCAAGCTTCCAAGCTCGAAAATGAAAACCGCAAGCAGGAACGAGGTTTTGAGCGGGAAGAATTTGTAAATCTTTCCCCAGGTTGACTGGAATCCTCCAGTAGTCATCAGGAAAGCCGATCCATACCAACTGGCATCATCGAGGCTGTGGAACTGATCGGTGATTTTTGGAATAGCCGTCGCTACGATCGTCTATTCATTGAATACTAACATTAGATTATGGCGCTTCAAAGAGAGACTCGCCTCCTCACTGAGGAATTTAGGGACATACCATGTCGAGAGCAACCAGAAATATGCTCATACCAAGAGCCACAACAACGATGAGTAGCTTAAGACCATGAGGATACTGTGCTTCGTCGTTCAGTTCCGGTTCTTCAGTGGCTACCTTTACCGGTAGGTCAAAAGGCTCTGGGTCATTTGGGGCATTCGTTAATGATGACTGCGCGCTTGATTCTATGTTCCTTCGCTCCTTTTCCACGTTGAATGTTGAACTCATTTTCGCCAATAGTGATGGGATGTTCCCAGTCGATGAATCCTGAGGAAAGTTGTCCTCGATACACCAGATCAGATTGAAGTAAAGATAATTTCAAATGAGACGAGGCTTTAAAGGACTTACAAATGATTTGAAAATTCTATATTACAAATGCCTGTCAAATTTGAGCCTATCGCCGCCAGAGCTTGTTACTTCGGACGGAGAAACGAGTAACGAGTCATTGGTCCGCCACCGCATTTTTCGACCACCGTGCAGCGGGGCTCAGGACGCACTTGAAAGAATATAGAGTATAGGCTCATATTACACGCTAAATGTAAGATATAGTACATCAATGTAAATACTGAGGGTCTTCGTCCGCCGCATGTTATATTTCGCGGCGGTCGAATGGCATCCGCTGAGTCAGCTGTCGACTTCCCCCGCCGGTGATCCGGTCTCCTAGTCGCTCTGTTTACCTTGCATCATCTTACACGGCCTCCGCAGCCAAGAAACTATGCTCGACTGACTGACTCTCTTCTTTGACATGGATATGGACTACGAGCTCATTGCCGAATCAGAGGCGAAGCGGAGGAAGATCCGCAAAGGGACTAAGAGTTGCTGGGAGTGCAAAAAGCGCAAGATGAAATGTGTGTATGCAGACTCCAGCTCTTCAGCTGATGGCGATGCCATCTGCATTGGCTGCCAGCGGCGAGGCTTCAAGTGTGTGAGCCAGGAGTTTGAGTTTGTTGGTGGAAAAGAGAACGCAGGACATTTCGAGAGGAAGGGACGACACCACACGAGCGGTAAAGATAGAGATCGCGTTGCGAGGGTTGAGACCTTAGTTGAGGAACTAATTAGGAAAGTGGACCGCCATGGGGGATTAGAAGTACCTGCCACTAGCGGAATTTCCGCGGCTCCAGGTCATGGAATACCTACTGTTGCACCAATTGATCAACAATCTTCAGATTTCTTGACTCCATGCAAGCCTTCGGAGGTACGTATATTTTTGAAGTCCAGTGTATGGTGAACTTTCATTTATTTTATCAGGATCATGGCCCGGCTGAGGCTGAGGGGAAATATTCAAAGCTATCTCAAAGATTGCACGGATCATTGCCCTCACGACAAGTCATCGAGATAATATCTAATGCCCGCGGTAATAAAGCCATACTTTTACATGAGGTGCTGAGCATTCCATATGCTGTCCTCGAGCAGAATGGCCTCAAGTCGTCAAACAGTTTACTAGAGATGCCTAAACCGAGTTCGCATCCAGTGCTGATCGCAAGACATATGCTTCAAATTGCTACTTTCCTCCAGCATGTCAACCCTAATTCTATTGGGGCGATAAACAGTCTTCCGGAATCACTTCCTGCACTGATGAAAAGATTGGCAGGAACGGCTATTGATTTGGTCACGACAAATGACGAGTTTTTTGGTAGCATCGAAGGACTCGAGTGTGTTATGATGGAAAGCATGTACCACCATAATGGTGGAAGTCTACGACGAAGCTGGATAGCGAACCGGAGGGCTATGGTCATTGCGCAAATGATGAACCTCCACCAAAGTCAAAGCCGAGCAAGATACAAGGCTCTTGACCACAAAACGAGAGCTCATCCACAGTTCATGTGGTTTCGAATTGTCTCCCTCGACCGAAATTTGTGTCTACTGCTGGGTCTTACGCAGGGCTCCTTTGACCAGAGTATGGCCACTGGCACAGCATACAGAGATGACATCCCTATGGGCCGCCTTGAGCGGATGCATTGTACCATCGCGTCTCGCATATTGGAGCGCAACGAGTCTGACCCGTACGCTAATGGCATTGCCCTGACACTAAGCCTCGACTTGGAGCTACAGAAAGCGGGTAGAAGCATGCCTAGCAAATGGTGGCTTATGCCGAATCTTGACAGTGTCATGGAGGACCCACAGGCTCTCTTTCTGGATATGGGACGCCTGTTCAGCCAGTTATATCATTACAACTTGCTCAATCAGCTCCATCTGCCTTACATGCTTCGTTCATCACCGGAACGGAAGTACGAATATTCCAGAATGACCTGCGTGAATGCCTCAAGAGAGATTCTCTTGCGATTTATTATGTTTCGTGGCTACAACAAGAATAATTTCTGCTGTCGGACAGTTGACTTTTTTGCACTGATGGCCGCCATTACACTACTCCTGGCGCATCTCGATAGCCACCGCTTTTCGCAGACCACCAACCTCTTAGCGCATCAATATTTTAGTGATCGTGCCATGATAGAGCAGGCTCAGTTGAACATGGACAAAATCAGTCGTGTTAACGGAGATACTTTAAGCGCCCAAAGTGCAGAATTATTATCTAAGTTGCTGGCCATCGATTCTGAAACAGCGGATGGTGTCAATACGGAGAGCGTCAGCGTTCAGACTCCAGAAATTGCAGTGTTGCAGTCAAGCGAAGACGAAAATGGCGTTGTTCGGGTGCAAATACCTTACTTTGGCATCGTCAGTATTGCCCGTCAGGGCGTTATTTCCAAGGAAACGGCCAACGCACAACCTCCTTCAAACAATGACCAAGCCTACGCTACGGTTATTGGGTTGCATAAAGCGCATAACACCGAAGGTTCAGAAGCTACAGTGCGTGATCTGAGCTCTGATCGTTTCGATGGAAATGCATTTCCTAGGTCAATGACCGAAGCAGATTACAACTCTATCGACAGTGTTAATTGTCCGCCTGTACAGGCTACATCGCCATATCAGGGAACCATTTCTGAAGCCCTTCTACGGAATCATCAGGATCCTGAGCTAATTGCCGGGGTGGACGACTGGGCATTTCAAGGTGTCGATATGGCTTTCTTTGACAGCTTAATGAGAGGCCTTGACAGCGCAGATAGTTGAGAGCCCTGGGACAATAGCGTTTGAACTCAAAGATGCAGTAGTATTATACTAATTTTGGTTTTTGCGCTTGAAACAGTCAGTTCATGTTGGTTGAAAATTTATCACAATGATGATAGTGGAATCTCTAATATATATGTCAATGTCAAAATCCGGCGCCTAGCACTCCATAGACCAGTCTTGGATGTTATTTAAGTATCACCAAGTATGAAGTCCTTAGTTAATATAGAGGATAATCTACTCTTCTATATTCATCCCATACTTGGTTGATGGCACAATGGTAGCCAATAATGGCTATAAAGACTTTCATAGGAATGAGCGTAGAGAAGACATTAGTCCAAAAATTGACAAGCAGAAAGCTCTAAGACGTGACAGATCTACTGGTCATCATAGCGTGTCAAAAAAGGCAGAATTACTTCACATTGAATGTTAAGGCCGGATCTTAGGGAAAGATAAAACCAGTATCTAATCCTAGTCATTTCAGTTCCCATGTACGGCGGGTGCCCTGACTCAAGACCGAAAGGGCTCTCGTGCGGGTAATCTGCAGGTCCTAGAAAATAGGGCTGTCTTATCTCAAGGATGTTGGTCAGAGCTGAGAAAAATAACGGGGCCGGACGAGTGAGTGCAGCGTAGATGGCAGTCGCGGAGTCGCGGAGTAGCCAACGTGTCACATACGGAAAGCAGGGGGGTGGCGTAGCTCGGTGATCTGGAGCAATAGCACAAATGGCTCACTCACAAGTCTTGGGGGGGGGGGGGAGGGCGAAAAAAAAATAAATGGAGGTTGTGTTTGTGGGAAGGACAGGGTTTAATATACCACCACACGCGGCGAGGTGTAAGGACACACAACGCTAAATCGTCAGAGTCATAGTTTCATTGTGGAGTCAAAATTTCTTGGCTTATCCGATAGAGGGTAATCCAGGATTCAGGGTGGCAGCGGAAAGATCAGAGGTGCGTGGTGCTATGAGGTCTATCGTGGTGTTTCCGTATAGTCGGTTTTATAGTGCTAAGCTAAACTCCAAAGTGACTTCGGGCGTAATTCTCTAAAAGACCTAATGTCAAGGCTGGGCCAAAAGACATTTACTTAACTAAAAGGGCCCTTAAAGGTCAGTCCACCCTACAGGACGTCTCCCGAAACTCTCGCAAATTGATATATCAGTTATAACTATCAGCTTAAACAACCATAGTTTCCGGAGCATATAGCAACAGGAAAACTTCCCCTCAATCAAAAAGACCAATTTGTCGATTAGACTTCATTAAACTTTAATATGCCACCATGATATCCAGCGCGCAGTGTGGTAACGAAAGTTACTCTGCGTTATTTTCATTGTTATTTGCGAGTTGCGGCCCCGGTTCGGAGCCGGTCACGGGACCAAGATTTTTCTGTTATTCAGCATAGATACCTTTCCGGAGCATCCTTTTGTTTTTAGTTAGTGTGTGCAACCTGACCCACAATTTTACCAAGTTGTTACTCCAATCATTACCAAGTGTTTAATCCCTTTTCAGGTGATCCAGCTGAAGGCATGTCATTTTGGTGAGGCGAGAGAGAATCTCTTGTGCGTGGAAGATCTGGTTGATCCTTGGTGGAAGGACAGATAGTGGGGAGAGTGTCCTGTCGGAGTACAGAGCACCCTGCCGCCGCGAATCAGTCAACATAAGGGAGGAGCTCATGGATGAGCATCTCAATCCAACGTAGATTCCAGCACCTGTTCGATCCATATCACCGAGAAAGAGACGGCATACCGGTGTAAGCGTGAAGTCTACTGAATCATCAACTTTATCAAAAATTGCGAACCAGGGCCGAAACCGGGCCAGAACATTAGACCGAAGCACAGCAGAAACAACAGAAACATTAGAAAATCAAAGTGCCTTTCTAGGTAGTCGATCACCTATAGTTGCGGCCTAGATTGAAAACACTAGTCTAGATTGGGCTAAGCCTCCCGCGAATTCGCCCTACTTATATTCCTTATCTACAGTTCGACTATCTTATCTTCTCTCCTCTCCCTCTGGTTCATCCGCATCACTCCCTCTTTTCTTTGACAGACCGTTTCAATATTTGACTAAAGAAGTTTTTCATTCAGGAAAGACTACGTCCTCTTTGCCGTCGGCAAAACCTGACCTGGATCTGTCTAACCTACCTGAGTTACCCGATTCTGATTCTGATTACTAGTCTGATTCTATTGAACCTAATTGTTCTGAACCTATTATACGCAATCGTCATTTTATTATGCCTGTGTTTGTCGCCCCAACTTTTGCTGGGAATCCGGGCGATAACTTGAAGGTGTTTTTAGGGTAGTGTAAGCTGCAATGGCTTAGAATGGGGTTAAAGGAAGATGAGTTAGAGGAAGCGCGAGTTTGTTCTGTCATTTCAGGATGTACTGGAGTGGCGCGAGATTATGTGGATAGCCTGGATTGGGAGATCGTAGACCACTTTGATACGCTTTATGTAGCCCTTATGACTCGGTTTCTGTGGGTTCCGCGGGTGGAAGACACACAAGAGTATATGACGAAGATGTGTAACTTGAAGCAGGGTAGTAAGACACTTTATGAATATGCCGAAGAAGGTGCAAAGTTGAAGCCTTTCCTCCCTGAAGCTGTTCGATTATTGATGGCACGATAATGGATTCAAGGATTGTTAAACCCTATGACGGTATATGTAGTAACTGCCTACTATCGAGCGGCGATGGAATAGGGGACAGCCACTTTTAAAGGTGTGGTGAAAACTGCTAAAGACTGCTAAGGAGAAGGAGGTAATATAAATAGTAATCATACATCGGATGCTGATAAGATTACGGATGCGATTACTAAGTTATAGAAGACCATAGAACAATCATTCGATAAACCTCGTTTGAATATCTCGAATTAATAGCGTCCGCCTCGACAGATGCCAATAGCTACGGGTGCTGCTTCTACACCTCCGAGAGAAAGAGAGGGGAATGACATTACCTGTTGGAGATATGGCGGTGCGGGACATCGGTCGCCGGAATGCACTAACTAAGCTCTGCCAGATGATGAACGTGCTAGGATTCGTTAAGCTGATATTGCACGACGTTATAACGGGCCAGTAAGGCTAGATCCCCCACTATCGCGGACGCTTGGATAAAACCCGCGTGCGGCCTAGGTCCTGGTTACGGCTACGGCCTGGGTTAAAGAAGTGGTTGATGAGTTAGAGATGCAATTACAGTATCCAGGGACTTATGTAGTGGATTACATTCCTGAAACGGATCCTCGTTTATAGCGTTAGAATGATATCCTAAAGTTCAATCTTATTAATGTTAATTTCGACACTCATCGTGTGCTTAAGGTGAAGAGCGGGGATGCTGCTACTATAATAAAGTAGGCTTATAGTGACAACGGCGCGGAAGTGAACGCGACAAAGCGAAACCATCCTTCGACTGCCACAGAAGTTAAACCGGGACAGCAGGCGAGATAGCGTAGAGAGCCGAGCAAACTGCGAGGTATTTAAGGATTAAAGGGCGACCGTCTTAACATAATGAGCATTATTAATGGCGCGAGTTTTCAGATGTCTCTGGCTTAGCTGCTTGATGTATCACCTGCTATGAGGTAGGAATTGACGAAGCTCCTATAAACTAATAAGAAAGATAAGGGGAAGAAGCCTGCGAAGAGGTCGAAACCCACTCCTCGTGCGGCCTAGGTTAACATAGTTTAGTATCAAGAAATCATAGGAATCAGCAACGCAGTCTAGTCTAACTTAGAGGTAAGTAAGAGAGACGTGTAAGAACACGATGATGCGATGACCAATACACGTGAAGCTACAAAGCTATTTTATGCGGATGCGGATTTGTTTTCTATAAGCATAGATGATCGTGTGAGGGGACTTAAGATATTAAGGGCTTTAATTAATGGGGGGTCTACGTCGAATCTCGTTCCTTAATATTTAATTAATGCGTTGAGATCGAGAACGATCACGCTTCATGGCGGGGTGATGGAAGTCGCCATAGGTGAGAAAAGTGCAGTACCGCATACAGTGTAGATTTGTATGGAGTTACAGGGGACAACCTAGGTTGTTGCGGCCCTAGTTATACTAGGAAGAACCAGTTACTATATTCTACTCGGTCGGCATTAGATGCATAACACCGGCGTTCGAGGAGATTATAGACTCGGGACTTACTCTATTATGACTGATAAAGGGGAAAGAACTAAGCTTTGTCGAGCGGGATATCGAATGTCGAAAGACATTGACGAACCTACAAAAGTGCCACTATGGGTCACAGTTAACGCCGCAGACAGGGAACCCTCGGAGGAGTATGATGAGGATGATGATGACTCGGATGAAGATGTTAGTGAAGGAGAAGTCGACCGTGCTTTGAAAAAGGCATTAAAGCACGATTACCAGATTATCCACGAACACAAACATGTTGACTTAGAAGACTCTGCTAAGTATTCCGGAGACACTGAATCGTTATCGGGAAACTAGTATTAATTACGCCGGAGCCCTTATCTCCAGCGGACGCGACATTATGTTATTCTTAGATAAGGGATGAGAGCATTCTTAATACAAGAGCGATTGACTTTGCGGCCCAGGTTCGGGATCGCTAATATTTAGTTATCCAGAAAAAATTAACCTCAAACTTGAAAAACAATTTGTTATTCAGTTACAATAACGTTAAGAGCATTTTATCACAAGGTCGAATGAATTCAGAGTTATCTTATATCTTATCTACCTCGCGGCTAGACTAGATGTAGCAGGAGATTTTTGATCACGGCTATGTCGGATTTCTAACTGAGGACCGACTAATGTACTATCGGCGGGAGTTATCCACTGATGAGGATTAGATTCGTGAGTGGATGAGGAATCACCCAGCTTTAGCTGGTGATGTCCTGGATAAAAAGCAAGAGGAGTGGTTGATGGTAGCGCGGGTCCTGTATACATGGAGAGATTTGTTTGTTGATGATGTGGTGAAAATGCCCCCGACGAAGCTGATTGAACATCGAATACCAACTTACCCTGATGCGAAGCCAGTTGCCGCCTGGATTCCGATGTTTACTCCTGAAGAAATTGCATGGCAATATATAAACCTTCCACTGATAGAAAAAGCCGGAGTGATTGCTCGATGTGTTTCGTCTTGGTCTGCGAGGACTAAATTCGTACGGAAAACGGATAAAAAACGATTACGAATGGTACATTAATACATTCCCGTTAATCGAGTTACGATGAAAATGAATTATCTAATGAAGCGAATTGAACCTATCCTTAATATGGTTGCACAACGGAAGTGGAAATGTTTCTTGAAATGCGATATAGCCAATGGGTATTGGGTAGTGCCCCTAGCAAAAGAACATTTATTTAAGATAGCCTTCCGATTAACTTTAGGATAATTCTGCTACCTTCGAATGGGATAGGGACTGATAGGAGCACCTGGCATATATGCCCGGTTGAAAGATTTGATGACTTCTTAGATTCTAGAACCTCATGGAGAGCTGGGTTTGTTGGATGGGGATGCAGGGTTTGCCTGCTTTATAGATGATGATGTTGGTGCTTTCGAAACTGTGGAATCGATGACTAGGTTTATGTATGATTAATACTTTCCGAGATTATTGTGGGCCGGATTGACATTAAGCCCAACGAAAAGTTTCTTTGGACTGTAGCGCACTTATCTTTTGGGATATGAACGAACCCTTTTGGGGATACGCCCGTCGGCGGACAAGCTCTAAGCACTCCTCTTATGGCCCCGGCCAGAATGCGAAGCGGATCTTATGCGATTTATCTATATTCTCCCGTTTTTGAAGGTGTATATTCCGGGTCGGGCGGACTTGGTTGCCATCTTGAAGGAATGTGTGAAAATAACGGGGAAGGGGAAATAGCGGCGGGTAGTTTCATTCGACTGGACTTCGAAATAATAGAAAGCTTTCGACTAAATAAGGAAGTTCTTCTCGAAGATCTAACTGGTCGGAGGGGATCTAATTCTTTAGTATCATATGGCTGTGGATGCGTCAGATCGTGGGCTCAGTGGAGTGCTATTCTAGATGCGAAACTGGGTAATAGGCACCCAGTCTTGTCTGGAGACCCGAAAAGATGAGGATGTGGTGATATACATCTCTTTTGCACTCGCGGACGCCGAAACCAGATATTATACCACGGAGAAGGAGAGTCTGGCAGTTCTTAGATGCTTGGAGGAAGTGCGATGGCTGGTTCTTAGAGTGAATTACCTAGTCATTTTATACACTGATCATCTTGCGCTCAAATCTTTATTAGGTGTAAATTCTGAAGCTACTGGACGCATCGCAAGATGGCAGTACCGTATCTAAGAATATGACCTTGATCTCTAATATATACTGGGAAAGACTTAAGTGGTGGCTGATGGCTTGTCGAGGCTGCCTTACTAGACTGTTTATTTAGATATTAACGAGGATGGTTTTATGACACCTAAAGTTGGCATCGGGACAACTGTGAAGTATTATGTGAACGCGAGCGAGACAAACCGCGAAACTGGCCCATAATGGGAACGTAATCTATTCGATCGGTACATCAGCGATATCTGGTATGGAGAAGTTCTTGAACGGCTATTAAGCGGGTAGATAATCGCAAAAGACTACCGGTATCACCTTATTTATGTTAATGGAGTTAGTTACCTGGCATACCGAGAGAAACGAGGACACTACTCAAAATGTGTACGATAATAGTTTCTTCCTGATGTTCTATTTAAACTTTATGATGTGCACGGTCATTTTGCGGCCTGGATTACATTAAGCCGAGCCATCGGGAAATATTACTAGCCAACGAGATATTAAGATATCGAGTAATATTGTCGAAGCTATGCATCGTGCTAACTTGTGGGTCCAAATCTCCCGAAGGAACTAGCGCATTTAATTGTAATACTAGATCCGATGGTTATGTTCGGGATTGATTTTATTAGTCCCTTTAACCCGCCATCTTCGCGAGGCCATTAGTATATTCTAGTAGGTGTTGACTATATGTCTCGATTTACCTAGGGAATCCCAACGAAAGAAGCAAAGGCTTCGACATCAGCTACTTTTATGAAAGAGGATATAGCCCGGTTTGTGGGTTGGCCTTCAGTGGTCTACTCGGATAATGGATCGCATTTCACCGGATAAGAGTTTATAGCCCAGCTTACGATCCACCACACAAAACATGTTACTACCCCGGTGAGGGCACCTTAGGTTATCGGGCTTACGGAGCGACTCGTCCAACAACTGATTTATATTTTAAGAGCATTGGCAGCGTCCTAGACGAACATTATTATAGAATGGGATATGTACGTGCCGATGGCTATATAAGCCATCAATTCTCGAAAGTTACAATCACACGGATTTAGCCCAGCACAAGTTCTATTCGGTTTTCAACCCTCGTACTTTAGTACACCCAACCTTGAAACGGATATCATGGCTAAAGCCATCCAACAAACCAATCTTGACGGTGAATCAGAGCCAGTCGGGGTAGACACTATAATCGCAGTGGGTCACGAGCGGCTCGACTTTACAAGATCCATCGTTCAATAGCAATTCTTATAGAAGAGTGAAGCCAGAAATATGCAGAATATACGCCGAGAAATCAACCCTAGTGATCTAGTTCTCCTTCGGGATACAGGTCTAGATTAAGTTCACGGTCAGAAGCTCAAAGCTCGATAGAGGGGTCCATATCGTGTGGCCAGAGTCCTGAATCAGGGCCGTTCTATATATCTTGATGATTTAACAACAGGTCTCCATATAGGAAAGTATTATCTGAATCACATCAAGAAATTTGTGTCGCGAGAACGAGAGAATCCAGACGATATTGCAGAAGCGTAACATGTTATAAAGCAAAATTCGATCCAAAAAGAATTCATAAGGGAAGCGATGCGACAAAGCAGGGTGAAGCGAGAAGTAGAAGGGTTTGACGTATAAGTGACAAAGAGGAGAAAGCCAATATGGGCGTTAAAATATTATTAACTTTCATATATAGATTGTGAGTAGTTATTATTTTCTACTTTGTAGACACCAGGCGAGCATATTTAAGGCGATCATCATAGAGATTGAACCTTTAACTTATCACTACTCATTATGGTATATCATCTTAATTCTTCAGAATCCATCAGTGTTCTCTATACCTACCTACCTTTATAAACCCGGACCTTAATGGACTCTTAAGTTTACCCGAGGAACACCATAAGTAACTCGGCGAACGAAGAACTCGATGATGAAGTGGATTAGGACGAGTTCGTGGAATTTGAGGATGAAGTGAGAGATTAGAATGAGCCTAATCTACTAATAGGAGATGAACTGCTTGAAGTTACAGAATTACTAATTACAGAAACTACGACGACAAAAGACCCTATCCTCACACTTCCCGTAATTAATCCTGATATAATGTCCGATCCGTTAATGCCCGATTCGACTGTGCTAGATTCGGTCTCAGCACCATTAACTCAGCGATCCGACAATTTGATAAAGAAGATCCTAATTTAGCGAGAGGAAATAACCGAGAGTATAAGCGAAATATCTACGGACTAGATTAATAGGCCGGCTAGGGAGAGTAGTAGACACACCATGAGACCCCGTCGACAGAAACATAAACAATTCCGTGTCGGAGACAAAATTAAGGTAGAAGTAGGACCATCGCTCATCGATCACCTTATTAATCCAAAGTTAGTGCTAGAGAAGAGATACAAACGGTTCACGGCCTTCTATAACATCGATACCCTGCCCGAAAAGTTCGCAAAGCTAGACGAGGAGCATCGACGTATTAAGGAGCTTAGTGACATTAACATTATGGACCTGATATGGTTTAAACCAGTTTTGCGCAAGCAATTTCAAGTCGCATTTGACTCTGCGGGTCAGCTTCGGAAAAAGCACTGGCATTTATTAGACAAAAAGGACAAGAGTGGTAAGGATGTTTTTCCTCCAGAACTCAGGAAGTCCAATCGCCGAGACGATGCGATCTAGGATGCGGCTATGCGGAATACAACTATGCTGATAGCTAGTAGTCAACCCCGACTCAAGAAAGCTGTGTCAACGAAGGTTACTCGGGACTTAAAGGGCAAGTATATGAATCCTAGTTAGGCAATAGACGAAGGACAGGATATTCAAGAGGACCCGATGCTCAGTGAAAACGCGGTCAAAGACATCGATATGATCTTGGCCAGAGCTCATAAAGGTCGAGGCTTTAAGGACAAACTCGTCAAGGAAGTTCAAACGGCACAACAACAACGACTAGACGTGATCCAAGCTCTGTAAATCCAGTCCGCGCAAAATGATCGCCAACATACGGCCCTGATTCGCCAAAATAAAGACCTGATTTGCACCAATAAGAGACTTAGAGAACAATGTCGAGAGTTCCGCAAACACATTCAAGAGTTCAACGAATACCGAATACAACATGGATTGAGTGCATTAGAAGAAGACTTTCTTTCGGAAGACAACCAAGAAGAACGAGATCCAATAAAAAGACCCAGAACGTGTGGAACTTCGTCTGAGATTCCGACAGAAACACCTGAAAGGGTTCCAACATCGCAGACTGAATATTCAGCTAAGTCTCCCCTGTCTACGGCCCCGGTTACCGAGAGTCCTGAAGATTCCAACCAACATGACAACACCGGATCAGCATAAGAGTGAGAAGCAGCCACAGACATGATTTCCCAACATTTGATTTCCAAGTTCTACCACCAATTCTTGCGGTCCATTTCTATTTATTTGGTGGAGGAGACACTGGTTGCTGAGCGCACCAAATTTCCATCTAAGGAAATTTCCACGACTCGGGCCCCTGTGGTAACGAAAGTTACTCTGCGTTATTTTCATTGTTATTTGCGAGTTGCGGCCCCGGTTCGGAGCCGGTCACGGGACCAAGATTTTTCTGTTATTCAGCATAGATACCTTTCCGGAGCATCCTTTTGTTTTTAGTTAGTGTGTGCAACCTGACCCACAATTTTACCAAGTTGTTACTCCAATCATTACCAAGTGTTTAATCCCTTTTCAGGTGATCCAGCTGAAGGCATGTCAGCAGGTTGCACCGGGGTTAATATAAGTTTACCGACGGGAACTATAAATCTCATGGGCCATTTTTACGTCACCGCTTTGAAATAAAGGGGACTTGTTGCTCTAGCCAGAACGCAACTGCCTACTGTTGAAGTATCAAAGTCATGCCTCCTGCTAACCAATATAGATTCGTATTATAGTCTCTATTCTACACATTCTTGACTGATCAGGCAAATGCGACGTAATGTAACATATCAAGAACGGCAATTCATTATATGTCACGCCATCGCTATTTTTAGCGCACTATCTGATTGTAAGGTTACATTACCCAGGTTGTTGACCATACCTACATCCTAATAACGTCACACCTCTGATTCACACTGTTGTAATATGGGTGAAGACTATGAGCGAAGCCGCATCATCGGAATTTATTACGACGATATTACAAAAGAACACTAAGCCAATTCGCGGTCAATTTCATCTTCCCGTTATGTATATATAGCTTCTTTTTTCTCTTGAATCACTCTCCCTCAAGGAGCAGAATACCTAAATTGCTTACTTTACATTTTCTTTTGGCAAGTATCATAGCGACCTTAGATTTCGCAGAGTGAGTCATGTTCTGATTCACTGTATTCTCGGTGTGAATAGTTGAATAAGGTTAAAGAAAGTTGACAATAAAGTATCAGTTGCGGAGAATCGTGAAGAAGTGAGCAATGAAACCACTGCCGTGTCTTTCTGCTTTCATTTCCTTCTGTACAACTGTCATGGCTGCAAACACAACTCGCTATTACACGGATCCACCACTTGGGGCGATTATACTACAGGAAAGACAAAATTTGAACGATATGGTTCGCAATAACCCTGAAACGGTTCTCAACCCTGAAAATGGAGGATACTACCTGAAGACTATGGAAGGGGAGGTACTAGCAATAACAGCGGATGACCTATGTGTAGAATTAGACGCTGCTTTAGCAAGCGTGGATAGTCTGGACTCTGCGGAACATGGAAGTAACTCTACGGAGCATGGAAGCAAAGAGTCAAAAGAATTGGAGTTAGGAAACCAGTGCACCCATCCTCGCTGCTTTAATTCTATCAACTGTCTTTCTTTTAGTCATTGCTACGTGTGTCTAACCAGGGGAAGATGTATTTGAACTTCGATGGAGTTCTATTTATTTTGGTTCAGGCTGTGTATAGCGGTTTAATTGACTGATATATTGAATTTGATTCGCTGTGTCATGAATTCTACTTGTAGGGTTAAATATGCTACGCTGTAGTAGATATAGAGTGGGCAAACTTTGCATGGAGAAAACGAGGCCAAACCTAGAATGCTGGTCGTAGGTGTACGGACTAGAAATTTAAGGGTAGTCTAAAGCAAATCAAGAAGAGTATCTAGAGGCAAAATCTAAATAAAAAGAGGCTTATGTCAAACCCCTGGTTCCTGGGGCTCTCTGATCATCAATGCGAACTTCTGACTTCCCTCTCCACCACGCTCCGTATAATCCAGCTGTATTTCCTCAACGATCTGCCACCCATGCTTCAAATATGCCGGCACTCCTTCCATCGTAGCTTCCAGATATATCCGAGCGTTATTGGCGTCTGCTTTCTCGATACCCCATTTGAGAAATGCACTTCCTACTCCGATTCTTTGGTACTCTGGTAAGACACATAGTAGTTCAAGGACTAGCAGTGTTGGTACCAGTCAATATCGTAGAATTTCCATATAGAGTAGCAAATGGGTTGACGAACCGATGTCGGTCTCCTTGAGGTATAAGTTCCTACTTCGCTTTATCATTTCCTCGTAGAATGTGTAGGTGCCTTTGTTTAAGTTTGGGGCATATGCCCACATATTCTGCATTTGCATCTGTGCCTCGTTGCTCAAACTTGTGTCCACGGCTCTTTCGAACTCGTAAATAGCCGGTATATTCCAGCGGCTGTATGCGATGATGTCCCCGGTGTGAGAGTCGACACCCGTGAGAATATGACACTCGGGTTTGGCGAAATACTCGAGAGAAGAGACTCTTTTGAACGTGTGAACTGCCAATGGATCACATCCCTTGTATGTACTGCGCATATAATTGGATGAGGGGAAAGAGCGAATTTCAACGCTCACAAGTGCACTCAGATCCGACGCATTAGCGTACTTTATTTCAAGAGGCACAGATGGACTTAGTGCCATATTTTATTGCGACTGCCGTGAGTGAGAAGGTTCAGTTCCAGTACAATAATATGAATTTGTACACTGAATGAGTCATTTCTCGCTTTCATGACGCATCAAAATAATTCACTGGGGTGCGAGCCACCCGCCCGGTCGGGCTACCTCAAAACGTATTGTAAATACGATCGTTTATCTAAGCAACTACCGGATTTATACTAAATCTTTTGAATCAGGATATGTCTTTAATTTATGAGACTTCCAGGTGCAATGCCACAGACACTAGACGGCGTTCTTGAGACGGTTGCTGGAGTTGTGCTAATCGCACAATCATTCCCATAGACTGCATTGACCTTTCTCCTTCTCTTGGTCATTTTTTATGTTTTACAAAAGTTCTGCCTGCCCCATACCTTACGCTAAATCCAGTACTTGAGACACTCGCTGCCGAGCAACAGCAACTGATCATCTTTGCGCGGTTATCCTTGCAGCGGAAATTGTCTCTCATTCGATTGTTCGACGAGTTTACTTTAATGGCAGATGTAGAGACGGAGGCCACGATGATAAATTTGATCCGGGAGGAACTCCAAGACAGTACGGTTATTGCAGTGCAGTGGCACATCGACTGAACACCATTGCAGATTTTGATCTCGTGTTGCTCACGGAGCACCGGGTCATTGTCGAGTACACACACTCCCTTTCTTCGAAGAGGCCAGGTCTGTGAGAATCTTGTTTCTGCTTACTGAGCCAGAGATTAGGGACAATGGTAACTGTTTTCAATGAAATGTTAGTACTCAGAAATGAAATGTTAGTACTCAGATCTTAGGAAATTTGTGATTTCATGGCTAGCACCCAATCATTCCCTGCACTAGGTATCATGCAAAGTTGACGGATGTGCCGCTTGTCCACCGTGATAGGACCGGTGTATGCCTGTTAATGGTGTGAAACTCATCACATTATTGTCCTCTAGGAATCTCGGACTCTCTATTGGCCTACTGTGTTAGATCATCCGAGCGTTACGAGTCTCAACCGTTCTCAAACCACCCCCCGAAGCTCCAGTGGCATCGTTCCTGATCCCTGCCGCAAACGCCAGACTCTCTTCCTTCCCGCGCACCGCTTTCAAGTACGACTTGAAATTATGAGACATCGTGACAACCTGGCGAAGATGGTCATCCGTCAACTCCGGGATGTCTTTCCCTTCCTGCTTGGCTTGGAAGCAAGCAAGAGCTACGGCAGTTTGGAAGGCTTGTAAATGTGAGCAAAAGAGCAAGGTCGGGTCAAGATGTAGCGCGGCTTACCATTTCGTATCTCACGGCCGTTCCAGTTGAGGGCTCGGAGATCGTCCGACCTCCGAACAAATTCTTTGGCATCATAAGAACAACGGATTTCCTGACCCTCATCTTCATGGTTTTTGGACAACTTCTTAAAGTAGCCATCCCAGATCTGTTTTCGCGAATCTTCATCGAGTGGATCATATCCGATCTGCACGTGGATTCGGGACATGAAGGCTTCGTCAAAGCTGCCCACGCGATTGGTCGTCAGGAAAAGAATACCTTGGAAGTAGTCGAGGGCTCGCAGAAAGACTGAGACACGTTAGTTTCACTTTTATGCCGCCGCCTGGATGAGCTGCTTACTGGAAACAATGCTGTTACGTCGAAGATCCTGGGGGGATCGAGTTTCGAGATAAACGTCGGCTTCGTCGAGAAGAACGATTGCGTTCCATTTTCTCGCATTTCGGAAGAACGAAAGCAAATTGTACTCGAGCGGCTCTGGCTCATGGCCCAGATCGGCAGCAGTAATGCTCAGAAGAGGCCGACCGGTGTACTCCGCCACAGACTCTGGCAGAATCACCATTAGTTTATGGATTGTTCACCTCTACGCGGCAAAGAGCTTCGGTACATACCAGCGGTGAGGGTCTTTCCCGTTCCGGGAGGACCATGAAGGAGCAAGATCTGTCCCTCTCCTTTCCCTTGAATAAAATCGGAGGAGAAAGCCTGCGTATAAGTTCCCCCGAATGTCTCGCAGACGGCCTTAATCAATTGCTTGTTGCTTTCTGGCTTCATCACCAGCGTATCAATGATGCCCTTGTGTATCTTTGGATCCCTCAGCCCGGATACTTCTAGCACATCTGTTTCGGCAATCAGCAGCGCTTCCCTCAAATCACCTCAAATCACGTTCCTACATACCCCATGCGCGATCTTTCAGCACGTATCCATAGACGTGCGACCAGCAGAGTAGATACTGGTGGTCACTCAAGGTAGGTTTTGACGTCAGATCAATAATGTCGTAGTCATCGAAGGTACGCCGTTGGACGACGCGATGCAAATTGTTGGTCTCGCATGTTTTGCATAGGCATTTGGGTTCCCGTGTTCGTTTGCCAAGATCAACCCCATAGACTTCTTCAATTGGACGATGAGCATATTTTTCCTCTTCAAGTTCCTTCAATTTCCATGGCTGACTCGTGTGATCAATGATGACTCGCGCTTGCTTGAACTGTGAAACTGTGAGATTGAAAGGCGCCAGGAAATGAAATGCCGGGAATAGGTATTCTACGGGACGCTTACCTGGCGATTCCCTTGCAGCCTGCTTGGACCATTGTATTCTTGAAAAGTAGGTGTCTTCACCATGTTGACAAATTTCTTCCCTCGATCTATCAACTGCTCACGGAGAGGATTCTGTGGGTCCTCCTCAACGTGAAACTGAACTGGAAATAGAGGAAGCGAATTTATCTCGCGTGGACCGTCAAAGACCGGGATTTTGACTTGTCTAACCGAGCGGCCCAGATATTGGCCATTGAAGTTGAGATTCCAGACATTCACCGTGTACGGGAGTGAGCGGGCGAAGGGGGAATGCCACTGTACGCCTCCCTCGAACGATTCAATCACATAGGCATTCAGCTTTCCTTCTTCTTGGACGAACACGTCAGCTCCAGATTTAAGCAGGAGCCAGAGAGAGCTAAAAGTGACCCTGGGGGTTTCGTCCTTCCAGAGCAGCTCCGCACTTTTCAAGCCCGTTTCCGGTAGATTGTCGAGATATTCGAATAGAATGTCAATGTGTTCCCTACATGTGGCGCTGTATTCGTTGTCATGGATCTCACTCACTTCTTCTTTATACTGAAGCAGTCTCTCTCGATAATGATGAAGGTCAGTAAAAGGATAGACAAATTGGCCCCGTCCAAGATCACTCTCCACGAGTTTGGCGCGATATTCCACGGGCTCAATCATGTCTGGGAGTGCCTGGCATCCAATGATGGCCTTGAGGGCATTAAGGAGGATTGGCGAGTGGACGAAAAGCACTGGACTGCCAATCGTATCATACATGGTCTCCTCAACGTTGGTCACCGTTCTATTACTGAAATAGACCTCCCTGTGCTCCTCAAGGATGGACTTTGGGGTTTCGGTGAAATCCTTCAACAGGCTCGTCTTTTCGCTATGCGCTTTGGTTTCACGGCGGATATAATCACCATCTCTGTCCGGAGCCAGGTACTTTGCCACATACACGATTTTGCTGAGTTCCTTAGCCTTCGCCTCGGCTTCAATCTCCTTGTCAGTTTCCTCCTCCTCCTCGCTTTGAGACTCTTGTTTTGCAAGCCGTTTCTCCTTGCGGAGTTCATAGATCACATCCAATGTGAATTCAATCTTGAACTCCCATCCAGGTGATACCAGTCTTTCCCAGTGAGTCGAAAGGACATTTGAGCGCTCGGGCTTGATTTTCACAATGGAAAATGATTGCCCAGGGCCCTCTTCCTCGTCGTCAAGATACTCTGTCAGCCATTCAGCGACATATACGTCAACGAAGATATTTTTGACTAGTTTTTTGACACCCTGCAAACATTCAAAGTGTCAGAGCGGATAGTGAAGCGGGTGATTCGTCAATAGCTTACATTCCAAGTTTTGGAGTCCTCGTATGGGAGGATCCAACGTGTGCCAAAAAAATCAACAAAGACAACGTGAAGTGGGCTTTTTGGGCTATTCAGGATCGCCGTAGTTGTATTCCCGTCGACTCCAGTTTCGCTGGTATCGGGATTGTGTGTGATGCCTTCTCCGGACAAAGGCGGCTCCTCCTTGACCTCGGGTGTAATGTTCGGACTCACGGCCTCGATGGCACTGGCCTCTGCGGCATTGTGTAAGGCATCTGGTTTCTGGTTTGCATTTGCAACGCTATCATTTACTTTCTTTGTTAGCTTTGATCGAGCTCTGCAGCTCTGGATATTATTTGGAATGACCTTACTGGTTGCAAGCAAAGCAACTGCCTGGTCCATCGTTGCAGAGTGGTCCTCATAAGACTTGATCTCTGGGATGCTCGGCCCGATCATGTTGTCCATCACTCAAATCACTCAGAATGCATGAAAAAACAGAATGAGAAGAAAAAAGCAAAAGCCAATTGAAGCGAGGCTTTTCACAAAAAGTTTTCTCAAGTGCTAAGTGCTAGTTCTGCACTCAACACACGTGGCGGGCTCGATCCGAATATTTATAGGCGGGGAGCTGAAACGACCTCCGTAGTGGGGGCTCGGAGCAGAATGGGTCATTTCATGTCAATAGGGCCTAGTGGATGGAAGCCAGCAGCCTCCAAGCTATTTCGACATTGTGGACTGCGCGAGCGCCTTATCAGTCAACTTGCATGTCCGTAAACATTTCTGGCTCCCCCCTCCCCCCCTCCAGGAAACAATAGAGATCTTGCTATGGAAGTCATGAAACCATGCATGCACAGTGCCCCACGATATTCTCTCTTTAAACCATGTATTGCAGGAACAGTGAGTCTGCTTGCATACACGCGGCAATATCACTCTGCAGATAACGGGTTCACGCGTTCTGCTTACAGCGAAAACCGCTTGCCAAGATACGCTTATGCAAGTCAGCCCAGCCCCCACTGCAAGGCAGGATTTACGGGTCAAAATTGCCCAATGCCGGAAGAGTCCTTCACGGCTAGATTTGCCATCCTGTTCCGAAACGTGGAAGATGTAGAAGATGTGATAACCTATACTTATGCGCCCGCCTTGAATTCAGCTTGGTTTCACCACGCGCAGGTGACTTGAACGAGAGATTTTCTTGCAGGTTTGGTTGAACCTGATCATTCTGCTTGATTTTACTCAGAAGGAATCGATTGCAGGTATGTATTCAAACACAGTGGATCTGATGGCTTGTCAGCTGAAAGTGATTGGCCCCGAGAAGAGACACATCACAACACGAATCGGGGCTCGGAATGACGCTGCTTTTCCTGCACGGGAATAAGACCAATTGATCAGGAAGATATTCACCCGGTCTACCTACTGAGTAATGATAGTTCTTTCCCACGCAGCAGAGTCATACTATGAATCCAACGATGGAGTCACCAAGGCCGAGTCTGGTGCGCCGCTTCACTGCTGAACTCAAGGCAGACTCCAACTTAGCGTCTCAGGTCAAGTCATACCAAGAGAACCTGGATGCAGAAACCCAGGAGCAGGGTAAACTACATATGGATATTATCTATCATGGCCAACTGCCAACAGAGAGGTACGATAGGAGAAAGGGAATGTCTTGGGCTCAATGAAATGAAAAAGGCTGATTATGCTCCTTCAGTCCTCTCGATGGACTCGAAATTGCACGCCAAACCCTTCAATCCAAGTGTGATGAGTTCTTCAGGCACCAAGAAGAGAAGGCAGAAGCGGACAGAAAAAGATCAGGCGTGACACGATTCTTCCATGGAAACGCGACCGGGCAGAAACTGGCCAAGTACATCAGTCGTCGTGGCCAGCTCACAGTGGATCAAGTCCCTTCTATCACCAATGAGTTGGAAGCTCAATGGGTAGAATCAAACAGCAAGGTAAATTTAGCAGTACTGGAGTGACGTGGACCCTATGAGACTCTGGAAACAGCGTTACTAACCAAAGGGTTCTTCAAGGCGGCGACAAACTTTGTAAAGATATGCAAAGTTCTCGACTCTCATAAGCAAATCTTTGAGATTTTCCCAAGTGAAACCGCCTATACATCTGCTCTGTGTGGCGCTGTCTCAATGATCATCCAGGTAAATCTATTGGCCGGCCGTGCAAGATATCGGGTTATTCTAACTTCTGGGTTCCAAGGCCTCGGTGACTTATTCGGATATTGCAGAGCAGCTTTCGCGTTATGTCAAGGAGCTGTCGGAAAAAATCGCTCTTTGTACGAAGTGGCTCGACCTCTTTAAAACCCCTGAAATGCAAGCACGCCTGTCTGATATCTATACGCAATATTTCGATTTCTTTATCAAGGTGGCGACCTGGTATTTGAAGCCCAAAGCTTCGAAAATACTTGATTCTTTCAATTCCAACTTTGCGACTCGCTACAAGAGCGCGTCGGAATCAATCAAAGAGTCAATTCAAATGATCGACGACCAAGCTCGGTTTGAGACCGTGCGGGAGACCAAACAAATGAGACCGCATTTCGACCGCGCAATTGCCCATCTTGAGCAGCTGTCTTTGGCGACTTTGGATAGCGTTCGAAAAGGGCTGAGAGGGAAAGAAGATGAATACGAAGCTGCCAGAACAATGTGCACCCTTTTAGAGCAGATGGACGAACGCAATAGGCAGTTGGAGGAGCGCAGTATTCAAATGCAGGAACGCAGTAAGAAATCTCCTCTCCTACTCAGAAAATATTTTCAAGCGTCGCTAACGGCCCTGGACCGTATCTAGTGTCTAAAGAAATAGACCGTATACATCTATTGTATGAGCGGCAGACTAGAGAAACAATAGCCATTGGGAACACACCGATGAACGAGAGAGAGATCTCAGAGATCGAGGATGTTCCTCAGAAAGTTGACAGGGCTGAAGCCGAGCTGGTCTGTCGAAGCCTTCTCACGTCCCTGATAGATCAAGTGGGCGGCAGTGATGGCATCAGACTCGCTATTCAAACGGGACGGCTTGCTGCTAAGCCCGCTATTATCCAAATACTTGGAAAATGGACACAAGCCACATCGCATGATGCTCTGAACCTTTGGATTATGAGTCCCCACGAGCATGGGGTACAGAGCAGCGCACAACTTGCCGCCCTCGGGGTCATTTGGACGGCGATTCAAGCCCGGGCCCAATTTGTATCTTACATCTGCCAACGACCCCAGTACGGGAATATCTCAGGTTTCCAGGACGTCGAAGATCAAGCCAGTGCTCTCGGGATGGTCTACAGTCTCATATGCCAGCTGCTGCAATTTCAACCGCCAAATGACAGAGTGCAACTGCTACCCGAGATGGTCGATGGACTCACGCAGCCGGGCAAGCGCTGGACAACTGGATTGAAGGTGCTACAATATCTGCTGGAAAACACATCTACTCTGCGGTACTGTATCATCCATGGGATCAATCTCCTTGAGGGCGATGCGCAGGATATGTGCCAGGAGTTCGTGGACCTGCTCTTTGCGCATTCTAGAAATGCCGAGTGGCCTCTTCGGATTCTTCTTACTACCTCCGGGCAGTCAAGGGTGCTTACTGACTCAGTGAGTCTGGAAAACAAGGTCATTTCTCACAACACATTTCGTCGAACGAAAGTGAGTCTGGTATCTCAATATGTCCAAATGGCCGAGTAGTAGCGCTGTGTGTAAGCTAGATGACCAGAAATGTGGTTCGTGTGGGGTTTAAAGCGGGGCCTAGTAAATACCAAAATCAAATCAAACAAAAAGAAGCAAAAGCAGGAATTAGGTAGTGGTCGCCACCTGTAGGCAATGACCAAAATGCTGAAGTGTCTGTTATCGTGCAACTGGAGGTTTAAGCCTCGCGCGGATCCGACTGTGTGCTCACGTTTGTTTAGATTCAGGAACAGTGAGGGAAGAAAAGAATTCCAATAGGATGAATCGATTCTCCGGCTACTGTCTACTATGAGAGAGGACCAGTTCCTTGGTGATGTCCCCCTAGGCATACTTGATGAATAAATTTTTCTCAATCAGCTCCCATACCTGCTCGGCTAAAATGTACTGGTGAAGACTAAATACTCAGCCTTCCTCTCGTATCAAGGAAAGCTGGCTGCTTACTCTCAGCTCCAGTAGCTTGGCACTAGGAGAGCCATACCCCGCTTCATCACAGTCTATTTCTTTCTTCCTGATGATGCTCATTCGGATATTCGGACTCTCCATCACTTACATCGTTAGCCCTCTTCAGGAGATTGATCATTATGGCAGACCCGCTTTCCATCGCATCTGGAGTTGCTGGGCTGTTATCGCTCGGTATCCAAGTCACCCAGTCTCTGGTTGATTTCTATTCTGCATTCAAACATCAAACTAGCGATATAGCCAAGATTACGCAAAGTTTGGAGAGTCTTTTGGCTATTTTCAGGTCCCTTGGAGGTGCTCTCCAAGATCGCCAGCCTGGGACGGATGCACTGCTTCAAGAAATCATGAAATCTACGCAGGGTTGCCATGCCATCATAAAGGAGCTGCAGGCTGAGTGCCAGAAATTTCAGAAAACCTCCGCTGCGGGTTATACCTCCCGGATCAAATTCTTTGGACGCCAGGCAACTTATCCATTCCGGAAAAGTACTCTACAGAAGCTTGAAGAAGACATTGAAGAGATTCAGGATCGCTTATCTCTTGCTTTGAACGTGCTGCAGCTGAAGAACCAGAATCGGCTTGACGATGGAATGTCTGACCTCAAATCTCTGCTCAAAAGTACGGCAGCGAATCAGATATCATCCACAATTTGTGAATGGCTTCAGGCCCCAGATGCGAGCATTAATCATAATGATATATGCCCTAAGCGGCACACGGGGACAGGGCTTTGGTTCATCCAGAGTCCCCATTTTCAAGATTGGCTAGTGAAGCGCAAGTCTTTTCTCTGGATCAATGGCTTTGCCGGATCTGGAAAATCAGTCCTGTGCTCGACGGCAATTCAACATATGCTGCATGAAAAAAACAATCGGCAAAACGGCGTCGATGTTACGATTGGTGTAGGGTATTTCTACTTTTCATTCAATGACGAGTCGAAGCAAGATATTTCCGGAATGCTACGTGCTCTGTTGGTACAGCTATTGGCACAACTCTATCACTGTGAAGAGAGTTTGGAAAAATTGCACGCACTGTATAGACACAGCAGTCCTCCAGTGGATGCGCTACTTGATTGCCTTCGAAAAATCATATCTCGATTCAGCGAGACTTATCTTTTGATTGATGCGTTAGATGAAAGTCCTCGTGATACTAAAAGGGACAGCGTTTTGAGTGCGATAAACGCGATGCAGCAGTGGGGCTTGCCCGGTCTACACCTTTTAGTCACTAGCCGTGATGAGGTTGATATTCGCCAAGCACTAGCAATCTCTGACGACCAAGATATCTCGATGAAAAATGTTGAGATAGATAAGGATATCGTCAACTTTGTTTCCTATCAGCTCAACAATGACCCAAAACTTCAAAAGTGGAAGGAGCGCCATAGTGAGATCCAAGATAGATTGACAGAAAAGGCACAGGGGGTGTAAGTTACGACAGGTAGAGAGCTAATAAAGGCTTTGGCTAACATATTAACAGATTCAGATATATAGAGTGTCAATTCCTGGCGCTCAAACGGGCTCGAAATCGGAATCAGCTTGACGAATGCTTAACCTCTCTGCCCCGTGATCTAGACGGAACATATCAGCGAATTCTATGTAGCATTGACGAAGAGCATATCGAAGACGTGCGGCGATTTCTAACCGTTCTTTGTGTTTCCAATCGACCACTCACTATCAAGGAGTTGATCCATGCGCATGCTGTGGATCTGAGGGAACCACCGCACCTTGACCATGGTCGGATATATGAGGAAGAAGATGATCTTGTCGAAGTCTGTCGTGGTCTAATAGAGCTCTCAACAGTTGAGGACGACACAGGACTAGAAGTCCGAATCGCTCGCATAGCCCACTTCTCCGTGCAGGAGTACCTCGAATCAGAGCGTGTTGTAAGGTCGGAAGCAGCAAAGTTCGCAATTCGAAAAGAACTAGCCAACACAGAGATGGCACAGATTCTCCTAGTGTACCTCTTAGAGCCAATGCTCTCTGACGGAGTATTGGATATGGCGAAGCTTGAAGAGTTTCCATTGGCGCACTTTGCTGCTATGCAATGGTTTCATCATTATGGCAGCCCTTGCCAAGACCTAGTGCTGAGACTCTTTGCGGGAAAGACAGACTCTTTTGTGACATGGGTACGTCTACACGATTTAGATCGTCCATGGAACACATCTGTGGAATTTGAGCGTGCAGTCGAAGATATACCGCTGCCTTTGTACTACACGGCCCTTCTTGGACTACATGATGTCTTAAGTGCCCTTATAGCAAATTTAGGAGATGAAGCTAGCATATCAGATGCTGTTCATGCGACAGGTGGAAAATGGAACAATGCGCTTCTGGCGGCAGCATCTCAAGGACATGAAAAGGTGGTAAAGATTCTGCTCGATCGAGGCGCCGATGTGAATCTTCGAGTGGGAGGAACCAATCCGATTCTGGAAGCATCGTCTAAAGGTCACCAAAGTGTGGTGCAGATGCTGGTCGATCATGGTGTCGACGTCAATTGCCGAGGCGGACGAGATGGCAATGCTCTTCTAATGGCCTCGACTTATGGCTATAAGGAAGTAGTGCAGATCCTCCTTGATAATGGTGCGGACGCCAATGATTCAGGTGAAAGATATTGCCACGCACTTGTAGCGGCCTCCAGCAAAGGCCATGACACGATAATCCAGTGTCTTCTTGATCATGGTGCTGATATAAACGCTAGAGATGGACTGTATGGCAGCAGCTGCGATGCGCTCCAGGCTGCAGTGTTGAAAGATCATAGAAAGGTGGTTCAGGTCCTGCTTGATCGAGGTGCTGACGTGAATCGTCTAATTGGACGAGATGGAAACGCACTCCAGGTTGCGTCCTCTAAAGGTCATGAGGAGTTGGTACGGTTACTACTGGATCACGGTGCTGATGTGAATTCGCAATGCGGACACTTCGGCAATGCACTACAGGCCGCCGTATTTCACGGTCATGAGAAAGTGGTAAATATACTCCTTGACCATGGTGCCGACATACATAGTCTGGGTGGGGCATATACGAATGCGCTTGTGGCAGCAGCATCTTCGGGTCACGAAAAGATACTGCAGATGCTGATAGATCAAGGTGCTGATATACATTTTGAAAGTGAACTTTTTGGCGATTCGCTCCAAGCGGCAGCATATGGAGGCCAAGAGAATATGGTGCAAAGTTTGCTGGATCGAGGTGCCAACGTGAACGCTCAAGGCGGAACATTTGGCAATGCGCTCCAGGCCGCGTCACACAAAGGCTGTACGAAAATAGTGCAGAATTTACTGAGCCATGGTGCTAATCCGAAGGCTCAAGGAGGATCATTTGGTACTGCACTCCAGGCCGCATGCGTTAGAAACAGTGAGGAGATAGTGCGGATCTTGCTTGATCTAGGCGTTGATATAAATGCTTCAAGCCCGAAATTTGGGTCCGCGCTCGAAGTTGCATCATCTGAAGGCCATGAAGGCTTAGTACAGATGCTGCTTGATGAAGGTGCCGACGTGAACGCGCAAGGTGGAGTATACGGCAATGCTCTTCAGTTCGCATCAGCCTATGGACACGAGAAGGTGGTACATATCCTTCTAAATCGAGGTGCTGACGTCAACGCCCAAGGTGGACGATATGGAACCGCGCTTTTGGCAGCCTTAGCTAAAGATCAGGGTAGAGTGGTGGAGATTCTGCTCGATCGGGGTGCTGATATTAAGCCAATCTTATAGGCCGACAAATGCGAGCCAACTATGCGCAGATATACATTTCCTTAAGCTCCATTAAACATAACCACATTAACACACCATGGTCAAATTAGCCAAACAGTAGTAATAACCACTCAAGCAAGCCGCACGAAAGAGACCAGCGTCTTGGTCAAATTGATCGAAGTAAGCTATCGAAGTAAACTCTGTTCCAGTGCACTTGTGGCAGCACCTTTTCATGGTAAATACGGAATTTCCAGATGATTAAAGATTGGCAGAGCCTAGGAGCTCGGTGATCTGGAGCAATGGCAGGATACCTCACCCGTAGACTGAAAGGAGGAGGACGAAAAGGAAAATATGAAATGATGGGGCGGAAGGGGAAGTCGGAACAATATATACCGCCAAGGACAGGAGGCTAAGGACACCCGGCGCTAAACCTAAACCGTGATCTAAGAATCTAGTTCGAATTTTTTTAAACTCCACCACAGCAGTCCGATATGGTGTAGTGGCTAACATCGTCGTCTCTCACACGACAGCCGGGGGTTCGATTCCCCCTATCGGAGTTTCTTTTTGTTTTTGTTCGGACGATGACTGCTCTTTTCTTTACGGAATCACCCTCTGTTGTACAGGCTCTAAATTAATGACTGGACATGATTTGGTGGCTTTCGACCGTTCATCAAGTCAAAATGATCACATATCAACTTGGGGGCTATGGGTCGACATTTTTCAGCTGTAAGACTGGGACGAACATGCTTTTAGAGTATTAATTACCAATGTCTCTTGTGTTCTAAATTCAATGAACCAATGACGGTCAATTCATCCGAACAATCCCAAGAAATTGTTCCTGCGCAGCATCTTTCAAGAAAAAGAATAGTATGATCTAGGTAAAGGCAAGTGTAGATATTTCATAGGCGGATATCTATTCATCGTCATAAATGGCCGAGCCATCATAACAGTAAACGCTCACGGTCTTGTTCTGGATCTCCTCCTTGCTGAAGCTGCAAACGCCGGGATCCTCCATTCCAATGTAAAGTGCATCCTTCGCCTGGCATGTTTTGTCGCTAGAAAGCATCATTAGTATCGTGTCCGCTTCTTATGAGGGGATCAATTGCAACTCACGTGTAGAAGTCGCAGACAACGTCAACTGGAAGTTTGGCTCCGTTGATGTTTTTTTGCCTAGTGGTCATGAGCTTCATTTCTAATCCGGCATCTTGGGGCTGTGCTTACAATTCCTTGGGGAGCAGAGTGCAGGTTCCATTTGCTGGGATCTCAATCGTTTTCCCAGCGCATGGTTCCTTAGAATAGAGAATGGCTGGAGGCTGTGATAATATTTCTTCCTTGAGCTTTCGATCTACCAAGAACACAATTGAAAGAGAATACATACCTTGGGTGTTGCTGTCGTTGCTGGTGTTGCTGCAGAAACTGCACAGGAGAAAAGCGTGAGAGCCAGGAGCTTGTAAGACATCATCTTGAAATATAGGTATAATAAAAATGAGGATACAGCTCAAAGAGGTTGGAACAAGAAAGGTAATGTAGGGAAGGTAAGAGAATTTAAAGTATATTGACGACCTCGAGGATAGATTCTTAAATAATGGACCCGGAATGATGATGGCTGGCTACGGATGATCATCGGTTATACAGAAACAAGGTCGTATGCAAGGGGTGCATATATTGGCTTTATACAGGACATCCTATTGGGGGAAGTTGAAGGTACACGGATGTTAAAATGGAGAAAGTTACACCGAGAGAACTAGGAATGACATAGATAATGCAGACACTGGGCCATCGTTGAGGTCGTCAAAAGACCAGCCCACGTAATTTGTAGGGAATACTAGGTACCTTACATTTGTGTTGAAATGAAGATTTTTTTCCAGCCCTCAAAGCCTTGGATACGAGACCCTGGTTTATCTAACATTCAATGAGGTTATCTCTAAGGTTAACTAGAACAAAACCTTGTTGTACTCTAAAGAGACCCCGGAGTTTATTGGTATTCCTCTCGGAAAACCATAATCCTCTCACTCTCTTTTCCATTGCTATCCTCTTCAATCCATGCACGCCACATTCCCCCAGAATTGAAGTCAAAAACGACCTTGCCCCGGCGCAATTGTCCACCAGCAGCCGGTGTGGAATCGGCTTCAATGCCGATAATGCCACCCTCGCCCTCGCCAGTAATGTTCCATCGCTGTCCAGCAGAACGTTGTAGCTCACCACCAGGGCCAGCTACCGCAGTAACAGCATCAGCCAGAGTAAGACCGGGGGCAGAAAAACGCAGCATTGCAGCTACGGTATGCGCAGCCGCAACACGAAGGAATGAATCACCATTTCCCGTTCCTGACACTGCCATAGCACGTTTCTTGGAAGTATGAGCAGATGGACCCTCGTAACATACGGCGCGCTTTTCGGAGCCAGGGTCTGCCCGGTCTATCTGCGAGCCAGTTGGAAGAGACTTATAGGATAAAGCACGGGAATCCCTCAGGAAGGGAGGCAAACAGTCCGCCAGCCAGCCTTTTGCTTCCTGTAAGTAACCTCCAAATGACAGGGAAGAAGATGCTGCCGCAGCTAGTTTATTCTCCGACACAATTTCATCCCATGACTCGGCCCAAAAGCCAGCACCAAGAGTCGGAGTATCTCCAATTCGACCGGGTAATTTATTCGTCATCCCACCAGTGCTGGTAGCAACGGCCAAATTCCCCCACCGATCTAAACAAACACAGCCGACAGTGCCCTGGCTAAGTGAGAGGGGCTCCGCCTCTCCCTTCAACCCCCGCTGATGCTCGTCCCAGCGACGCTTTGTCCAAAACCATTCGTTGGACTTGAACTCTAGTCCCCATTCGCGGGCCAATTTCTCTACCTGGGGACCGTGTAGTTGAGAGTGCAAAGAGCCGCCATCATTGCTCCTTTTGCCATCCACATGGTACCCAGTGCGTAGGAGAGACTCGCGCGCAAGACGAATAGGGTGTCGGACATTCTTCACGCCCATTACGCCCGCGCCGCGCTTTATTGTGCCTTCAAGATTGGCGGTCAAACTCTGTACTGATGTCACCATCACGGAGGCCTCCATCTCGATTGTCCCCGCTGTAGTGAAAACGCTGCCCCGTCCGCAATTGAAGAGCTCATCATCTTCCATTAGGGATACGGCATGTACCGCGGCATCGAGAGCCGAGGCACCGTTGGTGAGGAGTGCATGGGTGGAGCGGAGATAAGACTGTAGCGAGGCGTGATAGGCGGCGTAGAGTTCCGGTGGAAGGGTGGCGCGTATAAGATTTCCTGCACCTCCGTGTAGGATCAATGCAGGTTTGAAAGTTGCTGATGTTTTAGACATTGCCGCAACTGGGAGGTGAATGTGCTTGCAGGATGTGGTGTTCGTGAGGGGAAAGGAGTCGGTGCAGATAAAGCGGAGTAACGGAGATGCGCGGCTAGAAGTCCGCTTGAACCTGCATGATAAAGATAAGAATCCCTGCAAACAGAATGTCCTTTCACCGTCATATAATATCAAGATCATCGAAGCCGGAATCAATATATGCAGAGTAAATGTGTATTATGCTGTTAGCGATGCGTTAATGTACAAGAATCCACCACGGACCCATCTCCAAACCGCTTTTTTCATCAGAGTAGAGAAATTCTTTTGGGTGGGCCACCCGGCCACGAAACGAACACATGCGCCGGTCTTAGGAACCAGCCATGTTGATAAACCCGCCGTCCACAGAAACACATTGCTCGGAAACACAAGCCGAGAAGGCGGTATAAAAAGCGTAAAGGAAAACGAAAACAGGAACTCTATGCCATGTCGTTTTAAAATGATGAGCAGAACCGAACACCTGAGAAGAGAGACTCAATGTGGGGATGTTATGAAGACAGATATCGAAGAGAAGTAAGGGCCGTCGGCCAAGAGTATGAATCGATCGTATTGATGACAAGGGGGGTTTAAGCAAGAGCCTTCTGCTCAGAGGGAGGAGGAGGAGGGAGCTAAATTCAAATCCATGTTAGTGAGAAGTTCATAGGCCAAAGTCAATCACATTTCTTCGCAGGAAGCTAAGCATACCTCGAGCTTTGTGTTGTCGGCCATCATTCGCTGGAAACCAATACCGACACCCTCGATAACGGCAAGGAAGACAGCACACATGATGGCGGAATTACGGGCGGCCTTAACACCACCACGGACGGCAAGGGCACCACCGGTAAAGAAACCGGCGGTAATGGCGTTCCAAGGATCTTCCTAGAATTTCCCCAATTGTCAATGACATGTTTTCTCGGTATAATGAGCTTCGTCGATAGACATACCTTCTTTCGAATACCCTTAATGGCGCAGTCGAATGTTGAGAACAAGCCACCCTAAAGATGTGTCAGTACAAGTTCGCACTCCTGAACATTTGTGACGCAATCATACCCAAACACCGAAGTTTCCACCAAGCACAGGCGCACGAGCCTTGATGGCAGTGAGTGCACCTATCCGGCGCTCACCATAGGGGCTGTTGCGGAAACCCTTAACACCGTGCCAGACAGCACCACCGATGGCCTGGAAGCATCAATCAGTATCCGATCTCATCGCGACTGACGCTACGCGTCGACCAAAACATACACCCATGCAGAAAGCACCACCAAAATCGCTCAAGGCGACCCAGGGGCAAGGATCCCGAGTGTGATCCATTATGTGTTAATGTGAGGAAAGGTCGTGTGATAAGGGGATGACGAGTCGGAAGGCCGGGATAGTGACGCGATCACTCGGGAACGGTAGACGGCGTCTCGAAGGTGACGGGAGTAGACGAGATCGTTAATGTGAATTGAAAGGCCGAAAGATCGACAAGTGGATGGCAGTCCGGGCCAAGTAATGGAAGGTAGGCTGAACCAGCAACAAGTGGATGAGATAAGGTCGGGGCTGCGGGTCGACGACTTTTTCTTCGATTTTGCGGACCGGGGTACACGTGACTACACGTGACAGTCTACCCGGTTGCCACCGAATTCACTAACTTTTCCCTTGAATTGTGATTCGGGTGCTTCAGGAAGAAGCCATGGTTGCTCTACAAACTGCTCCGTCCGGGGTCAAAGGGTAAAACTCGGGCCTATACGATCGTGCATGACATCTCGGTGGCAGTGCGACCGAGGACCATGTTTCGTATTTTCCCGGTTTTGCCCACTCGGATCGGATATGCGGCTCTCCATGTATATACATGTCTAAGAGATCTAAGAGACTGCACCGCAACGTTAGGTGATAATACATGGGGCATCGACAATAGCTATTTTCGATGCCGTTTAACATACCTCCTGGTATCTTGGTGATTAGAAACACACTCACTGTACAATATGTCCACTTGGGACTCGTAGATCAGCTTCTTTCTAATATCTACAGAGTATCTACCCCACATCAACTCCTACATTCTGTTCGGAGGATTTTGTCCAAGGCTCACAAGTCCTTTATCCAATTTCAACCATCAAATATCTCCACAATACCGGCTATTACCGCCTTTTTACTTCTTCTCTTAGTCTTCGGTGGCATCGCTCCTTCTATATTCTTATTCTCATTGTCGATGTGTTTTTATGACCTTGTTTCTAACCTGTCTAAATCCATATCTAATCTCGACCATTGTTTAAGTACAAAGAGGCAAGCTCATTGCCCGAGCACCGGAACTTTGGCGAAGAGACCCTGTCATAAAAACCCAGAAACTCAAAGAGACTTGTATACGAAGAATACTGAACAAAGCCCCCGAATCATAAGCGCATTGATAGTAATTGGTCATTGAGTGCAACATGCGATGGATCTTGAATGCTTCGCTTGACTCAACAAACAAGGTACATCCGCCGTCGCTTTTCTCCTCACTGTTGGAAATTTCAACAACACTGGACTCTCGAGCATCGGATAAACTAACCAAAAAAGGCTATATTGTGGCTCCACCTATCTGTTGGGCCAGGAATATACATAGACGGCACTGAGAACGGAAACTTTCCGCTAACAATAAACTGCACTCAGAGCTTGGGTCTTTCCCTGTCGATTGAACACTTCATTCTTTTGTGCTCTTTTCTTTCCTCCAACCAAAACAAAACGGTCATACAAGATTATTGAGCCACCTGTCTGAAGTATACTTTGTAGCTTCTTTTTTTAAGCAATGTGATGCGCTTATTCAATTCCAGGTCCGAGTGCCGATCGCGCATTGCGGATGTTGTCTCCCAATGCAGCATATACCGTTCAATGAGGAGATTTGACTGCCAGTCTGTAGACTTCAAGGTCCCCCCGGCAAGACTCGACCAAGTTAAATCGCTACCTGTATCTTTCTCTTGGCATCTCATTCCAGCAAGGTAGTGGGAAACATCCCGGAGAATCAAAGATCCACATCATTGGGTTCTTGCCCCAGTCTTCACATTGATATTTGCACCTATGACACAGGAAGTATTAGTGATTCTAGTCGGGAAATCTTCGTGGAAGTTATTTCCATTAGATCCTCTAGATTAATGCTACTCGTGAAGAGCAGCCTAAACGATTGTTTTCGGGCTTTGAAATCGAGCTTCGTCTCCAATGGAAGGCTACAAATATGATAAAAGAGCCTAACAGTCTAAGAGATTGATCACAGAATAACAGGTCGTTCGGACCTTTTATCACCTTACGTTGGCGCACTCTTTCGTCTCCTTGTGTATTTTATAGAGCCCTCGTGAGTTAAGGTTCTGTGAACAAGGATGGCTCGTAATTCTTGATAACGCGAAGAATACTTCCTGACATCTGGTATGAAGGATTGGTGGCCGCGTAGTCAAGAAAGGGCGATATTGATAGCAGCAAGCACACGTCGTAGTACTGCGGGTTTACAAACTTTTGCATGTTCAGTCCAGTATACTTGAGATAATAGGAAAAAGCTTTTCTTTACATACAGTGCAACGGCCAATAGCCTCCAACATAGCCGGCTCGCACAGCACATCATCTTTAACCCCGCACTAGAGATTTAGACCACCTCTCACTTCATACACCTCGATTCACGTACACGCCTGCGGCTTTCAAAATGACGAAAGTAACACATACTGCTATTCAACAACATGGTGATAACTCTTCGGTCCCATTAGAAATTTTTGGAGAGGGCGAAGCTGTCTTAAAGATTGGGTATGTCAGACCTTCTCAAAGGATATGTGGATATTGCCCTCACGTATGAGCGTGAGCAGGAGGAGATTGCAGTCTCCGAAGGCTGGGCTGAAAATGCCGGATGTATATTCCATGACCACTTCACACTAGTTGGTCCAGAGCATGACCCAGCCAGTGTCAGCCAAGCAAAGTGCATTGAGGAAGCATTCGATCGAGTCGCCTCGAGTCAATCACTTTTTTACAACAGAAACGATGGATCAGCAACTATGTGCAAAGAACGAGAAATCTGGCGCCGATGCCATCGTTGTCCATGGGAGGAAAGTCTGATTCTTCGAAATGGTATATCAAAACTACCTATAACCCGGCAGATGCAGTGTCTTTTGCGACTGCCACCGGGGCGTATCTACTGACGGACCGCTCGACTCTCCTGAAACAGGTCAGTCGGCGTACTGTGGCTAATTGGGCCATTTTCTTTGAGCCTACGGATCCTTTTCATCCACTCATGAATTCATGTTACGCCCTTCATATGCCACTGGGTAAATCTAGCACCAGCAGAGAGATAACCAAATTCCTCGAATATTTGAAGTCTGATAGAGGCCAGGAAGTCATTGCAACTTATGGAGTGGATAAGGTAGGGATTCCATTTTTTGCGTCTGTTGATCAGGGAGTCGCGACGACCCCGCTGGTTGGTCTGCGTCGACGTATCGGGAACCTTTGAAGATATATAATGACTGTGGACTGGGTTAAGCGATGGATCACGACTAGGTACCCTTTCAAATTAAGTATTTATATGCTCGCTAGTGCCTGAGCATATATAACGATCCATACTTGCCGTACATATAGGTGCGCTTGACCATGAGATTACTCTCTTAGACTTGCATTGTGGCGTGATCAGTTTTCAAATTGACCAATGGATGTTTTTGAAATTCTCCGGTTTATCCACGTCGATTTGAAAAGTCATTTATGTAGACATGATTTTAACCTTAATTCCATGTGAGGGGTGATAGCTCAGTTGGGAGAGCGCACGACTGAAGTTCACTACAGTCCGACATTGTCATCGTGAGGTCGCCGGTTCAATCCCGGCTCGCCCCATTCTCATTCTTTTTTATCTATTTTTGTGACCCACACGCTAACTATCATCCTCATAAATCCCCGTAGAGTTTCTGTAATTGGGGTAAGTCCTACCTACCATACATTAGGGTAACCGAAACCAATCAATATTAATAAACAGTGCAAAGCCATTAAGTATCAAAGTCTCATACTATGGTGATTAAAGCGCAGACTGAAGTTTTTTTTTTTTTTTTTTTTTTTTTTTTTTTAAAGTCCTGCCTGCTGAAGGAAGCTTCGGGATCGACCAAATTATCACCTAACTAGACTTTCACCTTTTTTTTAAGATTGACAAACCCCTTTAAGTTCTCTCATCTAAAGGGGTGATAGCTCAGTTGGGAGAGCGCACGACTGAAGTCCACTACAGTCTGACAATTGTCATCGTGAGGTCGCCGGTTCAATCCCGGCTCGCCCCATTATATGCCTTCTTTTTTTGTCTTCTTCTAAATATCAATTATTATTATGGCCACGCAAATGTCCACAAACTGACCTTTAGACGTGACTAAGTTTTGCAGACTTGAAAATTTCGAAAGCCTATTATTTAGAGAAATGTTGGCCATGTAATCGTAAATTGGGGTGATAGCTCAGTTGGGAGAGCGCACGACTGAAGTTCACTACAGTCCGACATTGTCATCGTGAGGTCGCCGGTTCAATCCCGGCTCGCCCCATCTTCTATTTCTTTTTTTTTTTTGGGTTCCAAACTTTCACGATTCTCTATCTACCATGCTCCATTATTTCCCCCACCATCTCCCTCCCTATTTTTACCTGATAGTTATCTGATTGTTTTGCCCTATGTGTATCTTTTTTGTAAAGTATCTTCTTATCTTTAAGCATTATTCGATTGCTGATAGCTATCTAACTGAAGTCGTTGATTTAGGATCTAGGGCTGTTTAACGAGATAACAATGGACGATAACGTCTCACTTCGGTTGAAGTTTTGTGGTAAGGGTATTGGTCAGTGGCTATTAAATACATGTGTTTTCATTTTGTAATAGATTTGTAGGTTATGGATGCTTCGGCTTCCCAGTTGCTTTTGAGGAGAGTGTTGATTTGGAGTGCTTCGTGGTATCGGACATGGGTGGTTATAATTTGAATATCGAGCTATGACCTATTTCTCAGAATCGATCGGTCATTGGTTGTAAAACCATTGTCCGACCAACCTAGGCAAACTAGAATACCCGTATCTCGAAAACCGTGTTGACTTATACGTTGTTTGAAGGCGAATCAATTGGAAATTACTAGGTAGACAACTAATTAATTATTATCTCCATTGTTCATAACAAGCTCCTCACTGTCGGTCATATAATACTCTCTACATCAAAAAGGAATGAACCGTGATCTCCTATAAAGTTCGAGTAAATCGTTCATGGAATAGGAATCATGGCCAACTAAGAGGGCTTAGGGGAATCCCGAAGCTTAAATATTCAGGAGATACTCAGGATTTAATATGATAATAGTAAAGTCGCGGTTTTCCCCGTCGCCTCATTGTATCTTTTTTTTTTGAGAGAGGATCCTGGCCCTTGGCCATCCATCCTTTTCTTCAAGGTATTTGGTTCCTGCAAATTCTCTTCTTGCTAAGAAATCACCTGGTGCATGATATACTAAGTAGTACCGATGCTAATATCTCATTTAGGCTGCCATTACCGTCTGATAGAGCGTTGAAGCCAAGAGCAACTCTGCCGGTCTAGATGAGAATGCGGAAGAAGCAAAGAAAAGCGAGCAAAAAAAGACAAGAAAGGTAGTCACATATGCGCGACCAGAACCAAGAACAAAAGAGAGGCAAAGAACCTAGAAGAATGCGGAGACCGACCTGTCGAGTGACGAGCTTTTTGGACTCCTGGGCGGGCGATCTTGCTCCTAACAATGCAAAAGCAATTGGAAAGCTATATGTCACTTAGAGCTAGACATTGTCAGAACTTTCAATCAAGTAATCACCAGGAGTGCTTTTACGTCTTGGCCATCGCTTTAGTTTTCCAAACCAGCGAAGATGATACATGGAGGCAGCCGGGTTCGGAGATAGCCTTAATCAAAAGCATAATTATGTTTACACGTTACACTTCATTTCATCTCTTACTCTGATCTCTACTCCATTCACCATCTTTGGTGTTCTTTGTGGCATTGAAGCTCTCTAATTGAACACCACGAAATTATCTAAACATCCTCACTAGCCGCATTCAAAAGAGCGCAGTAATTGTAATTCAAAAACCATATATCTCAAGTATTAAGCAAATACATGTCACCTTGACTATAATCAAAGTAGAAATGTGATACATGACGCTTCTTTTAAGCCGAGATCAAGATCAGAAAAGGCGCTAGCTCAGTGGGTAATACTCTTAAACCGCCTTCGCATTCCAGGGTAGCCTCATGTAAGTCGGTAACTAGGTATATGCTCTATAATATTACTACTCAGAGCCATGACCCTGTCCTACCCCAGATATGATAAGTGAGGCATTCAACTAATAATTATGGTGTTCAAATATAATGCTCTGTGGTATTGGCCCTCTCCGGTGTGGTTCGAAGTTCGGGTGCGTGCACGAATTTAAGGTTTTTTGACAATTTGACAAAGGCTTTGAAAATTCGCACTCGCTTAGATTTGCAAATCTCAGACTTCTCTTCATATCAAGGGGTGATAGCTCAGTTGGGAGAGCGCACGACTGAAGTTCACTACAGTCCGACATTGTCATCGTGAGGTCGCCGGTTCAATCCCGGCTCGCCCCATTGAAATCTTCTTTTTTGCCCGTCGACTAAAAGGTAGTAAGTAACATAAATACACCTAGGTCTGCATTCTAAGTCTCGTTGCCTTGAGCCTCGTTAGACAACCCTTATCATAAAAATGCGCGGATAACAACTACACTGATTAATTATCACTGCAGATTTCTCACCTATGCCTTTGTTTCCCCATACTTTAGAATCGGTTTGATTTCCATCTATCTACCTTACACACTCTCTCATAACCCGTAGATATGATAAACCTCCCTTCGAACCAATTAATGACGATTTGATATTTCCTCCAACGTAGAAAAGAATCATGTTTACAATACACATACTCTGTCTCACCCTGATGCGTGCTGGATCTTCAAAAAGCGTCACACCCTTCTTCTGGGAACCTTTATCCAATCATTCAATTGAGGTCAAACTGGCAAATATGAAGGCGGTACTTCTTGCCAGTGCCGACGCAATTGAAAGGAACCAATAATCCGACCATTGTCGCAGCTACAGCCGCCCGCTCCATATGTTCACAGTAACGGACCAGGAGATTTCCCAAATGAATTGTCCCACTCATTAGCATACTGCTTGAACATGGCGTGATCCCCATCTGTCTGGCCCAAAGACACAGGCTGGGGTTTCGCTAGGAACTCTATTTTACTACATGGGGCAAATAGCCACTTTACCTAACTAGGGCTTTGAGAAATTATTTGAATGCAGCTTCTATCAATAGGCCTATTGGATCATGAAAGAGGCTGTCGACGACTCAAATGGCAAGTAGGTGATTAGTGGAGTCATTTTTATATAGACAACTCTTTGCTTATTTCTGCTGAAGGTCGTGATACGGCAAAGAATAGAAGAGAGTTCATGGAGTGGGTGCTTGGCTTACTCAAATTCAAGCAACATGTTCACACCTATAAATGTTCTGATTAGGACACAGAATTTATACAAATCTGCATTACGGAAGATGCGAGTGACATCTTTCAGGTAATATTGGTCATTGGGCCTTGTGGAATTTATAGATACTAGCTGTAGATCTGATAATAAAGATAGCGACCAAATTTTACCCCAGCAAATGAACGACTTTCCCTCTCGCGCGCTTGAGGTATCTAGACATGTAAGGTCCATGGGAAACATCAAGTTACTGATGATCATAGATGGTAAGGAAAAGACTTCACAGTCTGAGCAAGGCTCCGCGACAGGACGGAGCAATAGATATCCGCCACAACCGTGTCTCATTCAAAGCCAAAATCTTACCAGGCTTTTCGAAGCAGAAATTGGCAACGCCTCCAGGAATAAGCATCTTGCCCAGAAGAACACCACCTGGAGACCAGACATGAATACCATCACCGCAGCCACTATACACATTACCCTCAAGATCACATTTGATCCCATCCGGAATGCCGTTATCTGCCATAGCAAAGACACGCCGATTTGTGAGAAATGGCTGTCCATAATGGTAGACAACATCAAAGGCATAACTGTTAACATATTAGTTGCATCGGAATCTGTTATAGAAAACTTGGAAAAAGGAAAAAGAAAAGCAAGACGCGACAATGCACGAGGAGGAACTAACATAGTAGCCGCACGACTCCAATCAACACTTCCATCTCCCTGAACGGCATCCGTATCGGTAACATAAACAACCTTTTCGTCAGGCGAGAAAGAAATCCCATTAGGCCTCCCAAATCCATCTGCCACGACTCGTACAGACTTGGTCATCGGATCATATCGATAAACCTGCACCGGTAAGTCGGGAGTCGGACGATACCCCTGTTTGAATCCATAGATAGGATCGGTAAACCAAATTGATCCATCACTATGGATAACCACATCGTTGATAGAATTGAACTGCCGACCGTAGAAGCTGTCTAAAATGGTTGTGCATTGATATGGTGCTTCTGTTGCCATGTGAATCAGGCTAGAGGGTCGATCGAATGTTCCTTGGCTGCAAAATAGGACGCCGTTTTGATAGTTTACACCGCCGTTTGCCATGGGAATGTCTGGGTGGATTTCTTCTTGGACACATGTTGTGTTGTCGTTCAATTGGATTTTCGAGATTTGGACTCGTTGGCTGCCGTCATGTGCGTGGATGCGATTGCTGGTTATGAAAAGCTGATCTTTAGAGGCGATGTACACCCCCGCTTCGTGGGCGAAGGGGTACACGTTGTTTTCGATGTAGGATTTGATTTCTGGGGTTGGCCCTGTTATCTGCTCAAAGGCGGGATGGAGGTGTAGGAAGCTCATAGCGGGGCGGTCAATTTCAGAAAGCTTTGCTGTACTTGGTGATGTGTAGAAAGAACAATTCTTTAGTTTTTGGTGACTGCAGTTTCAATCTTCATCTCGGAGGTGCTCCGATTATGGCGGGGTCTCTACTGGAGTGGGACGGCTATCGCAGATCGGGAGGAATACCGAGAATGCCCAGCAAGGAAAATCAGCTAAGTAGTTCAGATTGGATTTTCGGTAACTGATAAAATGTGCTACTTTCCTACTTCTTCTTGGAGCTCGATCCACCAGGAGCAGCAGACCCTATGCGCTTGAATTTACGGGGGTCTGCTTCTTTGTCAGTACCGAACAAGAGCGATGTTGGAGGGAAGCAACATACCTTTCCGGCTCATCAAAGCTCGATTTCTGGTACCCTTTCCTCCTTCCCAGAATCCACTGCCAGCTTTACCGACAAGTACTGCTTTGCAAGTCCCGCAGTTTTCTGGTCTGAAGTGCTGCTCTCGCGAACAGAAGCCACTGGGTTGTATTAGCATCAAGTTAAATGATTGAGATTGAGAGCGTTCATACCAGATCATGCGATTGGCGTGCTCATTTGGATGATCTGTTTCTGCGTCATGGCATCTAGTTCGATTAGTTCGTTTCCCAGCTAACATGATCAATACCAGACATACTTATCACATGGGAACACCTTTGCACAACAACTGAATCTGCTTTGTGTAAGAATTGACTGCCATGGTTCGAGATTATAGCAACTTACCTGAACCAGCGGAAACTCTTCGAGTAATGTTGACAACGGCCACGCCGGGGAAGCTCCTGACCAGCAACGATCCCAAGAACCTCTCTAGGCTGTAAAGTCTTTAGTATGAGCTCATAATTTTTCACTATGCACTCTTACCTTCTTTCTCAAAGAAAGACCTGAGCGTGAGGAGACTAAGAAAATGTGAGCTACTTGGACTGCATGAAAGGTAGCTTCAAAAAGCTTACTTGCAGCAGTTCCCACGACCAAGAATTTGACTTCAGGAACCTTGAAAACTGTAATTTGTCAGATTGAAACGAGAAACCAAGGCACCAAGAGACGATAAGACCATACCCATTTTTTTGTGACAATGACGGCATATAGCCATTGCGCTCTCTCCGCGGACTGCAGATACCCCAGGCGCATGGTATGGAGTTGAGCATTCAGAGCAAGTCGGGATGAAGTTGCTACACTCGAGATCAGCTACTGCTAAATGTGACGAGTGTGCTTTGAATGCCCAAGTAAGTCAATTACTAACCTTGGAAGAAGATCCACAATGGTACAGCCATCCAAGTCCAGATACCCAGCACGATTGGCATGAGAATGCATCAATTGCTTACGGAAACCTAATAAAATGTATAAGTTCGAATACACCAATAGCAATTAGTTTCGATGTCGACTTACCAATACTCATAGAGTTGGCGCACTTCTTGCATGACTCAATTTTCGGCGTATTCTTGGGATCTGTGATATTAGGGACATTCTTGATATCCATAGACTCCTTGCATCTGTCACACTTGATTGTGATAGCAAGATACATGAGCTCCAAGAGTTCAATTCCATAGAGCTCGAGGAAAGGGAATGAGAGCGCAACACCGCGACCAGGCGTATCCACAGCTGCTGGAACAGGGGCGCCTCCGTCACTTGTATCATCCTCATCTTCTCCAGAACCTTCATCGAAGCTTGAATCATCGGTCGCCTCGCTGTCACTGTTGCGTTCCGGTACAGACCACTCAAGTGGACGTGGAATGATGTGCAAATGCGGTCGATCTGGGTCTTCCACTCCTTGAGTAGGATTTGAATGTTTATGCTCGGGAGACGCTTTTTCGATGACCGCTTGAGTATGCTCATGCTGAGAGTACTCAGCAACTTCAGGTAGAGCTGTTTTGGCAAAATTGTGCATGTTACTTGCCAAGTAGTTGATCTGAGAGACCAGATTCAACTGGGGATTCTTTGTCACCCATTGTGCGAATCCAACCTCCACGGATCTTGCCTCTGGGCTTTCAACACCCTGAATCTCAATTGAGGAGCTTTCAAGTGGATACAACTGAGGGACCAGAAGCTTCACTGTTTTAACTGTTTGAAGCTGTCCTGGAAGACGGTCTTTCTTATTCGGTTGAATCGGAATCACGAAAGAATTCTCCGATCGCTTTTGGAACAAGGGAAGCCTCCCCAGACGTGCTTCGAGCTGTTTCGCTTCCGTTGATCTCCGCTTTTCAGCTTGAGCTCTTTCCTCGGTGGTGTGCGTTTTTCTTGTAACTGGTGTCTGTAGTTGCGTTGCAGGCTTGGTGGCATTCACAGGTACTGGCTTTGGCAACACAGGCAGTTCCACTTGACGTTGAGGTACTGCATTATTTGGGGCAGGCCCTGGAGTAGCCGTACGGTCGCCGACATTGGCCACAAACGTGAGCTTAGGCCCCCTTTCAAGAGTGGTAAGAAGCCTTTCTAGTTGCCTATCAAGACTATTCAGCCAATTGAGAAGCACTCCTCGACCATTTGTGCGCAATGTAAAGTCAACGATGTCATCGAAACCTCTCGCAACATTGGCTTGATATGCAGTTTCCATTTCAGGGTTAGTTACAGTGATTGTAGGCCGTCCTGTACCAGGATATGACTTTGGGACACGCAACACGCATTGCAGCTTGTCCAACTCAAATGGGAAATCGGGATCAGAGGGAGCCAATCCAAATTCCAAAATCGATCCATCGCTATTCGTCGTTTCCTTTGGCTGGAATCGTCGTCTCAATTGGTTTAGCTGAAACTCTCTCGGGTCTTTTTGCTCCGCTTTCGATATTGGCCTTTGAGGCTGAGCGACATGTGAAACTGATGTGGTTGTGACTGGTTTTGACTGCCCACCAGGGATAGCCGTATGATGGGTTCCAGTGCCGGCCTGATGGTCTAGATTTTGATCAATATTGACGGGAGCAGGCAACCCGGACTGCTGATCAGCCGAAGTCACACCCTGCTTATTGGTGGGACTAGCGTGGATATACGGGCATTCCGCCCCAGCGCGACAACCTAGACCGAGGTCAGCATTGAGGTTTGACAGCCGAAGTATTTTTTTTGATTCAATTTCCAATCGCGCAAAAACGCAGATAGGAATATGACAAACAAGACCAGCAAAGATAATCGCATTTTTACTCAAATATTGAGCCATAGACTGCCACAATATCTCAGTCGGTCAAAGCCCAGCATTCTTCAAGTTAGTACTTGCATACAGTTGAGAGAAACTGTATCCAAAACACTATGCAATACAGAAGATAGGGAAAAACGGAAATGGCTAAACCCAAAAGACAGGAAATTAAGACGATTGAGTGTACGTACCCTTCTTGGACGCAAAATAACGACATTTGCCAGTTTTTTTGGTTGATGATTGGCGAGCAGCCTTCGACTCCCGCGTGGATGTAACGCCATGCGACGAAGTTGGGATTGACAACTCATCACTTGTCAAGGGTAGCTGTTCCGTCTCTGTAAAAAGGCCATGAGCGTGTGATCAAAAAGGTTGCGGGTCGCCGTTAAGGCCACACCCGTGAAGCGAAGGCAACAGGGCAATCCATGGGCGGCCATGGTGGCTCAACGTGCGTGGAGGTGAGTCTGCATGGACCTGCTGTGCCACACAGGGGAGGGGCTTGCAGGAAGATAAAAACACGAAAGCAGGTCGGGCTCGTGAAGGAGGTCTCAAAGGGGGGTCAAGCCACCAACGACACCATGTGTATCAGGCCCAATAAAAACAGGACGGGACTTACGATGGACCTGGGGCTCCGGACCCGCCGCGTTGTCAGTTGACCCGTTCTCCATATCGATGGGTCTAGGTTAAGTGGACGTGAAATAATGGGTACGAAAGCCCTAGACAGGTTGAGGCGAGGTGACGTTTGAAATGCCAACGCAGAGATCGGGTGACCTTGCTCGGGATCGACAGGACCAGATCTGCAGCGCACAACAGGTAAGCCGCGGTGCGCGAGCAAGAAATGCCAGGGCACAATAGAATACAGTAGTGTGTTGCGATTAAGAACCGGGATTGGCGGAGGAGCGTGCTCTAAAAAAAGCAGGATTAATGCTGATAGAGTGAAGATATAGTGTTTACCGAAGCTGGTGGTGCCAAGACCTTTTGCTGAGTTTGTTCTCGACGTGGGGTAGCCATGGTATATCCACTATGATTCAATCTGACTCACCACTTCCCATGGAAGACTCATGAAGATAGCAGAATGTGACTCAGATGAAGCGTAGACGGAGGCAATTTCTCTCGTAGAAGACCAATTACGACTCAAGAATTTAATCTCATATTACAGGACCAGTTAATAATGTCAATTTCAATTGAGAGGCATAAGCCTGCACAATCACATAATCAAAGCCTCAGGCTGTCAATGCTTTATGTACACAAACCACGCAAATAACTTTATTTGTTCTTAATAGTTCTCCGTAATTCTCGCTGCTTCAGTTTTCACCTCGCTTTCCCCACCAGAGCAACATTATTGCTCACATCGTTCTCCAACGGATTACCCGAACAAGAAAAGATCTCGCAACTCCGCGGTTTTTGCGGTCAGGTCGCGCGTTACGCGGAGAAAGATGAGGGGTTCGGCTTCCAGAACTCCGCCCGACTGCACACTAGTGACTAGGGCACGCCTCCAAAGGGTTATGCGTTTAGCCCCGCCTGCACCAAAGTACCTAGAAACCGACAGGATGGTCCCCCGTCGGTTAGAGCAAGGGGCTTACGGGATCAGATGAGGTGAAGATATTCCTTGAATGTACCAAAAAGATAAGTATCCTGCTGATGCAGGGACAGCTAAGTATCTCCCTAAAAGGTTACCTCATGCGTCAGAATGATTAATTATTATCATGAGTGTAAGGTGCAATATCGAGTCGGTAAAAATACACCGGAGTAAAGGACATAATTTGCCACAAGTTATCAGATGACAGATGGGTTAATTAAAATAAATGGATCTCATTATCAGCAATGAATCGGAATGCGATCTGGTCTTTCCGCAGATCAATTCCAGATACAAAGTTTGGACCGCATTGCCGCGCTTAAGGTTAGAACGAAGCCGGCGAACGGGATGTATCAGGACTGCTTGCAGGGAAAGTCATTTTGCGGCACTTCAACCTTAGCCGAGAAAAAATGGGATGGTCACACCCCCTACTCTGCACTGGTCGATACCCTGTCTGGTGGCTTTGATAGACTCCACTAGTTGCATTGGGGTTCCCCGGCCTTAAGGTAGGCTCGGGGACATTTCAACGGTCGGAAAATTATGGCCGATGTATTATTGCTTGAATGAAATGTGCGATCTCTCAAAAGCTCTTTGTTCTCATCAAGGCTAACTTCGCATATTCTTATATCATATAGACTTCCTTGTCATGTACCCCAGGATGCATATCTAACAAGGGCATTAATGCGACCGGAGTGTATGTACAGTTTTACATACCGCTCCACTATGTAATACCGAGAAAAAGCTTACCAATGGTAATTAAATACTGTACTGTAAATTTCCTAAAGCAGACGACATGATCCCAAAGCAGCCTAGCGCCATCTAGGTCATGAAACGCACCAACCGGATCACCCTTCCAGAATCCTTCCAGAACAAGCCCTCGGTGCAACCTTGAAAAACCATGGGATTGTTCATACCACGCTCACAAGAACATCCGCATTCGGATCCGGCAATTAAAACCGGTGACTGCGATTTCGATATATGATTGCGACGTTCTGATCCTGGAAATCCTCTGGACATGGAGTTCCCGTGCGTGTGTGGCTTGCATGGTTCTACGCAGTGATGATTTGTCGGAGGACAGAGCTCCTCAACCCGGTTCACGTGAGGCTCGACCCACGCGAAGGAAGACCAATCACGCCGCACTCAATTGTCGTCTTTTTCCCGCGTGGGTGGAGGTCTTCCGTACTGTATACTCCGTACGACAGAGTTTACAACCAATTCGTTTCCATGGTCTGTGCAATCCTGCTACGGACTAATTGATAGCTTCGGGCATAGGCCGGAGACCCGATGCCCAACGTATCGGCATCCCGAGATCAGGGCAGCAATGGTGATAGGGTTTCAACTAAAGTTAGTCGCCTCCCCCTTTTCGATGTTCTGGCCGGTTGCTCTGTTATTCGCAGTATGCTCGGAGAAACCCAGGAAGAAAAAAGGAATGTCACCGGTGAAACTGGGTACGCGCTGAAGACTGACACGTACAAACACGCGTGTAGTTGAAGGAGTCTCACCGAGAGATGTATAAACCGGTTTACTTTGGGTTATTTTTCTATATGATCCACCTGGAATACTGTCCTCCATCCTTAACAAAGCGCATCATGCATATGTGATCTGAGGTCTCGATCGATTCTGTAGTACATAACACCGCCTATTATAGACGCGTGTCATCAAACCAAGCAGTATTCGGATACGTTTCAAATATTCAAGTGTGATAGCTATGGAAATTCCTGCATGTGTGACCCGTTGGTTGCGATTGGTCGAGTATATGCATTGTGTATAGCTTCAATTTGATATCGGACCGGGGATTGCAAAAATCACCAAGAGGTGCATCATCGGCATGCCGAATCCTATGACGCACACCAAATCGAACTAGCCAACAAAATTGCAGTTTTCATTCTAGTTCCCGAGTCCACTTTTCCATGATGTCGTTGCTTAGCCTGTGAGCCTCACCGTTATGCTCATTTAGATGGTGAACAAACACCAATGCCTAAAGGAGCAATGCCGGCCCCAGATGTCAATGTTACTAGATCATACACATTATGTAAACATAACATTACGAGTGGGACCTCCCAGAAGAAAAAAGACGCGGACATTGTGCGAATCATGCCCAGTACCAAAGTTCTGGTAGACCCACTGTGAATCCACTTAGTTTTGAGCAGGCGAGCTGAGATCGAGGCACAAAACCGTTCCCCGTGCACATTGGGTGGATATTTGGGGATTCAATAGCTTGAATAGGCTTAGAGGTGTGTCAAGGCCTGGAGGTGGCTGGAAATCTTCCCGCACCATTACTTAGACGGTTAGAATTGGCCGGCTCGACGGGATCACCGTATAGCCGTGACTAATTAATCAGATTAATAAGTCGATCATGCACAAATGGCCAAAGAGAAATATCAGCAGCATTCCGAAACACATAACCTCGTGTTTGGTGTCTTCCTCGGTGAAAGAAGACCATGTTTCTTGTCAGTTGTGCCCTGGATCACCATTCCGAATCTAAACACTTGGAGACGATTTGCTGCATTTTTTTTTTATTGAAGACCCACGAATGTCGGGCATGGTCGGAGACTTGTCCAGTCACAGCTCGCAGCCTGGGGAAAGAGGATCCCGCAGGGCTCGAGTCGGGCGTTTTAGGAGAGAAAAGTGTGGGGAGTTTGGGTGGTTCCACTTGGGGGCTCGATTCAACACACGGGTATGCTCAAAGAGGCAAGCACCGGGAGGCTATGGTTACGTCATTTGCAAAGTGTTTTGGCACCGGGGAGGACCGATAAAGTATAGGTACTAGCGCCATGTTGTTCAGAATGTTCAACCAAGGATTAAAAAGCGAGACCGAGGCAAAAAGATACAGCACGTATCAGCGAAAAGCTGAGGCGTCAGGTGGAAATTCCCCCGGGAGTCACGAGGATGCCCGTGATCTCCACAGTTGAGACCACCCGAGGGAAAGATAACATCAAATCCGCTTTATCGTGCGGGAAACCATGCAAGTTCATGTCCATGTATCTTATGAACCAAGAATAGCTTCCGCTATTCCTGCCTTTTTGAGATCGCCAGCGCTTCTAAATTGGGACTTGCCTCATGCAAAACTATGAGTCTATCCGACGAACTTAGAATTGCTACCTGTCCCCCGCATCATAATGAAAACATGCATTGTCATGATGAGGCTACACCGGGATCTCTATGCGCAAAAGTATCTTAAAGTGCATCTAGATATCCGCCGAGTCTAGGCCCTCCTCATCACGGCATCTCCGATCGCCGAACATACTGGTGTGAACCCCAGGTTCCTGTATCCATGCATGTGTAGCTCAATCCGTTGCATAGTACATGTTCTTTCACCGTCCGGGGATTACCAGATCTAGTCAAAAAAAGAATGCCCCCCCCCCTCCATCAAGGACTGAGCGCTTATCTCGTCGAGCCGTATGCCAACCAGCTCCACCACCACTCCTCACTGCCTTCCTTGAGAGCTCTGGCTGCAGGAGCTAATGTAGAACACATGTCATGGTCCCGCATGTGAAGCGAACAGTGCGGTGACAATCAATATACAGAAATGAAGAAAAGGCCCCGGCCTAGAATCTGGCGACTCCGAACTAATTTTTTTCCTGGCTTTGTTTCCCAACTTCCCCGAAACCTCGTACTTTTGCTCTTAAGCCCGTTCGCATCTTACTTCTCACCAAGGAAGATCGGAGCGCTGACATTTAGCTTAGCCCCTTGTTTTGTTTTTCTTTAGACTGAATCCTTTTTTTCGTCCACCTGACACCCCCCTTTTCTTTTCTTTTCCCGTTAGCTTTACGCCGCTTGAAGATCTTCGATTCCTGACCTTTGTGTCGGGTTCCCCAATATCGTAATTTTATACCCACCTAGGCAGGTAGTAATAGGAAATGATTGCGACATTCAACAGTGATCTTCGTTCAGTACCGCCGTTTAACTGTAGATAGCGTCCTTCTTAAATCATAGCCCTACACAGTACGAAGAATAGCATGCACCTTGGTTACTCATGGCATCCCATGGACGCCACATGGAGAAATGAAGCCAACCCCCAAACACTTAATCAAATCACTAGTTTACATGAATTCCGAATCCTTCTACCCAAGCTTCTAGCCAAGAGAACCATCCTCGAGAATGAATCGATCCTTCCTGCGTGTAACCATGAATTCATTATGACTAACTACGTAGTAATCAGTTCCCACCCTCCTTCACTGCTCTTTGACGTGTCAACGCCACCAAGCCTCCTAGAAACGCCCGGACTCCCACATGATTTTTATCTGGCGCCGATAACGCAGGGATGTGGGCTTCGGGGAACTTCCTCCAAATACACTTCTGCAGAGCTGTTAGTCTCCTGGTGTTAGAGCAGTAAATACTTTTGTTTTGGGCATGGACAAGGACATGGACCTCGTCCAGACCGCCAGTTCAAGCGAGCTTGATGCGATGCATGGCGCCAGCCCTCTTCCAAGATTTAAGATGGTTTTTTTTTTCTTGGTCTATACTGTCTACTAATTCTTTTATAGATACGAGATGCATGAAGAGGAAGTTTATTAGAATATTTCACTTGGTTCGTTCATTCCAAGTTTTTGTTTGGCGCTCAATTATTCATGAGTAGCGTACAGGGAACAAGTGGTCCAGGCGTGCTGCACAGGACTCAGAAAACAGAAGAAGCATGGTATCTGGTATCGAGTAAAAAATAAAACCGTTCCCCTAGTACTGAAAGCTAACATGTTTGCCGCAGCCATGATAATATATGAAAGGTCTGCAATGCGCCAATGATAAACCCGTTTTTTTTGTTTTCGAACTTGGTCATGAAGTCTTTCGGGAATCTCGTGGTAGATTAAGGGCAAGCCCGTATTCATAAACCATTGGAAAGCCCAGGAGGAATGACGAGAGATTGAGCTGTACATGAATATTAAAATCGTAATGGGTGATCGTTCCTTGGAGGTGGTCCAGAAAGATCCAGACAGGGACACGCCCAGTGAATGCTTGTATGGTAAAACACACAATAACCCCAAAGCCGATGAATCCCAGATCGGGTAAAACAAATCCATAAATGCGCCTAGATGCAATGCATGTTCATGATCGTACGTGTCGGTGAGAAAAAAAAATGAAAGGAGTCGCTCGCGAACAAGACGGGTATCGAGAGGTATCAAGAATCGGTAGCGTGTCGGTGAGAGTGAGAGAGTTCACAGGTGTATCATTTACCAGCCTTTGACATGGTACTCCCATGGACCGTAGTCGGTGGCATAGTTAGTCCATGAGCCGTTCTTTGAGAAGTCCTTATCCCGAGTCTGGCTGGCGTCACCAGGGGCGGCGGACGGACCTGCGCCCGGAGTTCGGTGAGGTCCCTTCGGCCCAGGGTACTCTTGAAGGTTCTTCACGTCATGAGCAGTGTGTCGTCGCTTCAGGAAGGCGTTGGCAGTAGCACTCTTCTGCTGGCGCTCCCACAAGAGATGTTTGCGAAGGGACTCTGTTAATTCGGTCGCAAGCATGTTGCGACGGGTGGTGCGAGGCGAGTGAGCAACTGACTGCGTGGGTGGAGACTTCATAATGATGGGCTTTGACCGGGGAACGTCGGGACCACGCATGGTCAAGGTTTCATCATCCTTTGCTGGGGGCGAAGCGGGAATGGACGGGCCATTGGGTGATGTCAACCGGGATCGCTGCAGGGCAGGACTGGATCGGAATGCATTCGCTTGTCTCATGTTGGTTGGCTGGTGCATCATCATGGTAAGAAGCGATCGGCGAGAAACGAGATTGGGTCGAGAATCCACACGTTGGAAAAGCTCCGGTCGCTCGTCCACGCTGGATTTCCCGCTTTCTGTAACCGAGTCCTCCCAATCCGAATCTTCGTCGTCTTCGATGGCACTTTCCGAAACCTCATCATCGGTCTCAATCGCATCCTCGTCGAGGTGACTTGGGCTCTTTGGTCGGAAAGCAACTTCATCGCTAAATGATGCAACCTTCTTCGTGGGGCTAGGGTTGGTAGTCGTAGGTCGCAGCAGTCCACCGGTCGCATTCTCTTGGGTTGGCTTGGTAACCATTCGTTCTTCAAAAGAGCTCTCATCATCATCACCAGAAGATCCACCCAATGTAAACATGCCTCCCTTTTTCTTCAGCGCTGACGGTTTGAGTTGAGTGGTGGCACGGGATGGACTGGGATCGACGGCTAATTTAGCCTGCGACCGATAGGAGGAAGAGATCATCGACGGCGAGAAGCCCCGGATGATGCTGGGTGACTTCATCAATTCCGAGGCACTAGGAAGGACACCCGAGGACGAGACGCTCGTATCCGATGCCGTATTTTGAGCTCCATCGCTTTCGTTGCCTTCGGGGGCAGTAGTCGAACAAGACTCGGTAGATTCGTGAGCTTCTTGGAATGGACGGGGAAACACGGGAACTTGTCTAGCGGTAGAGACTGAAGGAGGAGCCGGGGTAGGAGTAGATGGGCGGGGTGTGATGTCAACAACAGGGGCGGCGGGCTCAACAGTGGGTATGGGTTCAAGGTTCTTCTTCTCCTTGATGTTGAGTACCATGCGTTCCAGATCCAGTGATGTGATGTGCTTCTCTTTGCCTCGGCCGAGGCTGGCCAACGAGTCTTCACGAACCACAGCAGGGCGGTAGTCGGAGAACTTGGGGCGTTTGATGTGTGCTTCGATGCGTTCGGCTTGGTCGGACGCGGCCGACTCAACACTGGCGGAGAGCTCCGGGAGATCACCGGACTCAGAACGAAACTTGAGCAGTCCAGATGTACTCTTAGAGCTTTCGGGCTCAACGCAGAAGGTCTCACGAGTCCACAATCGCCAACTTAGGTTCTCGAGCCTGCGGCCCTGGTCCATGTAGTCGGCACATTTAGAAAACACTAGAAGTTACCTGTTAGCCAAACCAAAAACGATCATATTGACCATACGATTCCCTTTAAGACTTACCCATCCACATGCCATGAAGGCTCTGAGCATTTGCGGTATCAACCTTGTGAATATTATCCGCATCCACCGTCAAGACGGGGGTTGTGAGAGGCATTGTAGAGGCGCCCAATGTATTTTGGGAGCGACTTGGATCGAGTTCGAGCAGAAATTGGTGTTCCGGGGTTGCCGTCTTCCCCGAGAGTGGTCGTACGGCGGTTGGAAACGGGTGGTGAGGGTTCTCGAGTATTGTGCGGGTGAGAAATCGGCCTTATAGAATCAAAGTCTGGGCCCAACAAGTCTTTGCAGGGAGTCAATCAATCAATATCTGGGCATAAACGTTGCAATCGATTGCTTCGGTACAGAATAAAGCTGGTCGCGAGGCGGAAGGCAAATATCGAATTTTGGAGTTCAGATTTGATGGTCTCAAATTCCGTCAGGGCGCCACCGATGTTCGGATGCGGAGAATCCTTGGCGGTAGGTAAGTCGGTGCGAAACGCGTTGAAAGAGAGATTGACGCGTTTCCTTTTGAGGATGTTGGTAAGTGAAGTGAAGATGGTGGTGAGTGATTGATATGGGAGAAGAGAGAAAGGGAGGAGAAAAGGGCTGTCGGAACGATAATAAGAATGACGGGGGCGGCAGTGGAGTAAAGTGGAAGAGGGGGAGATTGTAAAATATGGAAAAGAAAAATTCAAAAAAGAAAATTGGAAAATTGGAAAAATCGAAAATCCAAAAAATAAAAATCAAATTAAAAAAAAAGAAAAGTATTTTGGAACGGAAAATGGAAATTTAGGAAATGAAAGAAATCCAAAAAGCGTAATATTACCATAACTTTACGCTGCGAAAACACCCACCTGGCAAACCCTGGACCCGGAGTCGGTGAGCAGAGAAAATTCAGTTGCATCACGGGGCCCCCGAAATACGGTACAGCCATGGTACTTGATCTGTGCACGGCGTTATCGGACGTACCCCGGTACCTTTTCCGTACCCAATAACATTGCCTCGTTGACTCCAGATGTCCCGATTTCCTGTCCCGGGTAACATACACGCATACAGACAGCGGATACAATACCGGTCTGTTTCCGGAACTTCTGCTCCATCTGTCCATACCTCTCTCCTGGGGATCCAACTGCGAATTCCAACTAGGCAAACGAGGGAACGGTACATGGTCGCCTTTCCATCTGAAAAGCAAAGCGGGAAAATAATTAAACATTTTTAGAGCCTGTGACCTGTTGGGCAGGACTATCTTGGATCATGATGCTGATTCTTGTCATAGTGTACAGGTCAGAGGAAGATACATAGTCCAATGGTGATAATGTACTGGTCTAAAACGAAGGGAAAGCCTGGACCATCTTCTACGCCACTGGTCGTTTGAACAAGCCCTCGCCACTGTAATTTACTGAGGGACTGATATACATGATGGCCTACTGACTGATGAATTGTCGCACCATCGACCATTGGTCGCCTAAGGGCATTAAGGTCCGGCTGACTCGCCAACTGATAGGTGTCGCGGTTAAGCTATTCTCGTCACGGACGCTTCCCTTTGCTGAGCGCACCACATACCGGGGGGCCAGCGAGAAAGATCTTTTCTTTTGGGCCTCGGTCTTGGATATTATTCCCTACAATCCTCAGCCACGTTGATGGTCAAGCGACCAAAAATTCTGGGGTCTGACTTGCTGGCAACGGCTAACATACTAAGCCGGAATTCGGGGGATGAAACGTTCAGCCCCAGGTCATGGTCTTTCTTTAGATTTTCTTTATTTTTATTTCTATTCGGACTTCGGGGTAGGATAAATTTCTGGGGAAGGACGCCGGCCCAAAATACCATCTACACTACGCAGCGATCCGGGAGAAAGGGATGGGTCGATTGATTGACTCTCAAACTAGGCCACATACCGGGGAACCAATGTTATACTTCCGTAGATCACACATTGTGGCCTTGGTTTCATATTGAACAAAACATCAGATGGCGCTTATCCGATTCAATTTGGTTCTGGTTTGCATGTTTTATTCTACGTGTATGATTCTCCAGAAATAAATTGTTTGCCTTCCACGCGGGTCGGTATTAGCGTTGACATTTGCTGTTTTTCTTTTGCATCTCGCGAACAGATCAGGTGGGATAGACTTTGTCAGCCACCGTGCCAAAGGGGGCAAAAGAGAAAAGGGGAGGTTTACCGCCCCTTTGAGTCCTTATCTTCCGAGATGCCACATCCTGGCCAGCGATGAACCTCCAACAGAACACGGCAGCCCTAGTGTCACAGTCCGCAGTCACGAGTCTGCCAGCTGGCATCGAGGGCGAAGTAGTCAGGGGGGAAAGGATCAGCGTACCCTCAGGATCAGGCTACGGAGGCGGACCTGCATCGAGAGAGGAAGCACTCCCTCATCTTGAGGGGCAAGCGGCTGTTCACGGGGTCGAGAGAATAGAGTCCTTGTCTGGTCCGGACTGGCGGATATTCGAACAGCCTTTGGTCCCCACTGGAGATTCCCACTCAACCCGGGAGACTGGGCCATGCAGACCGATCGACCTTGACGCGCCATCGAAGTTCAGTTGCACGAAGTGCACGTTTCATCCATCATGTGATGTTCCAGTCAAACCAGAAGCAGCGGAATCGCTGCCTTGTTGGAAATGTAAAGCATCATCTGCGAGTCTGCTTTTCTCTGTGTATTTGTCTATCTGCCTTCCGCTTTTTTGACTTTTTCCTTTTCCCTGGATTTGTGGATTTGTTTAATCTGGGGTGGACCGGGGTGTGGGGAGTAGTAATCACGAAATTGCGGGGATGCATAAATAGTCGGTCAGCCCAGGGAGGCAAAGAAAACCCTTACCATGGGCCGATGGTCGTTTGGTATCGGCAATCACCCCTTATTTTGAAATGAGATTTGATGATAAATACCGTGCAGAATAAGGCGTAGTAAATAATCAAAGGAAAGAAAGGGGAAAAAAACAAAAAAAAAAGAAAAACTTAATGATACTATCTACGAAGGAATACGTATACCACAACCCTCACCTTCTGATTCGATCGAAACAGTTCGCTGGTAACAAGACTATTCCCTGCGGATGTACGACTACGCCAATATCACCTACAGCATGCAAAGCACTTATTCCAGGCCCGCTTGTGCAGCCTAAATTTGGGTTTGGAGGGTGATCGCTGCTGACCTGCTCTCGTCAACTGCACAACGATTCTATCAGCACGTCATGTGCTGGTCGAAGCGGTCAGAGGAGACAGGAACAAAGGTGTGCGAGTATGGTTGTACGGGTACGCTGGAAAGGGACAAAATAGACGAATCAATTCAACGTATTGTGAGTGGAGTTGTCAAGGGAGAAAGGAAGGCAATAGAAAGGAGGATGAGGCGCTGATCTACCTAACGGAGGGATCACCTGATCTCGCAGCAGGTTTCTATCGATTTGAAAGGTCATCTTGAAGGACTTTCCTAAGACTATTGAGGACCTTAAAAGCGTGTCCGCCTCAGTGTCCTGTCTCAGTCTCATCATTGAATTTCCTTATTTCGGGTGGTACGGAGAATGTCGATTTGAAAACTGGAATTACTCGAGACACATCAATATACTAGCCCAACAGGGCTCCACCAATGACCTGAAGGCTGCCAGTAATGCAGATTGCATTTGACGAGGGCATCTCACCATGGAACGCCTCAGCTTACACACCTCTAGTCCTTCTCCGTAATCCGTCAGGATCCCGGGGAAATAAGATCATTCGGAATTTGCCGTTACGGAACGTTAATTTAACCGAGGTAGTTGGCGGGATAATTAGACTGCTGAGGCGACGTGTATTTTTTCGAAATTTGCATCAAGTCAACCATAGCCCAAGAAGTTTTACATCTGTATCCTAAGAAGAGCCGCCACAAATACCGGTGTTTTGCCAGCGATGCATGGCCGAGGCGTGGATCAGAAGATGGGGCCGTAGGAAGAACAGCTGACCGGCCCCCAGTTCGTCTCGGAGCTCGCCTTGGAATCGTAATTGTACTGCACAGTATTCGGTACTGACAATACTCGCAGTAATTCGCGAAATTGCTAAGTCACTTTTGAATGGATGAGTACCAGTGGCAAGGTCACGAGAGCACATCACATGATGTGCAGGAACGCCCTCGGCAGGGGCTTGTGACGGTGACGTACTTCATACCAATACCTGTCTCGGCTTTTTACAGGGGCTCCATTCGGCGTCGCTAGTTGTTTCTGGTGCTTGTGTGAGGCAGGGCGGCTGTGATGACAGTTACCGGTCGGTCCCAATGGTTGTGAATCAGGGGTCTCCATGTCAGGTGCCGGCCAATTTGATATTCTCAGGGATTTGAGCATCCGGGGGATATGCTCGTTGATCTCATAGTTTACATATTGACGAACTATGTTCTATCTTACCAGGATTGTCCTACGCTTCCCCTCGGGCATTTTGAATGGCCTGATCTCACTGTGGAAGTCATATACGAAGCCCTTGAATTGCCCCATGCTCGACGTCGATCATTGACTTTTGTCGGATTTCATTACCTGAGTATGTGGCTGGCATAAAGGAAAAATACCATATGTCAACCGCTGGAAAGGGCAAAGGAAACCAAGCCTGGGAAGTGACTTTGCAAGGAGGCACGGCATCTGAGTTACTACATGCCTCGGCTTGACCTTCAACTAATATATTTGCATCAAGTGTGATAAAGCGTGACGCCAATGAGTGACATTTCCTGCAAATAAACAACATTTGATCCACAATGTATGCCATGACAGGCCGAAGAAAGAAAAAGAAAAGAAGGAGAAAAAAAGGGGATAAAAAGCAAAATTATAACTTGTGCCACGATATCCGCTAACTACGGGCTGTTGATGTTGGGTCGACCTATGAACATCCAAAACAATTTAGTCATAGTGATACGCACCAGAGTGTGAGGAACGACGGGTCCCTAAGCTCTCTCTTTGTATCACACAAGAAGCAGAGACGGCGAATCACATTCCATGTCGTAGCCGCCCTATCTTCGGACCGTCTCCCCCGGCCTATCCTGAAGGCATCTGCCGCAAGACAGGAAAGGGCAGTTCATCGTAGGGATACAAACACACGTCTAACGGTGGTATTTTTTGAAGCTTCCGAATACTTAAAAGTCATGAAAACGTCCGAGTCGCTGATT